ATGGTCTACTGAAGAAGTATGAACGGGAGAAAAGTGGTCCTTTGTTAAGACACCTAGCAAAGAAACTAAGATAGCACACCATATTCTTGAACACTCCCTTAATAATAGCATTGTCATTTTATAGCACTTACCGTTATGTACAGAACAAACACCGTAGACCTGTTCATTCAAGCACTTCACTCTTCGTTCCCCAAAGTATTCCCTCAGTCCCTCTCACCACACCAAACCCCAGTAACCCAACGCCGAATCCCTTAACAGCATTTCTCCACCATATCGGGTTCTTCTTTAGATTCTCCTCAACGCTAATTTTATCATTCTCAAACACCCTTCCGCTGGCAAACCAATAACCAGCAGCAAGCGCAAAGCAGGTGGACATTATTTGACAAGGAACACAGTCCTTTGTTTCCTCTGGCGTGAGGTCCCTGGAAGGAGGAGGATTGAACACGTTCACAATGTTAGACATTGTGTATACTGTTCCTGAATTAGACTGCTTGTACTCAAGGCTACTTCGTTTAAATTAAGAAGAGGGAAAGAGAGAAAGAGCAGCAGAGCGAGCGAGCGATGAGATGATTAGGAATTTTTCACCAATGCACACATCATTTTCCTTCCACTTCCGAAAGGGGAACTCAACAAAGAATACGGCATTCGAAGCACTGCATTTACCAAATCGGGTAATCAAGCCAACCAGTTCACCGGGCAATTTTTCTTCGTCCCCCCAAAGAACGGGCAAAAAACGGCTCCAAGGGTGAACATTTTCAACTAATAAACAAACAGCTCTTACAAGGGAAACTACACCATTACAGAACTTTTTTTTTCATCTTATTGAGCTCATATCGTCTTGTCTCATCTTAGTTTCTTGTTACAATTAATCACTGTATAATTCGAGCTTGTTGATTTACACAGAATTAGAGAACGTTACACAAATTTGACACGATACATTGGAAAGAAGGACAAGTTCTACACACCCACACACACACACACAAATATATATAATTCAACAATATGTCTGACGACTGGAAGAAGAACTTACACATCCCTGAGAGGGACACAAGACCTCAGACTGAGGATGTGACCAAGACCAAGGGTAACTCGTTTGAAGACTTCTACCTCAGTAGGAAACTACTCATGGGGATCTTTGAAGCTGGTTTCGAGAAACCAAGTCCCATCCAGGAGGAGTCCATACCTGTGGCATTGGCCGGCCGTGATATCCTTGCAAGAGCTAAGAACGGTACCGGTAAGACTGCTTCGTTTATTATTCCAACGTTGGAGAAAGTCAAACCAAAAGTGGAAAAGATCCAGGCGTTGCTGTTACTCCCTACGAGAGAATTGGCGTTGCAAACGTCGCAGGTTGTTAGAACATTGGGTAAACATTTGGATATCCAATGTATGGTGACAACAGGTGGTACCTCTCTCAGAGACGATATTGTTAGATTGCAAGAGCCTGTCCACATCCTTGTTGGTACACCAGGTCGTGTCTTGGACTTGGCCAGCAGACAGATTGCTGACCTCTCAAGCTGTTCCATCTTTGTCATGGATGAGGCGGACAAGATGCTTTCTCAGGAGTTCCAGAGAGTAATCAACCAAATTCTTGCATTCTTGCCAGAGAAGCACCAGTCTATGTTGTTCTCTGCTACTTTCCCACTCACAATCCAGAGCTTTATTGCTCAAAATTTGAAAAATCCATACGAAATTAACTTGATGGATGAATTGACCTTAAGGGGTATCACCAATTACTATGCGTATTTGGAGGAGAACCAGAAGTTGCACTGTTTGAACACTTTGTTTAGCAGATTGCAAATCAACCAAGCTATCATTTTCTGTAACTCTGCAAAGAGAGTTGAACTGTTGGCTAAAAAGGTTACAGAATTGGGATTCTCTTGTTACTATTCGCATGCGAGAATGCCACAGGACGCTAGAAACAAAGTGTTCCACGATTTCAGACAGGGCAAAGTTAGAATCCTCGTTTGTTCCGATTTGTTAACAAGAGGTATTGATATTCAGGCTGTCAATGTTGTCATCAACTTTGATTTCCCAAAGACTGCAGAGACTTATTTACACAGAATTGGTAGATCCGGTAGATATGGACATTTGGGTCTAGCCATCGATTTCATCACTTGGAATGACCGTGAGAACTTGTTCAGAGTGGAGAAAGAGCTTGGAATTGAAATTCCAAAGATTCCAAACCAAATTGACGAATCCTTATACGTTGCACAGAATGCAAAAGCTGTGCCAAAGCCATTCCCAATTCAAGAAATGCCAAAGGCAAACACTGAGGGATTCGGTTATAAAGGTCAACCTGGAGAGGTTGCTCAGACGCAAGCAGGTCAACAAGTTAACCATACTCAACCACAACTTTCGAGTGCTTCACCTTCCAATGGCTCTGCTACTCCATCTCAAGTACCAGCTCAGCCAGTACCACAACAGTTTGTACAACAGCAACAACAGCAACAGGGCTACCCACCTCAAGGATACCCTCAGCAATATCCAGCTCCGGGCTTCATTCCGCAAGGATATCCACCACAGGGCTACCCTCAAGGCTACCCACAACAGATGTATAACCCTCAGGTCTTCCCTCAAGGTTACCCACAACAAAAGCAACCTGCTTCGCAATGAAGATCTGTATTTTTGGGTTACAATATCGATACAACACATTCATTGAAACATACTGAGAAGAACATTAAACTAGGTATTTTGAAACCTTTTGTTAAGGAATAAATACATACAGAAAGAGAAAAGAAAGAGGAGTTGATGATGATTGTTTTTTGGGGGAATGTGAATATGAATTTTGGAGTTTTGCTTTTTTTGGCAGTTTCTCATCTTTGTTGTTTTCCATTGTTAATTGGTTTTGCAAGGAAGTTGTCATATTGAGGAACAATGTGCCTTTCACCATGATTTCACGCTTGATGCACGACGCTTTTGCTTTGTTGGTTTCCACTTTCGTTCGTTTTGATTTTGAAGTTGCCAAGTTTTGAATTTTGTTATTTGTGATTTTGTCTGTCCTTTGTTTTGTTTCGTTTTGGTTTCCTATTGATTTTCCATTGATCTTTTTTTTTATATACTTGACCTATCTTGCAAAGATGTTGGTTCTTGTCCTTGTTCATTGAGCTGCTGTATACCCTCTACCGAATCTTCAAGACAGTTCTCAGCTCAGTATCCAACTGAGTAATGAGACTATTGAGCATTCAACAGAGGGGACAGCCGGACCAACCATAACCAATGCTTTGTGCCATAGGACTGGGTTTTCAATCGGGTTTCTCCTAGAACTGGAGGTTTTTTTTTCTGTTCAACCAAGTTACTACATGGAGATGTTCGAACACATGGTAATCATGCCAATGTGCAAAGCACCATCATCTGTTCGCCTATATCCATATATCTTGTCCCAATTTCTTGTGTTGTTCTTCCCTTTTTTTTTTATCCCAGAAGCTCACGGTCGTGATGTACAAGCTCAGTACACATATCCATTCTTTTTATACAGCATACACTCTGTAGTTTGATGGAAGTGGCCTAACATCATAAGCTGTAGGCTGACTTGTACGGTGAAGATGGCCGCGACCGAGTCAGAAAACCAGCCTGTGTGGTCCCGAGTGAAAATTGTCTGCCAAATTGGCCGAGAGGCGGCAGCAAGAGAAACACCCGGACATTACGTAAAAATTTCACGGTGGGTCGGTTTCCACGATGAGATGATGTCCCTCACAGTTGAAGATCTATCTTCTGGAAGAGAGAGAGAGAGGTCTTCACACTTTCAAGGTCTCTTAATTTGATCCCAGTTCTGTTATTAAAACTATATAATGTCGCTTAACCTTCTCGTTGTTGGTAACGGTGGTCGTGAGCACGCGCTTGTTTGGAAGCTGGCTCAGTCCCCATCTGTGGAACACATCTATGTGGCCCCAGGTAACGGCGGTACAGACTCCCTTCCAAACGTCACCAACGTTGCTATTGGCTCATCTGCTGCTGATTTTGAGAAGCTTGCTGCCTTTGCACAGGAGAAGAAGATTGATTTGGTTGTTCCAGGCCCGGAGCAGCCGTTGGTTGATGGTATCTCCACAGTTTTCAAGAAGATTGGTATTCCAGTGTTTGGTCCTTCTGCTAAGGCTGCCATGATGGAAGGCTCGAAGGCCCTGTCCAAGGACTTTATGGCTAAGCACAACATTCCAACTGCTGCTTTCAAGAACTTTACCGATTTTGAAGCGGCAAAGGCCTATGTGCAAAGCGTGTCCCACAACGTTGTGATCAAGGCATCTGGTATCGCTGCTGGTAAAGGTGTTCTCATTCCAACAACAAAGGAAGAAGCCATCGATGCGTTGAAACAAGTGATGATTGTCAAGGAATTCGGCTCCGCTGGTGATGAAGTGGTTGTTGAAGAGTTCTTGGAAGGTGATGAGATCTCGATCCTCACGTTGTCCGATGGTTACTCCTACTACAACCTGCCAGCTGCTCAGGATCACAAGAGAATTGGTAATGGTGATACAGGTCTTAACACCGGTGGTATGGGTACATATGCCCCAGCTCCTGTTGCTACGCCATCTCTTTTGCAACAGATTGACGATTCTATCATTAAGCCATCTATTGATGGTATGAGACGCGATGGTTTCCCATTTGTCGGAGTCTTGTTCACGGGAATCATCATAACAGCTACAGGCCCAAAGGTCTTGGAGTACAATGTCAGATTTGGAGACCCAGAAACACAATCTGTTCTCCCACTTTTGACCGATGATACGGACTTGGCCCAAGTGTTCCTCGCAGCTGCTGAAGGTAGATTAGATTCCGTTGAAATCAAGACTAAACCAAACACTTTCGCTACAACAGTTGTGATTGCTGCTGGTGGTTATCCTGAAGAGTACAAGAAGGGTGATGAGATCACCATCGATTCCGATATCCAAGCTCTTGTATTCCACGCGGGTACCAAGAAGGAAAACGGTGTTGTGTACACCAATGGTGGCCGTGTCATTGCTGCTACTGCCACAGCTGGTTCTCTTGAAGATGCAGTCAAGAAGGCTTATGAAGGTGTTGAAAAGATCCACTTCAACAACAAGTACAACAGAACTGATATTGCTCACAGGGCCTTCAGAGATGCTGCTAAGACTGAGGGTTTGACATATGCCACTGCTGGTGTCTCTGTTGACAATGGTAACTTGCTTGTTGAAAATATCAAGGCTATGGTTAAGTCTACCAAGAGACCAGGTGCTGATTCTGATATTGGTGGTTTCGGTGGTATTTTCGACTTGAGTGCTGCTGGATACAAGACTGACGAGACTTTACTCGTTGCTGCTACTGATGGTGTCGGTACTAAGTTGAGAATTGCACAAATTTTGAACATCCATGACACCGTTGGTATCGATCTTGTTGCCATGAACGTCAATGATTTGGTTGTCCAAGGTGCAGAGCCATTGTTGTTTGTTGATTACTTTGCCATTGGAAAGTTGGATATCAACATCGCTGCAAACTTCGTGAAGGGTGTTGCTGATGGTTGTAAGCTTGCTGGCTGTGCCCTTGTCGGAGGTGAAACCTCTGAGATGCCAGGTATGTATGAGCCAGGTCACTATGACACTAACGGTACTGCTGTTGGTGCAGTTAACAGAAACAAGGTCCTTCCTCTTGTTGACCAAATGGCTGTTGGTGATGTTCTTCTCGGTTTGAAGTCCGATGGTGTTCATTCCAACGGTTTCTCCCTTGTCCGCAAGATCATTGAGACTTATGGATTCTCATACACAGATGTTGCACCATGGAAGCCAGAATCTACAATTGGAAAGGAGTTGCTGGTACCAACCAGAATCTACGTCAAGCAATTGCTCAGACCAATTCAAAAGGACTTGATCTTGGGTCTTGCACACATCACTGGTGGTGGTCTTTTGGAGAACATTCCAAGAGCTCTTCCAAAGAACTTGTCTGCTAAGGTTGACCTGAAAAGCTTTGAAGTTCCAGAGATTTTCAAATGGTTTGGTGAAACTGCAAATGTTCCAGTACATGACATGCTGAAGACTTTCAACTTGGGTATCGGTATGGTTGTTATCTTGAAGAAAGAGAATGTTGCAGAAGTTACTAAACTTCTTGAAGAAGCTGGTGAAACCGTGTATGAAATTGGTGAACTTGTTGCAAGAGGTGATGACATTGGCACAATCATTGAGAACTCTGAAAGCCTTTATGCAAACTAAACAACTAGTTTTATAATAAGTAACGATATCGTTTTGTTTTAGACAACCCGTTTAGAATATATATACATGTACAAACTGTTAACCTAATCAGCCTGGAATGGTTTTTCCTTGAGTGCTCTTGTTATCTGGTTCTCAACGTGCTGGTAAACTGTGAATGCAACACCTCCAGATGTACCAACCTTCAAGAGACGAGGGAACCAACCAGCCCAGAATGCCTTCACACCTTCTTCAACAAAGATTCGGTATGCACAGTTTAAAGAATTCTTGTATAGGTAAAACGTCTCTCTACTCTGCATTCTTGTTTTGATGACATCGATAGGTTGAGTCACTGCGACCACAACAACAGAACTTGTAACACCAATGGTGAATGTAAGGTATGTGTTCATCTCACCACTGTGGCCGAAAAGAGACCTTAACCAAGTATACGTACCAAATCTCACTGCACTGTTGGTGCACTGTCTCAAGAGGGTTGGTACGGTACCTTGTACGAATCCTCGAAACCCTCTGGTCTGATAAATCTCCTGAGTTGCCTGTAAGAAGTTTGCAGGAGGGTTTTTATCCCATTTACGTTTGGCAACCACCATTGGGTGGTTCGATAAGTCTGATGCCAAAGACTTGTGGAACGTTTTCTTTGACTTTGTCGCAGTTTCAGTGGAGCCCTGAAGGTTGGAATCAAGTGCACTCTTTTCACCTCTATCACGTGCGCTTGTTATCAGAGCGCTTTCAATCATGGTGGTTTTGATGTTTTCGAATGGAATAATCCATAGCGATTCGACAAAGCCTGTCATCGCACCAGCAATGACCAATCTTGGAGCGCTTGTCTTGCCCGTATCCGACGCCATGAACTTAGAGGCCCAGTTGAACACCATAAACCTGGAGCCTGACTTCAACGCGTTGCCCACGTTCAGAGCGCCACATCCTGCAAAGTAGTGTTTAAACTGATGATGTAGCTCGAGTGAAGGGAGTACTCCCTTGGAGTTTGGGATCCTACGGGTCAGCTGCGACACTGTCTTCGCAAATTCAAAGGGGTACGTGAGTGTGGTTTGTACCAGCGAGGCACTCACACCCGCGATGACAGCCGTCACCAAGTTTGGCTAATGATGGATGTCAGTTAAGGGCCGGTCGTACACAGTACGAAAACATTGTGGTTACTCACTTCAACTTGTAAATCACGGTTCAAACGTGGGTTGGTGTAGGCATGGCGACTACTTCCTGAGCTCGGCGCAAGATCTTCTCCCATTGTACACGCAGACGAGGTTGAGGCTCCGTTTGCTTTCTGGGATAGCGACGTAGCCACTGTTAATCACATCACAGAGAGCAAAACCGACACCGATGAGTTTCGATGTTCTTTGCTCCCTCGAGGGATGATCACGTGACCCACGAGATGAAAAAAAAAGGCATTCCGATTTTTAGTCCCTCTAGTGTCTTCTTTTCAAGTCCCATACACTTCGTAGTCCCAATCTGAAAGACTTTTGTTTCGGCCACGCACATGATCAAAAAGATACACAAACATTTTCGAAGGGGGGGGGGGGCTGTCGAGCTTAAATTTCACAGGCGGCTTTGGGCCTGCCCGCGTGTTCACACAGAACAGCGGAAAGCAGAAGGGAAAAACCCAGCTGGACGCGTTTTCTCTCTCTAAAAGTTTTTCCCTCGCTACCTAAAAAGGCCAACACGATCTCTATCGACAACGAGGATTAAATCTCCAGAACTGCTATCTCTGTTGACATCCGAATAGAAAGCACGGAATTACCATGTCGACTCTTCCACAAGCTCTTGAGCCCCATGGGACTTTGGCAGCATTGGCCAACAGCGGTCCTTTGTCCATCTTCTCGTACTGTATGTCGTCGATCCTGATGACCGTGACAAACAAGTACGTGCTTAATGGGTTCTCCTTCAACATGAACTTTGTTCTTTTGCTCGTGCAGTCATTGGTGTGTGTGGCTGCGATTGCCATTCTCAAGTTGTTTGGCGTCATCACGTACAGACCACTGAACAAGACCGATGCTAAGAACTGGGCTCCTATCTCTGTTTTGCTCGTTGCCATGATCTACACGGGCTCCAAGGCCCTCCAGTTCTTGTCCATCCCGGTGTACACCGTGTTCAAGAACTTGACCATCATCTTGATTGCATACGGTGAGGTGCTGTTCTTTGGTGGTAGCGTCACCCCAATGACCTTGGGTTCCTTCTTCTTGATGGTGTTGTCCTCTATCGTTGCCTGTCTCGGTGACCAAAAGGCTGCTCCTGATGCTGGTGTTTTCAGTGCTGGTTACTTCTGGATGTTTACCAACTGCTTTGCCTCTGCCTCCTTTGTCTTGTACATGAGAAAGAGAATCAAATTGACCAACTTCAAGGACTTCGACACCATGTACTACAACAACGTGTTGTCAATTCCGATCCTCCTGTTGTCGTCTTTCCTCGTTGAGGACTGGTCCCAGGCCAACTTGGAGGAGAACTTTTCCAAATCCTCCTTCATCACAATGGTCATTTCCGGGTTATCAGCAGTTGGTATCTCCTACTGCTCCGGCTGGTGTGTTAGAGTCACATCTTCAACAACCTATTCCATGGTTGGTGCTTTGAACAAGTTACCAATCGCACTATCCGGGTTGATCTTCTTCGATGCTCCAAGAAACTTCTACTCGGTCTCCTCCATCTTCTTGGGCTTCTTTGCTGGTTTGGTTTACGCCGTCGCTAAGCAACAGCAGAAGAAGTAGAGCAGGAAACGCTAGACCTTTTGTCTCTCTTCTCCACCTGGAGTCGTTGAATAGATAACATATATAACAGACATAAAGAACACGGTCAACTGATAGAAGATTACTCCGTTTTCGTTGTTTGGTTTCTTCTGTATGCCTGTAGATGTCACACTGATGTGTACCATTGGTGTTCAGTGCAGCACACAACAGCTCAACAGCTCAACAGCTCAACAGCCAACGGTAACGGCCTAGAGTTCCATGATACGCGGCCTCATCGCACCGGAGCCCAACATCGCCCAGTAGCGTGCTGTAGGTGCCCCATCATGTAGAAGATGCAATCTCGAAACCTTTGTTGGGTACACGTTGCTTCATCAACACGTTTAGCACCGATCCCAGGCGGAACAGAAGGCACCTGCTTTTTCCTTCTGGGGGAGGCTTTCCAGGCGAGGCTTTCCAGGCGGGAGGAACTGTTGGTATCTTCTCTCTGGTATTACACCTATACAATACGAATAAAACTACATTATCACAGTGAGACAACGATCCAATGGCTTTGGAAGAGATTGAAGGAGACCCCCACAGCACTCAGTTGCAACCGCCATACTTGAAGGTGTACACTGGCCCAACTCCAAACGGGTTCAAGATCACCACGCTGCTGAAGCTACTCAACGTTGAATTCCAGCGTAGGGAGATGGACATGGGCAAAGGTGAGCACAAGCAGCCTTGGTACTTGAAGATTCACCCCGATGGCAGGGTTCCTGCCATATCCGACGTTGATGTTGATGGTAACAGAACGGTTCTGTTTGAAAGCGCCATCATCTTGGAGTACCTTGCTGACAAGTACGACACTGAGCGTAAATACTCGTACGATAAGTCATCACCACTGTACTGGAAGCAGATGGAATGGTTGGTTTATGGCTCTGCCAACAACGACCCTGTCCAAGGTGCGGCTTTCTTCCATATCCTCGTGTTAAAGACGGATCCACCAGGCGGTAAAGACGCCTACGTCCAGCAAACCAATAGAATCCTCAAGGTTTACAACGATAGACTCGTTGAGAACAACGGATGGTTTGTCGGCGACCACCTGAACATCGCAGACATCGGAATCATCGCCTTCCTCAAGGTGTCTGTTGAAAGCCTGGGTATCAAACTTGATGCCTTCCCAGCAGTGGCTGACTGGATGAAGAGAGTCACCGACATCTCAGGCGTTGGTGAGAGTATCAGTGGTGCTTGATCCGTGTCTTATACAGCTCGCTCTCTCTATATATATTATACATTATTGGCACTTCCGAAGCGAATATTACACTGGTAGTCCTTGAAATTGCGTTATACAGTGCCCTCTGTGCGTGTACCCAAATATGCACTAATTAGTAATCCCCTGGCGTTGCCCCTTTTGGTGATGTTAGCTTCGTTTGGAGGGGGTGGCCGCTGACGGGGAAAGAGCTATACGCTGGTGAACTGATATTACGAATCAAGGTTGAGTGGTATTGCTGTACTATAAAAGGAACAGACAATCCCTTTTTTTTACCTCTCTTGCTCCGTCTTTCCCCTTCAACACTAAAGTACTGCACAGATTAGACCATAATGACATTGATTGACGAGGGCGACCCAGACTATCCAAAGCTTGAGGCTCCGTACCTCAAGTTGTACTCGCTAGGAACACCAAACGGACAAAAGATCACCGTGTACTTGGAGCTGTTGGGGCTGAAATATCACTACCGTCATGTTGATATTCTGAAAGGCACTCAAAAGGAGCCTTGGTTCTTGGAATTGAATCCAAATGGTCGTATTCCGGTGCTATCTGATGTTGATGCAGAGGGACACCGCACTACACTGTTTGAGACAGGTGCTATCTTGCAATACCTTGGTGAGAAGTACGATAAGGAGAGAAAGTACTACTACGACTTGTCATCTCCGTACTACTGGGACCAGGTTACGTGGTTGACGTTCCAAGTTGCGTCCCACGCTCCTTATCAAGGCCAGGCTTCGCATTTCCTCAAGTTTGCCAAAGAGGATGTTCCATACGGCAAGAAGAGATATAAAGAGGAGACAGAAAGGGTGTTTGGTGTTTATGAGTTGAGACTGAAGGCAAACAACGGCTGGCTAGTTGGAGACCATCTCAACATTGTCGACATTGCTGCATACCCTTGGATCAGAAAGTACGATTTTGTTGAGATAGACATCACCAAGTTCCCAGAATTGGAGAAGTGGCTAGCCAAAATCGATGCTATTGAGGGCATTGAGAAGGGATTAAACAAGGCTTAATGGCTGATACAGTGTATATGGATAAATTAACACATTATTGATTAAGAAAAGAATTAACGCGAAGCGTGACTCTAAACAGAGCAGTAGCCACCGTCAACCCTGATGTCGGAGCCTGTGGTGTAAGTGGATGCATCTGAGGCCAGGTACAGGTAGGCTCCAACAAGCTCCTGCGGTAAACCTTCTCTTCCCATTGGGATCAAACTCCACCACTTGGCTCTAACCTCGGTTGGCAAGACATCTGATAGGCCAGAATCGATATAGCCTGGGGAAACAGTGTTGACACGGGCAAAGCCGGCCCACTCAACAGCTAATGACTTTCCCATGTGGATGCATCCTGCTTTGGCAACGTTATAAGCTGTTTGATAGTTTGGAACATTGACGATATGACCAGACATTGATGCTGTGATGATGAAGGAGCCACGCTGCTTCTCCTTAAAGATGCGACCAACAGCCTTCGCACAGTAGTAAACCGCATTCAGATCAACATCCATCAAACGTCTCCACTTGTCTGGACCATCCGCATTCTTCTCCTCGTTCAGAATAGCGCCATCGACCCAGATGATTCCCGCATTTGCAACAAAGACGTCAATGGTACCAAAATCCTTCTCAATCAGATTCACACACTCCTCCACAGCCTCATTGGAGCTAACATCGACAAAATAGGCTGCGGATTTCACGCCATTCTCTGCACTCAGTCTCTTTGCACTCTCAGTGGCCAGCTCTATTTGATAATCAATGATCGCAACTTCGGCACCGGCTTGAGCATAGCACTCAGCAACGGCAAACCCAATTCCACGGGCACCACCAGTGACGACAGCAACCTTCCCTTTCAGTGAGAAGTTGTCCCAGATGGATTTTGCAAGCTTTGGAGCTGGCCAAGGGAGGGCTTGTTTGAAGTCGTCAGAGATGTATGATCTGAAAACCGAGTCGTTTGTCATTAAAGTCGAGAGCGGAGTTGTGGCTGCGAAGGATGATGAAGAGCGAACAGTTTGAAATCGAAACAAGTCTGAACGAATATTCCACTCTATTTATATTCACTCTGGGTTTTTCCTTCAAGACGTTTTTCACCCCCCCCCCGGACGCTTTACATCCAATTATTCAGCGTATTTGTGGAAATCGCATCCTATATGTCTCATGCATAGATGACCAGCCAAGACTTGTCTGAGCATAAAGGTACATAACAATATTCCGGGGACACGTAAACAGACGCATGTCACCGAAAATTGTTCCGGTTGACGCCACAAACTTCGCAACCATCGAGGAAGAAAGAAGGGAAAGGGACGATGGGGCTCGATAGGGAAATGCGTTGTATTCACCCAGTTCCAGGTGTCCTCCTACTTTGAATTGGATGACATTTATTCCAGAGTCTATTTTTAACCCATTCTCGTCCATTTGTAGAGGTAATTTACAACTTAGAGTTTGCTATTGAGAATATGAATCACACCTCCAATCTTAGTGTTCCAAGTGAGGCTTTTTCCGCAGGAGTTAGGCTTGGTTTCTTTTCGTCTTTCTTCTCATTATAGTGTGCTTCTTGTTCCCCTTGTTCATTATATAAACACTCAGTTCAAACCAACTGGAGGCATCTCGTTTCTTTTGAACATTATGCATGTATGTTGACTAAACATCTAAAGACCGGTCTTAGACCAATCGATCGCGGTTAAATGAGTTGAGAACTACCGCAGAGAGGGCTATAAACACATCGTTCATAGGGTATATTTTTGGAAAATATGCACAAGTGCATTTATCAGATGGGGAAAAACTTTTCATAGATGAGTTATGATCATCATTTGAGATAGTCCTCTTGGAAAATCTCATTACGCAACGAAATTAAGGTAGCCTTTGTTTCTTGTTCCTCCTTGGAGTCCTTCTGTTGGTCTTCTTTCTTCTTGATGGAGTTCAACAACTTGTCAATACCAGCACTTAGTTTGGCCCTGGTTTCTGGACTTAAAATGACATCATCAAATGCCAACAATTTGATAATGATAAGGGAACTGATTGAAATGATATCTGCCTTTAACCCATAGTTCACAACATTTGTCAAAACCTCATTAAAATCAACATTCTTCAAAAGATTATGGTTTAAAGTCAGTTTGTACAATATTTCGAATGCATTCTTGCGCACCTCTAACGCTTTATCAATCTTGTGTTTGAACGGACCAATTTGGATACTCTCCTCGTATTGCTTTTTAGCCCCAAGTTCGTTGTAGACATAAGGTAAAACAACAACCAAATGTGGAATGAGAATGGTAAATTGATTGTTCAGCGCAGTCATAAGGGTAACAATGGAAACTTGCTTAACTTCAAGATCTTCATTCTCAATCTGCGCAAAAACTTGGAGAAGCAAGGGATCAACAAGATCTGCAGTGAAAATGTTATCGTACGCCAGTATGAACTTAATAGCAGCAATCACTGTGAAAAGTATCACACAGTTGTCAGTCTTTAAGAACTCAGACGCCTGTTGATAGAAGAAACCTGTATCGCTGTTGTTCACCAATATAAGACCGACATCCTGTGATGCAATACGTGTCAATGCTTCATCAATAACTTCTTCTTGTTTCAAAATGTCAAATAAGGTATTCCAAATGGTTAAGTAGGTCTCGAATGGCAACGACTTATTGATTTTCAATACTTGTTTGATCGTAATCAACAAAAGGCAACGGTCCTGATTGGCGGTAATTCTTTCAAGGAACTCGGGTAGGTAAGACTCTGGATTGGTTGAAATCAGTCTACCAAGAGACTCTGCAGCATAGAATTTTGTTTCATCCTCGGAGAAGAAGCTCTGTAATTGCTTAATGGACGTTGTCAAGGGCATCACTTGTCCAATATAACCCAATAGTCTTATGTTGAATGAAGAGTTTATGTGTTGAGCAAGTTCACTCTCCTTAGCCTCAACATAGTCCCTTAAATTCTCGTTAATAACAATATTGGCTAAAATCTTGATGTTCTTTGGATTGTCGCTATGTTGCTCTAACGTAGGGATCAAATCGGATCCAATCTTGCTTGACACCTCTAATAATGCTGTTTCATCAACCTCATCGATAGATGCAGCTTGAAGGAAGATTGTCTGAAGCTTTTGCTTGTCATAGTTCAAATGAGACAATATACGCAACACCTGGGACTGATAAACATCATTTTCGAAAACTTTCAGTAATGAATCACCAATAGACGAGTCAATGTCAGTATACTGTGAGATCTCAACCAAGGATTCAATAGTGTGTGATAGGAATACTGGGTTGGAAATGAACTCAGTATAAGTTTGAACAATGGATGGAACAGCAGGTACGTTGATTGCAGGTCCATAAATTTCGGCAAGTTGTGTGATGGCATCAATAGTACTGATCGCAATAGGGTCATACTTCAAAGTGGCAGCAAGTAATTCCAGGAGCTCCTCAATTTTTTGTGGTGGCAATGTTTTCAAACTTCCTAATGTTTGAATTGCATTGTTTCTCACAACACTGTCATTTTTGGCATTGGCAGCAATCTCAAAAATGGAATTCGTTAGTGTTTCGTTGTAGGTAAGATTCAATAAATCAACTGCTGTATCCATGGAGTTGGTCACTGTAATGTGGTTCTTGTTACTTAACCCACTATTAACCAATTCCACAATATATTGAAACTCGGATCCAAAGAACCCGATGTCGTTATTCTGAAGCATTGCTGAATAGAATTTGAGTAAATCTAAATTGATACCAAAATTGTGCTTCCTGACACAGGCAAGTAGTGGTTTCAAATCATCTGCCAATTCGTTAAAGTTTTGGAAGAAGTTTAGTAAGTAGTTATACTTGGTTGAACCATTGTTCTTAACAGCATCCAATTCTGTGATAAACTTATCCACAATTTCAGATCTATGCTCTTGCAAAACAGCTAGCGGATCTTCATCTTTGTCAGACATCAGAGCATCAGAGTTTGTTCTCTTACGCCCAGAACGTTTAGTGTATAGTTTGAGAGAGGTCTGAACTATGGTGTCTAAAGTGGCAATCTTTTCAAATGACACGGCATCAGAGGAATCAGCAACAGTGCTCAACAAGCATTCAAAGATGCCAGAAGAGTAAACGTCCTGAAGAGCTTCTGGTGAGATTTTGATCAGCGTGGTGATGATTCTTGCAGATTGTTTACGGAGTTTCCATGAATTATCATCGTTCGCGTCAACTTCATCATAATCCTCATCTGAGAATTCAGGATCAGAAAAATCATATTCATCCTCATCCATATCGTTACTGTATGGATCATACACTAAGAATCTCTTGCAAATAGTCAGAATCTTATCTCTTGACTCTGTCAGGGAACCTCGTTCCAATAGAAGTACATCTACCAAGTTTAAGGCCTCATACCTAACATCGTCGATCTTGATCTGATCATCATCCAAATCCGTTTGATCGAGATACAATTTATCAAAAACTTCTTGGAGAAATCCTGTAAAGTGTTGTTCAAATAATGGAAAGTTCTCTTTTACCAACGAGATATAAGTTAGCAACTTCAACACGATACTCTCGTATGAAGTTACATTTGTTGCGTGAATCTTCTGTAGCAAGTTTTCTGCGTCTGAAACTTCGAGATAGGTGCTCAAATGACCCAAAGCAGCAATCGCCTTCTTTGCTACAATGGTTTCGCCTTTAAAGATTGTTGAAATCAAAACCTCGTACAAGCGTACTAGGTTCTCGTGTGAAATGGTGTTACCCAAATTCTGTAACAAAACTGTAAGGATCTCCATGGTGTCCAAAGAATGGATCACTGTATTCTCAAACACTTGTGGCAGCAGCAAGTCAGACATTAGAGCGCCTGTGGTCTTGTATTTCAAGTTGATATTTTTTAGAACTTCACAGATTGCCATAGTTTGAATAGAGGTGGTAATGGAGCTCTTGTTCGTCGTTGGTTCCCTCAGTCTATCAATGACCTTGACCACTTCCTGGTCCTCCAGCACACCAACCAGTGGTGAGAAGCAGTGCAGAGATTGATTCTGCACATCGGTATTGACATCGTTCAATGCCTCTAAAAGAATCGTAGTCACCTGGTCAGAGTAATGGTTCACCTTGTTAAGGATGAGCTGATGCTCAACCAGCAACTTGTTAAGATCGTTGAGCGCCATAAATCTGAGATCCGGATCCACGTCACGGAATTTGTTAAGCACCTCATTGAGCTTCTGCTCAGCACTTTTGAAGTCTGTTGACATATCGTGGTAAGCGCCTTGTCAACAAGCGAGATATGTTTACTATCAAGTGGCGGCTTTTAAACGGGTTTGGTGATTGTTTTTTTTTTGTAGGTGTGGGTTTATCGAAGGAGGGCGCGGTATTGTACAAGAAAGCTGATGGTTGCTGGTTACTAAGCTGGATTATAATGATGAGAGTAATCTATTACGTTTTGGTTCTATCGACTGCTTTTCGTGTCCTTGTTGTATTCACTGCTTCTTTGACTTCTTTGACTTCTTAGACTTCTTGTCCTTCTTTGGTTTTTCTTCCTCCTTCGTTCCGTTAACCTCTACGGTTTGCTCATTATCATTTTGAGAAACGTAATCTGAAACCTCTACAGATTCCAAGATAAGATTACTGGTGTCATTTGCTTTGGACGGCTCCTTTGTCAATGTCTGTGGCTCTTCCTCGACACTTTCAGGTTGTTCCTTGTTTATGGTCTCTTCATCTTTTTCCTTAGCAGCTTCTGAAGTTCCATCTTGAATCTCTTCCACCTTGTTCTCATCATCAATACCCTTCAGTTCAGGTGCTTCGCCTGTCATAGCCTTCAGTATTTTCTGTGCTCTCATTGCATAGTCAGCATCAACACTTGTGAGCTCATCATGTAGATCCTTCTTCTTCGGTTTGGATCTTTTACCATCCTCTTTCTCCACAACCTTGGCATCCTCTGTTTCGTCAGGTTTCGGCTTTGAGAGCTCCTCATCTTGTAGTTTATTCCACGATTCGCAAACTTCACCTAGTATACGAGCCATTCTGTCTTTACCGCCACCTTGTAAGCCAGCGAAATAATTTACGAGGTACTCTTCGTACTCTGGCTCGATCACCTTCACATGCTTCAAGACCCAATTCTGCTTCTGCTTAGAGAACTTCCAATTCTCCCTGTCAGTGGTGTACGTTTTCAAATACACAAGTTGATCCTTCTCCGGAGGCGGTGGTCTCTCGCCCTTAGGCAGCTTTTGTCTTTTAGGGGCCTTCTTTTCGCCTTGGCTTTCTTCAGACTCCGCGCCTCTTGCCCGTTTGTTGTTGATCTTCTTCTGTTGCTTCTTCGTGAGCTTACCAGTATCCAGATGCGTTGTCAGGGCAAGAGGGTCGTGTTCAAGCTCCTCTTTCACTTTCAGTCCAATACGTTTCCAGGCAGGGATGTGTTCGCTCATCGTTCCAGACTCGAGTGGTGAAAACTATGGCAACCTCTACTTCCTTTCCAAACACACAGCGTGCTTTGTAGTGTGTGCCTAAGAGCTGAATTTTTTTTTCCTTCCATGCTGCGCTGCGATGAGCTCTGCCCGCCCGCAGCCTCGGAGGCTAGCGACGTATAAAAAAGGCCTGTGAAAATTTTATCCTCCTCCTTAACGACCCTTCTTTCTCTTCTTCACATTCAAAAACTTCAAGCAGCTGTCTCTGTTCCTTTGCTGTGTTCTACCACGGGACATTCCCATTCCCCGTGGAGAACCGAACTGGAGTCTAGCAGCATGCGAGATCAATATTACACGGTTTGAGTCTGATACGCTTGAGCAGCCATTTTTTGGCTTCTCCTGGTGTGTATCCAGATATAGAAGTTCGTATACATTTCCCATAGCGATTGTAAAATGATTCTGCAATGGAACAATCCGTAATTGTAGACCTGCTGAGATGGCACTCGCAATGCCTCTGTGTGTAGTTTTTTTCCCTTCTCCGTCCATCAGCAACAGTGGCTTCTTAGGGCATAACGAGACGGCTCCTTGGTGAAAGATGCCCTGCTCCGTCTGTCTGCCTGTTGCTACAACCACTGCGTAGTCAGATGACCCGGTCTGTGTGCTGTGGAATCACCGGGAGTGAAATTCCGGTTTCGCTGGCAGATGAGCTCATCAACCACATCAACTGGAGCAACCTCACCAGAGGACACGTAACCTGCCCGGTTGAATTCTGTCAAACCGTACATCACACAACAACAGCAGCAACAACAACAACAACAACAACAACAACAACGTCAGTTGTTGTTCGCATGGTAACGTTACGTAACGGCACCAACATCGTCTCGTCCTCGCTAATGCCTGTTTCCCCTACCCGGAGTGGCCCGGCCCACCTGTCGTTCTTTTTTCGTCAAGTGTGTCCAGCTGGTGCCATCACCATATGTTCAAGTGCGTGGCCTGTACTAGCGCAGTCTGCTGCAGTATAAAAGGGATTGCTGAGGCCCCCTTTAGCGTTTCCAATCAACAATTGATTCCCTTTTCCCCATAGTCCGTTTGTACTACATCCTACATAACAAAAGTGAGTGTTACAAGACAAGTGTGGCGGTCAATTGGATCATTTGGACTAACATACTGGCGGATAAAGATGTCTCTTTCAAGTAAGCTCTCCGTCACCGACCTCGACGTTGCAGGTAAGCGTGTTTTCATCCGTGTTGACTTCAACGTTCCATTGGATGGCAAGACCATCACCAACAACCAAAGAATTGTTGCTGCTTTGCCAACCATCAAGTATGTCTTGGAGCACAAGCCAAAGGCTGTGATCCTTGCCTCTCACTTGGGTAGACCAAACGGTGAGAAGAACGACAAATACTCCTTGGCTCCAGTGGCTGCCGAGCTTGAGAAGCTTCTCGGTCAACCAGTCGAGTTCTTGAGCGACAGTGTCGGTCCAGAGGTTGAGGCTGCTGTCAACAAGGCCACCAACGGTCAGGTTATCCTTTTGGAGAACCTCCGTTACCACATTGAGGAGGAAGGTTCCAAGAAGACCCCAGAAGGTAAGGTCAAGGCTTCCAAGGAGGATGTTGAGAAGTTCAGAAAGCAATTGACCTCTTTGGCCGATGTCTACGTCAACGATGCCTTTGGTACTGCCCACAGAGCCCACTCTTCCATGGTTGGTTTCGATTTGCCACAGAGAGCTGCTGGTTTCCTCATGTCCAAGGAGTTGACCTACTTCGCTAAGGCTTTGGAGAACCCAGTCAGACCATTCTTGGCCATCTTGGGTGGTGCTAAGGTTTCCGACAAGATCCAATTGATTGACAACTTGCTCGACAAGGTTGACATCCTCATCATTGGTGGTGGTATGGCTTTCACCTTCAAGAAGGTTATCGACAACACCGCTATTGGTGACTCTATCTACGATGAGGAGGGTGCCAAGATTGTCCCACAATTGGTCGAGAAGGCTAAGAAGAACAACGTTGAGATTGTTCTCCCAGTCGACTTCGTCACCGCTGACAAGTTTGCTGCTGACGCTACTGTTGGTTACGCTACTGCCGAGGCCGGTATCCCAGACCACCTCCAAGGTTTGGACAACGGTCCAAAGACCAGAGAGTTGTTCGATGCTGCCATTGCCAAGGCTAAGACCATCGTCTGGAACGGTCCACCAGGTGTCTTTGAGTTCGACAACTTTGCTGCTGGTACCAAGGCTATGCTTGATGCTGCTGTCAAGTCTGCCGAGGCTGGTAACACTGTTATCATTGGTGGTGGTGACACTGCTACCGTTGCTAAGAAGTACGGTGTTGCTGACAAGTTGTCTCACGTCTCCACTGGTGGTGGTGCTTCTTTGGAGTTGCTCGAAGGTAAGGAACTTCCAGGTGTCGTTTACTTGTCCAACAAATAACTGCAAGCTACTTTGTAATTAAACAAATAACGGGATTATATGTCAATATCATTATGATTATTTAGGAAAACATGTAGACCTTACCCGATGCACCTCCACCAACAAGCCAATTCTGGGTGGGATGGAAGTTACACACTGCTGGTACGTTGGTCACCAGTGGGTTTGACAAATGTGCCAGCTGATGACCATCTCGGTCGTAGACGTCAAAGTACTTGTTCATATTGGCAATGACAAACTTTTCTTTGTCCGGGGTATATTGCTGCCACCTTGCCTTCAAAATGGATACCCATCTTCCCGTTTGACAATTGTGTTTGATACGATGACTTGGGGTCAAATCACCTTCAATAGCGAAGTTCTTAGGTTTAGTGCTGATGTCCTCACCAAGATTGAAGATGTTAACTGTGTCATCGTAACCGTTACAAACAAGGTCACCAGATCTATTCCAATCCACGATGGAAACTGACAATCTTGAATCATAGACGCCAACAGTGTGCAGAGTCTCCAGGTTGTCATCCCATTCATCCCAATCACACGTAGTTGCTGTTCTTAGATCCCAAACCTTCAAAGTTCGATCCAATGAGGCAGTAGCAATCTGGTTCTTATTCATCGGATTGATAGTGAATCCACCAATCTTTTTATTCGACAATCTCAAAACTTGTCTTCTTGAGTGATCGCCTGCTCTCAGGTCAATTCTGCTGAATTGTCCTTGCATTGTTGTGTAGTACATTTCATTGTCGTTGTTGTAATTTATGTCAGTGATACCAACGTCAAAGTCGTTGATGAATAACTGTGAGGACTTCATGGAGCGTAGATCAATTGAGCGAATGGACCCATCATACGATGCACTATAAACCTTCGTCGTATCGTTCATGTTGAATTCGAGCTTTGCTATATTCTTACCGTGCAATTTGAAGGATAAGATATCGACATCGTCGGTATTCTCCGAGTTCCAGATTCCCAAGTTACCTGTAGAGTCACCCCCAATGATCAGTTTACGATCAATATCAGGATGGAAACAGATATAAGTCATTCTATCCTTGGTGAGTTTTATATCATTGGGTTTGAAGTGTGTGTACAGTTCCTTGGAGCCGAGTTCTTCTCTAAGCTTTTTAACATCCTTGGAAGAGTTATCCTTCTTTACAATGGTTTCGAAGTAATCGCCAATGCTAAAGGACTTTGAGTTACCCAAGAACTTTTGGAACTTCTCCAGTAGCTTGGAACTGTCTTCGCCATCCTCCGATTTGACCGTCTGGTCCTTCACAAGGTCTAAAAGACTTAGATCACCATCAACACGAAGTGTCTTCAACTTCTCGAGCTCTTCACGCTCACGTCTTCTCCTGTCCTCTTCCAACTCAAATTCACGTGCTTTTGAGTCAGAATCATCAATTGAAACACCAGCCAACCTTCTCGAGCGTCTGATCGGTTGAACCTCTACCTTTTGACGCTTTGTTTTCTTCTGCGTTGTTGAAGATGACTTCTTCCTCTTCGACGCCTCATCCTCTTGCTTGATGCTTTCTGAAATCTCATTGGACAGAGAGTTCAGGTTTAACGAAGCCAGCAGCTTTCTATTACGCTCGATATTGGCTTGTCTTTGCCTCTCGAACTCAGAAACCTCGTCCATTTCTGCCCGCTTCTGCCTGTAATCTCCCTAGCGTGTATTGTGAAGAACGCGTCTCAATACTTTCTTTTTTCAGATCTCCAACACGCGTGAGAAAAGCCATAATAATCAGCTACAACATAAGTGAATATCAAAATAGCTGTTGTATATATAAAACAGCATTACTTACAAAATTTAATAAATAGAAAGAGGAAAATGTTTAAGAGAGAGAGATTCTCCGACTTGTTGTTTTTCAGAAGACAAATATCAACACAATCATAAACCATATACAGGAATCCAAATCTTCAAATTCCCTCCCAACACTTCATTTACATTCACATCGTTTCACATTTCGTTAATAATAAATTAAGAGACAATTTACTTGGAGTTCAAGCTCTTAACCAACTCAATGTACTTCTCGGTGGAGAAGGACTTTGGTCTCTCAATTGGAGCACCAACGGCACGGTCAATGATCAATTGTGGCAAGACACCAAAGGCTCTGGAGACACCGAACAAAACGGTGTAGAAGGAAGCCTCGGTCAAGCCGTAGTATTGCAAGAGGACACCGGAGTGGGAGTCCACGTTTGGCCATGGGTTCTTGGTCTTACCGTGCTTGGTCAAGACACCTGGGGCAACCTCGTAGATAGCGGAAACCAACTTGAACATGTCAAAGTCTGGCAAGTGCTTCAAGGCAAACTCTCTTTGGGCGGTGTAACGTGGGTCAGTCTTTCTCAAGACGGCGTGACCGTAACCTGGAACGACTCTACCAGCGTTCAAAGTATCCCACAAGTACTTCTCAATGGTCTCCTTGGAGAAATCGTTACCGACAGCCTTCTTGAAGGTCTCCAACCATTCCAAAACTTCTTGGTTAGCACGACCGTGGAGTGGACCAGCCAATCCGTTCAAACCAGCAGCAAGGGACAAGAATGGAGAAGAAAGGGCGGAACCGACCAAGTGGGTAGTGTGGGCAGAAACGTTACCACCCTCGTGGTCAGAGTGGATGGTCAAGTACAATCTCATCAACTCGACAAACTCAGCGTTGGAACCGTAACCCAAAAGGTTGGCCAAGTTGGCACCGTAATCCAAATCCTTGTTAACGGCTGGAAGCTTACCATCCTTGAAAACGTTTTGGTAGATTCTGGCAGCGATGTTTGGCAACTTGGCCAAAAGGTCGATGGAATCTTCGTAGGTGTAGTTCCAGTAGTCCTTCTTGGAGACACCGGCAGCGTAGGCCTTGGCGAATTGGGACTCGGACTCCAAAGCAGTAACAGCCATGGAGAATTGAGCCATTGGGTGCAAGTGGGATGGGGAGTTGTCAATGATGTCCTCAACGTGCTTTGGCAAGGAGGATCTGGCAGCCAACTCGGCAGACAAGGCTCTGGTTTGGCCAACGGTTGGCACCTCACCAGTCAACAAGAGCCAGAACAAAGCCTCTGGCAATGGCTCCTCACCACCCTCGGCCTTTGGCAACTCCTTTTGGATGTCTGGGATGGTCTTACCTCTGAATCTGATACCCTCAACTGGGTCCAACACGGAACCTTCCCAGACAAGACCCTTAATACCACGCATACCACCGTAGGCCTGGTCCAAGGTGACCTCACCGATAACAGTGGAGCCGTAGTCCTTCTTCAACTGCTTGATTTGGTCAACCTTCTCCGGGATGAGCTCAGCAAAACGCTGCTTCAACGTCTTCTCAGACGAGGAATAGTATCTGGCAGCAAACAGCTGCGCGGTGTTCTTCTTCAAAAGAGGGTTGGCTCTGACGGATTGTGCGAGTCTGAGAGACATTGTGTATGAGTTTATGATTCTTCTTTTAGTGTCTTGCAAGAGAGGAAGAAGGGAAGGAAAGGGGTTCGCCAACTGCCGTCCTCAAGGAGAGAGAAAGACGTCCACTTATATACCCAAAATGACGCTGCCAACAACAGACGCATATGGTCATCACTTTTTTGGAGCCCAAACCGCCAAAACACACCTGGTACGCGCACCGCAGAGCCAATCTTCGGAGCCTAGCGCGGTTGGTGGGGCTCCTTCTGCCTGATCCCCAGGGCCAAGGGCCGGACCATTTCCCTTCCCTTGCCATCGTCTGAGCTGGAGCCGGTGGTGAATTGCGCGCGCACACGCGGTAAATGTTTTGGCTCAACGGTAGAAGTTGCAATGGGGAAAAGCACCAAAGGAAATATCAAAACATGGAAAAATGAACAAGCGGGCCACAAAAAGGCCATGCCCCACCCCCCACAAATCAGACACAAGAAAAATAGGGTGCCATTGTAGGTCTAAAACGGTTTGACCAATGGTAACAATTGGCGGATGTATGTGGGGTCCCTGGCTTCTGCTGCGCTTAATAATGGTGGGGTGATGATTCGGTTTAGGTGGTCGCAGTGGGGAGAGAAGGAGCGTGGAGCGTAGATCGTAGAGCGTAGAGCATCAACGCTGGTATCAAAGAGGTGGTGAAGTGCCTCATCCAACCTCACAGGCTGGTGCTCACTGGGCAGTTAATCCGCGATGTTTTTTTTTCGCTTTTTCTTTCTTTTTTCGTGTTTCTGGCTTACTGTGTGTCTTGCGTGTTTAGGGTTCCCATTTGTTTCCACAGTAATGACGGCACGATCCGCAACGGTGTCTGTTCACAGCTTACACACGGGGAGATTGGAACACACGCGCAGGCACGAAGCCGGTGTGGGATCTGGGAATCTGGGAATGGCTCACCTCTGTTCCCTAAGCGTGTGCTTTCGACGGGGCATAGCGTAATCACGTCACAGCCGTTCGGTTCCGAAAAGGTGTCTCTCTCTCTGATACTCTTCCGACCTTTTTGTCCCCTCCAGCCGAGCGCCCCGAGCTTGGAAGCTGTTCAGGTTGTTACGGCTGAGGGAGAGCCCATGAGCGCCAGAGGGAGCACCGTGGTCCCAGCGTTGTTTGTGCGCAGGTGCCGGGGACAAGGTTTTCCTTCACTAGCGAGAGGGGCGTGGGAAAAACATAACGAATCCACACACACGTCTGTCGTTGTATAAGCAACAACATTATAAAGCATAGGCCTTGAAATCTAACAGGAAACAGTGTAAGCAGCTAAAGTGTGGAGCCCATACGTGCATAAGAGGTCACTTGGACTAACGTCATTGCATGCTTGGCTGTTGGCAAGTGACCAATCTTTGATCACATCTTCCACCGCTCAGTAGAACCATTACACCGAGATCAGAGGTGACCATCCGAGGCCCACGGGAATTGACACCCTTTTTTCTGTTTTGGTGGTATAATAATTGGTGCGTTTTTGGTTGTAACTTCTGTAGACGGTGTGTCCTTGGAGCTGGCTGATGTTCGTCCTTAAGGTGCCAATTGACACATATCCTTGCGTGGGAGCTTCCTATTGCCTGTTAATGTCTTTCAACATCGGTGTCCGTAATTTCTGTTGCCTCACCGCGTAGTTTAAAGCATTGTTGAATCTCTGACGTTTCCACAGACTAAAACTGCACACATCTAACTTCAAAGGCAGACGGTTGGGAATTGGTTCGTTACTCGTTTATTTATACACCTAAGCATCGGGGGAAACACCCCGATGTGAGATTCTAACCCACACTCTCTCTCTACTCCTCCAAATTCTCATGGAGCCGATTTTTTTTGTTGAATTGCGGTGTTTACCTGTAACAAACCTACAGGAAAGTCCCCAACGCTTTGGGAATAGAGCGAGCGAAGATTCTTCAATGAGGGGGCTGTAAACAGATGGCTTATACAGTATAGACACGCCCATTATGTAATTACTGTGCCGTCTTTTCTTGGTAGACAAACTACTTCGTACTGTAGGAAGCACCACCATGCATGAGACAGGTGTGTATCAGAAAGTATCATGCAAAGAGAACCCATAATTGCAACATGGTGCAACTGCCACTATATACCTGGGTTAGTATTAAAATAAATGCAGCTCATCTCCCATGGTTTGCACAGTCATTTGCAAATCTCGAATGAAAGATCAGTTGGCGATACACGTGGTTCAAACCATCACTGGCTCGCTGGAGTGTGAATATCGTCGCTCAGACACCAGTTGACTTCCTTCAACCATGTTGACGGTGTGGAAAGTTACTGCTCGAGGCCTAAATTTGAGCATTCAACTCAAGCACTTTATTGAAGCATCAAACTCCAAAAATTTTTGTGCTTTTCCAGACCTCAAACTGCTGAACTGGCAACTATCGATAGTTTTTGGCTCAAGCAACGTGCTCAGCAACAACAACAACCACGAGCTTCGCTAAAACCTTGTACGCTTGAGTGACAGGCATTTCAAATTATTTCACTCGAGATCAGCTACTCATTAATGTTTATATAAAAGGGTGGCTTAGGTCATAGTAGAGGTAACTGGAAGTACTCGTCACAACGTTACATTTGGGAACAAGTTTGCCTAAAATCCAAATAGATGACAAACACTAGTTCTCAGGGCACTTTGTCAAAGGCAAAGGCCTCTGCGATGATGAGATCTACTAAATTCATGTTAGCACTCGTTAGTGTTGTCACTTTGACATACTTCACCACTACTAAGCTCTTGATATCAACTGTTTCTAGACCTCAATTGAACAACAGCTTGTTGAAACGTGATTATTCGTACGTTGCCCAGGAAAAACCTCGCTTGCCAATTCATTCGCATAACGATGAAAATAGAGATGACCCTGTCTATGATGCACTGCTTATCGGCGCTGCATCAATTGAATCAGATGTTTGGTCTCTGGACCCATCTGACGACACTCTGCTCGTGGGTCATGATGCCTGGGTATTGACCAAAGAGAGAAACTTGAAAGATATGTACGTTGATCCTTTACTCCAAATTTTGGATGAAGTCAATCAAGATCTTCAAGACGGTGAACATCCAAATGGGTTTTATCCATCTGATCCAGGAAGCACCCTATTCTGGCAAATCGATGCCAAGAATGAGCCAGTCAGAGTTTTTAACAAATTGCAAAAGGTTCTGGAATCCTTTCAGAAGAAAGGCTATCTGACAACGTTTAACACTGAGACTGGGGAATGGTACTACGGTCCGCTGACGATCGTTATGACCGGTGCACTTCCAATTACTTTCCCAGTTGAACAAATTGCCGGACTGAAAGTGAGAAATGTGTTTGTAGATGCACCATTAGATGATCTATCTGCTCTACAGGCACGTCTTGACTATTACGGAAACACCGAGAAGTTGAATACAATTGCCATCACATCTTCCTCCTCATTCTCAAAAATCACCGGTACTGAGCTCGAATTAGTGAAGCTCGGTGGCCTCAGTGACATAGAAAGGGAAAGAATTAGACTGGCATTTGAAAAGGCACATAATGAAGGAATCCTAACAAGAATCTGGTCAACACCAGGCTCCCCGGATTCTCACAGAAATGCAATTTGGGAAGATCTCTTGGATTTGGGCATCGACCTCCTCAACGTTGATGATCTCCTCCCGGCAGCTCATCTCTTGTACAGTCGCTCCAACTTCTGATAACTCTCTTCATTGTTACTTACTCAGCAATATATGGAGCAATTGGATGCCCAATGTAGATGAATACTCCCCGAGTGGTAAAAGTGCCCTCTGCGTACATCATCCTCGATTACGTCAGCAATACACATATGCTTATATAAGCCTCTTGTTTTTGTTTGTTTTTGTTTCTTTGTTTACTTTTCGCGCGATCATCACTTGAAACGAATATTGAGTGGAAGAACAACACAACAAAGAAACAGTTTCCAAGCTTATTTGGTCCTGTTGTGTGTATACATTACACCATATTACCGATATCTTCTGTGTACATCTTCATCCAATCTTTTTATCTTTGTTCTTCAACTTCTCTTTAGGGTGATCTCTTGACAGGTCATCGAAAGGGTCTCAAATACATATACACACAAACACAGCAACTGAAAGGAGAACCACACGATCTACTCCTCCACGAGTGAAGATGGCGCAAAGAGAGTCGTCCATCACAGTATCTGTTCGTGTCAGACCGTTCACATCTGCTGAATCTTCCCATTTGGTGACATATCAACAGGATAACATATTCTTAGGTGATGGTTCTTTAAGCCTCAAGAGTATAGCAGGAAAGGAGAATAGCTATGCACACAAGCGATACGGGCCAAAGGGGCTCCGAAAGATTGTTGATGTTGTAGATGACAGGATGTTGATATTTGATCCACCACATGGGAATCCTCTGGCTACACTACCAAAGAACACGTTCCAACGAACATCTGTAAGGTACAAAGAGCATCGATTTGTATTTGACAAGTTATTCGATGAAGACTCGTCGCAACAGACAGTCTATGAGGAAACGGCTAGACCATTGTTGGATAGCGTGTTGGATGGCTTTAACGCAACTGTATTTGCTTATGGAGCTACTGGTTGTGGTAAAACCCATACAATCAGTGGAACTATGGATCAACCAGGAATCATCTTTCTCACCATGAAGGAACTCTTTGAAAGGATTGAGGAGTTGAAAGACACAAAGCACATTGACGTTTCCTTGTCCTACTTGGAGATTTATAACGAGACTATAAGGGATTTGATGGAGCCAAATACAGGTAAGTTGTTAACTCTACGTGAAGATGCAAATAATAGAATCACGGTCTCTAATCTTTCATCTCACACACCAAGTTCTGTGCAAGACGTCATGGATATGATCATTATTGGCAATGGTAACCGTACTTGCTCTCCAACAGAAGCCAATGCTACTTCGTCAAGATCGCACGCAGTTCTCCAGATCAATGTCATTCAGCGAAACAGAACAGCAGATATACAAGAGGATCATACATTCGCAACACTCTCCATTATCGATCTTGCAGGAAGTGAAAGGGCCGCTGCAACCAAGAACCGTGGCGAAAGACTCCATGAAGGTGCAAATATCAACAAATCACTCTTGGCTTTGGGTAATTGCATCAATGCATTATGTGATCCGAGACGAAGAAATCATGTTCCGTATAGGGATTCAAAGTTGACGAGGTTATTGAAGTTTTCTCTTGGTGGGAATTGTAAAACGGTCATGATTGTTTGTGTAAGTCCATCGAGTCATCATTATGATGAGACGTTGAACACTTTGAAGTACGCTGATCGTGCCAAACAGATCAAAACTAAAGTTATCCGAAACCAACACAGTTTGAACAGGCATGTTGGGTCATATTTGAAAATGATCACCGAACAGAAACAGGAAATTGAAGAGTTGAGAAACAGGGAAGGTTTAAAGATTGATGAGGCTGTAGAACGTTACAAAGTGAAGGCACAAAGGGTAACAATAGGTATACTTGAGCTGCTTGATACCATCAAGAATAATCTGAACTCAAAGAAGTTCCAGAACTTGAAGATCAAAAAATCACTCATTTTGTGTAAGAGAAGGCTTTTGCTAGAACAACGTATGGAACTCAAGCAGTATATCACATTCTCTCAAGAAGTTGCAGTATCACCGGAACTCAAACAGATCATTGAATTAATAGTGGAGTTGTTGGCCAAAATTGACGCAAAGATAACTGAATTGGAATATCTTTATGAACAAGAGAGTGAGCTCGATTATGTTTTAGCAAGTTCAACAGATGCAGCAATGAGAAAGATGTCCGAACTTGAAGGATGGACTGAATACGACAAGCTGACACTTGAAACGTCGGTGGCGCTCATTAAGGACTCAGTGGAGAAAACAATACTTTACAACGCTTCAATTTTACAGGACAGAATTGTTAATGGTGAGCATTTTATGAGCAACTTCAAATTCACTACATCTACATTGTTTCAAGCAATGATGCACATACACAACCAGAGCTATTCAACCGATTTAGAATTGTCAAAATCTACTTTACAAGAGACAGTACGGAATTTCTACAAGTCATTCCGTGATTGCATTGACCAGATACTCAAGATTGATGAAAAGTTTGAGAACTTTTCTAGTGATCTTCACAACGATCTCAGCGCCGATACTGTCATTCCGACCTCGCCAATCAGAAGGCTTAATAAAGCTAGAGCATCGTCTCCTTTCAGGTTATCGCCTTCATCGCGTCTTTCTTTGGTCAAGCCCTCAGGTGTAAGTCGCATTACCAAAACAAGCTCGCCCTTACCTACAAAACAAAAGGTTGTAAAGAAGGTTCGGTGGGACGTTCCAAATGCATCGGCTAGTATTATTGACAATGACGACGACAATGTCGAAGATTCTGATGAGACTATGGACGATATTGCTAACCCAACCGAAGACTACTTGACGACAGCGAATAAGGACTCTAGCGTAGATGAGTCCATCAATCAGAGCTTGTCTGAATTGGAACAAGTGTTTTCACAAAGGAATAAGAGGAAATCATTAACCTCCAAGACTCTTAAACCATCTTCTGCGAATTCGAGAAGATCGTTGACTGGAACGCCATTCACGCCTTCCATCAGTACCACGGCTGGTACTTCACGGCTTGGTGCCCCTGTTCGCGTGAACGATGACTTTCATATGGACGACAACGATCATTGAGATATACGTACATACGTTTCTAATATTGTTTAATTTACAATATCAATGATTTCACACAAAAATGTAACATGATCGATGATCCAAGATCCAGCGACCAATTGTATTGACTTTATATAACAAACGTTGCCATAGTAGTTTAGACCATGAATTAACCAAATAAATGGATCCGTAGTCGTATTAGCAATATATCAAGGTAGAAAAAAAAAAGAAAAAGAGCCTCGTTTGAGTATAACGATGACATCGACCTTGGAAAAAAAGTAAAAGACGATCGACAACATATATAGAAAAGACAAGATATGTCAAGTTCGTTGATAAAGGAAACTCCAACAGTTAAGTGGAATCAAAATCGACAAACAAACCAAACACAGAGAGATGAATAAACCAAAAAAGCATAAAAAATAAAAGAGTGAAGTCACAAGAAGCAGCATAAAAAACTTTTGATGTATGTGTGTATAAGAATACTTTTTTTTTTTGTTTTCAGATATTTTGGAAAGAAAGCAAGTATTAGTAGTATAGTGTAGACAAATAGGATGAATAACAATCAACAAGCGGTACCCAATCTTGAGTTCCATTCAACTCCTCTAACCGAAGATGAGCAGTAGGTACAAGAACAGAATTGGCTCTTGTGTTGAAGACCAGTTTTTGAACAATAATAACTTGGTTCAAACTGATCAACTTGCCAAGAATAACTCTTCTGGTGACCGTAGCTACCAAATCCAGCGTTGTTATACAACTGTTGATAAGCCCAAGGAGATTGGTGGGTGATACCTGAGTTGTATATTGGAGAGGACTCGGAGTTCATGGACACGGGAGAAACTGGCTCTTGAACACTGTAATGATAGTTGCCTGGAGTGGCTCTTGCAGCAGACATAGCTGCAAACTGTTGTTGTTGTTGCTGCTGTTGTTGTTGCAGTTGAATCTGTTCCTGGTGCTTGTTGATGTTAATTGTGTATTTGTCAAACTGAGCAGTGAGTTCGTTGAAACGTGTCATATCAATCTTGTGCAATTTCCACTCAATCATTGCTAACCAAGTGGCCTCCAAGCTGTTGATACGCATGATAGAGAGACCAGTTGCCTGGGACCACGACTTGTTGATGAAAGTGTGGTCATCGTTAGCCTTGTTGGCGAGGGCAAGAGCCAGAACAGTGATCTCGTAGAGCAACTCATCTGATGACGAGTTGAAAAGGATAGAATCCTTCTCATATCTGTCAAGCAAGTAGTAACAAGCCAACATCATTGAAGATTTTGGCAAACGAACTGCACCCAACACGGCCTTCATTTGACCGACAAAACGTGGGTTCTCAGTATCGTGTCTTCCAAAGAGTCTGTGCGACAAGTAAGCAACAAACTTGGTCATGATGTCCAAGTCATAATCCAACACTGGACTGACACCGCCGGTGACTGCATCTTGGTCTTGTGGGGCCGGAACAGGAACAGCAACTGGGGCAGGCATAGGAGCCCCGCATGCACCATAAAACATGTGCTGTTGCTGCTGCTGATGGAGTGATGGTCCCATGGTGTAGTTGTTGTACTGGCCACCAAACTGGTGTTGTGGTGGAGGCAAGTACATAGGTGGTGGGCCAACCTGTTGGTACTGTGGCAACTCAAAGGAATGGGAATAGGAGTGAGATTGAACATGGGAACGTCCACCAAATGGCTGATATCCGTAGACTGCAGACATGATGGTGTCTCTTATTCAACGTTCAACTTCTATAGAAAAGAAAGAATAAAATAAAAAGGAAGAAAAAGTCTGAGGGAAGTCCAAGAACAACCGTTTCAGATAAGCGATAACTTAACAAAAAGCTCGCCTATAATGGAAGAACCAAAGAAACTCGAAAGAAACAGATATTAGAACTTCAATAAGTAAGTCCTATACCTCAACAACGATAAATGAAATCAAGAAAGCAGTATAGATCACTTTCTAAAATCACACTCGTAATTTCTTTATGTCCTTGTTGTATTTTGCTGTTGTTGTTGCTTTGCCTCTTTGTACTTTGCTTTTCAATCACGAAAAAAAATTTCGTTTTTTTGCGTGTTGCGTAGGGTCTTTTAGCTGACAAACAAATGTGCACCACTTTTCAATGAGAGGATTGCTTCACGAACAACAGTGCTGGAATGAATATACAGTAACCTGGCACTCTGAGAAGAAGACGTGTATGTATAACGCTTCTGTCCTTGATGACTTGGTCTGTAGGGTTCCTCTTGTTTTGTTCTGTGTGGGAACACTTAAAAGCGTGGGCCAGGAGTTGATATCGGCAACCTTGTCGAGGTGAAAAACTCGTCTCGGTGGTGATATTGACACCTTCTTCGGACTTGTACAGTGCTCCAAACTCGTAGAGCAAGTCTGACAAGGAAATAGCACAAGAAAATGAGACAAAGACTAAGGGACAAATGGACAAATGAACAGTTGTCTTCCTTTCCCGGTACTTTAAAAGACGGGTTGTGTTTGTGTGTGTGTTTTTTTTCCTTTTTGATTAAAAAAATCCGTAAAATCTCCTCAGACCAAGTTTAACTAACACAAAGTTATAACAGTCTTTTAACAAGGAAATCTACTGTGAGATTTTTAATAAAAGAAAAAGGGGGTTGGGGTTGGGGGTTGTTGAAGATGGGTTCAAAGGTATCATCAAGGAAAGAAAAGCGTTGGCTCAACCTTTTTTTTATGTTTTTCCTGCGCTGGTGTTGAAGTTTTTTCTTTTTCACTTTTTTTCGTTCGTGTTTTTTCTTTTTTTGCGCAAGTTTGCGCAAATGTATGAATCATCTTGCGCAAAATTCCCTGTCTCGGCTATAAATTGTTGCCCAATGGCGAAATGAACACATGGCTGGAATTTTCTTATCCACCAGGACACAGCCGTACTTTTCCGTGTTATTGTGGTTCTGTGTCACGAATCGTTTTCCCGAACAGAGAGGGACTGTTCTTTTTTTGGGTTTTGCGGTGTTCGTTCTCTGTTTGCAAACTTCCCTTTTCGGCTATGCGTTCTCTTCGCTTTTAACAGGGAAACAAAGTCTCCTGGTGCCATTTCAGTCTTGCACTTGAGTACGTGGTTTTGAAGGTGAGAGTGGCATGTGGGCTTAGAGCTTAGGTCTTCGATATCACATTTATATACACAACATTGTAAAAATATCTATACAACACGTTCATGGTGACAGCGGGGTAACCTCAAAGTGTGGGTCAGCAACAATGCCAGGGAAGATTGCCTGGCCAACGCTGATGTCACCCTCACGGAAGTCAACTGAAAAGTAGATCAAGCCTAACAAGCTCCCTGCAATGGTGACGGTGTCTGCGTCGTCATCGATTGGAATGATCGCGAGGGAACAAGTTCCATCGTCATTTTGGGTGCTAATTTGACGGATTGGAACGGTGATCGAGACCAGTTCGTTGAATTCGTACTCAAACGACTGAAGCTCATCGCATCCAACGATAAACAGACCAGCCGCATCGGTTGTCAATTCGACGTAGCCTAACTGATACAGGATATCCTTCAACAGTCCCAATGGCAAAGTGGAAAGCTTCACACCAAGGTTGAACTCGGCTCTATAAGTAACATTGGTCAAGCGGGTCAACTCCTCCTTTCCAGTTAATACTTTCACGGCAGAGAGGGCAACTTGCAATGTTTGATCCTCACCAATAAGAGGGATCGTCGTCAAGTTTTCAAACAAACTGCTAGCAACACCGCCAAAGGTCAACCATCCTTCAAGTTCCTCGTTGGAAGGTGCGGTTGAAAGACCAAAGGAGAATGATGGTGATCCGCCAAGTTCTTGAACAATATCCCAAAATCTGGTGTCATTTGTACCAACGGTGAATGGATTTGCCAGTCCAAAAATGGAAGACTCCTTCGAATCAGCAGTAGCACCTATAACAACATCCTTGTAAGTGATATCTGAACCGCCAAAGGAGATCGACTCTTTACCCCAGATGAGGTTGTTGATCTTGTTCAGGCCTTCTTTGAAGTTCTTCCCAAAATTTTCAAAATCAACGCTGACATCCTTGTTCAAACTTTCAATCAAATTAACAATGTCAAAACCGGAATCCTTGGTAAGGAGAATATCACCAACAGTATTGTCCAATTTAACAACTGACTTTTGGGCACCAACACTCAATTCAACACCGTAGGGGAAGTCGGTTCCTCTAACAACTTTGGCGGTTGGAACGTTAAAAGCAGCTTGGGCTGCAGTCGAAATGGACAAAAGTGACAAAAAAATATTAGCTGGGTTCATGATTGCAATTACTTCGTCTTTAACTTGGGTAAGAAAAGTAGCTGCTATACGAGTACTGATATTCTACCTTTCTTTGATCAGAGACATTCGGTGAATTTATAAGTTTTTCCGCTTTCAAGTGAATAAAATAACGATCAACCATGAACTACCGTTGGTCTACCACACTGATCTTTTAAATTTTTATGCCGGCAAATGTTCCTGCCCAAAGAATGAGCACATCTCTATGGACTATTACAACTGTAAATCGCTTTGATAACGTCCCAAATGCACACTGTACATGTTGAAGTTTAAGGTTATTATTATTATTCCTCAAGATTCCCGGAAAGGCAATAAAATATATAGAAAGCAATCACAATCTGACTGTTTTTCCCAAAGATGTGATTCCAAACCATCTGAACACAGTAATACAAATTTAGAGTAACTTGAAGAAAGGCCATGCTTTTCTTTAGTCTTCTAGCACATTACTTGTAGTCCACTATGAGCATCTCCGTGAAGTGAAAACTGTTTGGAACATATGCAGCAAGTTCATCAACCCCTGTTCCGGTGACATTTCACATAGCATAAAGCAGCTCTAATCCAATGAATATTTGAAGTCACTGCTTCCTATGAAGATCACGATAGCCACTGCCGGGTTATCATGAACTCAGGGTGAATTAAAAGGAATAATTAGTTTAAGAAGGTTCTACGAAAACTGGTAGTACAAGTTGCAAGATTATTCGTTGGATGTCGTTCTTTCTGGGCTGAACTATGCAAGAAAGGTACATGTAATAAGTACATACTTCCATTAAATGGTTTACTAGAGCTCTTGGATAAGAACTCGGCCCTCAGGTTGATGAAATCCAGGCTCCACACATCGGACTTTGGGACCGATGTTGATCAAATGAGTCAACTTAATAGATGACTGCAGTAGAATGCAGGTTCTTGCAGTTTCCTTCCAGGGGTTTTCGACGCTTATCTACTGGATGCTCATGACAAGAATCCGGTGCCATATCAATGTGGTCTGAATAGGAGACTTATCATTACGACACACCTTGTTGAATCTGATGATATAATACTGAAGTAGCCAATTCAATCAATGGCTCTAAAATTTCAAACGCGAATAAGAGCTGTATGACGTGCAGATTGGGTGCTTAATCCACATAAAGCCTCACAGGTTTGATATCGAAGCTTTTTTTACCCACACACTAAGGGTGCCTTTCATGTAATATAAGTATGTATTAGGTTCATTAGCTTAGGTTACTTCTTAGGGGAAATGCAAACTTGGACCGTTGCTATAACCATGCTTGGTAGGGGTTTACCAACGCTTTTTTTTATGATGTTTTTTGACGACGCAGCTTCTTTAGTAGTTTTTTCGGCGGGTTGTTATTCTTTTTTTTTTTTTTTTTCGTTTATTAGTTGTTTTTTTTTTTTCTCGTTGATGGTGTTGTTGTTGTGTTGGTTGCTGTTGTTTTTTCTTTATTAGGGAGTCTTCTTATCTTGTTTTTTTTTTTCCTATTGTTTTTTTTTATGAGCCGGTTGTTAATATTATTCTCGGTTCTTTATTTACTCTCTTCTTATATATTTTTTGTTCGCGTTTTTGGCACAACACATATATCAACTATTCCTGGTTATACAAGAGCTGAGAGTTATATAGTAAGTCACATTCTATTGTAAGGATAACGACTGTTGATAACCAGCGTAGAGGTACAAAATAGAACCAAGCTTTCAGAAATTTCGATTAAACCTTTTGAGTCAGTTCTGCTCTCAGCAGTTTATTATGAGAACTCACTATTATTATAGTCGAAAATGGGACCCATGTTATAGAGGTTCTGCTCTGTAAAAACTCCTGGAGTCTTCTATATCACTTGAATGACGATTTAACAACCAAATTCCACAGTCCTTTCTCTGTGTATGGACAAGGAAATCGCAATGCCCAGTCATTCAAACCTGGTAGATATGATAGGCTCATTCATTGGTTATCAACTCGCGGTTATAGAGTTTTAAATAAAATTAAATCATTCAGCCAAAATAAAGTCCTTTCTGGTCTTTTGTATACCCAGCTATCTAGTCACATGGCTGTTGTCTCTTACATCAAATGGCTCTCAATTCAAAGATCTTACTTTATACCTCTTGAGGTCTACATCTACCGTTCCATTGACAAAGCTAGGTACGCTATAAAATATGACTATATTGAAAAAGTAGTAAGAGGAAATATTGATCTAGGTAAGCATTTACTAAAGACAATCCTATTTGATATGAATTCATGTGATGACACACTACCAGGTTCGTTGTGGTAGTAGTATGAGCCCTATTATTTAGCATTTTCGTACACTTAAGTATTGGAAAGTTGGAAGAAGAAAGGATAAATATGCTGTACCTCATTATGAGACTCTTAGCTCTTTGCTCCAAAATCTTGAATTCCCATTTAGCTCTAATCAGGCCATTCATGAAAATACATTTAGCTTCTGGCATTTGAGTACCAATATCAGTCCAATGAAATGGATTGAAGGCTTTGTTTCAGGTTATTGAGTACGTTATTGAGTTAATGGTTCAAATTTGGGACATGTTCGATTTTTAATGCTCAATATTAATACTTCTCGATGTGAAGACACTGGTAAAGTACAATGGAACTTGTTTTTTGATCTGAGTGATAACATATCAGAGTATGAATTGGATCACACCTTCATTCACTATAACAAAGAATGATGGATGTTGAAATTTTGGAACTCGTCCCTGTTAGCTCAGTCGGTAGAGCGTTCGGCTTTTACAGAACTAACTAGGGGAAGTTGACCGAAATGTCAGGGGTTCGAGCCCCCTATGGGGAGTTCCACTTTTTTTTTCTTTTCAAAAATGCTAGAGAAATCTGGGTGCTGGACTTTTTACCTGTTACAATTGATAAGACCGATGTCTTTCTGCTATTACACAATCCATGTCCCCATATCAACATGTAAGGTTATACAATTGCTGTTCTGGGAAGAAATTAATCGCTTATGTAGTTGTTTATTGTACGCTACGATGACTAACTTCGCCAGTGCCTTCATTGAAATCTCATACAAAAAACAGAAACATGATCAGAGCAATGGCACTGAGGCACCATCACCACGAGGATCAGAGCCTGCAGCATAGACAAGTTGTTCTCCTGGTTCTTTTCTAATGATCTGCCCACGGCCAAAGACCTTTCTTGCATCGCCCTCAACCACTCTAATGTCGTGTCCCAGTTTTCTAAGCCCATCAATGACATCTGCATCAATACCAGATTCCACATTGACCAATGTCACACTGGTGCTCACAGGCCCTTGTGCTCCAAGTCCTGTATCTGTTGAGGAGTATTTAGGGTGAGGTGCCAATGAAATTCTTGGAGCATCAAGTGCCTCCTGGGGAGTCATGCCAAACAGCAGTAGGTTAAGATACACCTGAACATGGGCCTGTGGTTGGTTGAATCCCCCTTGGATACCATAACTTGCATACAAGTCATCTGTTCCATCTGCCAATGGGGTGGTAATCATAGCAGGAATAATTGTGTGGTATGGGCGTTTAGACCCAGCAATAACGTTCTTTGAATCTGGCTTTAAGCTAAAGTTGGCTCCACGATTCTGAAGGAAGAATCCACGATCTTCAACTAGAATACCGGAACCAAAGTTGTGGAACACAGAGTTAATGAAGCTTGCTGCATTTCCATCGCTGTCTGTGACGGAGAAGTAGACTGTGTCGGATTTGAACGACTCGTTTGGTAGAGTACCAACTTTCAAAGTGGTATTGTCAAGCACTTTATCCTTGTTGAAGAATTTTGAACGCTCTGCAAAGTAAGGAGAGGTCAGTAGTTGCTCCTGTAGTGATATTGGAGAATTTGCAAGCTTAAAGTTCTTCGAAACATGAAATTGATCATGGACATACTCTTCACTATCCTTAAAAGCTAGCTTCAGGGACTCAATTATCAAATGGAGGTATTCAACGGAGTTATGGTTAAGCTCAGACAGTTTAACATCACCTTTGGAATCCAATGCCTTTATCAGACCCAGTGTGAGCTGTGCAATGATTCCAGAACCATTTGGTGGGATTTCCCACAACTTCTTACCCAAGAATTCAAAGTACAAGGGGAATACTTGGGTCGAAGAATGAGCTGCTAGGTCCTCTAATTTCAACAACCCACCGCGGCTTTGAACTTCCTTCACAATTGATTCAGCAATTGGACCTTCGTAAAAAGCTTCACTTCCATTCTCAGCAATAAGCTTCAATGTTTCAGCCCATCTCTTGTTCTTCATTAATTGACCAGTTTTGGGAGCTTTTAACCCTTCATTCGGCAAAAACGTCGATAGTTGCTCATTGAGGAAGTCATTCCCCTTCACTGCGTTCACTTTCTTTAAAGTTTCCTCGCTCTCTTTATAAAGAGAGGCACTTATTTCAGAGATTGGATATCCATTCTCAGCGAGCTCTATTGCTGGCTGTAAAACCTCAGCAAACGTAACCTTCCCAGACCCCCATGTTGAAATTGCATTCTCCCAGGCGGCTACCGCACCAGGGACGTTTACAGTTAACGGAGAGCTTACTTTCAGTCGGTTGTTTTCAACATGATCCGGGTACTTGGAGTTGATCAAATCGAGACTTATCTCTGACGCAGATCTACCACACCCGTTGAGACCGTGGACCTTTTTGCTCTTGTTGTCATAGAAGAGGATAAAGGCGTCACCCCCAAGATCTGTTGAAGCGGTCTCAGTGATACACAGTGCAGCGGAAACAGCAACAGCGGCATCGATGGCATTCCCGCCCTTCTCGAGAATTCGAACACCAGCGGCATTGGCCAATGGCTGTGTCGAGGATACGATACCCTTGGTTGAATAAACTGTTGATCTTCTTGATTGGAATGTGAGGGGCATGTGTGGCTGTTATTGTTCCTGAATTCTTCTTGTCTAGTGAAGAGGATTTTGACTGTAAAAGGAGAAAATCTCTAAGGACAGACTGTCTGGGGAAGTTGTATGGTCTTTTATAGTCTCATCCACGATGACTCAACTGCCAATGGCTTACAAAGTCACAACTATGGCGCCGTAAATCCACAACTTTGCAATTGCGCCTAAGGCGCATGTGGTTCCCCCCTGCCTGTGAGCCCGGCCGCGGGGAAGTAAGCAGAAAACATCATTGTTCCATCGGGCCTACGGTTTTCCATTACAACGCCCGTTAACTGGATGGTCTAGAGAAAGATTCCTTCACTTTACCCATTTGTGACATGAGACAAATACGCTATGAATACCCTGGTGTACACATTGGAACATTTACAGATGTGCTGAGTCGATTGGACATGGCTTATGAAGTCGTTTCCAGCGTAGGAGCCCAGTCTCTGTGCTGTGTGGCTAAAGCCGATGTCGAATGGACATCTCCGAGTGCACACGCTTGGCCACTGTGCCCGCACCGCTGGGGAATGTCGCGGGTAAAGGTTTCCTTCTCATCGTTGGCACTTTTCACGTTGTTGCAATGGTGAAGCTTGAAGAGACATTGACGGGTTCAATTGCAAGAAGATACCAGCTCGAAGATGGCACCAACAAACACAGGAAGAATCATTGCAGGGTTTATAGGATTGGCTATCGGTGGTGGTGTGACCTACTACTTGACAAAGGACTTCCAGCTTATAAAGTTCACCCCAGCAACCCCAAACCCAGATGGCACATTCCCTCCAAAGAAAGTATCAGTGACCTTTAGAGAGATGCAACCGTTGGAACTTACACCTGAAGCACAGAAGAAAAGAGAACAGAACCTTGCTGCACGTGCCAAAAAGAATGAAATTGAACAAATCATTCAAGAACCAACTTCCTGAGGTGTGCGTTGTCTCCCTGGCTTTTATGACCTTTAACTTCTTATGAATTGAACGACATATATTTATCCTGTTTCCCCCCTTTCAGAGCTGAAGGATGGATCAGAGTTATCTATTCTTTCTCTCTCGGTGAATGTGATTAGTCATATTGAGTTGTTAGTAGATCCGTTTGAGCCTCTAGTGATCAAATGTGAGCCAGGTTGAAAATGTAATCCTTGGTCTGTTAAAATACCTCTAAGTTCATTCATTTCTTGATGAAGATTGGAACCATTATACTTGTTACTTATCTGGCTCGCAGAAGTGATACATATGAGGATACCACTGTGGTAGCGCCATGGATTACTCGTATCAGCCACATAATTGCTTGTTGTCCGTCTTTCTATTCATTGGCATTGAAGAGAGGGGATCGACATAGATTTGGGCTCTAACAGTATCCACAGGTTTCATTGAAATCCAGTTTATCCCTCAACTAAATGAAGGGATTCAACAATTGTCTCCAAAAGGATCAGTTCTTGTTGAGGGTTACGGTACTTTCTTATGGGTTTTGTTTTTTTTCACCAAGACACATCTTCCAAGATTTTGGTGTGGCTTCCTACTACGAGAAACTTTATGAAAAAGTCGTGTACGAATGTCGTCATCACTTACATCCTGCTCACACTTGAACACCTCCAGAGGACTGGAAGCTTGTTTGAAATATCCACTGGAAATTGACGTTCTGGGCATATTTGATGTTCAGTGTGCTTGAGTGTAATGGGACAAACATCAATCAGGAATCGAGTGATGATATGCATGAAGACTTGAGATTACCCTCAAACGATTATAATTGGGCATTGATTTGTTTCCTACCTTTTGAATTACTGACCCAACTAATTTCTAAAAATCTGGGTGCTGATGCTTGGATTTCAATTCAACTGTGTCTATGGTGCATTGTCTCCATTTCAATCTCGAGGTGCTCCCATAGCTCGAAATCAGCAGGTGCGAGGGCTGTGAGTTCTGCGCTGATCAGCATGCTTTCCATGTAGATGTTATTGTGTCATCGCAAGCTTACAGGTTTTACGATAGTTAACTATACCACATAGGTAATTGCTGGCTTATCAGCTTCAGTGTCGCCTGTTTTATAGGCTGCATGATTGTAAGAGAGCACTATACCTTCAGAAATAAACAGAAAGCATGGGCTTGGGACCAAATGAGCGAGGAGGACCAGCGAATCTATAGAGAAATCTCACAAGATGCTGACAATAGAAGACTTGACCTCCGATTCGTCTACAGAGCTGGACGAAGTGCTCAATCAACGTCTCACTTCATCAAAACTATATATGCGTATCCCTGCACTCGGGCGCTGAATACATCCACATCAAGAGAACTGTAGAATTGACAGAAGCCACTTATATCAACAGTCACTTGTGTGTCAACAGCCACGATTGCGATATTCGATGCTATTTATGATTCAATTGAGGATATAACTAAGTTGTTTTTTATTCTCATTGGTGATAGGCCCGTACCCACAACTGTGATTTAAGACAAAAACTTTTACAGACAATGATAAACCACTAAAGACTGGCCAACTGACAACTCTTCTTGAAACATCACTATTTTGATTCTAGATTACACTTCAAACCAAGATATGAGTGCATAATGTGATAGTTCAACGAGAACTGAGACCATATTAAAGTTTATCGTCTACGCTATTCTGCCCTGATATTTTAATATTGACAGCATATAATGTTGGTGATTCAATGACAACTCGAGTTGACTTTTACTGCTGCAATACACTACATGGGCAAACTTGTGTTTCTGAAAAATTCGTTCATACTGTGAGCCTAACAGATGGTTAACTCATTTGGGTTCTTTTACCAAGCTTTTGATGAAGATCTTCAGTAATAGGCATGTACATATTCAATTTGGATAAATATCGCCACAGTGGCATGAAGGTTTCTATCTATCCATTGAAGTTATTTCACATTACTGCAATTGCAGCCACAGCATGGTGAATCGGCATGTAAAGCTATGGACTCATCCCCTATTATGAGTCTGTGAGAACTGTAACTGATTGGTCATATAAGTATCAGACTTATCCTTGAGTTCTAATATCTTGAGCATATATAACTTCTCATCTTATGCCAAAAATGTCAAGCTGGTTAAAGGTTGGAAACTTTGAGAAGAATATCTCTCATCCCAGGACAGAACGATTGTACATGAGGTTGCTGACGAAGAGTCGCTGTCCACAGTTGAAGATCATATCTTCAAAGACCCTGCAGTTGCTGAATATTACAAACAAGTTTACAAGGATGCAGAGTACGAGTGTCGTCACTTGTTCGATACGGAATACATTTGGACTACTGCTGAGGAAAAGAAGCTCCTCTGGAAGATCGACTGGAGAGTGACATTTTGGGCATACATTATGTTCACTGCACTTGATTTTGACAGAGCCAATATTAACCAAGCTTTGAGTGACGATGTGCTTGACGATCTGGGACTGTCTACAAATGATTATAACTGGGCAATGACTGTAAATCTTATTTGCTTCCTTGGAGCAGAGCTACCATCACAGTTGATATCCAAGAAAATTGGTGCTGATATCTGGATCCCCACTCAGCTATGTCTTTGGAGCATGGTATCTATCTCACAGGCAGCAATCACTGACAGGGCTGGCTTTTACATTACAAGAGCATTGATTGGTCTATTTCAAGGTGGTTTTATCTGTGATACATGTTTATGGATGTCATATTTCTACAAATCAGATGAATTACCATTTAGACTCTCGTTATTCTACATTGCTAATCCTTTGATGGATATTCTTAGTGCCCTTCTGGGATATGCACTCATCAGGATCAATACACATCTACTTCCACATGGGTGGCAATGGGTGTTCTTAGTGGAAGGTATCTTCACACTTCTTATCGGTATTGCAAGCTTCTTCATGATGCCTGCAAGTGCTGTACAAACTAAAACTTGGTATAGAAGAAATGGGTGGTTCACCGATCATGAGGAGAAGATTGTTGTTAATAGAGTATTGAGAGACGACCCTTCCAAAGGTGATATGAACAATCGCCAACCAGTGAGTTTCAGAGAGCTTCTAATGTCATTAACTGACTACGATCTTCTACCAATATATGTTGTGAGATTTCTCGGAGACTTAATGGCCTCTCCTGTTGGGAACTATTTGACCTTAACACTCCGTCAGCTTGGATTCTCCACCTTTGATACAAATCTATTGACCATTCCTAATAGTGTTTTGACTATCATCACCATGCTACTGACGGGTTGGCTTTCAGAGAAGCTGAACAGTCGGGCTCTAGTGCTATCTTCCGTGGCTGTTTGGTGTTTCTCCTGCTTGGTTCCGCTGAGATTCTGGTCAGGATCTCAAATTGATGTTTGGCCGACATATGCTATATTGACAGTGTTGCTTGGTTATGCACCATTTTGGGCTATTTCAATCTCATGGTGTTCTCATAATTCCAATTCTGTTCGTTCAAGAGCTGTTAGTGCGGCATTGGTCAATATGTTTTCCCAGGCAGCTGGTATTGTATCGTCAAATGTATACAGAGCTGATGATAGTCCTTTTTACCACAGGGGTAACAGTTGGCTGATTGGCGTCAGTATTGCATGTTTTATTGTATGTATTGCGACCAGACAGTATTATATTCTCAGAAACAGGCAGAACGCCAAAGCGTGGAACAAACTGACAGAGGAAGAGAGAAATACTTACAGAAAATCAACCACTGATGTTGGTAACAAGAGGATAGATTTCCAATTCGTTTACTGATGTGTCAACCTCAGCATGTGCGCTTGACATGACTTGGATTGTCTGTGTGTATTTTAAAGGCTTTATCTTATAATCCCTCAAGTCTTGTAGCACCAGCTATTGTATGACCTCTGACTGAGGGACTTGGTGATTCTCCTGGAAAGTTATATAGGTTTCAGCTTGTGTCTGTCAGTATTTATCAGGAAGATGTTGATGGCTTGCCCACTATGCAGTCCCTTGCATATTGTCATTGTATGCTTATACAAATGGCGGTGGCTCATACAAATGGCGATGGCTCACCACTGCAAAAACGCAGTGCATTGCCACGATCCAATTCTCCCCGCTGGATTTCTAGCATAGCTTGTATCTGCTGTTGAACTATGGAATACAAGTAGATATTTTACTGTTTCATAGTTTCTTGACTGTTCCTTCTCTCGTGTTCAACCCCGGTGTTACTCGGCTCGGATAACACCAGCTATATCAATGAAGCACACCGTCTAGTTGCACATCCGTGTGTTTCAACACACAGCACCCGGATGTAACCTACACTGTACACATAAGAGCCATTTGTCTCCAACCACATACCTGCCACTCCAGGTAAGAGGTTTGAGCGATAACAAGTCAAAAAAGGATGTCATCGGGTAAACTTCTGCTGCCAAACACCGTCCAGGTTTATTCTCATTATCAAGCTTATTCACATAGCATCCGGCTCCTCAATATCGCACCTGTCCTCCGCCTCCAAGGTAAAGCTGACTAGAGCACCCATCCTGCTCACCTTAGACCAATACACACAGACTAAGACCAACACTCATAGACGAAGACCAATACACACAGCTGGCGCACACTGTCCTTATGCAAATTCACCGCTTAACACCAAAAACCTGTACATCTTACCCGAATACCTGAGCAAAATGCATGTGTGCCTTTCACGTACAGCGCGCACTATGCACTGGAAAACTCTACCATAGTGTCTGTGCTGCCCCTACCATACAGCATACCCCTATAATTTTTCCCTTGGCAGCTTAGCCACCTTTTCTGAGGGTGTATTCGGCCGTTTAAATTTCACCGAGGCAACTTCCAAACGCGTTGAAACCAGCTGTTTTTTTTTTGCTTGCGTGTGTTGTTACGTGTGTCGCTAAGTGTGCTTCGTGAACGGTCAACTTATCAAACATCGATGCTTTGTTGATTTTTGTTTTTCTGTTTTTCTTTGGTTTTTCCTTCTCTCTTTGGCCATCTTTGCACTCAGCTTTTGTCCGTTTGCTCCGTCAGTTGTTGAGACATTTGACACCCTCCAGGCTTGCTGTTCTTCACAATGAGGGCCATGACAAGCTCCGAAAAGGAAAGTCGCTCAGAGAGCGAGAAGGCAAAGTCGTCGTCGCAGGAATCGATCGACAAATTTGCCCATCTCAACGGGTTCGACACGAAGTCACCATACGATGATTCGGGCAACTTCCCACATATACATTACAAGACGAAGATCCATCCCTTGAGGTTCAGGGTAAGACAAGCGCTGCTGCCCTTAATTAGAGCAGAGACTCCAATTCTCTCACAGATTCAACGGAGGCTGAGGAGTCCCCTGTTGGATTATTACTTTGCATGGACAGCAAACTTAGCCGCACATACCTTCTACGTGTTGATGTTACCTCTTCCCTGCTGGTTTGGCTACGGCGGCACAACTCGTGACTTGGTGTTCTTGCTAGGCTACGGTATCTATGTGAGCGGGTATATCAAGGACTTTTGCTGTCTGCCACGCCCAAGATCACCGCCTCTGCACAGAATCACAATGTCTGGCTATACTGCGAAGGAGTACGGCTTCCCTTCGTCGCACTCTGCCAATGCCACTGCTGTGTCAGTGTACCTCATGTTTGAGATCTGGAAACACAGGGACTCATTTGGCAGTACAACCTCGCTCGTCTTAGCATCTTTGGCCTTGTTGATATACTACTTTTCTCTGATCTTTGGAAGAGTATATTGTGGAATGCACGGTTTGGCTGATATCATTGTTGGTTCGTTAATCGGTGGTAGTTTATACTCGTTAAGAATGTGGACTGCGGAAAGCTACGATACGTTTATCCTGGAGAAACCAGTCTATGTTGTCTTGTCGGTTGTATTGTTCAACTATGCCCTGATCTATTTCCACATATCCCCAGTGGATGACTGTCCCTGTTATGACGATTCTGTGGCGTTTATAGGGGTCATCATGGGATTTGAGCTCTCAAACTGGATCTTTGTGAGAACTGATCTTCGGTCAGATTTGATGAATCCATTAGATATCAGCATGCCCTATTCATTCGAACAATCCGGAGTACTGAAATCTCTTATCCGTGTCGTTATAGGCATACTGCTCGTAGCTATCTGGAAGGAGATTTCCAAGCCACTGCTACTGAAACTGTTCCAGCCGGTGTACAATCTGCTGAATCGTAAGCCTGATGCACCGACGTTCAACAGAATCAGATCTGCAACCATGGATAAACACGAAACAGACGTGACTGGATTTGTCAAAGAGATGAGCTCACGTAAGACAAGGGATATCGTCGGTCCACAATCCACCATCGACTTGACAGAGTTTGAAGACTTAAAGGAACATAAGGAATACTTTGAAGCACTGGATAAACTACAACAGGACAATGTTGTCTTCACCTGCGGAGTCTTCAAGAATCGTTACGACATTACAATCATTGTACGTCTCATTGTGTACGCTGGGATTCCATTCACTGCGATGGTCGTATTCCCAATCGTGGTGCGCTCAATAGGACTATGACCATATCATGTTCCTCCTTCTCTGCTGTTGCGTATAATCTGGGCGACAGGAAGGGAAATGGATACGAATACATTCAAAACTAATTACTTTTCTCTACTACTTGTGTAACTATTTGGTTAGAGTAAGCCACAGTAAATCTGCTGAGGATGAGATGCTGCGCGCAAAGAGGGCTCTCGCCCGGCAGAACCTCCTCACCACCACCGGGGGACTTTATATAAAAGCCCGACCATCTCGACCCTCTGGAACCACAGTTATACAACTTTGCAATCACGAGTTGGCCTATGAAATGAGACTCACAAATGTACTCACCATTGCTTCAGTAGCGTGTGCCGCCTCTGTGTGGGAGTCACTTCAACAAAGCTTCATTGGACAAGTGTACCACCAGGACTACGAATTGATATCCCTTCATAAGAGCCTGGTCGATATACCGTCAATCTCCGGTGATGAAGAAGCTGTTGGGAAATTCTTGGAAAGATACTTGCAAAAGAATGGGTTCACAGTGGAATTACAGTCTGTTAAGCCTGGCAGAGATAATGTGTATGCGTATCTTGGCTCTAAAAGAAACACCAGCGTGTTGTTAACATCACACATCGATACAGTGCCGCCTTATATTCCTTATTACCAGTCAGGTGACAAGATATACGGAAGAGGCTCGAACGATGCAAAGGGATCTGTTGCGTCCCAGATCATTGCCTTAAAGGAGCTGTACGAGTCAGGTGAGGTTGGTGAAGGCGATGTATCGCTCTTGTTTGTTGTTGGGGAAGAGTACGATGGGATAGGAATGAGACACGCCAGTGATAAGCTCGGTGCTTATTGGGACCATGCTATCTTTGGTGAACCAACAGAGCTGAAGCTTGGTGTTGGGCATAAGGGTATCTACAACATTGAGCTTGACGTCGAAGGTAAGGCATCGCATTCTGGTTATCCACAGTTGGGGATCGATGCCAACAAGAAGCTGATCGATATCTTGTACCAAATTGAGCATGCTGAGTACCCAGCAGACCAGCTACTGGGTAACTCAAGCGTCAACGTTGGTATCATCGAGGCTGGAGTCGCCGCTAATGTTGTTTCACCAAAGGCACGCGCAAAGATTCTCATCAGAGTTGCACACAGTACAAGCACTGTCAGTGGAACCATCAAGCACATCGTCGATGAAGCCAATCAGGAGTATGACAACGTCAAGCTGGTGGATATACAAAACAAGGAGCCGGTCTACTTGGACTTTGAGGTGCCAGGCTTCGAGACTGTTGTCCTAGCCTACTTCACAGATGTTCCTAACCTGGAGAGACAATTTAAGAGTAGATACCTTTACGGGCCAGGCTCGATCCTGGTGGCGCATTCGGCAGACGAGTATGTCACCGTGGCAGATCTCAAGAACGCCGTTGATGGCTACAAAAGACTCACAAGATATCTCTTGAAATAATAAATACGTTTCTAGAGCTCTTCCGTAAACAAGCACGTAGTCCCCCTGTGTAGAAAAATGTGGATGCGCTGGTGCAACTGTGCTTGTTTAGACGTGAACGACGAGCATCAGTGAAACATGGGCAGAGGCGCTTTGATCCTTGTTGAAGGACTGGACAGAGCCGGCAAGACAACCCAAACCAGTGAGCTGGTAACCAGATTACGCAATGAGGGATTGAACGTTGAACTGATCAAGTTTCCCGGTACGTTTGAACAACCTGTTACTACAAAGCACACAGTACTAACGGCGGCGGATACCTATCAACAGACAGAACAACACCAATTGGCAAGTTGATCAACTCGTACCTCGTTGACAAGTCGTTCGAGCTGTCTGATGAATCAGCACATCTGCTCTTCTCAGCGAATAGATGGGAACTTTCCCGTGGTATAAAGGAGAAATTGCACAACGGCACAATCGTGGTGCTTGATAGGTATGTCTACTCTGGCGTGGCATACACGGCAGCGAAGGGGTTGGATGCTCAGTGGTGTCTCAATCCCGACATTGGGCTCCCAAGGCCCGACTTGACCATTTTCCTCAACCTGAACGATAGCCAGTCAAGCAGAGGTGGGTTTGGAGATGAGCGGTACGAGGTTACAGAGTTTCAACAGCAGGTCAAGCTACAGTTTGAGAAGTTCTTTAACGAACCAAATTGGAATACTCTAGTTGTTGATGGTAAAAATATACAGGACGTTGCCGAGGAAGTTTGGCCTCTGGTGCAAGAAGTTCTATCCAAGGATTTGAAGCAAGTTGAACTGTTTTAACGGGTATGTTTATATTCTTCGTTTACTCAAGGGCTTCGATTTCGTCAAACCTATTTAGAATCACCTCCTTCGACGTCTCCTGCAACTCTCCCCCAAGGAAGATCTCATCAAGGCATTCGTATACTTTGTAAAAATTGAACACGAGATCCAGTTCGCAAACGTTTTCAAAGTGTTGATCCAACACTTCTACTAATAGATGTATGGCGGATAAATAGGCAAGCTCGTCGTCCTCGAGATCGATGCTGGCTATGAAGAACAGCCCGGCATAGCGCTTGTATACCAGCTTGGAGTCCTGTAATTCGACAAAGTTGCTATGTTGTCTGTGTTCTCGTGAGGAGATCAACTTGTGCACGTCCACGTTGATCCTGTACTTCTCATCATGCTGATGCAAGTGTTAGTTACGTGTGTGTCTGACATGAAACGTTATACACCCGGACAATACTTACTGTATAGTTCTGGTACCATTTGGCAAGCCGCACTTTACCCTGGCGGTTCATGCTGATAAGGTACTGAAGTCCCATGGTGTATCTGTATGAGAGTGATTGAGGGTCTCCTTCTCTTGATTGAATACGGGGTTGGTTGTTACTCTTCCCACGTCAGCGGTGCGGTGTGTGATGACAAGTAAGATCAGTTCCGATGACAACAGTCCTGTGGATACACAGAGAGAGGTCAAATTCTCGGTGTAATGAACAACGACAAGCAGTCCTGTGAAGGTGTTGATCTGCTACTTGTTGATGGGGGGGGGGGTCCCCCGGTAACTTCAGCTACCGATGGTGCAGTTCCGAGGATGGTGGGTTATATTGTTACCCTCGAAATCTGGCGCTGTTTCCTGTACCCGAGGCATCTTTCTCCACACAAATCGGGGCATAAAAAGCGGTCGTCGAGGATTCCAACTTCTTCTCGCCATGAGTAAAGAGGCAAGTTCGGGGAGCTATCTACGATTATGGAGTCTAAGAAAGTATCTGTACAGTTTGAGTCGTTTCGTACCAACTTTATCTCATTGCCCACCTCAATGGTGAGCATGTTGAACGGTGCTGATATTGTGAGTAGCCTATTGTATTGAAGAGCAATGCGGAAGAAGATGAGTACTAATAATACCAAGCCATCACAAAGCGTTGTCGTTGAGTTGAAGTGGAAAGATAAGAGAAACAATAAGCCTCATCTCGTGTATGCTGGATGGAATGGACTCCATACAGACAAATCTATTGCTATTGACCCGACCTTTGCCCAGAGCGTCGAACTCACTGATAAGCAGCTGGTGGACATTAAGGTTGACCTGGACATTCCAGCGGTGTCAACAGTGGAAGTTGAGCCTTTGACTGAGTCTGATTGGGAAATCATAGAGCTACATGCCGGTGCAGTGGAGAATCAAATCTTGTTCCAAACGAGAGCAGTTCAGATGAATAAGCCATTTGTGGTGTATGCATCTGAAACGGTCTCTGCAACGTTAAAGGTGACTAAAATGGACCCTGAGCCGGCAAATTTAGGTAAGGTGGCTAAACTAGTCAATGATACTGAACTGCACGTTGCTCCAAAGACAAGAAGATCCAGACGTAAGAAGAGCTCTTCTGCAAGATCAGTCTCCAATGGACGTCCAGCTAGTGAATCGGCTCCTTCAGTATTGGAAAGAGGTATTGCACTACCTCATAAGTTGTTTGGTGATTTTGAAACCACTTCTTATGAGGTGTATGCGAACTTTGATGAGGTTATGATTCCTCTACAGAATGCACAGTTCGTTAACGTCTCCATCGTTGCAGGTCCCGATGCACAAAAGACCCAACAAATTGATGCAAAGGCTCAGGCCATATCGAAGAAAATCGGTGCAAAGCTGGTTCATCATCCTTCTGCTCAATCCCAAGTTGGGTTATCCAGATTATTGGCCATTGCACTGGATGTTGATGGTGAAATTGGATTCATGGTTAAGTTGGAAAAAGCCACGCCATCACCAATCACGAAGTATCCAACACTGATAGTGTCACCACTCACGAGTGAATCTAAACCGGAATCATTGAATGAGTTGAATATTAGTAGCACACAGGCTCAAAGAGAAAAGGAGTTGAAAAGGCTGAAAATACAAAAGCTAAAAGAAGAAATTAGTAAACACTTCTTTGATTTGGAATTGAATAACACATGTTTGACCAAAGGCGTCAAATTACCAATATTGGCTGGATTCCCAGAAGGCTGTGTTTTGCAGTTTAAGGATCAATCAACATTATTGGCTCCATCTGGAGATTCAAAACTGTCCTTTTCCATAGGAGACGACATCCTTGTTCCAAAGTCACAGATCCCTTCTTCCCTCACTGTTAAATCACCACCGGATGTGACGATTTCAATCGGGACTAAAGAAACGTCTAAAAAGATCAAGAGATCGTTGAAAAAGGGCAAAGTTGGTGTCTTGGTTTATGGACCAGCTGGATGTGGTAAATCTCTTATTGTTGATGAGATTACAAATGAAATAGCACAGACGGGTACACATGTTTTGAAGATTGAATGTAATGACTATTCAAAAGAATCCGTTCTAAACATCAAGGAGAAACTTGACCTGTGGTTGAATAAGTGCGCTTGGTATGCACCAAGTGTTCTCGTTTTGGAAGGATTGGAATTCTTGTTCCCAGTTGAGGCCGAGAATATGGACTCTTCTCAAACCAGACAACTATCAGAGTACTTTATTCAAGCCTCAAATACTATGATGCAATCGAGAGCTGTTTCCATAATAGCTACAGCAAAATCTAAAGAAGCTGTTAATAGTATTCTATTCTCCAGTCATTGTTTTGAAGAAAATATTGCTATCAAAGCACCATTGAAGGAAGCAAGACAGCAAATTATTGAATACTACCTTCAAAAGTACGGTCTCTTGCTTTCTAAGGAGTTTGATGGATCTGAGATGTCTCAAGAGACTGAAGGGTATTTACCAAGTGATTTGAAAATCCTCGTCGATAGAATCAATCATGAGGCAATTTATGAAGCGATTGAAGGTGACAGTCCGCTTCCAGATATTACTAACAAATTATTCACCAAAGCTATTACTGGTTACGTTCCCTCTAGTTTGAGAGGTGTTAAGCTTCAAAAATCCACTACAAGTTGGTCCGATATTGGAGGATTAAAAGAAGCAAAGTCCATCCTTCTAGAATCGTTGGAATGGCCAACCAAATATGCGCCAATTTTCAAAGCAGCAACTCTTCGTCTTAGATCTGGAATCCTTTTATATGGTTATCCGGGCTGTGGTAAGACGTTACTGGCATCTGCTGTTGCAGGTCAATGTGGGTTGAATTTCATCTCCGTTAAGGGTCCTGAAATCTTGAACAAGTACATCGGTGCCTCTGAACAGTCTGTTAGAGAACTTTTTGAAAGAGCCCAAGCTGCAAAACCCTGTGTCTTGTTCTTTGATGAATTCGATTCGATTGCTCCAAAAAGAGGACATGACTCCACAGGTGTTACTGATAGAGTCGTTAACCAAATGCTTACGCAGATGGATGGTGCTGAAGGATTGGATGGCGTGTATGTCTTGGCTGCAACTAGTCGACCAGACTTGATTGATTCTGCCCTGTTACGTCCTGGAAGATTGGACAAAAGTGTCCTGTGCGGTATGCCGGACTTTGAGGAAAGGTTGGACATTTTGAGAGCCATAACCAAGACAATGAATCTTGCTGATGACGTTTCACTGGAAGAGATTGCAGAGAACTCTGATGGGTTCTCGGGTGCTGATATGCAAGCCCTGGGTTACAACGCATACTTGCAAGCCGTTCATAAGAAATTAGAGCTTGACGAGGCAGCTTCTGAAGGTGCCGTCAAAGCAGAAAATGATGATGTCCATGAATTCTTCCAAGTATCATTGGATCAATTGAAAGCCAATTTCCATCTTAAGCCTTATGAAAGAACAAAGGCCTTGAGACAAATTGAACCTTTATTGAAAAATTTCAACGCGACTTCTCAAGAGCTAATTTCTACAGATAAGTCTAGTGACGAAGACAACGGTGTTGCCATTCAACACAGCGACTTTGTCACCGCATTGGACGGAACCAAACCAAGTATTTCAAACTCGGAGAAGAGAAAGTTGTCATTGATTTATGAAAAGTTCGTGGCTGCTCGTGATGGGAACATGCAAGACGGTACAGCAAGCACAGAAGTTGGTGGAAGAACCACTCTGGCATAATTTAATAATATACATCAGCAATATATTGAGGATGTAGGTGTGTAACAATATTAAGTACAATTGGGACACTTCTCTTGATGAGTGGGTCTATCATGGATTCTTCACTCAAAACTTGTTTAAACTCTGACTCGAGGATAGTGGTTTGGAGCCAATGCCAACTTGATCCTTTTGAATTGTACTTCAGAAAACTATAGATGCTGGTGTACTTGGTGAATTTGTTATCATAATAACCTTGTTTGATCCTGGATTGGTTTGCTCGTGATTTTCAATAGCGTTGTATTGAACATCGTACGCAATCCTATGAGGGTCTTTTGGATTGAAAATGTTCAGTAGCATCACAGTTGATCCAATATAGCAATTTACGATGAAATCAATTTGTGTTGAGAGGTAGACTATTTCATGTGAATAGTTCGTTAACAATCTGCTTGAATGTCGATGGTCTTTGAAGTATTTCACAATGCAGGTGCTGGCCTCAATTTTGTAAAACATCAAGTTGAAAAGACAGTGTAATGGCAGCCAAATCGGACTTCAATACCTTCAAAAGCACCAACATCGCATCTACTGAACTTCAATATCGATGATAATACTCAATATAGTGAATTTGAGAGTCAAGTTCTCATTCTCCTCCAGGTTTAACTGGAAGCTAATATCATACTCCGGGAACTTCTTTCACAATCCTGAATAGAAACTCCCGTACTGGTCTTTCTTATAATCTGCTCACAGATGCATATCTTGGTAAATGCTGTCGGTTCTTTTAACTACATTACAAGGAACGTCAGAAAACATTGGTAGGCATATTACCCATACCATGTTCAACCTTTAGCTCATATTCACATATGCTCGAAACGTTCACATCTATCCACTAGAGCTTGATGGTCTATGAAAACGTCCAGTATGTGACTTTGGTGAGTGGTGAGTATATGCAACTGAGTCAGACAACATAAATGTCCCATTGTGTATAATAACTGTTTCGGGTAACCACTTCTAGGGGACATGTCAACTACACACCCGTACACCCAATCCCCGGGAACTTGGCATATCAACTCTGAGGTACTGCACCGCTGGATTTGTCGCACAACGAGAATATGGTTTGGTTCGTGCAACACATTTCAAAAAATGTAAACAAAAACAATAAACAAAACAAAACAAACACTCAACTTAGGGGGGCATTCAACGCTTCCACAACAGTTAACAGCGTTTCCATCAATCCTGAGTGGTTTCGAAGTATCTTTGAAGCAATGTCACTTTGGTCGATTCAGGCGGCAAAGAAAAAGGATGAAGTTCCTGGCACTTCCAAGTGGATCAGAAAGGAGCTGTTTACTCTTCACGACCTTATTATGAAAGATGCTGAACAGTTTGCGTATTCAGTGGCGGCTGATCTCACTTGGATAGATGAACAAATGGAAGAGATCTTGAACGAAAATACTGAGTAAGTTTTGCTACGTGCATGTGTTTGTGAAGGCCTTCATGTTCTAACAATCTATTAGGAATCCACGGTTATTGCTTGAGTCTCCTAAGAAGCTGAAAGGGAATGATTCACCAGTGAAGAAGATAAGAGATCTGGCTGTTATGATGAAATCACCTTTGAAAGAGATGGATAATAACGCCTTAAGGCTCTCTCCGATTAAGTTTCGCACTCATGTTCCCCCTTCACCCTCCCCTACAAAACCACAGAAGATTGATCTATTACCTGAGCCCACCAATGATGACAACATCAATCCATTTCACAGCGCACCAGTTAATGTGAGCTCCGAATCAAAGGAGACTGTTTTGAAGCCTATCATGGTGCCGGTGGTTGATGATAGCCAATCCGACTACAACGCTTCAGCTGAGCAGATTTCTTTCCAAGAGATCAGAACTGCTATACGTAAAAGTATAGTTCAGAAATCCAAGCCAGTTACAGGTGAGCCCTCTTCCTCAGAGAGCTCCTTTAAGAGTGCAGATGAAGCTCCTCAGCCATCATCTATGGTTGTGAACCCAACAAGTTCAATACATACAAAACGAGACAGTGACGAAAATATTTCAGTCGAAACTGTGAAAGTGCCCTTAAAGGATGAAGCAGATCGTAAGAAATCATTTGTCTCGAATACCCCGCCTCCACCAAAAAGAGAAAGTCAAGGTTTTGCACTATTACCCCATCGGGAGCCTTTGGCAATGAAATCTACAAAGAAGAAGCCGATAGATAAACTTTCTTCGAACTTTGGCGATGGCGATCATCACGAGACAGGCTATGTTCCAAAGGTCTCGTTGTATCCAACACTGAGTCTGGAAACATCAAATTCGCCTACGGTCAATATTTCACCACTAGAGAAGATCCCTAAGGATGTCTCAACTACAAGTAAAATTGAACTGAACACTGCACTGACATCCTCAAAGATACCCAAACTTGTACCTTCTGAGCTAAACAGTCCAACACATGCTCGGAAGCTAGTTTCTCCAAGCAAAATTCAAAAATCACCGTTTTCAAATCTTTTTGCTTCTGTGAATTCCACATTGAAAAGGGCCAGAAGTAAGTTCATCTCTGAAACACAGCACATTGTTCATTCCCCAGAAAAAACATCGGTCTCACGAGTTTCTCCACAGAAGACAAAGAATGACCATGCATCTCAGCTAAAGCAATGGTCCAGGAATGATAAAGAAGTTGAACTGATTACACGTCTCAACGCTCCAACTCATTCGAGTCAATCAAGGGGAAAATCTATCAGTCCTAAGAAAAATAAAGCACAGGCAAGAAGCCCTCAGAAACTTACAATAAAGAGCCCTCAGAAAGTTGTGAAGAATTCAGAACAGTCTGCCACCGCTCACACCCTGACCGGATTGGTCCATCAAGAAATTGGAAGTGAAGACCATCGATCTAGCTCTAAGTTTTCTCCAGTAAAGAGCATATATGGTTCATTGAGAAAAGAGATGAACGAATCCATCAAACTTTCGCCAGTGAAGCCAGGTGAAAATGAAAACATTCAAAGAAACCTTACTCGTGTGTCTCTCACAAAACATGATGAAAACAATCCACCACCTCGTAAGTCATTGGCTCGTACAGGTTTAACAGGAATTTCGCTCGAAGCCAAAACGAAGGGAAGACCAAAATCACTTGTGGGTGATCAATTGGTAAGGCCATTGAAGCGCAAAACACAAACTGAAGATGAAGTCAAGTCACTAAATACCTCGCAGGCGTATAGAAAAATTGGGACGAAGATTGTGGCACCAAGCACTCTACAAACAAAAAACCATCAAGATGTTAAACGTCGTCGTACAGCCGAACAAATACAACAAGTTCTACAGAAGAGAGCTAGTCGTGTTTCTCAAGCTGGTACTAAAGCACCATCTGTTGTCAGAGAGGAGCCTGTGATTAAACCTGTGAAACCGGTAGCGAAATATCCAGCCTCTGCAAATCAAAATTTGATGAAAACTGCCATGTTACAGCATGCCAGAATCAATAACGAAGGCAAGGCAAACAATCCGTTTCAATCAGGCACGTCCTTTGATGAAGCCGGTTTCCCTAGTACCCCTAAACCAGTGGCATCTGAACTTCCAGAGATTTTTTCTGAGAGCGATGATGACGAAGAGGGTAGTGTATTGAAAGATTGGGCCAATTCACCTGAATTGAAGCAAATTTTGATCAATCAACAGCATATTGATCCAGATAAAGTGTTTGGCCCTGTTGCTCCTCTTCAGATGGAAGAAATCTTCCACGCATCTAAGTCTGTTTCCAAATTTAAGCATCGTGGCTCATCCGCGCAGTGGACAAGAGATGGTCTGACTACACAAGAGGTTGATAGCTACAAGAACAGAGTGTTGAGGAGATGATATGTGGATTGTTATTGTTTCAAATGTCAACTATTCAGGACTGTAGAGTTCTCTTTTTAAGTGCCACTTCTTTGCTCCATTTGGAGACCCATTCTGCACTATCAACCTTCGGTACAAAATATAATCTTACGCTATAATCAAAGAGAGGAATCTTTGGTGATTGGGTACCCAGAGCTTTGTTCAAAGTTGCCTTCTTTCCGACTTTGATCAACCCACCAGATTCTGTCTCCATGTATGCCTCCATAGTCTTTGGTGTGAAATTCTTGTGTTTTGGATCCTCATGCCACTCAGCAGGTCTGTCAAGCACAATCTCCATGAGTTCCAATGGTGAGCTCAACTCAGAAATCTCTGCAATGAAATCGAACTCATCTGATGTTGGATAGATGATTGTTGCTGGCAAAATTAGTTGTGATTCAACATCCTTCGCATCTTCCAAGTGGATCTTAGCACCTGATAGAATCTCTGCTGGCTTTGGTGTTGCAATATTTGTATAACCTCTGAACTTTATGGCATCATTCAACAGTGTGTCTAATGCAAGCTTTTCTATTCTTTCCTGTTCTTTTCTCTGTCTAGCTTCTTCCACTTGTCTTTCCTTCTCTGTGATTTGACGCAACAATGCACTTGAAGCAAGATTCTCAGGTTTAATCTTTAGACTGAACTCCAATGCCTGCTTAGCTTCGTCGTACTTTTCAATGGCATAGAAGGCCTTTGCCATTCTATAGTAAGCCTTGACATTTTTAGGGTCTAATTTCAACCCTTCCTTGCAGTCGTTGATACATCTTCTGTAATTCTTCAGCTCCAAGTTACAAGCAGCCCTGTTTAAGTACAGAGAGGAGTTGATTGAAGGAACATCGCATTTCACTGCGAGACCTTTAGTATAGAACTCCACTGCACCTTTGTACTGCTTGGCCTTGAACTGATCATTACCTTGGTTTTTGAAGTTTGTAGCCACTTCATCCGGCTCACCATCGTATGCTAAAGCCTTGAGTGCTTCAAGCTCAACATTCTCACCGCCTGAACCGTCAGTCTCATCAATTTGGGTCATAAAGAAGGGCAATCTATTCAATTCGCCCATCACTTCATCGGTAGACTTGTCAGCAAACTGTTGAAGTTGAGGAGGCAGCGCTGGATCACCAGGCCCTGGAACATAACGCTTGGTCTTGGAAGTCTTTTCTGGAAGTTCTGTAATCTCCACCATCGCTATGATTCGAGTACTATCCTTGTATCTTTTGCAAGTTGTATGACTTCTTTGATCCAAATTGTGTCCCGAAGGCCTCGAAGCGGTGGTAGGAGGGAAAAAAATTATCATCGGTAGGGGACACACACGATGCCCTCTGCGTTCAAACGTTGCAGTTCTCTCTCAATTGACAAGTCAATTCTTGCAAGTTATATGGAGGTATTACAATTTATCAACAGAATAAGTCCACAAACACCTTTGATATGCTTGCTATTTGAGGGCTTTGTGTCAATTGTGTTGTCAATACCTCACTACTGCCTCTTGAAGCTTGATATTTGTGTCACATGATGATGCATTCATGGGTATGAATGAGCAAGAGGGAATAAATTGTCTACTTTATCAGCCAAATATGTCACGATGTTGGGTGTGGTAGAGTACAAATGCTGGGTCATAGGAACATTGTTCTTTGCTTTGATGGCACGGATTGTAATTTTGGTCCGGATCCATATACAAATTTGCTCAAGCTTTTCCTGACATTAGAAAGGGACGACCCTACGCAACAGATATGTTATTATCAGCCTGGTTTGGGTGCAGCTATGTCTGTCAGTATGAATAACGCATGGGATGTGATTAATAAGCTGAATGACTTGGCTGATGCGGCTGTTGCTTTCAGCCTAGATCAACACGTTCAAGATGCGTATCGTTTCTTGATGCGATTCTATCACGAGGGTGATAAGATATATCTCTTTGGCTTTAGGTATGCATCGACCTCAGCTTTAGCTGATTTTGAATATTCAAACTAACAAAGGCATGCAGTCGAGGTGCATTCACTGCACGTGTCTTGGGCTCTATGATTGACCGTGTTGGATTGTTAAATCCAGGATTGGAAGGCCTTATAGAGTCACTGTGGTCCATCTACAGTGCTTGGGAGTACGCTGCACAGCCAAGTCAGCCTGATTATAGTACAACGCTTGTGGAAGAGTTCAAATTAACGTTTGCAAGAACATCTTCGCCTCTCATCGAGTTTATGGGGTTGTTTGACACAATCAACTCTGTGGGCTTGTTCAGGGATCGAATGTTCCCCTTCAGTACAAACCTCGGACATGTGAAGAACATTAGACATGCTGTGAGCTTGGATGAGCGTCGTGCTAAATACAAACTGAACTTGATTTCACCTTTCCCATATAAGCAGCATCTCGTTTCTCTGAAAACCATGTCCCTTGAATGTGAGCCTCAGCAAAATAGTCAAGATATAAACCATCGTGATGACTTCACTAAACCCTTGATTGCTTCCGATGGTAGAGCACGTACTATCACTGAAGATCTTCTGAACAAATTAGAGAGTGTTGGCTCAAGCACCGATTTTGAGCAGCTCTTGAATCCCAATTTGGACTATTCTTCAGAATCTTGTAAAGATGTGTACAACAGAAGAATCCTTAGTGGGGAATACCAAGAGATGTGGTTCCCAGGTGGTCATGGTGATGTTGGTGGTGGGTGGCAGCCTGATATAAACGGTCAATTTCTGTCCAATCTCCCTCTAAGATGGATGTTTGCCGAATCTATAAGAGCTGGTGTCAGGTTCCAGAAATCCAAAATGGTTGGGTTTGCCAATAGGTATTCTTCATTAGATTCGTTTGTTTCGCCCTTACATGATGCCTTATCTTTCAAGAATAATGGCCTTACACTTGACATTTCCCAGACTGATAAGCAGCGTGTGCTCGATATATCACAGCTGCTCTTTCACAAGAGAAGGATTCCTAATTTCAGATCGTGTACTGTTCTTGAAGATCCATCGTCATATGAGGACCTTTTTAATTCTGGTATTTACCTCACATCTTTAAAACCTCTTAAAGCGGGGGCTCACACCGGCCAATCAATCACCAGGATATATCAAACGTACCAGGAGCTTCCCACTTCACCTATTGAATGTTGTGATGGTCGAGGCAATACCTCAATCTGGGTAACTCTCTGCTGGTGGATTCTTGAGCTCCTACCACTTGGCACTAAAATTGAGAATGAGACTGGACAGTGGACAAGACGTTACGCACCAAACCTAGGCCGTGCTAGGTCGGTGCCTTCCTGTGCAAGACTCCATTGGAGCGTCCTATGGAAGCTACACTGTTGTGCGGACTACAAACCACGGAATCTACCTAGCTACGCTGTGGAGTTGATGGATGGGAAAGAACCCCAAGTGCCTGACGATGGTCACGAATTGTTGAGGAAGCTAGTCAAGGAAACAAAGGCATTGCTTTGCAAATGGGATTCCGAGTCCTGGAGGATAGTTCCAGACGATTTGGACTTGGTTATGAAGCAATTTGGATACGTTTAACGGCTATAAAACTAGTAAGCATTGCTGCAAACCATCATGTACGCCTCTAAGACTTCCGACCCCGACCCCACCCAAATAGGTGGAGCTCTCCCTCGGAATAGACTCCCATTATGTAAGCACATTTTCATTCTCAAATTCCGACATTTCCACATCGGAAATTTCCGATGTGCGCGGACCGCATTTATTCGCTTTTGTGGTGTTTTTTTTTTTTTTTTTTCAACGAATCAGCGCTCTGTTGATTTGGATTTCGAAGTTTTTCCCATTCGCTCTGTGTTTTTCTGGTGAGAAACTTCACACAGGCGCAAGAGCAGGGAAAAAAAACCACACACACAGCTCTTTTTTCTGCTCAACAGGAGGAAAGAAAGAACCCCTTTTGAACTAACAAAACACAGATAAAACATTAGAAGTGAAGATGCTTTCATTGAGATCTGCTTTGCGTAACACTACTTCTCTCAAGGCTTTGGGTATGTGTGGTTTCCACGGTTATGGAGTGATGTCTCTTGATGCTGAATGATTGGAGATGGACCAGGATGTATGGAGTTGTAGGAGTGTGGAAGTGTCGGATTGAGGAGGTGTAGGAGTGTGTCAATTGGTCCAGTCTTGTCGTACCGCATCAGGAGATTGTCATGTTTGTTCTATAAAGTGATAGTACTAACACGGATTCATACACAGCTGGTCAAGCTAGACTGTTGTCTTCTTCGTCTGTTGCTCAGAAGTCCACCTACCGTACACCAGACTTTGGTGAGTACGTGAAGCCAGAAGGTAGCACCGACAAGGGTCGTGTTTTCACCTACTTCACCGTTGGTTCTCTTGGTTTGCTCTCTGCCGCCGGTGCTAAGTCCACCGTTGAGGCCTTCTTGGCTTCCTGGTCCGCCTCCGCTGATGTTTTGGCTATGGCCAAGGTTGAGGTTGGTTTGGCTGCTATCCCAGAAGGTAAGAACGTTGTCGTCAAATGGCAAGGTAAGCCAGTGTTTATCAGACACAGAACACAGGCTGAGATTGACGAGGCCAACTCCGTTGACGTGTCCTCCTTGAGAGACCCAGAAACCGATGCTGACCGTGTCAAGAACCCAGAATGGCTTATCATGTTGGGTATCTGTACCCATTTGGGTTGTGTTCCAATCGGTGAGGCTGGTGATTTCGGTGGTTGGTTCTGTCCATGTCACGGTTCCCACTACGATATCTCTGGTAGAATCAGAAGAGGTCCAGCTCCATTGAACTTGGAGATCCCAGCTTACGAATTTGACGGTGACAACGTTGTCATTGGTTAAGTTGAAGGGACAAGAATGATTCGAAATGAAGACGGAGACGAGGGAGAATGATAATAAATGGTATTTGGAGAATAGTTTAATATTCCAAAATGAGAGGAAGGTATGAAGAGATGGAGACCTTGAATGAAATACGCTTACGCACCAAAAAAACAAAATCAAATTTACATTAACTACATCACATAAACGCAAGAGTTATACACCATCATAGAGGGAGTTGGAGAATTGTCCTGCCAGGAATTACATGAGCACCATTTGTTATATTTCGAAGTGATGGTTGTGTTCTGTTCTTTCCTCGTGCTCTCTCTATCGAGAGAACATTCGCTGCTTTTTTGATATGATTAGTTGGATCTTGACTGTTTCCAACAAATGGGGTTTTAAAAGACAAACAGACAAACACAGACACTCAATCAATTGTAAATAGGCGATACTTCTCGTGGTTATATCTTGTGTTTCTGTTGTTGTTGTTTTTATATATATATCAATTGCATTGTTTTCAAAGTTTTACTACAAGTTTTATTTTCTATTGTTTCTGTATGACCTTTATCCCCATATTTATAACCCTTATCTTAGTCCAAAGCCTTCACTTTCACTAATGCTGATGTTGAGCTTTCTGAACATCTCCTCCCTCGACCTATACTCAAAGAGACAAAGCTCGTTAAAGCACGTGTGCGCCATTGGTAGCCTTGTAGACGTCCCATAGCTCTTGAGCCTTGTGATCTTGAAGCTCATCGTTGTTATGCCTGTTGCCGGAATACGTCCTGACCCTGTCACGAAGCATAAGAATTGTTTCTGTTTGGCATTGTTCAACGTTTCAACCCACTCCCAGAACCATTTGATCAATTGTGAGTTCGAAGCCTCTTCTGAGGAGCTCCAGCCGTTGTATTTTGTAATACTCTTTAAGGAAGATACGTCAATTCTGGTATCACCGTTACCGCAGATGATCATTTCTATTTCTCGAGGAGCAAATAGAGAGATGGCATTCCCGCCGATTATCATTTGAAACCCACGGTTAAAGCTGTTGAACTGCTCCTCAATTGACCTATTCATGTAAAAATCAACCCATCTATTGACGTACTCCCTGCGAGACTCGTGAGTAACCAATCTCTTTGATCCATTAGGACACAATTCTCTCGTAATGACCTCTCCAGGGCCGCTCTGGAAACTAGTTTCGAAATATATTCCCATCTCTTCAACCTCATCATGATCACAGTGCAACAGCTTTCTAAGTCCTTCGCCTGTTGAAGGACAAAGTTCAGTGTAATCGTCTAGATGGATGCTTTTGCCTAAGAGCTTCTTGTACAAAGCAAGAGGAAACTTGAGGTCCAAAATGGTGGAGTTATATATGGCAAGCCCCAATATAACACCAACTAAGAAGAATAGTTCATCGTTCTTCTCGGATGGTTCAGGTGCAAACCAGCACAATCTGGACTCACTGTTGAACAGGAACATACCATTATCTTGTTTGAACAAGTCCCTGATCAATAGTTGAAACCACTCCTTCTTCAACCCTCCAGCATCAACGCCAGGCTCGCCAACAAACTCAATCTTCAACGCCTTCTTCAATTCGTTTTGATGCTGTTTAATGCAATGCAATGAATCGTCTGTGATGTGGCTTCTTCTGATGTGAAATACAACGTTCACTGAAGTTGGGACCCTGTTGTCCAATGCATGTATAAAAGCTTCCTCTGCCATTCGCTCCATGGACTTCTTCGATTCGTACTCTAAGATCGATATCTTTGCACCAAGAGAAAGAAGGAACGGGAACTGGCAAAACGTAAACTGTGGAATCCTTGATGTATTGTTATCTCCCAAGATAGTTCCACAGTTTAGAATCTCTCTTAGAGCTCTATTTGGATCGTTCTTCTCTGGTTTCTTAAAGCTCGATTGCCAAACATCAAAGTCTTGTTTAAGCAGAATATGATCTGAAACCACGTTGTAGAACGCACACACGGGTAATTGCTTGTTATTTGCAACAAAGAGCATCGACAAAAGCCTTGAAGCTGATTTAATATGCCAGTCATTGCCGTACTGTGAGACTTTAAGCTTTACGTTTCTCTGTTCCCTTGTGGGAAATATCGAAGTTGACCGATCATTCCATAGGCTGATACTCCTTGGTAAACGTGCACCAACATTCAAAGAGCCAACTCTCGAGGGGGTTTCACAAGCTGATGAATCTGAAGATGAGTTTAATTTGGATGAATTTGAATACTCAGAAAGGTTTGGACTGCTTGATTGGAATGCGCTCATAGATGATTGCGCATTAACGATCCTTGTCAAATGGAAAGTGATGTATAGGTTCAACAATTGAACTTTCGAAGCCAACTGTTGTGTAGTCCATGAATGAAAGAAGTTTGTTAAAGAAGAAAGTAGCGTGAGGTCAGCATTAGACAAATAACCAATTACCCTTTTCACAATCTCGTATGACAATGATTTAATTTCAGGTGTCTCTAACCTGGATACCTTCTTTGTCGGTTTCCTTGAGTGATAAAGACAGTGCTTCAACGTTGGTAGTTCCCATAGTATCAACAGTGAACGAATATCCCCCAATGAATCTAAATTCCCCTGTGGTCTTAGAAGCGTCTCGTTCACAGCCATCAATAACTTTACGTATGGCCTTCTTGTTGGCAATGATATCACTATACGGTACAACTGGTATAACTCCTCGTTGTTGATATCCAATGGCCTATTTCCTAAATGGGTTTTGAACGAATTCTTTAAACATTCAAGAGACCCGAATCTCGCTGTAAGGTATCTCTCCAATGGTTCATATGCACTGTGGAGATCCATACCTTTGGCCAAGTTCAACTTACACTGTGTATCCAAATCTAGCACCGTGTTCAAGTCCAACGTGAGATGTTCATGCGAAGGTCTGCTGGCTTTGTCCGTAGACTGTGTTGAATGACAGACAGAGCACTTATACTTTGTAACCGATTCCGGGTACTTAATCAACGTCCCACAGCAACGGCAATGGTCAAGTAGGGTTCTCCCGGCCTCGCCATGGCACCCTTCGCCACTCATCTCGGACGATAGGCTGGTGGAGTCACCCTCTTGTGTAGATCCAAACTGGAAGAACTTCAACATTGCACCGTGTGTATAATGACACGGTTGAAGCGGGCTGTAGAGGCTTGCAAAGATACACACGAAAACAGCTGAAGATTTCGATAGAGCCTATGAATTGAGTAGCGTGATGGAATCCTGATACATGTGATTGCACAATGCCAAAGCTCGCTCTCCTTGATATACACAGCGTCTCCTTGTTGTATTATGTCTGATGATGATTCGGTGTGGAAGCTATGCACATAACATTGCAGTTGAGGCTGTGTGTTTAAGCTTTGTGTGCTATCCCGTTTTGACGGGGGCTCTTTGTGTCACGAAGACAGAGTGTGGTGTTCGGATGTGTCACCCAGCGCGCACGGTGGTTGTACTGCGATGATGTTATCGTGTGGTATGATGTGGAGGAATGTTAGCGTGGGTTTTGGAGTTTTGGTTTTTAGAGGATGTACATTGGGGTGTTGGCTATTGCCTGGTGGTTTACTGTGGGAATACATCTCAGTTTCAAGTTTTTTGTTGATGAATATGATAATTATTATATTTTTTTTTTTTTATTTTTTTTGGGCGAATTTCCGTTTCGTGTTTTTCTAGTGATTTTTCAGATGATAAGCTGCCAACTAATTTAGCATATTTTTCTAGTGATATTTATTACGTACGTTGAAATAAGCACTTGGGCTTGGTGAACTGCCCAGTTGATACTACCAGCACGCCGTTTATTGAGGAATTGGTTGGAATATGAGCACTTGTTAAATTGCAGCGAGCGTATCATTGCGTACACCCAGACACCTGGCAAAACACATACTTTAATACCTCATCGAACGGATCCCAGCCAGTTAAAGACCGAGGCAAGCACTACCGCTGAGGGTCTAACACAGTCACTGGTATCCCTACAACTGATGCCGCAATGCCACTCGTCATAAAGAGACTCAATAGACCAAACAATTTCATAGAGGCATTCGTGATTCCTGTGAATCTGGGTAATGGAGCGAAAGAGGACTGCCTAGTGGTTGGGAAAAGAGATGTCGTTGAGCTCTATACGTTACACGAGGATCTGAAGTCGTTGGTGCTGAGGAAGACGATACCTTTGTTTGAGCTGATCTTGGACATCAAGCCGTTCTTACCTATTGGCTGCACGGATTACTGGCTTGCCGTCTCTGTTGACACCGACATTCTCATACTTTCCTTGGAGGATAACAACAGGTTTGATATCATCATAGAGAGATTACCCTTGAACAAGGAGTTTGAAGGCGCTAGAAATCCAGAAACACGCTCGCTGTGTGTGGAGTCGTCCAAGTTTCTCTCAACGCTGACTTCGGACGGTTCAGTAGTGATCTATCCTGTCAATAGGCCTAAAAACCTGGATAATTTTGAGAAGGCACAGGATTTACAAAGGTCGTTTAATTGGACACAAGGGAAGGTGAAACTCTTCAAAGATCCAGTGTCGTTCACTCTGTCAATGTCCCATGGAAGAACATGCCTTCCCGTGGATTGTATCGACGCCGTTCATGAAGATAATACACACGTTACATTTTCCGTGCTGTATCACGATGAATTGTACGAATACCATCATTCGTACTTTACATGGGACACAGAGTACTGTCTTGAACAATTTGACGAGCTAGACTTTGAAGCAAACGATGGCATACGATTTCGTGAGAAGGTGAGCCCTATAGCTTTGCCATTTTGTATCAACATGGGTACACTCTTTGTTGGGAAATCTGGGTTATACCTGAGAAATTACAAACGTGTGGTACCTCATATTACCATATCCGTGGGCAATAAAGACAAGGATCTAAGTGTCATTGGTCTTAGCCATAATCCCGTGGTGAAGAAGAAGTACAAGAAACTGGAAATCTCAACGGCTGTCGTGATTAACCCAAATGATGTCAAGTGCACAAGAATAATCTTGATATCCAAAAAGGGTGATGTGTATTTGACTGAGTTGAAGTTCCACATCGCCAATGATGACTCAGGGTATCCAGACACCATTGAAGTACAATCTTGGACCACTCACAAGCTCCAGGGTAAGCTGTACAATGCCCAACGAGTTGTCAAGCTTAAGGATAACATCTTTGCAGTACAGTCAAGACAGAGAGGATTAGGGCTGTTCTCAATCGATATGGAGCAGCTGAGACTCACAGAGCTTTTCAATGAGAAGGCACTCTCTGCAGTGTTAGATATTTCAATGACTAATACAACTGTCCCTAAGATACAAGCGGTTGGCGGAGGGCCCGTGACAGAAGGTATCATCAGTACATGGTATAAAGGGTTCCAAAGTAAGATGTTGAATGAAAGAAAAACAGCATTGGAACCTGGAATTCTTAACTGCTGGAGTATTGACGATTATTTCCTTGTGAAACAGCTAGATAGCACAGTCATATTGAAACAAACAAATCGAACATTCGAAGAAACACATGACCTGGATGCAGTTCTTGATGTTGATGGGGAGATTTTGGATGTCCAAAGGAACTCCAGTGGAAATCTGATGTGTATCACTACAAAGGGGATATATCAAGATGGGGTTCGTATCCAAGCCGTAGACGTTGTTCACGGTGTCTTTTCACAGTATGGCAATGCCGTGTACTGTACGTCCAAATCCATTTATTTTAGATCCCATCATTATAGAGTTAACATTGACGAAGTGTCTTGTTTATCCTATCTTGAACAAGGGACCACTTCTTTAGTCTGTGTTGGAGACTGGAAAGGTGATGTCAAGGTGATAATACCGGATAAACCAACTCAGAAGCTCTCTTTTGGAACTGCCATATCCTCGATTCTGGGGAAGGTAATTGGAGGTGAAACTATGATGCTTATCGGTACTTCACATGGTGATTTGTATACGATTCGAAACGGAGAGCGAAACAAGTGGAATATTGGATCTTCACCTGTTTCATTGACAGACTGTGACGACTTTGTACTAGTATACAACGCTGAGTGTGTGCTTAAATTTGTTTTCGACGATACATGGAACTGTTCTGCCAGGGGATACATTCAGATAACTCCTCCAGAATTGATAAAGTATACCAATGGGCAGATCTGGACCTTAAGTGACGGTGCTATTGGTGTATTACACATTGATAAGGAGCTCATGACGTTGAAGCACGAGCTACAGCTACCTCGATTGGTACGGAAATGTATTAAATTCAAAAACTTTATGAACTTGTCACTCTTTGTCACATTGACACAACTACCATCTAAGCTATATGAGGATGAATTGGACTTTCAGTGTCAATTGGAGGTTATAGAGAACAATACCTTCAAGACAGTCTCAACTTATAAGTTACCAAGGGGTGTTGAGGTTACTGACGCTGTGAATCTGGCGTATAGAAACGATGTTATCTCTACAATGAACGAACCACCAATCAACTTTGGAGTGGAGAGCTTCTTATCACAGTGCTTTGCCATTAGTTGTTTGCACCATACGGAAGATATGAAAGGCTCACCGATTGAAATATTTTCTGTTGACCAAGACGGGAAATTGGAACGTATTGCAACTGCACCATCTTCTGGGATACAGTATTACTGCCTAACTTCCCATGCGAATCGTCTTTTGATAGCTGGAGGCACAAGGGTTTGTGCCTATCAGATTGACTATAGTTTGGAGCATTCCAAGTTCACCCTTCAACGAGTTACAGAGTTCTTACGCCCTGAGCACTATACGTCACACGTTACCAGTGTTGGTCCGGATGTTATCATCACAGACGCATTAGCATCAACAAAGTACTACAAGTTAGAGGTCTTGGATGAACCTGATAACGAGGTGTTTTTGAGATGGGTGAATGTCGAGTATGCGTATGGATTCAATAATATGTTCACCGTTGCATTGGATGTATTTTATGATCTTGAACTAGGAGCAGACTCTTATGGAGGTATCGGAACAGGCTCTGCGGGTGCTGATAGACTTGGAGTCTACAGTAATGCTGGATATGTACTACCTGATGAGATTAACGTCATCAAGGCCATTGAGAGGTCAAAAGCGTTGATATCTCAGAAGGATCTACATCGCTTGATGGAAGATAAAGGATTAAAACATATCGAGTCGATACCACTTTTCCTACTTGGCTCAGCTTCCGGAGGGATGTACTCTTTGACTTTTATTCAAAGTCAAGAGGTTATAGAAGCCACTAGGGCAATACTTGAGTCCAAAGTACAGGAAATAGTGTACGCTGGTTGGAAGTGTGAAACGCTCTTTGACTATGAAACTGGCGAAGTTACGACGGATGGCTATATCATTGATGGTGATTTAGTGGAGATGCTGGAGAAGAGCCTAGGTGGATCTCTTCTCAGTAATCTCTTTGAAAGGCATTGCAGTCTACTATAGTACTGGAGGAGAGTAACACGCACAAAAAAGAAAAAGACATATAGATTAATTCGTAACTTCATTAAATCAACAAAGTCTCGATCTTGTCCTTGACACTGTAGATCTGGTTCTTCAAAGTAGAGCCTTCGTTTGTGGTGATTGAGGCAGCGATGACAGGTCTGGAGACACCACAAGCTCTACCGAGAGCAGTTCTAGATGGGACAAACACGTATGGAACGTTCTTATCCTCACACAACAATGGCAAGTGCAACAAGATCTCGATTGGCTCAGTGTCAGCAGCCATGATGATGAACTCGGAGATACCTCTGTTCAAAGTCTTGGTGGCCTCGTTAGCACCTTTCTTCAACTGACGAAGGTTGGAAGCCTGTTGAACGACATCGAGGATTTGTTGAGTCAATGCCTCATCAGCAAGTGGGAAAGCCTTTGGGTTTGGAGCAGACATAGTATCAGATAATTCGAGGTTCCTTGCAGTGAAAGTTGTCTTAAGGAGATAGCTCGCCTCTTTGAATTGTTGGTGAAGATTGAGATGTGGAAAGAGACAGAAAGAGAGATGAGCTTTGAAATTTTTTCTCGCTTTCGTTCTCTGTAACGTACATACCGATTTCCCAATTCGGATATTGATGTGTTACCCGGAAATGCTTATGTAATGGAAGTGCTGATACTTACGCGGCCACAAGCGTAACTGTGAGAATGGCTGCTCCGGCTTTGAGAGAAATTTGGGAGATCGCCTATAAAAAAAACCCTCCCCAATTCGTTCCAAAGTTCAAAATTGGTATAGTTATAACAACACCAAGAACCTCAATTTCAATTAACAAATGTCTGATCTTTGGTAAGTCATTGTTCCTTGTCCCTCTGGAGATATAAGTGATGTTCTGTTTCCATACCAATTGATGAGTGGCCGTTGCGTGGACGGTAATTAGTTTATGGTGAGACGCTAGAGGGCAATTTTCACCTCTGTATAAGGGGGGAGGCAGAGGAGGAGCGTGGATACTTTGAAGGGGATCAATTCGATGAACAGAAATACAGACCCACATTGTGAGTGTGCTGTTTATCAACTGCACATTGTACACATCGACAATTAGATACAACTCCTGTCTTTACCGAATCCTTTCCTTCCTTCTCTTTCTGGCCCCCTTTTTCCCAATCTCATTGCTACTGGATTTCTTTGTCCACATGGAAGGTACCCAAACCATGTGGGCGTCTAAACACCACTGAGCAATATCTCCCATGACATCTCCTTCCCTAGTGCTCGAGCACAACATACTAACATTGCCACCTTCACCAATATAGTCCTGTTTACGCGCCATTCTTTGGATCCATAGGTTGTGCCTCCGCCATCGTGTTTACATGTTTCGGTGCTGCTTACGGTACCGCCAAGTCTGGTGTTGGTATCTGTGCCACCTCTGTCTTGAGACCAGACTTGCTTGTTAAGAACATTGTCCCAGTTATTATGGCCGGTATCATTGCCATTTACGGTCTTGTCGTTTCAGTGCTTGTCTCCGATTCCTTGAAGCAACAACAAGCTTTGTACACTGGTTTCATTCAATTGGGTGCTGGTCTCTCTGTTGGTTTGTCCGGTTTGGCTGCCGGCTTTGCCATTGGTATCGTTGGTGACGCCGGTGTCAGAGGTACTGCTCAACAGCCAAGATTGTTTGTCGGTATGATTTTGATTCTTATCTTTGCTGAAGTTTTGGGTTTGTACGGTTTGATTGTGGCCTTGTTGTTGAACTCTCGTGCTACCCAAGACGTTATCTGTTAACCAAAGACACACTAAACGTATAACTTAAGTAGTTGATAGAAAAAACGGCGGCAAGAGTAATAATAATCAATAAATAAAACCAAAGAAAAAAGAGGTAATCTTTACTAAAGGCAGTTTTTGTATGGTTCTTGTGTATGATCAAATCGTGTTGATGTTTTTCAACGGGACAGGTCAGCGAAAAAAGCCATGAAACGTAAACAAACCACAAAAACCTTTGATTATACGGCGGCTAATTTGTTGATCAAAACAATGGACTTCATTGACTTTACAACGTATCAAAGCGAGGAATCTGGTGCTGATACACCAACAAGGCTTCCAGAGCCTGCTCCACCGTTGGTCTTACCGTTGAATCAAAACTTGACGAGTAAGCTACAAGGGCTCTCGTTGTTGAAGAAGAAGTTGGACTTCTCAACCAGTCAGGACGACAAGGGTGAGTCCAACACCACTACACAGACCGCAGAGAAGTATGCAAAGATATCTGAATCGATATTCAACGATACCCATGACGACTTGTCTATCAATGGACGTGGGGGTGCTGCTGCTTATGCAACGTCGTCTTCAACAAAGGGAAACACCGATGCGGTGCTGAGCAAGAAATTGGCTGGGGTATTGAACTCGTATGGTCTGAACGAAGGTAAGATGAGAGAGAGCTTGGAGATCTTACAACAGAAGCAGGAGTTGGAGTTGAAGCTGCTGGTACAATCTGATGTATTCGGCGCGATGCAGAGAAGACGATTTAGAAGTGATATTGAAGGAGAGCTGCTGAAACAACATTCATCTGTGTTGAGAGAGTTCCAGCCTGTTGTGACCAGAGTGGAACAACTGGGTGAAAGAATCAATGAATTGAAAGAAACCAAGTCTAAGCTTACTGAATTCGATCACCTTGATCCAGAATTGTTGAGTAAGATCGACCAATTAACAAAGCAGAAGAATCTCATCATGTTGAAGAAATCAATATTGCTGAGTTTTAAGAATAACTTTACACTGACGCAGTACGAGGAACATGTCTTGACAAACGAAGACATATCACTCGTGTATTTTGAGGTCTTGCAGAAGTGTAACAAGATCAACAATAACTGTTCCATATTACTAACTCTTCAGAACCAGACATTGGGATTGAAGATTATGGAGAAGATGTCACGTATCTTAGATCTTGCATACCAGAGAATTGCTTTCTTCTTGACCAACAGGTTAGACCAATTCATGGGTGAAACATCACGAGGATCATCTACATCGGGCAATGAAGACATTAGATTGATGAAAATTGCATTGTTCTATTTGAACAACAACTTGAAATACTTTGACGAAGTTACAGGTAAGTTGATAGAGTCACGGTCCAAAGCCATTGTCGACGAATTCATATACCAATCTAGTAACTCCGATCCTTCGGATAATGCTAGACCTATTGTTCTGTCTGCACATGATCCAGTGAGATACATCGGTGATTTGCTGGCATTTGTCCATTCTGTTATTGTCAATGAGGTTGAGTTCGTCAGTACTTTGTTCAAGATCGGAGAGGATACAGACTCAAATTTCGAGAGAACCGAATTTGAACGTAACCTGATCCAACTGGAAAACTCACAAGATGTTAACAGATCGATCGATAGTACTATTGATCAGATTGTTGGTGCATTGAGTAGACCGTTAAAATCAAGATTAGAACAAATTATCCGAAGCGATAAGAATTTCGACGTCATTACCAAACTGTTCAACCTTTTGGATTTGTACAGAATGATGTTCCAAAAACAACTGACCAAAGATTCATCATGCTCAATTTTCGAAACTCTTGAAAGCGTAAAATTGTTATGCGTTGAACGTGTATTGAGTATCTTGAAGGAGAAAGTCTTAATTAACGAAAAACAACTAGAGGGGGATTCATGGCGCATAGATGATGATTCTCTATTAACACCTGATTGGATTAGAGACTTCTACAACTCTAGTCTATTAATATTCGACGAGGTTGGTAACTCGGAGGGACATCCGTTGAACATGGATGACGAAACTTACAAAGGTTTCCTCAATTTGCTCATAGATAAGCCAATTGAACTCATCCAGAAGCAGGCAAAGGCTAACTTCAAGAATGACAAGGTCAATTGGAAGATACTGGTCATCAACTCTTTGGATTATGTTGAGTCAAAGATCCTAACAATCCCTGCATTGTCAACTGAGTTTGATAAAATCTCTCATCTAGTTGGTACAGTGAAGGAGGAACTCATCCAACACCAGTACGAAACGCTGTTAAAGGATTCAGGGCTGGACATCCATCAACAGTTGATACAACTGATATTCCCTATTGAACAGATTGAGACAGATGAGGATTACTATATGTATTCGTCTTTGATCGAAAACAAATTGTTCAACAAGGACAAACTACAAGAGATTGAGACTAAACTGCACGAATTCTTGCCTAATGCTCTGATAGACATTCAACAGGCTTTGTTCAAGATCTCATCACCTTCCATTGCGAATGATATCATCACAGAGAGTTCATTGAAGTTTCTCAAGTTGTACAACGTTTATTACAAGATCCTGCACATATTGTACGAGGACGAAGAGATTCTTGAATGGAGTACATATGACGTTGCCACGCTACTGGGCGTTGAAAAGGCATACGAAGAACTAGAGCAGAAATAGAGAGTGTGCATTTATTCATTGAACGTTTGAGTGATCAGGTATTCTACCCCTACCGTAACCTTCCCTTCCGTAGTAATCCATTGGATAGTAGTTCTTATCCCATTTACGATCATTCTCCATCATGACCATCGCCTCGTATGGGGTTAACAACGGTTTGTTAAAGGCATAACCCCAATCGATGGATAGACGTGGACAAGCCACCTGTATGAAAGCGTCTATATCATCAAACATTGACAGCTTTTGAGGAAATATCTCTGAAAGGATAATCTTGACAACAATTTTACCTCTTTTGGTCAATTCCGTTTCCAAGTTGTTCAATGTGTTCAAATTGCCCTGTCTTCCCAACGATCCCAATATAAGACCGACTTTCTTTGCACCCTGTGCTGTTGATATGGCATCTTCACGGACCTTTACGAGTTGTTCTTGATCGTAGTACTCCCTTGTGAATTTCCTAGAGTATGGATCATACCTATAAGCAGGTATCTCTGGGTTGTGAATCATTGCACTTTCCAAGTGGAAGCGTCCATCACCAACGTATATCATCGCATCTATATCTTCTTTATCCAACCTCTGTGACGTACAGCCCAGTACCTCTCCCTTGGACAAGGGCATGATCTGCGGAGGAATGGTGTAGATAGGTTTGGTTTCATCGTTAGCCAGCTTATCACGGATGGCATGGATAGTTGGATTGAACTGGATGGTTCCAAACGTTGCGATGCGAGACCCCTTTTCGAAGTTTCTTTTGATGGTGTTAATCAGGTGCGATTCGTCAATGCTGATGGTGACAAAGATGTATAACACTTTGATGAGCGTGATATCAATAGGCACCAGACAAGAGTGCGCATAGTGAACTATGAAGTCACAGTCCAAAGATCTCGCTGTGAAGTCATCGATACAGCACGCTCCATAGGAGACATCACCCATGACTATGGTCTCACACTGGCAGAATTGCTCAAGGATATCAGCAATGATCAAAGAGTATATGAGTAGGCCTTCAGGCATCTGCAAAGCCACTCTCTTTGCGTTGCTCTTCTTGATGTTCCACACAGTCTTGTGGATTTCAAAGTTGTAGTTTGAAGGAAGCAGCTTGATGGCCTCATTCAGCTCACCATCTTCAAGTATCTCAGCCGGGATCTGCGTCATGGCCCTGCCCACATGGCTTCTTACTCTATTGGCTAGATATCAATGTTAGAAAGAGCCCTGGCAGACGATCAGCTCACGAGAAAACAAGACATACTCTTCACTAAGGATCCGTCAGCAGACGCTGTCACGGTACGACGACCAACAAATCGCTTTCTAGGCACCCTCTTTGCTTCTACCGAGCTCTCTGCTACCGACGTCATTTGATCCATGTGCTCCTTGTGATGGTGATGTAGTCTCGCTGAGGGAGATGAGCCCATCGCACGGAGAAATTTTTCATTTCCCTACCAGGGCTCATCGCGGCCCTTCTCTTCACCACAACGGAACAGAGAGACAGGCAGGCGACGTCAACGACAGTAGCCGCAACGATGCTGACACCACGGTTCACATGTCACCAGGACGATGAGTTCGTCTACATCGATATAAAAGTTTCTCATATCCGTTTCGACGCTGTTGGCGTGCAAATAGTTGTCGAGAACGAACTGTTTGTGTTCTCGCTGAGCCCCTACTACCTTCGTCTCCGGTTTCCCCATGCCCTGAACGATGATGAGGAGAGATCCAATGCCCAGTATGATAGTAAAGAGGAGTGTATCCACGTCAAGATCCCCAAGCTGAATCACGGCGAGTTCTTCCCGGATCTTGAGCTCAGTGCCAGGTTGCTTGCAAGAAGTGGTGAAGCTGTAGGCGAAGCGATGGACTCGAAGACATTGTTACAGGAGATTGGGGTCCAACCAAGCGAGGAGCTCATGAGAGAAGCCGGTAAGGTGATTGAGGAGACGAGAAGCTCGAACAGGCCTCTTATAGAGGAGGTTGGCGGCGGGAAGTCCGATTTGGAGAGAGCCGCCGCGGAAGGTGAGGAGTTCAACTGGGAGATCAACCAGGTTATCGAGGAGGACACTGGAGTCAAAGTGAGGTATGGATTCGATAACCAGTACGATTCCATAATCGGGGTTTCTCTCTCCAACGGTAACGATATCAACGAGCTGGACGACCCTGAACATACCGCCCCAAATGACAGGGTCAAGGAGCGGCTGTTGAAGGAGAACTTCAAGTTTGATCCAGAGTACTACGCTGCCGATTATATGACAACGAAGTATAGCGACGAGGATGAGTACTCTCCAGTGAAAGATCTGCTGAAGTGGAACAATCCACTGTGCCATGCTGAGTCCACTGGCTTTACGCCAGAGGAGAATGAAAAGATGCTCGATCTACCTAAGAAGTCCTACGTCATTACCAATCCCAAACCTCTGTACTATTCAATCCTGTCGTTGTTGTTTGCCTTTGCATACGAGCAACTTCAAACTGAAGGTGAATTCACCACTGAGTCGGCCTGGTCAATGGGTAAACTGACTCCACAGATCTCATTGTTAGATCAGCAGATTGTGCTACCGGATGCAAAGTGTAACATGATCAAGGCGATTATCATCACTGGTATAAGAAGAGCGTTGTCATACCCACTGCACAGAAGTTTTGAGCTTGCGATGAAAGCATGGAACGATGTTGCACTAATCTTAGCAAGGGGACAGGTAACGGTGATAAAAGCTCTCTTGAAGCTTAGAGAGTCGTTTAGATTCCACGACATTTATTATGTATACAACAAGATTCTCTTGGATGACCTGATCAACTGGTTAATCAAAGACTCACGGGATAACGATTTCGTGTTGAAGAGCCTGGGAAAGGAGCTGGGCAAGCAACTGACGTCTATAAGCAAAGGGGAGATCGTCTTTGAACAGTTGGACGAAGAAGGTGATGTTGATACTGAGTTGAACATCCAAGAAATAGAAGCCATCGCTGAAGAGATGTACAAGAATGGCCATAATGAACAGAATCAATAAGCAGAGGTACTATTATAATAGTCTATATCTTATTTTGGGTATTTGTCATATTGTACTATATGAAGGAACGAATGTAGGTGCACCTAGGCTGAGCTGAGGATATCATTGGCAAAGTTTGGCCCACTTGAAGGAGTTTTCGGTTTCTTCTCTGGCTCAACATTGAACCCCTTCTTGGGCTCCTCCGCAGAGTTCTTCTCTTCAATGCGTTTGGCCATTTCTTTAACGGTTGGTTTGGAACTTTGATGATTGATGGTGCTGTGATTAGTGGTCTTTTTATCAAATACAAAGTTGTCTGATCTTGCTCTAACGTGACGGATCTTTCTTCCAACTGGTGGCGCTGATTTCGGCTCATCCGTGCCTTCCTCCTCCTCTTCCTCCGTGGCTTCACCTTCCTCATCCACGTTTTCCTTTGAGGTGTCACTTGTACGTCTTCTCTTCCTTCCTGGGTTTTCATTGATGAACTGTATCGAGCTCATCGTACGCATCATCGACTGTTGTGGAGCAGCTGGTCTCGGCGCCGTGGGGCTACTGGTGACTGAGATCTGTGGTATTGGCGTCTTTGTCAGTTGAGGCCCAAAGGTGATTGGCGTTGATAATGTACGCTTGTGTATAGGCGAAGGCGGGAACCTTGACCTCTCTAGCTGTGCTACGGCAGCAGCACCAATCTTTGCAGGGGAATGGGGTCTTTGGAACTTCACAGGTGGTCCCAGGTGGGTTGCGTATTGTGTCTGTTGCTGTTGCTGCTGTTGTAGTTGCTGTTGCCGCTGAGGCACCATGTATATGTTGTGCTGCTGTTGTTGCTGTTGCTGTTGCTGTTGTAATGGCTGTGGGAACTGCTGATAAGCTTGTCCTTGTGGAGATTGTAGCTGTTGAATCTGCGGTGGCGGCTGATGTGCCAGTGGATGTGGACTTAGCTGGATATGCTGTTGATGAGCCTGGACTTGAGCACGGGCCTGGGCATGAGCCTGAGCCTGAGCATGAGCCTGAGCCTGAGCCTGAGCATTGGCCTGAGCCTGAGCCTGACGCTGCTGTTCCTGTTGAACCTCTGCGGGTGCCTCTCCGGAGAACACGGTGGGGATGAGGTTTGGTGGCATGTTAACGTGCAAACACTTGTTGAGAAGCTCAGTGGAGCGTCCCAGGATCTCCAGACGATAGTACTGCTGTTTGGTGATCTCCTTTTCCCTTTGCAACCGTATCAGTTCAATCAATGCCTTTTCAGATAGTGGGCATTCGGCACCGGGACTCAGGCCTATAACCTCAGCAAGCTTCTCATCCAGTTGCATCTTTCAAAACACACACACGTCTGCAAACAGCCTGCTTCCTCTTCTATAATCTGCTGGTGTATCAGAGCTCGCACAGGGAACGGAGGGCGCCTGTGATGGAACAAGTGGTGATCGAGACGTCTCTGAGTTCTGTCCCTTGGTGAAATAAGGGGAAAAGGTGTCAGTGTATCGCACAACTTTTCACTAGGTGTCTTTTTTTTATTATTATGTACTGTAAAGTAACTCAGGCTGCTTTGCAAAATGGATGAGCTGCTGAGAAGACCTTGTTAGCAGCAACTTGGGGTGAGAAACTGGAAAACTTGGAAGGAACAGGCAGAAGACGCAGACAAAGCTCAGCAGAAGAGGCAGGCAAAGCTGGGCCGAAGAGGCAAGGGGCAACGGGGCAGTATCGATTGGAAAAGAACACACACAGCTACGAAACAGAGATCCGGGAAGGGACGGTGGAATGCACGTATAGAGAAGCCAGACTTGACGTAGAGAGCTTGTCCAGAGGCAGAGGCCACCCACACACAGATATACAACACCCAAAAGGGGCAATGTCTTTCCGTTTTTATCCCAACTCGCATGGATAGGAATTCCTACAGCCGTTGATGGAGTATGTAACCCATCTTACGGTGTGTGCTAAAAGCGTAGGCCGGGTTGTGTGCTGATTGGCCAGATCTGGCTACGGTGCGCTTTCTTTCTTTTTTTAGCGCGTGTAGGTGTGCGAGGGAAGCCGTGGGTGAAGCCAGTGGGCCTGTCCAGCCAATTGGTGTGGATGGAAGCTGGGAAGCTGGGACGCTGGGGACGGACGCACACAGGCAGCCAGGGACTCGTAGCTGTCCAGCTGACGGGCCCATTTGAACGATGGTGAGAGGTGGTGGAGTTAGGCATTTCTCTATGGCCCAGCATTCGCACCTTTGTACCGGAGGGCCTGCAAAAAGAACGACAACCACAGCAACAGGACCGAATAAGAGAGTTAAGTTTGGAACCGGTGATAGAGGAAGCAGAGGCCTAGCACGGGCTCATAACCGATTACTGCTTTCGGCACATTACCCCCGATTGTGATGTCCACCGGACGTTCCACATAGCAAAGAATGTTACAATTGCCGCCCAAAAAGGCGTTCTTTTGTAGACTTTTGCGCCAAATGTGAAACCGTTGTCAGGGCACGAAAAGGCACAGCAAAATGACAGCGAAACTGATTTTGTGGCAGGAAAAGTGTCTGATATGGGCAATTCAAGCCTATAAATTCAAGCCTTTCGCACAGGGAAAATTTTACAAAGCATACAACGAACATTTCACAGGCTCCTTGGCTCGCTCGTATTGTCCACCATCTATTCCGGAAGGGACCAGACGTTCTCATCATGAGCCCAGTGTAGACGATCCACTCACTACGCGTCGTTCACGCTGTTGGAAGGAATGTGTCCTTACCACTTTTCCCGGGCACACACAAGGAGAGCGTTCATGCTCCCCTAAAGAAATCCACCTTTTCGGTGTCTCCTCGACTTTCTAAGAGGCACAAAATGGCACATTTTCATGAACCATTTTTGTCCATAGGACACACACTTTTGACCGTGGCCAGGCAGCGAATGCAGCTATTCAACAGAGTGCTATACCTGTGTAGAAGCCAATCAAGACATATACACTGCTCGACTAGACAAATGGCCCCAGCAATTGTGGAAAGACACAGACCAAAGACGCCTGGTGCAGAATTCGACTACACTACAAAGTCCAATTATAAGGATGTTCACGTCAACAACACTGTGCTGGACGTGGAGATCCTCTTCAACGAGAAGAAGATTGTTGGTAATGTGACTTATGACCTGACAAGTGTGAAGGAACTGTCGCAATTGACTCTGGACATGTCATACATCAAGGTTAACAGTGTGAAGGTTAACAAGGTTGCAGCAACTTTCTCTGTTGCTAAGAGGGAAGAACCATGGGGCACCCCAATCACTTTCGATACAAACATCCCCGTCGATTCTAAAGTCACAGTGTCCTTGGACTTTGAGACAACACAAGAGTCGACTGCGATTCAATGGTTGAAGACCGACCCAGCCACCAAGGAAGCATCAGACTACGTCTTTACACAGTTAGAACCTATCCATGCCCGTGCGCTGTTCCCATGTTTTGACACTCCATCTGTTAAGTCAACAGTGGATGCAACCATCAGATCGACAAAGCCTGTTGTGTTCTCTGGCCTACCACTGCATTCAGACCAGACTGGTGTGTATAGATTTGAACAGAAAATCCCTATTCCTTCATACCTATTTGCAATCGCATCTGGTAACATTGCTCACACGAAGGGAGGTCCACGTTCTACCATCTATGCGGAGCCTGATCGTCTTGAAGATTCGAAGAACGAATTCAAGGAGGACTTGGAGAAATTCATCGAAACTGCGGAAAAGATTGTCACTCCATACATCTGGACCACTTATGACATATTGATCAACCCTGCTTCGTTCCCATATGGTGGTATGGAGAATCCAAACATTACCTTCGTCACTCCTACCCTTATCTCCTACGATAAATCCCAGGTTGATGTTATTGCCCATGAATTGGCCCATTCATGGTCAGGTAACAACGTTACCAATGCTAATTGGCAACATTTTTGGTTGAATGAAGGGTGGACTGTCTACCTCGAGAGACGTATCGTTGGTGAGATCCATGGTGAAACGATGAGACAGTTCCACTTCATCATGGGCTGGAACGACTTGATCGAATCGGTGAATTCTTTGCCAAAGTTTGAGTATTCCAAACTCGTTCAGGATTTACGCAAGGGTGAAATCGACCCAGATGACGTTTTCAGCTCTGTCCCATACGAGAAGGGTTCGAATTTCATCTACCATCTGGAGACCCAGCTCGGTGGTGTTGAAGAGTTTGATCCATTTATCAAGTTTTACTTCACAGAGTTTTCCAAGCAGAGTATCGATACTTATCAATTTGTCGATTCTCTTTACAAATTCTATGGGAAGGACCCTTCAAAGATCGCCATCTTGGATAACATCGACTGGGAATTATGGTTGTACACACCAGGGTTGCCACCAAGGGCACCATTTGATACGACTTTAGTCGATCAAGTTGAAGAGCTCGTTAACGCATGGATCTCCAAGGCCACTGTGTTCACCACAGTGGATGAGTTCGCCGAATATTTCCAAGCTGGTGAGCTATCCAAGGTTTACCAAGGGCTATCGTCACCACAGAAGATCTTCTTCATCGACGAGCTATTGGAGAAGAGACCGAAACCAGCCTTCTGGAAGGAGCATTCAGTCGCATCCGATGCACTCATCTCCATCTACAAAGACCTCAACGAGTCCAGAAACACAGAGATCATCTTCCGCTGGTACAAGCTGAAGCTGCTAAGTGCTAAGACTCAATACTACCAGCCTTTAGCGGACTGGCTGGGAACCGTCGGCCGTATGAAATACGTCAGACCAAGCTATAAGCTGCTCAACACCGTGGACCATGAACTGGCAATCAAGACGTTCGAAAAGTACAGAGAAAGATACCATCCAATCGCAGCCAACATGATTCAGAAGGACTTGGGATTGTAACCAAGGGAACAAACAGCCATATATAGCTAACCAAGTATCACTACACAAGTTCTGGCCATTTGCCCGTTATCAACAGTAGAGCAAGATGTAAACAAAGGAGCTGGCGCGTGCCTGAAAGGGATCACAAACAAGCGATCCTCACCAACAACGAAAAAAGGGCGGTGTTGCTCGGCAACCCACACAGAAAGCGTAAAAGCCAAAAATAAAAGTGAGCTTTTTGACCGCGTGTACATAAACTTCATTTTTTCCACTCGGGATTTCTGTTGAACACAAAGCTGGAGCGCCGGTCAGAAGAAGCACAACAAACTGTTCACAGTGTTCTATATTTTGTTATCAAGATGAGTTTTTCCCAGTTATCCACAGCAAGCGTATGTGTTTTTGCTCGTTCTTTGTTCTCCCTGTGGTGGCATTTTTGTCGGCGGAGACTGGAGCGTATACATGGGTTCTAAGAACTAGTACTAACGTATTGTATAGTTCTCCCAATTCTCTGAGAGATTCAGTCTTGATAGACTAAGAGTAAGTGAAGTTGACATGTTGTGATTCATCCCCAGAGTGGAACAGAAACTAACACGCCATCAAGTCCGAAGCCGGGTCTCTTCAGAACAGATTTGCCAATGTTCGTCCACCACAAGAGTTCTTTGACGTGAAACGTATCTCTAAGCCACAAAACTTTGGGGACTTACAGTCCAGAGTCACGTATAACCTGGGCTACTTCTCAACGAACTACCTGTTGATTGTCTCCATGCTCTCTGTGTACTCTCTTTTGACTAATTTACTCTTGCTATTTGTCATTGTCTTTGTCATTGCAGGTGTTTATGGTATCGGAAAGTTAGGCGGCGCTGATTTGGAAATCGGTCCTTTGAGATTGACAAACTCCCAGCTTTATACCGGGTTGCTGGTTGTATCTGTTCCGTTAGGGTTCTTGGCCTCTCCAATCTCCACCATTCTCTGGTTAATTGGTGCTTCAAGCGTCACTGTCCTAACCCACGCTTCCTTCTTGGAGAAGCCAGTTGAAACCGCCTTCGAAGAGGAGACCGTTTAACCAGGATGATATACGCAAACTCACATATCTATAAACCATCACTCGTCATAAAAACATTTCTTCTCGACTTCCTCGTAAGCTATCTACACACCAAAGTTACATTAGACGGAGTGTATATTTGGGAAAAAAAGAGTGATTAAGAACCGTCATTATATAGCACAAAGCGTTGTAGTACTCCCATCACATTGGAGGACCTGGTGGACCATCAGGACCACAGCAGTCACCACAGCAGAGTTCGAATAGACAGAGACAACAGAGCATTTTCCAACATGTACCACAGCATGAACTCTCCTTTTGAGGAGGGGCCTGTTGGATATACACAGGTTGTTGTTGCTGCTGGTAATAGCCCTGTTGTGGTGGTCCCTGTTGGTAATAACCTTGTTGTTGTGGAGGACCTTGTTGATAGTAACCCTGTTGAGGGCCTTGTTGGTTATACTACGTACGTGTTAGTATCATCGTCATCGTCATCACCATCAACAACAACCGCTAAAATTAATAACAGCTGGAAAAATAATATGTGTACCGCAAGCTGCTGTGCATGTAGCAGGGTAAACGATGTGGATACAAAGACAAACTTACATATTGGCTCATTCAAGATAGAAAACTTGTTGTTGATAGTAACAAAGTGTGTAACAAAGAGACAAACTGCAACACAATAAAACGGTGAAGTATTTTTATCACACGCATTGAAAAGTAGTTTCAAGTTGGCTGTGTTCCATGTTCATCATGCACTCGCCGAACATTTCCCAGGAACAGATCCACTGGGTAACCACAGAAACACCGTTTCGAGAAACTAAAAGCGGGAAACGTTGAAAAACAACCAAGAGAAAAGAAACACGACACCCATACACCAAACACTGCCCCTACCAATGAAACTGATTATATAATCCAAGATGGTACGGGCCGCATATAGAGGGCAATCACTGTAGCAACGGTACAGCTATGACGACACATGGCAACTACCACACATGAACTCCAAATTTGATAAGTCCCGTAGCAAGTAGCAAGCTTCAAAACCGTTGAGAGGAGGATGAAGTGGCCAGAGACAACGCTTTAAATCTCCCCATTGGCTTCACACAACCTCTTATCCTTTGCCAATACAACATCCAAGAGAAAAGCTTGTTTCTCAGTATAAACCTACGCGGACAGAGCAAAACACACACACACCACGATGGCATTCGATATACCTGAACAACCTCAGAACCCGGGTCCCTTTGCGGAGCAGCACGGTTATAACGACATCAAAGTGAAGACCTATGATTACGACGGTCAATGTGTGAGTATACCCCTTGTATATATACAGAAGACAGAGGCGAGCTGCTAACTAACCGTCCAATCAGAAAGCCATTAATCCTGCAAAGAACCGTGATCCCTCGAGCTTTGAGAAGTTCACCAACAACGAGAACACCAAGAAGGCTGGGAACTTTGTGCTTGGCCAATTGAAGAACTTTATCCTTAGACAGTGCTCTTGAAGGACAACGGCACTGCTCCTGTTGAAACTAATATAAAGCTGAATGTACTGTATCGCACCTTGTCTTTGAAATCTGTAGTGATCAAAGTGTATAGAGCCGATGTGCCATTTTCCCCTTTTCGAGAAGTAGGTGAAATTTCACACACTCATCATCCACGCAACACGGGACAGAACTGGAAGAACACGGCACGCTCAAACAGGATGGTTGTCAAGGACATCGATCTGTTAGCCAATAGGACACAGTGGGACTCTGATGTTGCCGCGCTGGGTCGATTTGAAGATTTCCAGACAACTGATTGGCTACACGACAATCTGCTATACCACAAGAGAAGGTCTAAAACATCACCATCATCAACAGTGACATCTTCCATTCCAGACTCGTCGAGGATATGGTCAATCTATGAGTCAATACAGACGTATGTGATATTGACGATAGTTGGTATATGTATCGGCACCACTGCCGCGGTGCTCAACGTCATGACTGAGTACTTGTCCAACATTAGAACCGGCTACTGTACGACGGCTCTTTACCTCAACAGGAATTTTTGTACTTGGGGCGAGCTAGACGAACACCAGGCTACAACATGGGTTGAGTATTCGAGGTTTGGGGTGCTAAACTATGCCATGTTCATAACAATCTCGCTAGTACTGGCGCTGACATCAAGCAAACTGGTAATGCACTACGCTCCTCTGGCGGCAGGGTCTGGAATCTCTGAGATCAAATGTATAGCATCAGGGTTCACGCTGAAGAAGTTTCTCAGCTTTGCGACATACTCGCTGAAGAGTATCGGATTGCCTTTGGCGATAGCTTCAGGTTTAAGCGTTGGTAAAGAGGGCCCAAGTGTTCACTATGCGGTTTGCATAGGAAGTGTCATATCAAAACTGTTTGCAAGGAAAGTTTTGAAGACACACCAGAAGAACGTCTGGTTTAGAAACATCTTGGTTGCAGCCAGTGGTGCTGGTGTGGCCGTGGCCTTTGGATCACCAATGGGCGGTGTGTTGTTCAGTGTTGAAGAGATCTCAAATATGTTCAAGCTTTCAACAATGTGGGAGAGTTATTACTGCTCTCTGATTGCAGTGGCAACGTTGCAATTCTTTGATCCATTCCGTACAGGACAGGTTGTGTTGTTTGAGGTCATATTTGATCAGGATTGGCACTTCTTTGAAATACCAATCTACATCATCCTGGGGATATTTGGAGGGATCTACGGTATTGTTGTTGCAAAGTTCAATATCAAGGCCGTGAGCTTTAGAAAGAAGTATCTGGGGCAAAGATATCTGAAGGAGGTTGCAGTTCTGGCCATTATAACCGCATCAATCAGTTATTTCAACGATTTCCTAAGAATGGATATGACAGAATCGATGCAATTTCTGTTTCAAGAATGCGACGAACATCCTCACCATAACATTTGCAACTTAGAATCCAAACCGGAAGCTGCAAAGGCCATTTTCAGTCTCCTCTGGGCCACTGTACTGAGAATGATCTTCACCGTGTTCACCTATGGCTGTAAAGTCCCTGCAGGAATCTTTGTGCCTTCAATGGCTACTGGTGCGACGTTTGGTAGAGCATTGGGTATAATATTCCAATTATGGAGACAGAATAACCCAGAGTCTAGTTATTTTACTTCGGGATGCTTGGTGGATAACAAGCAGTGTATCACACCTGGTGTATATGCCTTCTTAGGTGGAGGTGCCTGTCTTAGTGGAATAACCCACTTGACGGTGTGTGTTGTGGTTATCATGTTCGAGCTGACCGGCGCTCTTAAGTACATCATTCCTACAATGATCACTGTTGCTACTACGAAGATTATAAACGATAAATGGGGCAAAGGTGGTATTGCAGACCAAATGATTGTGTTTAACGGCTTGCCCTTCATCGACCCTCATGAGGAGCATAACTTTTTTGGCCATCCTGTTAGTGATGCCATGACAATAAAGGTTGTGTCGTTGCCACTACAAGGTGTGACTTATGGGCAGCTGATGGCTATCCTAAAAGAAACAGACTTCCAACATTTTCCAATCATTCAAAGTGCATCGAAGCCATTGATAAAAGGATATATCAGAAGGGAAGATCTCATAAACGTCATTGAAAGGTTTGCTGGTGATCCACTCACCGACACTCCATGTATCTTTGACAATGACAGCTTAAGTGAAGACGACATACTCAACTTCACAGAAGCTGTTAATACAGCACCATTGACAGTTAACGTTTACGTCCCAACAGAGCATGTCTTGGATATCTTCCACAAGTTGGGACCGGGATGCTTACTTGTGGAGTCTGATGGACTATTACAAGGCTTGATAACAAGAAAGGATGTGTTGAAATACGAATATGTATTACACCACATTGATCATGACGAGTCTATTCGGATAAGAGAACAGACGTTCAAATACCAGGAACAAGCTTGGGAATTCATTTCAAGGATTGAGAATTCACTAATGGACAAAGTCTACATGGTACGGAACAGATTGTTTAAAAGGAGATATAGTAGAATTTGACCATAGATAAAAAGGACACATCGCTTTGTTGACATTATGTACATATATATATATATAAAACCAAGGTATTAGTCAGCTTGCCATTTACCCACCTTTTTATATTCCTCATACAGAGTCTTGTAGTACGATCTGCCCGAGTAATCCAGAGATGTACTTACCAACAACAGTTCATCATTAGAAACAAGATCAAAAATTCCAAAAATACCAGGGAGAAGAGCTTCTCTAACACTGGCCTCGAAGGTGAATTTCAATGATAGGTTGATATACGTCAACAACAAGATATAGATGTGTTTTCTAACAGATTTTTTAATGTCCAAAGTAGAGGTCAATGAATCATCGGAAGAGGATTTTGACTGTGTTGGTTCACACAAGTTTGACAAGAGTCTTTGATAACTTTCAGCTGCTGTGACTGATGATTGGAGCACACTTGGTGAAGATCTTCTGGTCAAAGACTTTAGCAAGGAGTTGAACAATGAAATGACAATGTGATGACGATTTGTGAGTCTATGTCTATGGAAAAGTAGAATGTTTGATGCACACAGAGTAATCAAAGTAAAGCAGTCTTCAGACTTGCTGCTCGATAGATCCAAATGATCAACAGCACGGGATAGAAATACAAAGACAAGTTCCACAGCATATTGAGAAAAGACCCATGATTTTTCAACAAGCAGACTCTTCAATGATATGAGTATTCCCTCTAAAGAACCAGATGCGATATTAGTAATATTTGATGCAAATGAAGACAGAGACTTGACAAACAGTTCTTGACTTTTGTTGTTAGAGCGTTGAAGGAAGCCCCAGTGACAAGTGACGACTTCGATGACATAGTCTGTAGCCTTCGAATTGATTGCATTTTCCAAGGAGTTGTTAAAAGAATCAGCATCCAAAGATTTGAGTAGATATGCAAGACCACCAATCATATCGTCTCTTTGTATACCCTGTTCTCTTAATATGATGTATAAGGATTCAAAAAACTCGAAGGAAGATCCAAGTTTTCTATATTTCACTAGAACAAGGAACAAGTTTCTCTTAGCCTCAACGTGGTTAGATGCTTGAATTGATTCTCCAAAAGATAACAACAAGGTGTATAATTTATCAAAATTGGAAGCATCGACATCCAATTTGTAGAGGGCTTGCAAAATCCAGGATATATCATGAGTTTCGTCAAATGATGTCTCTTTCAACTGACATGTCAAGATGTCTTTAGAACATTCGATAAATTGCGATTGGAGATGACTCAAGTCCAATTGATCGGGGGCATTGGATAGCATCACGAAGGCAATGTGCATAATGGATGATACATCCTTGACATTGGTTAATCTTTCAGAAACATAGTTCATCAGAGTTTTCATAAATGTCAAGTTTTCATCGTCCTTCAGATTTGCATAACGTTGTTTCCAGATGGTATTGAAGAACGATGAGTCTGGAAACGTTTGCACCATCTTATCAATCAAGGACACATCTGATTCAATATCCGATTTAAAAGTTGGCGTTTGTAGTATATGTAAGATTGGAACCAGATGTTCCTCTTGTTTCGAAGACAGACACTTTCTAGAAAGTGCATTCAGCAACGGAATTTTGGTTGATTTTGGATAACATTGGATAGGAATTTGTTCCAATACAATCGAATCAAAGGAGGTGAGTTCCTTGCTAGACTGAATCCTTTTCGTGATCTTGGACACAATGGTTTCGATAATAGTCAAACATTCATAGATCTGGGGGTTTCTCAAGGCGATAAGTGTCAATTCTTGCTTCGAAAGCAGTTCATCAACCAATTGACCCATTTGTTCCGTTTCTAAAATCTCATTAATTAAGACAGACCAACGTTCGAACGTCATCTCTAAGATATTAGATGATGGGTTAGACTTGACAAATTTGACAAAAAGCGACGCTAACTGTTCAGTATTGAAATCTGTCAATTCCCTTATCCTAAACAGTGTATGAAACTGATACTCTGATGATACTTTCAGTTTACCATTAGCAATCTTCTTCAACTCCATCATTGGAACAATATCTTCAAAGAGACAAAGCAGATAATACTTGACTTCCCATGCATAATCTATTTCGATATCGAATACATGTTTGAGGATCTCCCTAGCATCGTTCAGTACGATCTTATCCTTAACACTAAACAAGCCCTGTGTTAACGTTGCAAGGGATATGAACTTTGAATCAGAATCCATGTTCAAGAGTGTGGTGATGATTGATTTCAATTGGGTTGAAGATAATGACAGAACACTCCTGGAGACCACGTCACGGAATTCATTACTGCTCCAAATAGATTTGGCAGTTAACAGTGATGTCCATATCTTGAAGAATGATTCGAGGTCTCTAGCTCTGATGTAGGCATTGACAATTTCCGTTCCAACAGAGAGGTAGTCTTCATCACAATACTTGTTTGAACTGTTATCAAGTAGTTTCATTATTCTTTCAGCTTGTTGAGTGACAATTTCAATATCGAGCTTGAACACTGCCTTGACCAAATCCCAGTTCTGTTCACTATTGGCCAATTCTCTTTCAAAGATGTTGAGCAGGAAATCATGAGAAAGTGTCCTCTTTGTATTCAAGATGCATTCAAGTAAGTTCCCTGATAACGTTGGATATTGTTGTACAATCTTGGTAAATATCTTTTGCATCTTTTCAGTGTCATTTTTAGAGAGACAGTCAACAACAAGCGTATACATCTGAGCCATACCATTTGGTGAAACCTCTTGCTTCAGTAACAGATCAATGTTTTGCTCCAAATGATCCAAGTTTTGATTTGACAGTATTATTCTTTTCAAGAGTGGAACCAACGGAGATGAACTTTCCTTCGAGTGGATGAAGTCCAATATAATGGGTAAAGCGTTGATGACAAACAAGTTGATGAACTTCTCTGAATACTTTTCGACACTGACAGCACTCTTGAAGAACAAAACAACCTCTTTAATGCTCTGTTCATAGTTAACACCCTCAACTTTATCCAACAAGGTCAAGTAGTTACCCAGTATTTGTACTGCATGATCCTGAGAATTGAATAAAGAGGATTCCGAGCGGACCAAGTATAGAGTCTCAGTGACAGTTTCACAAGATTCAGCAGATGGCACGATTCCAGCTACGCCAGTAGAGAACACCTCACCAAATCTCAGTCTTTGGAAAGTCCGATTTCTGAATTTTGATTCAGTGTTGAGCATCCTCCAAGTCTTATTGAACAGTGTCCACACAGAGCCTTCACACCTGAACGCTGTCTTACCGTTTAAGCGATCAACGAGCAGCTCAAATACGAATTTGACAGCATTAGGCAGATACACGGCCAATTCGTCGTCAAGCAGTTGGTTTGATACCTTGACGATCTCTTCCACAGTGGTTGTCTTAGATCTCAAATACTTCGTCACACCTTCTGCGGTGGTGAGGGACTACAGGGACAATTAGTAACGAGCAATAGAAAGCAGTAAAACCAAACAACAGACAAACATACAAGCGACATCTCGGACCACCAAATCAACGAGTAAACAACAGAGCGAAGAACACAGAAAGCTACAAACTCCCCAGCTCGAGTATTAATTCGATGCGATGAGATGAGCCGAAAAGTTTTTGTATGTGCGTCCGGAATTCATCAGTTCCGACCAATTTTTTTTTTACTCCTCGATGTTTTTCGCTTCTTTCAACAACTTTTTTGTTTACATTTTCCATTTGTTTGTCCTTTGCTTTGTTTACGTCCAACGAATTGGAAAGAGAACACGGCGGCTGAGCTTTGGCGATGGCGATGCTGGATGAGAATGAACAGCCTTTGAAGCTGATGGACGAGTCGTTCGGCTTTGTCGAAGGGATCGATGAAGACGGTGCTGGCGGTGGTGATGAACAGGAGGTTGATCCGGTGTCGAAGGTGTTGCTTACTCGGTTTGAAGAAGCTCCAATCCCGCCCGAGGGAGTTGACAATTGGACGAAGAGTTCACGTATCCTGAAGTTCAGACTGAATCCTAATGGCGTCGATGGTGTAGGGTTCATCTCGCAGAACCCTCATAGTGATAAGAGAATCAAAGTGTATCCTCAGGAGACTAAGATCTACACCACGAAGGTGCCAACTTTTGACGATGCAGATGCTTACGTTGAGTATGTGTCTAATCTGTACAGTATCTATGATGCTCTTGGGGAGGAGAAGTACTATTCTGTGCCTACGGCGGGCGTGATCAACAGAGAGGCCCAGAGGAATCAGATTAATGTGTTAACAAAGGCCATGTCGTTGACTATCGAAGAATTACAGTCATATATTGACAAGAAGAGTACAAATGCCAATTCCGAGATTGAGGTGTTTGAATTGGAGGAAATATTAGCCGTATTGAACTGTTTGAGGGCATTGTATTTCACCCCAGACAATGAAATCCCTCGAGCACTGGCACAATGGATCAACATGGCTGATCCACAACCTGATGCGGAGCTTGCCAATGGCATAATGAAGTCAGAAATCCCATATAAACATCCTCTATTTTGGGCTTTTATAACTCAACTTACTCTTCGAGGGCTATACGAAACGGCTTCTGATGCATTTAAACAATCAAAATTTGAAGAATTACACGATGACGATGAAGAGCTGTACAACTTAATTGTGGACTGTTTGCATTTGCTCGAATCATATCCCGAAAATTCACCACAGGAGATCTTTAAAACTTGGAAATCCACTGCAGCAAAGGCGTTATCTAACGCATCACTAAGGAATACAGACAATCCAATGTTGTTAAATAACATTAGAAAATTGCTTCAGATCTTAGCTGGAGATCAAACTGCAATCGTGGAGCAATCGACATCCTGGTACGAGGCGCTTGTTGGATTGGTTTATTACCATATACCTTCTTCTGAACTCTTGACTGATTATTTCAACTCGGCAGTCTCAAGTCATAAACCTGACCAAACTTCGATTTGGGAATTGGCATGTGTTGATATCTTTGAAGAATCTTTCTTACAAGCATTACGTGCAATTAGTTCTTTCAGCACAGCCACTTCAGCTTATGTGTCCGCATTATGTGAAGCTAGAGGGCTTCTAAAAGGATACTCATTTGATGATGATTTCAAAGTGAGTTCAAGTCTTCTGATCTCACAAGATCTTTTTTCAACAACGAACCCTTCAGAGTTTTTAATCCACACTCATGCTTTGGATTGTTTAACCATCCATGAATTAGCTCCAGTGGGTATTGGCCTTTTGGCTTCTTCACGCAATCCAACTGCACGTTCAGTGATTGCGGAATACTTACCGAGATACGAATTCCAGAACAACGATGACATTGAATGGGCGCTAACTGTATGTGCAAGTCTTAAATTACCCTACATTGCACATGTGATTTACCGTACCGCAGCTCAAAGGTCTTTAGCTGAAGGTTTACTACTCGAAGCGTTGAAACTGTTTGCACGTGCTGGTGAGATTGAATATGTTAAGCACCATTGTTGGCTAATTTTTGAGAATTCTCTTATGCGTGGGGAACCTATTCAGGATGTGATTATTAATGCCACTGTGGATGATTCCATCTCAATAGAAGGTGTTGACAGGGAATCATTGGAATTGACACCGCTCTTGAGACAAACTTTAGCACCTTATGCGATCTTGTACAGATTTTGGAACTTGAAGAAAGAAGGTTCATTAAGATTGGCGTTGAAGAAGTTAATTTCACTCTTGAAATTCCCATACCTTCCACCAAGACTATTTGGACTAGTTCTCTCGCAATTATTACCGTTTGTTATTCTGTTGGTTCCACCAAAAGTTTTATTGAAGGAAGATTTACTCACAGTGGTGAAAATCTTGGATAAGTACGAAGAAGATATCTTTAACAAAAAGGATAAGAAAAGCATCGTTCTAACACAAGAATGTGATGAACTCTACCGTGCAAGTATTTCGCAAGAGTTTGAAAATGACTCCACATATTGGACCAAGTATTTGGATGATGCTAATGTCAAACCTCCACATGATTTACAAACATTGTTAAAAGTTGTTAGAAGGAACGTCGCAGTCGAGATTGGACGTGCATACTTGGAGGACAGTTATAACTAGATCCACATACAATGGTTAATTGTTCATGATCGTTTTTTGGTATTACTCAGTTCTATACTTTGGCTTTGTAGGTTGTTGTGGTTTTTGTTGAGCGTTACCCTGTTTCTTCTTATGTTTCTTACCACCTCTTTTATGGTTCATTTTCTTCATCAATTTTCTATGTGCTTCTTCATCGAGCTTCTTTTGGTAATCTTTACGTTTCTTTATTCCCTTCTTAGACTCCAGTCTTGCAAGTCTGGCCTTCTTGCCAGGTCTTGTCTTCTTCGCTTTCAAAGAGTCTAGATCTCTCTCCACACGTGAGTTGAACTTCACCAAGTCTATCACTTTATCGAACGGGTTATTTACTCTAATCATCGATAACGGTACGAGCTGTTCCCACGTGATTGCAGCTTCTGTGAACTCCTTTCTCTGTTTTGCTGTGTAATGTGCCACATAGTAAGACATCGGGCGTTCTTGTTTAATGCGAACTGGCGATGGTGACCTTAGTGAGACTTTAACTAATGAGGACTCCAAAGTGCGGCCTCTCTCTTCAACTGTTTTTGAAGTATCATTCGAGTTATCCGACCCAAAAGAGAACAGTGGGAAGTCAAATTCCTCCTGCATCGGCTCATCCTGAGCTTCTTCCTCCACTTTCGTCTCTACGAATTCAAAGTCAATCTTCGGAAGCACAACCTCATCTGTATCTGAAACCTCAGAGTCCTCATACAAATCTTTTCTGGAGATCCTGTAGACGCTGAACGTTAGCAATGGAAAGAAATTGACGACTTAAGACACTTACACAGTACCACTGGAACTCATACTTTGACCACTCTTTTGCAACACACGTCGCTGCTCTTCCCTTTTGGAGTAGAACGCCATGTTCATTGTGAAAGTTTTCCCAGTGTACTGAAGAAAAATTTGTCATCACCGGGGCAACAACAACCACACAAACCTCTCGCATACACAGCACACAGCACACAGGGCATACAACATACAACGGTATCGTGCTACCCAGGCAATTAACAATAAAACGAATGTATAATAACCGTAACGTTTATATAAAATGAATCCTTAAAGCCATCAAACCAACCATCAAAAATAAACAAAAGAAAACCAACAATTAAAGGGAAATAAACGAAGAAGCAAAGAACAAAAAGAAGAGGAGCCACACACAACCAAAGCATTATAGCAACAGTTGATTGCATACCAAGAAAGCGTTAAGAGGAAACCATCACAACCTGTAACAATTGGCAAGACGTTCAGCTCAACAGCCCGCCAATGTCCATCTTATCCTTTATAGGGGTGTTAACGACTTCCCCATCGCCCCTTGAGTTTGAAAAGCACAACAACTGTTGTGCTGCATTGACAACAGTCTCATACCCGTTGTATGATTTTGGAGTCATATCGCTTATATACGAGGATGAACCCTGGTTATGGGCAGATGGACTGTTTGTTGTAGCAGTGCTCAGCTGAGGTGCGCTAGACATCGGGGTGGGGAAGTTAGTTGTAACTTCCGTGTTCCCCTTGTGTGATATTGGTGGTAATAGATGAACCGATGTTTCATCTTCATCGATGACGGCGTGCTCGTCATCTTTGCCCAATATCTTCAAGTCGTTCCACGACCATACAAATCCACCATAGTTGAAAGAAGGCGTCCGTTTCCTGGTTAACCGTTCACGGTCCAGAGAGTAGTTTTCCAGGGAAGTCGATGACCGAGGAGAAATGACTATATGGCTCGATGATAAATGGTGCAATTGCTTCGAAGCCTTCAACACTTCTTGTAACTCCACGATTGGCGTATTCCTAGACATCGCCTCAGACTGGCTATGCGATCTTCTAGGTTTGAAACCCGTCTTGTTATTCGTATGGCTAGCTGATGAGCTGTGGTTAGCGGTGGAACGACGGCGCTGTTTAACCACAGGCGGGGCATTGATATCAACTAGTTTACCAAAGTTTGGATGTGTAGGCTTCAAGCATTCATCTGGAAATGAATCTCCAAAGATTGGCACGAGACAATAGCGGATGTTGAAGCTAAAGTTCTTTGCAAGCTCCCGGGCCTTGTCGTATGGTAACCAAGTGCCCTGGATCTTCAAGAACCCACCACGGATTCTTCTGACACAGGTTTGCAGGGAAGGGAAGTTCTCCACGAGCTTGACGATATCGGTCTTGGTATTCCCGCACGCTTTCCAGAGCCCCGTGAAGAACACAAACCCGGTGCTATAGTCCCAGATGATCCAGTGGTCGTTTATCTGGTACTCATACACAGAGATGAAGTTTCTCTCGTCGATGTTGGTGGAGTACTTCTTTCTCTGGATCACGCTCTGTGTCGTGTGTGGCTCATCGAGATAGCCCGAGATGAGTTCTCTTTGCGACTGCGGGATGTAACGTCTCGTCTGCTCAGAGATCGCATACAGAGGGTAGTTCACCGGGACGGAGTTGAGAAGCATCGTATTCTCGAGCTGTAGCTTGGCCGACAGGCTGATACTGGAGCGTCTTCTCGTCCGAGTAGGGGACTGCTTGATATTCTCAGACTTGTGGCTCGTCGACATCAGGGGCACACTGGGAGAAGAACAAGGAGGGGCAGCACGAGACAGTGTTTTACAAGCCAATTCGGGTCTATTTGTGTGTGAGGATACGCTATATCGGTGGTTCAGTCGTCAAGGAAGCCAAAGTAGCACAGTCTTCAGCGTATAACGGTGCAATGACCAGAGAAGCGTGCGATGTCAAAGGGGTGGCAGGACGGCAAAGGATTAATAATTTATAACGAAACTCGGGGGATTAACGAAAACACAAAAAATGTCACTGATAACGATTAAGCACACACAGCTTACACCACGCAAAAAAGAAGTTACACATTACGCGCAGACGAGGGAGGACGCGAACGGCTGAGACCAAAAGTGGCCACGGAAAAAAAGGTGACAAACCCAGTGAAGATTGCGCAAGATCATAAAGCGTGTGCGTACCATGGCCCACCACAGTAATGGCAGGTTTTGGATGGGATCGAACTGGAGTGTTGCAGCAGGCTGAAGTGGACAGAGACGCAGTGTGGTGTGTTCTGGAGCTTGTGCGGAGTGAGGTGTAGGTGTTAAGAAGCAGCAACAGCTGTGAAGACTGGATCAAGGTTTCCCCTGCTGCCTTTTTAGTATATGCAGTCTAACGTTGCTAGGCGGCGAAATTGGCTACAGAGTTCTCAGTTGTAAAAAAGCAAGTCCAGCTCTATTTCTCTATTACCCGATTAATTCCCTCTTTATACATGCACAAGTGTTTACAGCCTAGGCCTCGACAACCTCGAGGTAGCCGCTGTCAACGTTATAGACCAAACCCCACAGTTCAATCTCGCCCTTTGCGAGAGCGTTGATAACAACGCTTTGGTTCCGAAGGATGTCGAGCTGTCTCATAACGTTAAACTCGGCCAGTCTCTTTGCTCTGAGCTTTATGTCTGTGATCTTGTTCAACTCCTCCAATTTCTCGTCTCTCAATTGGTCAATCTTGGTCAAGTACTCTGCCAAGTGGGAGTTGGCCGAGCCCAAGTCGTTGTAGGCCAAGGAGTTCAAGATGCCTCCACAGTCGGAATGGCCACAAACGATGATCTTTCTCACCTTTAGCACGTTAATTGAGAACTCCAAGGTGGATTTCGTTGTCAAGTCGTCAATGCTGATCATGTTGGCGATGTTCTTGAAAGCGAACACCTCACCTGGGGAAACGTTCAACACGTTCTCGTTGTATCTGGAGTCCGAGCAGCCAATCCACAGCGTGTGTGGGCTTTGGCCCTTGCCGTTAATCTCAAAGACATTTGGCTTGTAGTCGTTCATCTTCTCGACCCAGAGCTTGTTGTTGTACAGGTAGTCTCTCAACGTGCTCTCCTTGGTCAAGGCGAATGGCGAACTTTCATGGTCCTCGAAGATGTGCTCCGCGTGGTGGTGATGGTGGTGATGGTGATCGATATGCTCTGGGGATTCAGCCAATGGGCTCTGTGGCAAGGTCATTGTGTCCTGTTGGTATGTGCACATGTTATATCTTGCTTTTCCTAGTGTAACTGCTGATAGTCTTCCAAATGTGGTTAATCTTCCAACTCTACGAAGAGAAATGCTCATTACACTATCTTGCAAACTTAATCAAGGACAATGGGGATTTGGCCTTGACTTTATATGGCCCTCCTTACCCGGGGGCATTTCTCATACCAACAATTTTATTTTATCTACCTCAAGTACAGCCGTCAAGCTTCTCTTCGTTAACACGTCGACGTCATCGATTCAACTTCTCAACGTAATCTTGGTGGCATTTTAGTTTTTTGCCCACTTGCATAGTCATTGACTCAAACTGAAAATGCCACCACCAAAAAGAGCGAAAATGACAGTGACAAAAATTCATCACCCCCATTGCAGATATTGATGTCACATACAGTGCATCCCAGGTTTTCTGTTAAGGATTTTCCCGACATTTTGGTACGACTTTCCCGGTTGTTTGGCACGGGCAAGCAGATTACACAGGCCTTCCAGCGGCCGGAGGAGAATATTTTGTGCCCAAGGCAGGATCAAGAGAAGCATCTCACGTGTTGAGCGTATGGTAACTTTCCTTCTGGAAAGGAAGATATGCTGAGAAACGTGTGCTTTTTAAGGGGTGAAGACCTAACTGCTCACATCCCAGCACCGTGGATCTAGAGTTTTGGCTGGAAACAAGTGTTGATATCAACGAGATGGCTTTCAAAGCGAGAGAGGAGTGATGTCATGATGTCATTTCATATAGTCTCTGAGCCATTGGCTCATTCCATGGTTGTTTCGTGATCGCGGTTCGTCATGCTAATTACACTGTTACTGTAGAAACGCGTTTTACAGGATGCATCTTTATAGTATGGAGATTGGTTGGTTCGATCAGAACGGTTCCTCAGCTCTTATGAAATCACTCCGGATGGGATTAATCCAACAGTTGATGCATCGTTGTGAATGGTGTAAAAGCCCATATTTGGGACCTTTGCAGTGCCTGTCATAGCGGGCGTGGATCATTTCGTCAACTATCCAGACAACTCCGTAGGTTGAACCTCCTGTGGTTGCAGCCGATGCAGTACGGCCGGTGGAGGTCAAGCTTAAATCCAACAAAACCATGAACCATGGAAATGATTTCCGCTCCTATGACATCGTAACTATTGCAGCGACTTCCCGCGATGGCCTAGCTAAGCAGCTTCTCGAAAATGATCCGACCCCACTAAGAATGGTCTCCCGCACATTTTCTCAGCCTGGCCTTCCCCCAACTTTCAGCTCGCTGAACCGCCGAATTATATCTGTTGGTGACACAAACTTTCAACGCTTAGGATGTGGATTGCGTGGGGGTTTGGTGAGTCAGCAACGGAGGCTTCGACTTTAGACGGATGATTCATGAATCTTGAAACTTGTGCGAGGTTTACCAAATTGGAATTAGCTCATCCGTGTGTGTGTGTTACGAATGTCATATGCAAGTTTAAGAAAGCTGTTACCTTTTCTTGATGGGAGTCTTGGTGATGAACTGCTGATCAAGCGTGAGTTGCGCATGGTTAACAGAGAGTAATCACAACATTTTCCAAACGTAGAGCCCTGATGGCTTTCCAAACGATATGTAACCGGCATGATCACTCTCCAAACCGTCTGTAATCGGCATGATCATTTTTAACGATCTGTAATAGCCATGATCACTTTCTAAACGATCCGTCATAGTGTGTTTCTAATCGATATGTAATAGCCATGATCATTCTTCTGACGCCGCAACAACCAATGACGCTATAAACATACATACACCTCTTAAACCTCCTGTATAGACACACCTGTTAGGCAATCTGATACAGGACAAGTCCACCACTTAACTACACTGTTGAAATTTAGAACCATGAAAAAACATCATATGCGTTGTATTATTACAAAGAGGTAATTTACTTCTTCTCAGCAGCAGCAGCGTACTTAGCCTTCTTGTCAGCCTTAGCTTGGGACTTAGCACCCAAGATACCACCACCCCAGTGCTTTCTGTTCTCCTCGTACTTCTCAGCGAAGTTGGAGTTGATGGTAGAAACCAAAGTAGCCAAAGCAGACTCGTCCTCAGCTCTAACCTCAGTCAAAGCAGCAACGGCAGAGGTCTTTTGGTGAACCAAAGTACCCAAACGAGCCTTACCCTTGATGATGGCGTATGGAACACCCATCTTACGGCACAAAGCTGGCAAGAAGATGACCAACTCAATTGGGTCAACATCGTTGGCAATCAAAACGAGCTTAGCCTTCTTGTTCTCAATCAAGGAGACAACGTGGTTCAAACCAAACTTGACAACGTATGGCTTCTCAGAGGCCTCTTGTCTGGTCTTGCCCTCAGCGATGGCAGCAGCCTCCTTGGTCAAACGCTCCTTCTTCTCAGCCTTGGTCTCTGGTCTGTACTTGTTGAACAACTTGAAAGCCTCAGCAGCGGTGTTTCTGTCCAAAGTGTGTTGGAATTGGGCAATAGCTGGTGGAACCTTCAATCTCAAGGACAAAACCTTTCTTTGTCTTTGGAGACGGACGTACTCTGGCCACTTGACGAATCTGGACAAGTTTCTCTTTGGTTGGATAGCTTGACCGATACCGAACTTCAATGGCTTAGCCTCAGCCAATGGGTTCTTTGGGGCCTTGGACTTGGAAGCACCCTTGGAGGCGAATGGGGATGGAGCAACTTTCTTACCTGGAGCCATGGTTGATGTCTGTTGTTACAGCTGTTCCACAACTAATGGTTATGAGTGTAGATGTGTTGATTGATTTTTTTTTCACTGTTGCGATGGTAGCAGATACTCCCAAAAGGGAAATAAACGCGAATGTCTGGTTGTTGCGGGACACACCAGTGTTGTGGTCCCTTTGCGCTTGGTGGTATTTTTCATCAAATATGCTGCCTCTACCAAAATATAGCTTTTGTGACTGCTTTTTGGTGTGTGGGTGTTATATCCATATCGTCGTTTGTCCATGGTGTCACATTACATCCAGACATCTTCAAATGCATGTATGAACTTTGATTTTTGCTGCAGAACTGTACAGCTATGTTGTTGCTACAGGGTGTTTAGCATCTTTGAAATGCTTATATTAGAACTAAACTTTGTTGTCAAAGCTAACTTCAACTTCTGGAATCCTCGTGTTGTATATTGGTTTCTCGTTCTTGTCCCTTGAACGCTCTTGCAGCCTTTGTCTACGCTCTTCAAAAGTTTTCTTGGTGGTACTGCGTGTAAGGTACCACAGGAAGGACAGAACTATGATTCCAGAGGCCAAAAAGGCAAGACAGATCGAATATGGGACGGTATAGCGTGGAGAGTACCTAGATCTGAACATCTGTGGACCGATGATACCACCAAGCTGTGCAACACTGTTTGCGAAAGATAAGGAGAAACCAACTTCGGTAGAGCCGTCCAAAGATTGGTTCATCCATGAACTCATCACTGAACCATCTGCTGAAGCACCAACAGTGGCTAATATGATGAAGGCGTACAGAACAGCACTATTAGTGACAAGTGTCAGTACCAGGAAGGCTGCAAAGGTAATTGTCAGAGAGAAGGCAACGAGATACGGTGGCGTTATTTTTGCTCGGTCTACACCGTAGGAGAACAAGATTCCAGAAATCACAGACATTGCAGCAGATGGAACAGTCATGAGTGGTGTTGTACTTGCTTTTGTAATACCAAACTCCAGGATGATGGAAGGCAGCCAGAATGACAGGCCGTAAGTCCCTAAACTTTGGAAGAGTCTCAGGAAAGCAAACAAAACCAATGTTGGACGTTTAAGAGAAGCTTTAACATGTTTCCAACTGAAGTTTTTGTCTGTTGATTTTGGCGATGAAGGGGGCAATCTTGCAATGATATATGCCTTCTCTTCATCACTAAGCCACTTCGATGTATCTGGGAAATTTGGCAAGAAGAACAGCCCTAAAACTGCAACACATAGTGTGGCAAGACCTTCGATCAGGAAAACATACTGCCATGCAGAAAGATTACCATGACCGGAAGCGAAACTGAAACCATACGTAATGAATGCAGTGAGAACACTTGAAAACGAGCCCAAGACACCAAGAAAGGCCATTCTTGTTGTGATCTCATCTGGTCTATACCAGTACGTCAGATGTGTCAGCTGACTGGGATAGAGACCGGCTTCGAACAGACCAAGGAAGAATCTCAAAGCATAAAGACCTTCCTTGTTCTTCACAGCGGCTTGACAAGCTGTGGTTGCACCCCACAAGAGAGCAATCCGGAATTGATGAATTCTTGGAGTTGTTTTCTTAAGAAGCATCGTCGAGGGGATCTCAAAGATGACAAACGGAATGAAATAGATGGTGCTGACCCAAGCCCACTCATTGGTTGTCATTCCGAGCTGCTCAAGAATGTTGTATTTCGTTCCTTTGTTAAGGGTAACCAAATAACTGACATTGTTGACGTCAAGATTCTTGAACAGATACAAAAGGATTAACATTGGCATTAAGTGGAAATCAATCTTTCTTAAGAGTTTCCTCTCTTCCATATAAGTATAATAACCCGACGTTTGGACAGCCTCCTCAACAGTTCGGTACACTTCTGATTGTAGGAAATGGGAAGAATCCGTCGTTTCAGACTTTGTAATAGTGACCTTTTCATTGATCTTCTCCTTCTCGATGATCGAGTCACGAGAGTTGCTGCTACGAGTTTCGATGTTTTCTGGCATGATCGGAATAACTCTGTCAATGTTAAGGAGCGAGAGATAAGGCAGCACTATTGAATCCAACACATCTCAATCCCCTTCTTATATAACTTAACATTTGGATGGCTATGTGCTCTCTCTTCACCACACTGTGGAGGTCACAGTTGTGGCACAAGCACCCCATAACACACAATCGTCGCAGCAAAGAGGAAAGGGTTCTTAGTCCACCCACTTTTGGACCTAGATCCGATATGACATTGGGAATTATGAATAAAACATGGAGAAAAAGTAGTCTATAATTGTTCCGTTTCGGGTATTTTAGCGGAAGCAATGCGTCAAGTCCTGCCTGCATCCTGCGAGATGAGCTGTACCACAACTCAAAACCCAAAAAGTCGTCTCTATTTATCCGGTTGCGGTTGACAGCCCTCTTCGAATGTTTTGAAAGGGCTGAACTTCCCATTCATTGGAACAATTATACACTGATGCTGTATCTCTAGTTAGTATACCCAATCTGGTTGCTGTTTATGGAATCAGGGCCCCTGCTGAACACTCAATCATGAGCTCTGGAGCTTTGTGAAATGCGCCTGAGCCAACTCGTAATGGACGTAATTCAACAGCTTCCTATGCACACGAATAGCTATGGCTCACCGTTAATAATAATGTTGTGCTCCACGAGCGACTGAGATATCTCATGGTTTCTTGTTTGAAAACTGCTCATGCTTATTATTAACCCAAACCAGTGTGGTGTGGCGTTCTCTTAGAAACCACTGGTTGCAGCGTATGGGATCGACCTTCCGTAAAATTTCTTTCTCAACACCAAAGCCAGCTTCTTCAACACCGATAGCTCGAGTGCGATCTACCACCAATAAAGCCACATATGAGGCCATGCCGAGACCACTTTCAGCGACGATCTTCATGTGTTGCGACTTGAATGTTGCCAGTCATGAGCGTTGGGAGTTGTGAGGCCTCTTCGCATCAATTATCGGTTGCAGATCTCTTTACAGATCTGCTTCGCATCAGCTTGTCCCGGCCTCTCCGCAGATATAACAAGTCTGTTTTATCCTAAAAAAGCTGTAAAATACAATATCAACAGTGTCTTACCTCAAGCTATAGCCCCAAATGTGTTTTGATGTTGAAGAGGTATTGGGCCAATTAACCATCCAGGAAAAGATATCGTTGGTTTCAGGCGTGGACTATTGGCATACTGCTCCAGTGCACAGGCTTAATGTCCCCTCTATTAGAACGTCAGATGGTCCTAACGGTATAAGGGGCCAGCACCATTTCAACAGTACGCCAACGGCTGCGATTCCAGTGGGAACAGCATTAGGCGCAACTTGGAATAAGGAGCTACTGTACAAAGCTGGTCAGTTGTTAGAGAAAGAGGCGAGGGCGAAGGGTGCTGGTGTCGTTTTAGGGCCTACTGTTAACATTCAGAGGATTCCTAATGGTGGCCGTGGGTTTGAATCCTTCTCTGAAGACCCATTATTGAGTGGTGAATTGGCAGCTTCTTACATTAAGGGCATCCAGTATGACGGTGTGGCTGCCTGTATCAAGCACTTTGTTGGCAACGATCAAGAGAACGAACGCTTCTCTTCCAATTCCATCATCTCTGACCGTGCCTTGCGAGAGATATATCTCAAGCCATTTGAAATTGCCATTGAGAAAGCAAAGCCTTTAGCACTGATGACTTCGTACAATAAGGTCAATGGAGTCCACGCAAGTGAAAACAAGATACTGTACAGTATCTTGAGGGAAGAATGGGGCTGGGACGGTACAGTTATGTCAGATTGGACTGGCACATACTCTACTGCTGAAGCCATCAATGCAGGACTCGACCTCGAGATGCCAGGACCAGCCAAATTCAGAGGCGTGTTGCTTCAACATGCTCTTTTAGCAAAGACCGTGTCTCTCAGAGCCCTGGATGAACGTGTAAAGAATGTGCTGAGGCTTGTTCACAGAGTCCAGGCTTCGCAAATTCCAGAAAGAGCCCCAGAGACAGAGAGAAACCTGCCAGAGGATCGTAAGCTCCTGAAGGAGCTTGCATCTGAAGGCATTGTCCTGTTGAAGAACGAGGATAATGTGTTACCATTAAATAGGCAGAAGAAGGTACTGGTTGTAGGGCCAAACGCTCCCTATGCCATCTACTCAGGTGGTGGCTCTGCGTTGTCAACACCATACTACTATGTCTCTCCCTTAGAGGCTATTACCAGCATTGTTGGTGATGAAAAGGTGGTGTACGACTTTGGTGCTTATAACCACAAGTACTTACCAAGTCTTGCACAAGAGCTCTTCAATGGAGAGAGTAATGGAACCCTGATCGAGCTGTTCAATGAGCCACCCTCGGTACCTGGCAGAACACCGTTTGATACCATCCAGTTCAAGAACATCAACTACTTCAGGATGAATGATTATACACATCCTGGCCTAAAGTCGCTGAGATTCTATGCTACCTTAACTTCCACCTTTATTCCACAACATGACGGTGAGTACACCTTTGGAATAGCAGTAGATGGTACTGCCAACCTCTACATTGATAATGAGCTGGTGATTGACAACTCCACAAACCAGAAGCTCGGTGAATCGTTCTATGGCTCAGGAACAGTGGAAGTTTACGGGAAGTACCAGGTGAAGAAAGGCAAGTCCTACGCCTTGAGAATCGAGTTTGGATCATCAGCAACCAGCAATGTCTCCGGCAACAGGACCTTCAGCGGTGGTGGTGGCTTGAGATTTGGTGGGCTGAAGATAGTTCCCAATCCAATAGAAACCGTGTTGCAGAAAGCAAAGGACTATGAGCAGATTCTCGTTGTCACAGGACTCAATCATGACCATGAATCTGAAGGCTCTGATAGAGACGATCTGAAGATACCAGGTGAAAGCAACAAGCTGATTGAAGCGTTGCTAGAGGCTAATGCTGATACAGTTGTTGTTATACAATCAGGAACTCCTGTGGAAATGCCGTGGGCCAGTAGGGTGAAGGCATTGGTTCATCAATCCTATGGTGGAATGGAAGGCAGCAACGCACTGGCTGATGTGCTGTTTGGCAACAGCAGCCCTTCTGGCAAGCTCCCGATAACGTTTCCCAGACGGCTCGAAGATACACCATCGTATATAAACAACACTACTCAAAACGGCAGAGTTCTTTATGGTGAAGATATCTACGTGGGATACCGGTACTTTGACAAGGTGAGCAGAGACGTTCTCTTCGCTTTCGGCCATGGCCTGTCGTACACCTCCTTTGAGCTCACTGGCCTGGTTGTGAACGTGAATGGTGATCTGCTGGAAGCTTCTCTAACAGCCAGGAACACTGGCCAACTTCAAGGCTCTGTTGTCGTTCAACTATACATCGGTAAAGCAGATTCAAAGGGAAGACCGGTGAAAGAGCTCAAAGCGTTCGAGAAACGATCTTTGAAGAGCGGACATGAACAATTGATAACGTTCTCTGTTCCTTTGAAGACATCAACTTCATATTTTGATGAAGAAGTGCAGAAATGGCTCTCCAGTGCTGGTGAATACAACGTCATCGTTGGCCAGTCAAGTGACGATGTCAAGAGTGTAACACAGGCCTTCACTTTACACCAGTCAATTGTATATTAGAATCTACAACAGATACCTATACACAGGTATAGCATGCAAACCCTCAAGATCAGATATTAAAACAGGAATATATATATATATGGTAACAAAACAAAGAAAAGACATTAACATAGAAAAAAAATACTCATTGGAAGCCATTAAATCATCTCAACATGCAGCGTAGTTTTGTTTTAAAGGATTTACTCCTGGATCCAACCCTTGGCTCTCTCAACAGCTCTCTCCCACAAGGTCCAGTGAGCTCTTCTCTCGGTGTCAATGGACTTGGACTTGAAGTCACCTTGGGACTCACCACCAATGGAGGCCACAACGTCATCCAAGTCGTCCCACAATCTCTTCGAGGCATCCTTCTCGGCAAGACCAGCAGCGATAGCAGCACCAAGAGCAGTGGCTTCAGCGTTTGGAGATCTTCTAACAGTGACACATGGACCCAAGATATCAGCTTGGATTTGCATAACCTCGTCAGACTTGGACATACCACCATCAACAGCCAAAAGAGACAATGGAGCCTTCTCGTAGGTGCCCTCGGCCTGCTCCAAGAAATCACCATCAGCACCGGCATCAGAAGCCATGGCCTTCAAAATGGCACGGGCTTGGTAGCAGACACCTTCCAAAGCAGCTCTGGCAATGTGGGAAGCCGTTGTGTATTGAGTGAGACCCAAGATGGTACCTCTAGCCTCGGAATCCCAGTATGGAGCAAACAAACCAGAGAAAGCTGGAACGAAGACAACACCACCAGAGTTTGGAACTTGGTTTGCCAATGGACCAATATCTGAGGCAGCGTTGATCAACTTCAAGTTGTCTCTCAACCATTGGACAACAGAACCGGCAACAGCAATGGAACCCTCCAAAGCATAATGGGCGTAGTTCTCACTCTCACCCAAAGCTGGGAACCAGAAACCAACAGTGGTCAAAGCACCTTGGGTGGAGACAAGGGTCTTCTTACCAGTGTTGTAAAGCAAGAAACAACCAGTACCGTAGGTACACTTAGCAGCACCTTGCTTCAAAGCCAATTGACCAACCAAAGAGGCAGATTGATCACCCAAACAACCAGAAATTGGCACACCCTTGAGGGTGTTCAACTTCTCAATGGCTGTGCTAGAGAGGGCACCTGCGAAGCCAAGGCTGTCAATTTCTGGGACGCTGAAAGTACCGTAGTGTTCAGCAGAAGAGACAATCTTTGGCAATGTAACCTTCTTGGAATCAATGTCCCAGAGAGCAAGCAACTCATCGTCGTATTGGAAGGTTTGAATGTCCATGAACATAGTTCTGGATGCGTTGGTGACATCGGAGACATGAGCGTGCTCCTTGGTCATGTGGTAGATCAACCAAGTGTCGATGGTACCAAACATCAACTCACCCTTCTCGTAAAGTGCCTTAACATCCTCGTCATTGTCAAGCAACCATCTCAACTTGGAAGCAGAGAAGTAAGTGGAGAGTGGAACACCACACTTTTGTCTCAGCTTCTCCAATGTCTCGGCTGAGACAGAAGCCTTCTTCTTATGGACAATATCAGCAGTTCTGGTATCATTCCAGACAATACCATAGTTCAGCGAGCGACCAGTCTTCTTATCCCAAACAATGGTTGTTTCTCTCATGTTGGCAATACCAATGGCAGTCACCTTGAGTGGCTTCTCACCCTTGGATTCACGCTCAGCGTTAATCTTCTCCAAAGTGATGATACAGGCAGCAAGACACTGGACACCGTTGGCCAAGACGTGTGCTGGCTTAACCTCGACCCAGCCTGGGTTTGGGAATCTCAGAGTTGGTCCTCTGGAGTCGTGGTCATCCTCAATCTCCAGGTCCTCGTTGGCAGAGATGGTAATACCCTCGGCAGAGAAGATCTTAGTCTCACCATCAGCGGTGGTGTTGGCGGTTGTGGAGTACTCGATCTGGTGCTTAGCAACCTCTTGACCCTTTCTGTTGAAAAGAATGGCTCTGGAGGAAGTGGTACCAATATCGATGGAGGCGATCAAACTGTGCTCTCTGTCAGTCATTGTGATAGCAGAATATGGAGTGTATGTTAGTCCAAGGTGGAGATGGAAAGAGTAGACAAATATCTACAGAAACAGGGGTGCAAGGCCGGCTTTTTATACCTTGCTGTCGAGAAGGCGAAAAAATGAGCGCGTGTATTTGTGCATCGACAACATTGCCAGCGGTTGCAACTCTGGAGAAACTTATGCGGCGGCTAGGCAACAGACTGCGCGTAAATGCATGATTTTAGGCGGAGATGTCCCAAAAAAAAAACGAACACCAGTGGGAGAGAAATTTTGGACAAGAGACATTTCCACTTAGTGGGGAAGGGATCAGTAGTTGGCTTGTGAAGACCATGTACAGTGGCGGGGACAAAATGGTCCTAGAAGCCAGTTTGGTATTCTTCAGTAAGACACTCTGGGTGTTAGTACTAAGTTCCAAGGTGCTGTGTGTAGCGGACACCTCGTTTTTAGGACGCTCGGAAGACGATTAGCCATTGGAAGTTACGGGTGGACAAAGGCTGAATAATCCTATGGATTTGGACCACACCCCTCTCCCCCCATGGGGAAAAACGCCGTTGGAGTAGAACATGCGATCAAAGTTTAAAATGTGGGAATTTTATTTTGGGGGGGGAGGCTACCGCACCAACGAGCCCATTTTTAAGCGCAATGACATCGATGGTACAGCGCCTGTCTTCCTTGTGAACCCAGGCAAGAGTCATTTGTCTTGTCCATGATTAAATGGTATTCATATCAGAACCTATTGTTGGGCGCTCACCGATTGCTCTTACTGAAGATTTTGTCGCCACAGTAGCCAACGGAGTGGAATGAAACAGCTTTCCAACCGGCGACGTGTCTTCAGAATCGTACAAACGCTCGATACTGGGAGCATTTCCGTTCGTGATGGGTGTGCATCAAAGTGCTGGAGGCCCGAGCTGGAGTCTAGCATGGAAGAAGTTTCACCGAAAGCCGGAGGGATGCAGCCTACTACACGGTTTCGCCCCGGGACTTTTAGCCGTTGGGAAAACTTCAACCGTGCATTTCAAACAAAGTGCACTACAGTATTGTTATCCAAAGTTCAAGATGTGGTGGGTCTTTTATACACATAGAACTGACTTATAGGATGCTTAACGAGTCCTATGATGACTTACAGAAAATATAATATTGCCATAGATATGATCGGAAACTTGTCTAGGGTTGCAATTCTCTCAAAACTCTATAAACGTTACAAGTTGAAAAAAAAATAGCCCCTCTCGAATAGCCTAAATGTCCCGGGTGATCACGCTGCTTGGGAAAAAAAACCTCCCCAGACGCTCGCGTGGACAAACTCTGGGGCTACACCGTACCATTTCCGGAAACATCATGTAGAAACCCCGTCGCAAAATCGCTTGAAAGCCAATCAGACAGGACAAACTCCGGCTTTTTTTTATACACGCTCTCGGTTACTATCATGTTGATTGGCTACGACATCACTGTAGATCTGATTTACATCTTTTGTCGTTCACCTGCCCGTGGGAAAGAGAAGGTTGTCTAATTTAAGCTATATGGAAATTCAGCTTCCTTACAAAGAGAGGGGATTGTCCTTTCATCATTTCATAGACTTCGTCAACAGCCAAAGCTGATTTACCCACACAGACGTCTGAGTATAATGGATAAAAAAGCTGGTGTTTTCTACATTATAATCACTATGACAACAGCGTTAAGCAAACGATGTATGCACTTGGTGTAAATACTGGCCCCGGCTCTCAGTACAGGTAGCGACATTCAATCTCCCGAATAAACTTCTTTCCGATGGTATAACCACAATTGTAATTAACGCATAACTACTCTAGTATCCACTGTTTGAGAAGATAGCCGTCAGAACAAACAAATGTAGATTGTTGTTATTTGTTAGGCAATCATCGACTTGAATCAACAGGTTAGCTATATACGAAAAAAAATGCTTGGTTCTGTAGATTGATACTCTCTCTGTACGTAAACCGACATTTAACACGGTAATTTTCAGGCATTCACAAGGACAATAAACCTACTTTAGTTATGGTGGATTTAAAGCTTGCACCCTAAGTCGGAAACCTCTTCAATAGTATTAGCGGTGTCATTGGAAGGCATCAACGTATATCATGCAAACCGTCCTTTGCAATCGGCCGAAGTGTTTGGGGGTGCAATAAAACAGTCTAAACTTTAAATAAACACACAGTCTCATTGACAATGTCGCTCATTGAACAATATCTACCTTCCAGCCAGTTTTGGCACATGATTTTGAGATCGATCTTACAAAAAGCACAATCCAAAGTGTTGTGATGCAACAGGAAGAAAATGTATGAAATACGTTTGTCCAGTGCTGTAACGTCTATCGGTGATTTTTTGGGACAAATTAGCCCCTCCTCTCTCCGCGAAGTAAGATCTGCATGTCCGAATTTCGCGTCGAAAAGTACGTTCGTTGTCCGAGGCCGCACCCATAGGCCAACAGACATTAGCCACTGTCATTGAGGTGTGAAGCAGCAACGTTAGTTGATCAACTTGGACAAAAGAACTGTAGAGATTCAACATGAATTCGAAGAACAAGTTTCAGAACCGCTATATTGTTATCTGATTTATTGCTTTGTTTGGTCCATGTCGGAGAGTGATGGCTGGACCTGTCAAATTGTCCCGAAAGTCAAACTATCGAGAGCATTGAGTCACCGATACAATGGATTTGGTACCCTCGCTAAGAAACGCCTCTCTATCTTCAAAAGGAAGGCGTGATGGTTGACATTTCTATATCTGAGAAGCTGTGATTTCTCAGTATTGATGATCATCGTCTACTAAACGGCTTGAGGTTGCCTCACAAGCAAGTTCTTGGTATACAGCGGCTACTTTTTTCACATTGCGCACCAGCCAATGATATCACCGTATTTCTTGACGATTGCTGTGTGATTTGAGTAGCAAACTGCAATTGATAACTACACCGTTTTGTTCACTTTCAAGAATGCCTCTGATCCAAGTGAAGAGTACCAAGTGGGATCTGGACTCCTCTGAAAGAAGCACAGATATTAGATGACTTTCTTGAACGATCTAATCGATATATTCACTCCAACTATTGCGTCTGCTGATGTAAGTCTTCCAAGTGATTTGGATTATATTTGGTTCAGCGTTGCTGCTGAGGACACTGTGACTGTAACTAACGTTTTTACCAGGCAACAGTATCTGATATTCCAGATGAAGCTCTCATCCCAAAGGTGGAGGCAGTTCCTGAAGATGTTCCGAGGGACTACACTGACTTGAAAGAAGCTGAAAAGGATGAAGGTGAAGACAAACCAACTACAAAGATTGACCAGTCAAGCTCTTCTTCAGAGGAGACAACGGCTTCTGAAGGTAGTTCTGGTGAGGATAACGATAGTTTTGTCGAAGAACGTGTCACTTCACAGGCGGAAACTGGTGCAGAGAGTTCTTCTGAAGAGGGTGATGCTGAAGGGGGTGATGCTGAAGAGGGAGATGACGATGGCGATGAAGATGACGACGAGGATGACGACGAGGATGACGACGACGAGGATGAGGTCGCTGATCCGCTGGACAAGCTAAGAGCCGATTGTGCTACGCTTCCTAGCGTCAAGCCTTCCCTGCATCACTATCAAGAATGCGTTGAGAGGGTTACCAAGGCCCAAGAGGAACCCGACTACGCAGAGAAGGAATACAAAGAGGACTGTGTAGAGGAGTACTTCCACTTACAACACCACATCAACGATTGCGTGCAACCACGACTCTTTGCCAGATTGAAATGATTGGTAATTCTTCCTGAAATGCACATAAATGCTCAAAAAGTATCATTACACCTGGTATAAATGTAGCTGTGTCCGACTTTTCGTACATGTCCTCCTCCTCCGCCAAACGACCCCGTATACTTGTCCTTTTCAACGCCTTGGGAAAAGCAGAACCTTAAAAGTCACAACCGATCAGGTCGCGGCTAAAGACATTTTCACAGAAAAGATGAAGGAAACGGGACAACACATAATTATCAACCCGACCTTTCAACAACAACAACAACAACAATCAACGACTCTTATAATCAAACATCTTACTACACGGACAAAGAGGGAAAACATCACACTCGAGGACTCACCCAAGCTGTTTATTCGTTCCTTTGTTGATTGTCTGCGTCCCTTTGTCTCCTGCCGTTCCCTTCCTGTTGTATTAGTGCTATCCTGTTTGTCTTCTAAGCTAACCGCAGTGTATTATTTGACAACACGGGTAATATACCTGTCTCAGAATTGAAGGAAGCACTTCAGACTACAAGTCCAACAGATTCTGCGTATAAGCAACGAAATAAGCCCACGCTTCATCGCCGGACTTGGACAAAACAATATTCCGAAGGTCTCCCGTATCTATTTAGTCCTAAGTCATCATGAACAAGGAACAATTAAACCTGAAGAAGCAGGCTGTCAAGAGGACGAATTCGTCACCAGGGGCAACCATCCATGCAAGCAACTCCTTTGTCAAGCACGCTGAGCTACAGCGTTCCTCCACGATGAATAAATCTCCTCATACAGAAACACTTGCTCACAGGTCTCCAACAACAAGCCTGACCAGCACACGTTCGCCTGGAGGATCGTTACAAAGAATGTCATCTTATGAGCAGACGTATGGACCTGTGAGGACACCGAGTGCTTCGAGTCGAATGAACAAATCACGGACAAACAGCCTATCAAGAAACCCGTATATCGTCCAGGAGAAGAACTATTTGAAAAAGATCAAGAATGACATTACGGATGATTACTATACAAAGGCTGTGATCTCAGACCCTGCCGCAGAGAACGAGGATGACTCCACGATCGATGCAGAGCTGGATGACGAGGAACGTGACTTGCTGATTAATGTGGAAGTGCCAGGTGGTGCCAACTTTGAGCTGGACTATGGCGATACTTCGGTGGTGGAGATCAACAGGGATAATCCCAAGATCCTTGAAAGGTTGGAATGGCAGACAATGCTAAACCTTGTCCTTACAGGTGACGTTGTGAAATCTGAGAAGAGAAGAATCATCACACAGTCAGATACCTCTTTCCAAAGCACTTACAAGGATAACCTTTGGCTTGGAATAAGGGCGTATATACTGGGGAGAACAGAAGAGCAGCAAAGAAGAATTCTTGAGTACTCAAGGTCCATAGCTGATGAGAGCTTGAACCAGATTCTGACGTTCAAAGTTGTAAACCAAGACAATGCACTTGCCGAGGTTCGAGACATCGTTGAGAAATTCTACTCCATCAAGGAGCTGTGGAAGGATGAAAAGGATATGATTGCAGAGAAGCCAATAGTTGCCTCGACTGCGTTTTCAGATCGATTGGAAACGTTGATTTCCTGGAAAAACATCACCAGTACGCTGGACAGAGAGGTGAAAGCGTTGGAGAAATGGACACAGAGCACCAATCTCGACCTTACGGAAGTGCGTAACGATGGTTTCGTGGACACCTCCTTTGCTGATACGATGCTGAAAGAGAAGGATATCCTCTCGATCTTCCGTTCAAGGCTGTTCCACCGTTATTTCCCTTGGTTTAACAAGTCGAAGGCAGCCTTCTTGAACTACCACAACCTTTTCGAAGAACTCAACCTCCCAAGTTACATTCCAATGCTGGAGAAACTGGTGCTTTTTCCCATGCGTCTTATCAGAGAGATCATACGAATTCGTCTTATCTATGCAAGAAAGTTGGAATCACCCACGATGATGATGATCGATGAGATGATTGATGATTTTTCCCTCTACGTCACGCTCGCAGTTGGTATAAAACAAGCATTTATCCATTATACTGTTGGCTGGGACATACACATGGAGGCATATGAAGGTTACGATGAAACTGTGTTCGAGGCTATCAAATATCTCTTTGGCCTGATCCACCGGAAACTGATCAACACAGCAACAAAGTCTTTCAAGACTTTCAAAGAACCAGATGATCTTGAAAGTATATGGAAACTAGCAAAGAATGTTGGATGCTTCATCGATCTGGCTGGTCCAGAAGTTGTATTTCAAATTGCATCATTGACAACAAAGTTGGTTCAACGTCTAACGGTTTACATCTCTCAACAAAACAAAGCTATTGAAACTATCATCAACAGCGATAAAACACCAGAGCAGAAGGAACACGAAGCAATGGCAATGGTGGATAGTTCATTGGATAAATTCAACAACGTGAGAAGAAAGTTGTCAAAGTTCTACTCTGTCATTAAGAAATCATACAGTAATGCTGCGCTGTTCAACGTTGCAAGACCTGCCCTGTTTCTGGAAGCTTTGAAGAACAATGACCACTTCTTGATCCAGACAGGATACTCAACTGGTATCTATCTGGTGGCGTCGAGTGATCTATACGGAAAAGATGACGAAATTATAAAAATTATAAAGGGCTCTGAACTGGGATCTGACCTCTTCAAGCCACCTTCTCAAATATCTGATATCCATCTTGACTACTACGAAGAGGATGAAGATGACAACGTTGGCTACATTCTTGTTATTCATGCCAATAGACCAATGTTGTGGGAGGGCTCTATTGTATCCATTCCAGGAGTCACTGATGTGTTGGTTGATACGAACCCTGGTGAAGTGTTGTTGGTGACCCAGGGAGCTTCTCAAACGCTTCGTTACACGAAGACTATCTTTAGCGATATTATGGGAGACTATGTGACATTTATTGAGAACAGACCAAGTCTTACGTCTGTTCATAGAGAATTGGTCAGAACTGAGAAACTATTCTTCAAATTGGCTGTTTCCATGTTTCCTGAATTCTTCAAGCTTAAAGCCATGATCCAGACTCTTAATAGAAGCCCTGAAGGGTTGCAGTATCTTTACTGCTTTATCAGAGACATGATGAAGAACTACATCAAGTTCGTGGAGGGTCCAAAGAAGACTGTCATAGTGAAGAAGATGATAACGCTTGGTATAGACTGGGTCAGTTTCGTCGTTGATGATTGTATTCCAACTGATAAGAAAACGTTCAGATGGTGTGTCACTGCACTTGAATTTGCCATGGAGGTTTCCAGAGGCTTTAATATCTTAACTTTGAAAGATGAACAGTTTAACAAGCTCAAGGAGAAAGTTGCCGGGTGTATGTCCCTACTGATCTCACACTTTGATATCATGGGTGCGAGATCAAGTGAAGCTGAAAAGAAGATAATCACTAATTTGCCCAACGCAGATCAGGATGAGAAGGCCATTATCGAACACTACAGGGCACAAACCATGGAAAAGCTCAGGGCTTTGGATGAGGCACTTCAAGTGCAAAACGTTGGTAAAGTGTTGGATGACACCATGCAGGAGAACCAATATCTGTCATTCCTTGCGTCATCCTTCTCAAGTCTTTCTATCAGATGGCAAAAGAGAAAATTCATCGGTGGTGGTTCGTTTGGAAGTGTGTTTTCAGCTTTAAACTTGGACACCGGTGGAGTGCTGGCCGTGAAGGAGATCAGATTCCAAGATGTGCAATCAATTAAACAAGTTGTCCCACAGATTAAGGAGGAAATGACGGTGTTAGAGATGTTGAACCATCCAAACATCGTTCAGTACTATGGTGTTGAAGTCCACCGTGACAAAGTGAACTTGTTCATGGAGTTCTGTGAAGGAGGCTCACTAGCATCTCTGTTGGAACATGGTCGCATTGAAGATGAAACAGTGATTCAGGTATATGCCCTTCAGATGTTTGAAGGTCTTGCTTATCTCCACGAGATGGGCGTTGTTCATAGAGATATCAAACCAGAGAACATTCTCTTGGACCACAATGGCTTGATCAAGTTTGTTGATTTCGGAGCAGCAAAGGTGATCGCTAAGAATGCCACCAAGAAGGCAGCAACAAAGATGAACAGCATGACAGGAACCCCCATGTATATGTCTCCTGAGGTGATCACTGGCAACTACGGCTCTAAATATTCTCTCGACGTGTGGTCAACAGGATGCTGTATCCTGGAAATGGCCACGGGCCGTCGACCATGGGCCAACCTGGACAACGAGTGGGCTATCATGTATCATATCGCAGCTGGCCATCTTCCTCAATTCCCAACAAAGGACCAACTGAGTGAGGCCGGGATCAAGTTCCTGTACAGATGTCTCGAGCGTGATCCTCACAAGAGACCGTCAGCGCAGAAACTGTTGGATGACCCATGGCTCGTTGAGATCAGAATCCTGGCCTTTGGAGACAGCACAAGCTCGTCAGAAGTGTCAAGTGACATTGGAGCCTGACAGCCGTCTAACACACTCGCTCGATGTAATGAAATGAGATAATCACAATGTCCAGCCGTTTGTAGAGATTTGTCCGTGCTGTGCCCCCATCCGATGACCTTGCGGAGGGACAAAAAAAGAAAATTTTATAGCCGGAGGGAGCTTCCTTCGAGACATAGAGACATTGGACAATAGATCAACACAAGATGGCCACGCTAATCCCACCGCCTTCTAAGAAGCAGAAACGTGAAGCCCAGAAGCCACGTGAGGTTGAGATCATCCCAGAAGATTTGCCAAATGTGTTGATTAAGTTCCAGGCATCCGACACTGGAGCCTCTGTCGGGGGATCTCTTCACGTTCCAGGTAACATCTCGGAGAAGCAGCTGGAAGAGCTTCTCAATCAGCTCTTGAACGAACAAGACGAGCCTGTTCCATACACTTTCAGCGTTCAGGATGACAAGGGCAACCTTGTTGATATCAAGGATAACATATATTCGTCCATCTTGAAGCCTGGCATCAAGACGACAGAGGACTTCATGACGCTTGTGTATACTCCAAGGGCCATCTTCAAGGTGAAGCCTGTGACCAGATCGTCAGCTGCTATTGCTGGACACGGCTCCACGATCCTGTGTACACAGTTTGCTCCACATACCTCGTCAAAGATGGTCACTGGTGCCGGTGATTCCACTGCAAGAATCTGGGATTGTAACACACAGACACCAAAGCACGTTTTGAAAGGACATACCAACTGGGTTCTCTGTGTTAATTGGTGTCCAAATGGTGAGATGATCGCTACGGGGTCCATGGACAATACTATCAGACTCTGGAGTGAAAACGGAGAGGCCCTTGGTGGCCCGTTGAAGGGCCACACGAAGTGGATCAGTTCGCTGGCATGGGAACCAATTCATCTAGTTAAGCCTGGTCAGAGCCCAAGATTGGTCTCTGCTTCCAAAGACGGTACGTTAAAGATCTGGGATACTGCTAGAAGAGTGCCCCTGCTGACGCTATCAGGCCACACCTCCTCGGTGTCCTGTGTAAAATGGGGTGGTGAGAACTTGATCTACTCTGCATCGCATGATAAGACCATAAGAGTCTGGGATGGCTCTACTGGAGCATGCAAGAACGTATTGAAGTCGCATGCACACTGGGTTAACCATTTGTCTATCTCCACTGACTATGCGTTGAGAATGGGTCCATTCGACCACACTGGACAAAAGCCATTGGACGCTGAAGATGCCCAGCGTAAGGCCCTTAAGAACTACGAAAAGGTTGCCAAAATCAACGGCCGGAACGAAGAAAGACTCGTCACTGCGTCTGACGACTTCACCATGTACCTCTGGGACCCCATGAACTCCAACAAGCCTGTCTGTCGTATGACAGGACACCAGAAACTCGTGAACCACGTCCAATTCTCGCCTGATGGCCGTTATATAGTGTCTGCTTCGTTCGACAACTCCATAAAGCTGTGGGACGGTCGTACCGGCCAATTCATCGCCACCTTCAGAGGTCACGTGGCAGCTGTCTATCAGACTGCTTGGTCTTCTGACTGTCGTTTGCTTGTGAGCTGCTCGAAAGATACAACCCTCAAAGTATGGGACGTTAGAACGAGGAAGTTAAGCATCGATCTTCCAGGCCATAAAGACGAGGTGTACTCTGTCGACTGGAGCGTTGACGGCAATAGAGTTGCCAGTGGTGGTAAGGATAAGCAAGTTAGACTATGGACTCATTAGACATAGATTTACAACTCTGTTAAAGTATCCAGCTCTTTGTAGAATTTATCCGACTATAATCCAATCTTCATTTTTCCGCAAGCGATCCATCGGATAAACCAACGGACACAACTGCGCCAAAATGTCCCACTCTCCACCCTCAAACACACATGTCCACACATCGTGAGCAGCTGTCGTTTGATCATCTACGACATTTCGAGACATGAAGTTGAACATGATCACGCTGTCCTCATGGCCGTCTATCGTGATCCGCGGAATTGTGCTGTTAGGCGTGGCACATAGGGCGTACACCCGCAAGACGCTTACACCTCTGGGTGTTGAAGTGGCGTTGATGACCGGCTTCTTCCACTCATTACCTCCCACCAACCTCTATCTGACGCTCCTGGTGGTGTTCTACCTGACGTCTTCGAAGGCGACGAAGTACAAAGAGGAGATCAAGTCGAAGAAGACCAAGACTCCAGGCTCAGATCATGAGGCAACTGAACTAACTCAGCGTACACACGTCCAAGTGCTTGCCAACTCAGCTGTCGCAACGACCTTGATAATCGTTTCACTATTCGTCACTGATCCTGTGCTAGACGACATGCTCAAGGCTGGTGTGGTTGGCCAGTACTGTGCCGTCATCGCTGATACGTGGTCGTCGGAGCTGGGGATTCTGTCGAAGTCCAGTCCCTTCCTTATCACAACATTCCAGAGAGTGCCACCAGGAACAAACGGTGGCGTCACGCTCTTTGGACTTATTGCAGGGACCACTGGATCAGCACTGATCAGCTTTGTCTCGATGTTCACTTTCAAGGAGAACAGGGTGGGAAAGTTTGTGTTCTTTACCCTCATTGGCCTGCTAGGGACGTTGGTGGATTCGATGCTTGGTGCACTATTCCAAAGGTCAGTGGTGGATAAGGATGATGGCCTGGTTCTGGAACCCTTAGGTGGTGAACGAGTGGATGAGGGTGTTCTCCAGGAGATGGAGGGTCATATCCAGGTGGTGTCCGGTGAGGATATGTTCAGTAACAACGACGTTAACATTGTCATGTCTGTTTTTACAACAATGTGGTGTATTGGATTGTACGCCCTTTTATTCTAACATGTATCTAATCTATGGGTAACTACTCGCTGTCACTCTCATCGTAGCTCTCAGATTCGCTGCCTGTTTCCTCTTCAGAGTCATCGTCCTCATCTTCGCCATCTTCATCATCTTCTTCATCACCATGAATGGCCACCTCCTCAACATTGACCTCGTATCCTTCACTGGAGAGGAACGCCTTCAACTCCTCCCCTTTAGAAGTGTGCGTACATGCGAACACTGAAGACGTCTCACTGTCAAAGATCTTTACATAGTACTTCTGTAAGATGTTAACCATGTCCTGTTTAGTAACTTGCTTCAGCTGTTTGATAAACTTGGTGTTGAAATGAGGACCTCTCTTCTTCAAGACATTGTCCATGTACTTCGCTCCGGCTGACGAGAAGAAGTTGCCTTCGCTGCTTGCAATGGTATTCACCAGCGTACTCATGGCTCCTTCAAAGAGAGTGTTGTCAATCTCAGTTTCACCACTGGCGAGGTCGACAACAATCTTCTTAGCCACTTGGAAGGCCTCAACAGCGTTAGCACCTCTATAAACGTCAAATGACAATTGTCCAGACTCGACGCTTCTACCTACATTGGCACCGTATGCAAGACCAGTGCCTCTGATACCTCTCCAGAATGGGCCCTCGACAGCCTGCAAGTACGACGATGTGAGTGCCAGTGCTGCCATATCTTCGTCGTTGTAGTCTGTTGGAATGTTAGTTGAGGCCAGTAGGAAGGTTGACTCTGAGGCCGGTGCTGTAATGATGTATGCCTTCTTGGACAACTTCTCGCCAACATGCGTGCGTACTTCGAACGTACGTGGCACAGGTAACAATGGTTCCTTTGTAAGCTTGGAAGCAGGAAGGAATTCCTTCCAGGCCTGTATTGGATGCTCAAGAGATGACAAGTCTCCAGCAAGGATGACACGGAAGTTGTTTGCTTTGAAAAGACATTCTCTGATGGTTTCCAAGTCCCTTTGGATCGAGGCAAACTCACCGTCTGCGATTTTCGATGAGAGCGATCTATAGAACTCCTCATTCGAAAGCGTATCTCTTGAAGCTTTGAGAGACCTCTTAGAGAGACAATACTTGGTGTTGATCGAGTTGAGCAAGGTTTCGCCACTTCTCTTATAAGACGGCAGCGAGTTGATCAGCTTATCGATGGTAACTTTGATTCTAGTTTCATCGAAGACGGTATTCCAGAAGATCTTTCTCAGCCATTCAATGGCCTTAGCATAGTTCTCCTTGTTAACCTGGACAGAGGCATTGATGACCTCGGAGAACTGGTTCTTGAAGGAACCATCTAACGAGTGGTCAACAAGGTCATTCTGGAGACCCTTGACAACTTCCTCGTATGGGATCGTCTCACCATTGACGAGCATAGGCAAAGAGAATATCTCAACAAAGATGTCAAAGTATGGCAACAGACGTTCTGGAATCTCACGCGAGGACATCAGAACATTGATTGAGATGAATTCGGACTTGAATTGGTCGACATTGATGTAGAGAGGAAGGTCTGCAGGAGTGTCATTAAGTATCTTCTGGGTGTTTTCATCACTCAAGTCATTCTCAACGTCACGGTTCAACCCAAGCCCAACTGTGGTGGTGTTGATGAACTTGATCCGTGCTGGATCTGGCTTCTCAAACGCATTCAAGATCGACTCAGGAATTGGCGTATCGTTCTTAGCCTGGGCATCTTGGAGCTTCTGCTCCAACTTTCTCAGTCCTTCTTCACCAAGCTTCTCCTTACGCTCCTCAATGAGTTTCTTGTTCGAGTCTTTCAAGGACTTGTATAGCACCTTCGAAGGTTTGGCAATGATGACCGCAGCTTTGTTCTCAACCAAGTAGTAGTTGAAGAAGAAGACCCACTTCTCAAGATCCCACTCTAGGATTGTTCTGTAGTCATCCAAGCTGCTGATGTTCTTCGTCAAGGCCTTTCCTTCCAGGTCACCATACAAGAAGTCTGTGATCACTGCATCGCTCAAGATGTCCGCAGACTTCTCAGCTGCGAGCAGCAGTCTCTTCTTAGCATTCAATATGATCTCTCTCATTCTTCCCAGGTCGAACTTCTCCACGGTGGCCTGTTCCTTCAACAGCTCATACACTTTCTCCTTGACAAGCGGTAGCTTGTCAGTTGGAACGTCGTTGAGCTTGATGTTCGCAATGATGAAGGTGAAATCGTCCGTGTTGTACTCGAGGTAGCTCGACCAAGGGTCGTCAATCTCAACGAGGGTCTTGGTCAGTATGGCAATCGACGAGTCACACAGGTATTCCAACAGCAACGTGATTGCCAAATCCTCGTCGTTCTTATAGTACTCCGGTCCAACCCAGGAGAAGTTGACTTCGCCGTAGGATTCGTCCTTCTCAGAGAACTCAATCTCCTTGACCACCTCCTTGTCAAGTCTGGCGATCTGGGCCTTGGAGTCGACAAACGGCCTCTTGCTGTCCTCTGCAGGTGGAAGCTCACTGTCAAAGTCCTCCATGATACGAAGAAACTCATCTTCATCAACGACACCGCTGACAATGACACACAGGTTGCTTGCCCTGTAGCTGCTCTCATGGAACTCCCTGATCGTTGCATTGTCCAGCACTCTCAGGTTCTCCATCAGGCCACCAGTCTCAGAGCTGTATCCGCTCTTGGAATCGAACAATGCCCTCTGTGATGCCAGTGCAGTCTGGAACCACGGTTGGTTCTGGATGCCTTGCATCTCAGAGAACACAACGCCCTTCTCTTTGGCCTCACCGTCCACGTGGTACACCTCGGTGTAGCACGCTTCATCAGTCAGCGTAGGATTGATCACATGGTCCAGATAGACAGGCAACAAGGTCTTGAACCCGTCCCAGCCTGCAGTGGTGAGCGTATACACCGTCTGGTCAGTAGCAGTCCACGCATTCGTGTTTGAGAACATCACGTTCCCCAGCGTGTCCAACAGGCCCTTGTAGGGGTACTTAGCCGAGCCCATGAACACCAGGTGCTCCAGCGTATGTGGTGTACCAGAATCATCCTCCACCTCAGTAGCCACTGCGAAATGGCCGTGAACAACGGGTGTGTCCTTCGAGATCAGAACAGCCTGTAGCCCTGTGCGCTTAGATCTCCATTTCTTCAGGCTGGAGGGAGCGTACTCGAAGTCGAACTTCGTCAGCAGCTCAAAGGAACCCATTAGGTGTCGTGCGAGCCTGATCGTTGCCTATCTGTTGATGTTTGGTGAAGTAACTACGCCTAATGGTGAACTTTTTTGCCGTAGTGTTGATGATACTGTTTTGTGTTTTCCTGAAATCGGAACGTTCCAAAATGCGGGTCCTGTTTTTGGAATACAGCAGCCACAAAGGCCCAAAAACAAGAACTCGTTTTCGGAATAAGCGCCCGCAAAGCACAAACCGCAGATCAACAAGGCCATGGAGAAAAACAAGGAGCGACACCTTTGACACCGGAATTGACACATCTTGAAGAGAATCCCCCAGCAACTATGCGCTTCTCTTCTCTCTTGTCACTGCTCTCGTGCTCGTTCTTCCTTGGGTTGCTACACTGTGCACCGGTGGACGTCGCAGACCCGCCAATCACCCACTACGTGTACTTCTCTGTGCAACAGGGCGAAGATCTCCTCGGCACCATCAAGATTGGCCTGTTCGGGTCCGTGGTCCCCAAGACGGTCAAGAACTTCTACACCCTGGCCACCGACGGCGTTGATGGCAAGGGGTACAAGGACACCATCTTCCACAGGGTGATCAAGGACTTCATGATCCAGGGCGGTGACTTTGACAAGTTTGACGGCACCGGTGGCTCCTCCATCTACGGCCCCAAGTTCGCGGACGAGAACTTCAATCTCAAGCACGATCGCGTGGGCAGGGTCTCCATGGCCAACTCCGGCAAGGACACTAACGGGTCGCAGTTCTTCATCACCACGGCCATCACGTCGTGGCTAAACGGCAAACACGTTGTTTTTGGCGAGGTTGTGGAGGGCTACGACGTTGTGGACAAGATCCAAGGCAGCGACACCGATTCGCACGATAAACCAACTTCCCAGATCAAGATCATCGAGTCGTGGGGCGAGCCGAACAAGGACGTCACCGTCACGGACGTGAAGGAATGGGATGAGGAGCAGAAGCCTGGTATTGGCCTGGGCAACGAGCTCTTCATCCTGGTTGCGCTTGCTGTGCTGCTACTGGTCTACATCGGCTTCAAGTACCGTAAATCCCAGCCAAAGTACACGTCCATTAGAGACTAGGCCACGGCCTTCACGCCTGTATACTGCCAGAAATCCTCATCAAAGTCCTTCTTCACCAGGTTCTTACCTATCAGCACCAGCTTGCACCGCGGCAGCTCCGTGGCTGCGATACTGATGAACTCGTACTGCTCGCGCACCACCTGTAGCACCAGCACCTCGCCGTTGGTCTTGATAAACACTCCCTTGGCCCTGTGAACCTCCACGGGCTGGCCCAGCACCTCGCCCTCCCACAGCACCTTCTGGAGGAACACTCCGAACCGGTCGAACTGCTCGTCCGTCAGCGTGGGGAACTCCAGCGTGATGGTGGAGATGCGAGAGTCGTGGAACGAGCCCCTGGCCTCGTCCTGGAGCTCCAGCCTGGCGCTGCCGTCGAAGGCATGGAGCTCCAGGAGCTTGGCGAGGTCCACCTCGCCGTATTTGGTCTCGTAGACGGGCGCACTGGAGTTGATCTCCCTCACTGCCCCCAGCAGCGAGGCCTTGTCCCCGCGGAACGAGTCCATCTTGTTCAGCAGGATCACGTCCGCCAGGGCTATTTGCAGGTGGGATGTGGTGATGCCCTCCTCCACAACGTCGCCGTGGCCGTGCTTCCGGTGCCAGTGGCCTCCCACATCGCCCAGGCACTGCTGAAGGTTGCCACTGTCCAACACCGTGACCACGCCGTCGATGTAGACGTTGCTGTTCAAGGCTTCGTCCAGCCAGAACATGCTGGCTATGGGTGCTGGGTCTGCTATGCCAGACGTCTCCAGCAGAATGTAGTCGATGGCATCTCCGCTTCTCTCGATGAGGTTCTCGATGGCCTGGACCCCACTGTCACGGACAGTACAGCACAGGCATCCGTTGCCCAGGTCCAACCACTCCGTGTAGGAGCTGTGGCCGTCCGTGACGGTGAGCGAGCTCTCCGTCAGCGCCCTCTCGATGTCGCCGGTGTCGCCAAACTCATTCAGAATCACCGCAAATTTCCTCTTACCCTCACGTGCGATGCGATTGAGCAGCGTGGACTTGCCTGAGCCCAGGTAGCCCGTGATGATCGTCACTGGGATCTTCCTCTGGGGCGCTGTCTTTCTCAGCATCGCCGTCTGCTCGTACTTCGCCAGCTGCTCCTTGGAGAGCTCTGGCTGGGTGAAGTTGGCCCGCTGGAGTCTCTGCTCGATGTCGGGCTCGCTGCCTGTGACGAGCTCGGGCACTTCGTCGTTGTTCATTGTGGGTGTGTTATGTCCTGGTGATTTATGTCCTGGTGATTTATGTCCTGGTCGTTTATGTCCTGGTCGTTTATGTCCTGGTCGTTTATGTCTCGATGGTGTCTTATGTCCCCGTGGCGGCGATGAGGTGCTGGGCTCGGTGCTGGGCTCGGTGCTCGGCAGAGGACCTGCCTGGTGGAAACACGGTGCTGCCTGGCGGGGGCACCCCCGTGGAAGCTCGCCCACCGCCACGGATCCCCTGTCCGGAGCCTAACCCCAGCCTAAAGAACACCGCATCAACATCAAACCCTGCTAGGAGCAAAGCGCCAAAGCACCAAGTCACCAAACGCTCCATGTCGCTACTGTTCGACTCGCTTCTGCTGCTGTTCATCTCAGCGTACCTGTTCATCTCGCCCTTCACCAAGGTGGAGGAGTCGTTCAACACGCAAGCAGTGCACGACATCATCTACTATGGCGTGGTCAACCTGGACAAGTACGACCACTTCCAGTTCCCCGGGGTGGTTCCAAGGACCTTTATAGGAGCTCTGTTCATGTCAGGCCTCATTGCGCCGATAGTACACTATCTTCCGCCGTCGCTCTCGAAGCTGGACGGGCAATTGATCTCCCGAGGAATGCTGGGGGTGGTGAATGCTTTGTTTATTGTGTACTTGAAGAACTGCGCCTTTGGAGCCATCAAGCACGTTTCACACTCGCAGAGGGTTGGCACGAGGATCAGGAAGAAGATGCTGAAGGGAGCTAAGGCTGGTGCCAGAAAGTCCGGTGCTGGTGCTGCTGATGCTCCCGATGCTGATGCTGATGCCAGTGCTGACGACGACTACAAGCCTCTATGGTCGTTTGGCCTGTGGTTCATGCTCTTCCAGATTGCACAGTTCCACATCCCCTACTACTCGTCCCGCTACTTGCCAAACTACCTGGCCTTGCCCCTGACAAACTACGCGTTTGCTCAGTTCTTCAAGGGCAACTCTGCCAGAACGCTCTCCGTGCTGGCATTTACCGCCGTGGTGTTTCGTGTCGAGCTGCTGGCCCTGGTGGTGGCGCTCTCAGTGGTCCTGGTCTACCACAACAAGATCTCTCAAAGGGACTTGGTCATTGCCGTGGCTAAAGGTGCTTCGCTAGGCTGTGTGCTGAGTGGTGCTGTGGACTCCTACTTCTGGCAGAGACCAACCATTCCAGAGCTCGAGAGCTTCTACTTCAACGTTGTCGAGGGCAAGGCCTCAGAATGGGGCGTTGAACCTGTACACTCATACTTCACGAGACACTTGCCGGGGATCTTCCTGCCACCACATGTGTTGATCCTCGCCGTTGTGGGGTACTTTGTTGATCCAACCAAAAGCCTCTTCAAAATGGCCTCTTTGGCATGTATCTGTTACATCACTCTCCTATCATTGCAACCTCATAAGGAGCGTAGATTCGTCGTCTACACGGTGCCAATCTTCACCCTTGCTGGTGCCAGTGGTGCTGCGTACATCACTTCGAGAATGACCAAATCGTTCCTCTACAAGCTCCTCGTCCTCGGCACTCTGTTCCTGACCTTGGTTTCCATGGCCATATCCGTGTTCTGGGGCGAGGTCTCTGCCTTCAACTACCCAGGAGGTTATGCCTTGATTAGATTCCACGAGCACATCATCATGAAGGCGATGAGAGGGGAACCAGTGAACAAGGACATCGTTGTTCACATCGATCCCGCAGCTTGTATGACTGGTGTGACGCATTTCTGCGAGCTCACGGGCAACGGCTTGGACTTCGAACTCACATACGATAGAAATGAGACACCTACTCTACAAGACTGGGAACACTATGACTACATCATAACCGATGTTGGTCCGAAGGACAACACAAACCACAAGATTCCCTACATGGAGGGCTGGAACTGGTCCCGTATTGCCTCCTCTACCGGGTTTGTGGGACTGGATTTATCTGCAATCCATCGTATCGATCCAATCGCAATGTTACGGTACTCGTGGGCTCAAAGATCCGTCAGACCAATAGTTGCAACCATCAGAAAGTTTATCCATGAGAAGGAGATGTTCCACATCTACGAGAAGGTTGCAGGAGAGACAAAAGTGGAGCCGTTGAAGCCAAAGAGAACCAGAAAGAAGCTGTCTGATCAAACATCAGTTTCTACGGTTTAATCCCTGATGGGATGGAAATGGCAACGTCTCCTCTATTAATTATTTACAAGCCTAATATATATATGTGAGTGTGTTTCGCTCTTCAAAACACACCGTTCAATAGAGAAACAATGCGGTTCTTGTGGTCACCTTTGATGAGAATCTTCTTGCTCTCCATCACAACCTTGAACTTGTCCTTGGATACATCGTTCATAAGCTCTTGCAGGTCGTTTCTAAGCAGAACAATATCACCTTGCACCTTACGGATCTCAGTGACGCATGCGTTCTGCTTCAGGTCGATGTAGACCGGCAGGTTACCCTTGGAAGTTCTTGGGAGAAAGTACGAGCCATGGCCAAACGGCTTCTCAACGGATTCAATGTCCTGATGTGAGATGTCCTTGAGGCTTGGGAACTGCGAGGATGTGCTCAGCGATCTTGCTACGCCGAACGGACGTATCAGAGCTCTTGTTCTAAGCATAGTAGGTTGTTCAAGGATTGAAGAGTGCTCCCTGCTGTGATGCTGATGGTTTGTTCACGCTGGTTTCTCTTAACAACGTTGTAGTTTATGAACACCTGCGAAAGAAAAAAAAATGGTGAGGGTGGTGGTGTGCGGATGTGTGTGTTAGCATGTCACGTGACTAGCACGCTGTTGAAAAAAAAAGAAAACTCCGCGACGGGGAATTGAACCCCGGTCTACCACGCGACAAGCGGTAATTCTAGCCACTAAACTATCACGGACTGTTGTTGTATTTGAAGCGGAACTCGTTCCACAGACAGATGAAACAACGTGTTCACAACACCACGTTGATATTACTGAGAAATCACAAGTCTCCAAGACCAACTGTCATGGTTATGGTATCATGCCTGTTATTCGAAGACCAATAAGTTGTCAGAATGTGACTCCGAGGAACGTCTCCACTGGACATGTGGTCATATAAGGAGGTGTTTGAACCAGAGACATGGCCACAGATGAGCTGGCGCCTTGTTGAACCAGCCTTGTACACAGTCTTCAACCATCATCAAGCATCCTTTTGACCATAAAGTACACACCTGTTATGATCCAGTCCGACTGGGACAGCATGCTAGGCCCAGGTAGGTCGCACTACTGTTACACATCATCAGTTGACTCTCCACTGTGCAACAACGACTTACGCTCCCACTTACGCTCGCTCGCTTGAGCCATAACCAGTTCAGCACACGCCATGCTCTCCTACCGCTTCCGGTCTCACTCTCCATCACAAGGTACTGCCACACATACTCATTGAATCCTCGACGGAAACCCACCTTAGCCAACAGACAACAGTTCAATAAACAGCTGGCACAGTAAACAAATGCCCGAGAGATCGCGCCAACGCGGACATTGTGGAGGTTGTCCCGTGCCTCGGGCGGACTTAGCCGGGCCTGGGACGCGGAGCAACGCCCGAGAACGCGGATTTAAGCAAGGTGTATACCCGTTGGAGGTGGCCTGGGATGGCGAAGAACCATGGAGAATTGTATATATTTACACCTTTGAGAGCCATCCTCCATGGTTGTTACCATCCTGTTAGTCTTTGCTTATGAGTGATCGCTACGTCGTTGGAGTTGTTGTCATAGTAACTCGGAACACAGGCGTAATAGCAGAAGCAACAGCAGCAGCTCAACGAGTCTTGCATCAATACACACACTGAGTGCTCTTCTCTGCTTAAGATACTTGACGGTGACAGAGCTGTACACGAATGATGACCGACAAGGCCGAAAGTAACAGGGACGTGGAATCCCAGCATAAGAACAAGTTTGTCGAGAACGATGCTGGTGATGGCACCAACAGATTTGACCAGCAAGAACATGGGCTGAAGCTGGTGTTGTCTGTTCTGTCGTGTGCCATCGCTCTGTTCCTCATAGCTGTGGACCAGACTATCGTCTTCACGACGATTGAAACCATTGGAAACAAGTGGGGTGAATACCAAAAGTCCACGTGGGTAGCAAGTGGTTACATGCTTACCATGGCAATGTTTGTGCAGATCTGGGGGAAGTGCTCTATATACTTTGGAAGGAAGCCTTCGCTCCTCCTCGCCATCTCCATCTTTGAGCTTGGTTCACTTATATGTGGAGTAGCTCCTTCGATGGATGCTTTGATAGTTGGAAGGGTCATTGCGGGCATTGGTGGTGGTGGAATACAAGTACTGGTTTTCATCGTTGTGTCTGAACTGGTGCCGATTAGTCGAAGATCGTTGATGTTTGCTATTTTGGGTGTGATCTTTTCCGTCGCATCGATTGTGGGCCCTGTGATGGGTGGTGCCTTCACCGATAACGTCACCTGGAGATGGTGTTACTACATCAACTTGCCTCTCGGAGGGTGTGCTCTAGTGCTACTGACCCTTTTCTTTAAACCACCGTCATCGAAGTTCACCTGGAAGGAGAAGTTCTCGCAGATTGACTATATTGGTAGTGGTCTGCTTATGGCAGGCATAGTGTTGATACTGATGGCACTTACTGTCGGTGGTCAACAGCTTCCATGGTCGTCAGGGGGGACCATTACTCTCTTTGTTCTCGGTGGAGTGATATCGATAATATTTATCATTTGGAACTTCAAATGGTCCAAAAGACAAGTGATTCCAACAGACATAATCGTCAAGAAGTCCGTTGACGCTCCGTGCTTCCATATCTTTCTGTGCTTCCTCATATTCATGGCCTTCTGTCTGTATTTCACCACTTACTTCCAAGTCGTCCGTGGTTACGATGCCATCAAGGCAGGAGTACACTTCTTCCCATTGGTGATTTCACTTGTTCTATCATCAATTTCCACGGGGGTACTAGTCAGAAAGACACGCTATATCATGCCATTTGCCATACTTTCCGGTGTCACTGGTGCAGTTGGACTGGGAGTTTCCAGTCTTTTGACTGAGACCTCGTCGCTGAGCCAAACAATTGGCTATATGATCCTCCCTGGAATCTCTGTTGGAACAGGTTTGCAAGCCTCGCTCATAAGCAGCCAGGTGAATGCACCAAAGTCTATGGGTGGAATGATTATGACAACGTCGTTTACAAACTTTAGCAGAGCCTTGGGAGGTGCCTTTGGTAGCGTATTGGCACAAGTGATTTACAATTCTTCCCTACACAACAAGGCAACAGCTGCCATCAAGAATAACCCGGCTATCTTTGGTGATATCGACTTGGGCGATGTGGACTTGATCCTTTCGTCCCCTCGAGTCATCAGAACCCTTCCAAGCGATGCACAAACCATCATCCTCAAAGCAGTGATGGAATCCATCAGAAACGTCTTCTACTTCTGTACGGGCATCGCTTCGTTGATGTTCGTGGTGACTTTGCTCTACTCTCCAAAGAGGCTTCCTAGTGACGCTCAGGTGGAGCACAAGACGGATTATGAGCCGAAGCACGATGCTACAACACAGCCAATTCATGAGCCCCTAGACACATCGCGGTCGAGTGCAGATGTATCATCTCCTGAAGGGAAAGATGCAGATTTCATCTCACAAGAAGATGTGAAGTTAACAAGATCGAGGACATGAGACCTTCTCCCACGCCAATTGGGTTATAATCGACTTTGAGAGTACCCAAAACTCCAGCCAGGCTGTGTGCGTATAAATTCTAGAACGTTGCTCTTCGTTAAATAGAACCTTTGCCAATTCCCACAGGAAACCACCCGTTGTAGTTTATACATATATGCAAGAACATAGTGGTAACCTTGGTAACCAAAGCAAGAGATAGAACATGTAAACAAACGTGCCCATACCAAAACACACAAACGTGTCCATACCACAAACCGACGCGACGCGAAAAAAGTATCGCGTACAGCTTCAACCTCCAAACGCGTAAAGAGCGATGAAGATAACCGTACTGTGACATCCAATTGATCCATAACCCAGTGCAAAAAGACCATGACAGTTCCGTTCAGAGAGGAGGTTATCTCCAAGTTTGGCTCCTCAATTGATAAGCCTGAGCTTCTGCAGGCAGTTGAGCAGATTGCCAAGGTCTTCTCTATGCCAGTTGAAGACGTCTACATCAACTGGGAGTCGTATGTTGTTACAAAGCACGACGGTGAGAAGCTTGAATATACCACAGAGACACTTGGTAGTCTTCAGGGTTACATCCAGGAAAGGCTGGAGCGGAAGAGAGAGCACAACGCCCCAAGCACGACCAAGACCCGAAAGATCTTGCACTTCAATAACTCGTCGTCGCCGTTTGGAACACCACTGCTCAAGAAGAAGAAGCTCGATTCGCGTACTCTTGTATCGCCCTCTGACAAGACGACCCATACACATGTGGGGATTACACCCTCAAAGGTCACTGACACTGTCTCTCCGTCTTCTGTCACACCAACAAAGTCCACCGGCTCCTACCAGATCATTGAATCTCTGAACAAGGATATTCCAGACGTGTACTTTGACGACTTGACAAACCCCGTTAAGATCGCAGCCAACTTTGAGCCAAAGAAGTACGCATTCCGTACCATGCGCCAAAAGCTCTTAGAGACTGCTGATGTGCTGGATGACCAGATTGACTCCTATGCCCAACTCATCCAGGCCCATTATAACTTCCAAGACTCTGACTTCACCAACCCGTCTTTCATTTCGCAGAATGAAATCATCTCTGTGGGTAGAATTGTTCCTGATAACCCACAGTATAAGGATACAGATGCTCTAAACGAACACAGTTTGGCTCTTGAAAGCTCAAGACTTGGTGGTATAGGAAAAAGAATTCCCCTTGATCTCACTGAACTTTCTAACTTTGCCTTCTTCCCAGGCCAGATCGTCTGCTTGAAAGGTAAGAATCCGAGTGGAGAGGTGTTCAAAATCAGTGAAGTTGTTGAACCTCCTTACCTAGGTTCACCTATCACTTCAGCAGACGAACTGAAACAGTACGAAGACGTTAAACTGATGGTTGTTGGGGGACCTTATACAGCCATCACTGACATGAACTACAAGCCACTTGAAGACTTGGTGGGGAAGATTAACAGTGAATATAAGCCACATGTCGTTATATTACTTGGTCCATTTGTTGATATCACTCACCCATGTATCTCTAAAGGTCTGGATATTGACGTTGAAGTCGATGGAAAGAGAATCAAGCCAAAGACATTGGATGAGGTATTCAAACTGATCGTAAATCCAATCTTGAAGAAGATCAATCCACTAATCCAAGTCATCATGGTTCCATCGCTCAAGGATGCCACAATCAACCACGCAGCATACCCACAGAATTCATTTGACCGGAAACAGTTGCAATTGGGTAAGAACTTCAAATGCTTCACAAACCCATCCATGTTTCAAGTCAACGAAGTCAACATTGGAGTGTCCAACAATGATATTTTCAAAGACTTGAAAGATGTCACTAAAGGAGATTACGCTCTGGAAAATAGATTTGAAAGGATCTCAAACCATGTTATCCAACAAAGAAGATTCTATCCTCTGTTTCCAGGTGTGTCAAAGATCAAAAAGTCCAAGATTAACGGTGAAGATTTCGAGGAAGTTCAACCTGGTTCCAATCTCGATGTCCCTTACATTGGCCTGGCAGATTTCAATGATATCATTCCAGATATTCTGATAATGCCTTCGGACCTTCGATTCTTTGCAAAGATTGTCAAAAACGTCTTGGTTATTAATCCTGGTTCACTGGTCAAATTCAGCTCTGGCTCGATTGTAACTATCACAATTAAAAAGCCCAGCCTAGATGAACTCACAAAGGTTGACGGAGAAGAAAATATGTATTTACATGACATTTGGAAAAGGGCAAGGGTTGATATCATCAAGTCATAGAACGATGAAATACAATCAATGAAGATAATTGTGAACTATGTATATATATTGTAGATTGTAGGAGAGACATTTATGAAGTTACATGTTCACTTCTTTGGAGTGTTGTGGATGCTACCATGAGGACTATGAGGGCCTCCTTTTGATTTAATGGCACCTTTAACCTTTGAAAGCAGCCCTTTCTTTCTGACGGAAGAGGAACGACTGGTTAGAGATCCATGATCCTCAAAATCAGCCTTTGGTGGCGACAAAGTCTTGTGGTTTTCAGCATTTTGAGTAACTGGCTCCACTGTATGCTGTGGCTCAGCAACTGATGGTACATCTGTTGTTGCTTTTGCAATTTCCTGCTTAACCGTGGCAGAGGAGGCTGCCACAACGGCTTGAGCCTTTTCAGAAAAAGTTTGAACTGCATTATTTGCCTTGTGAGCCACTTCGGTATTAGACGATTTGGCAGAACTAGCAACATTTGCAGATGTTGCTTCAATGGTATCATTCAAGGTTGCTGCTGCCTGAGAAAGAGGTGTCTCCAATGGAACAGTGGTGGACTGGTTCTCCCTCGATTCTCTCTGTTTGGACCCTGTGGAAGAAGATGCAGAATCTTTGCTGGCAGGAGTATCAACTTTTCTAAGATCTGGTGTTCTTTCCCTTTGAGCTGGTGAGATGACATTCAATCTCGAGTTTGACAACCTCTTTTCAAAGTCAGGTGGCAGGGTTGCACCGGCTAAGCTTGATGAAAATGAAGATATTGAGGATCTTTTTGTTGGAGAGTCATCAGTATTGTTGGAATTGGCAGTTTCTTCGTTTTCTTTTGATGGAGAAATGGTAGCATTCGTCACAGCAGGAATGGTACTGTTGGAATTACCACTGGAATTGAGTTTAGTGGATATTGGAACAGCAACTTGTGATGGTTGGGAAGTCCCGTTAGCAGTTGTTGCAGGGGTAGTCTGCTCTGCTATTAAAATAACAGGAACTTCAGTTTTTGGAATGGACTTCGAAGCTACTGTGGAACGGAGGTCAGATTTTTCATGTTGCTGGAAGCCAGATGACTTCTCCTCGATATTTGTATTGTTCTCTGATTCAAGTCCCTTCTCTTTAACTTTCAGCTTATTTGCACCTGCCAATAGTGATGGTAATTCCAGAGCTTGCTTCAACACCTTTTCATTGTGAAACTCTTCCCAGTCATCTCTGTGTGAAAGTGCAGTGGTATTCTTAGAAAGATCAGATTTAACATACGCCTCGACATACGAACGACGGAGATGAACATTGCTTTCATTGTGTTCTCTCTCGACACGGTCATCACGGCTTCCCAGAATAGCATCAACCGCAAAGCTGAGACCAAGGAAAAGGTTTTCACAAATGAGACAAATTGCAAACAACTTCCAACCTGATGTAGAAACCACTGATTTGGTGTAGGAGTAGTCAGAGCTTTGCAAAACGTTATCCTCATCACGATACATTGTTGTCACTAAAGGACCAACAACTGAACCAATCAATGTCAAGATTCTCAGGTGTGTATTCCAAGGTCTAATCGATTCAACTCTTTGAGGAATTGGTCTGCTGGACTCAAAGAGCAACTTTTCAACATCTCCTCTTATTTCAATCCAATTGAAGAACAAGGAAGCCAATGGTGACAGAGACCAGACTGGTCCGAAAAGAACAATATAACCAAACTGTGTAGCCAATTCCCTGTATTCGCTATTGACATCAAATGAAGGTCTGTCCAACTGTTCACGTACGTTGTCTAAATACTTCTTCTCCTCAGGAGCATCCAAGAGATTGGCAAACTTTTTATTTGCATTGATGCGTTGTTTAACCAATTTGAGGGCAATTGGAACAACATTTTCAGTCAAAAGTGAGACAACTTGGGCAGTGAGGGTGAAGTAACTGAACTGCGTGATCAATCTCTGTGTATTGATTTGGTAACGTTCGTTGACAATCGGAATTCTCCAGTAAGAGGTGTAATAACCAATGCTCTGCAAGTAAGAATTCACAATATGACCAAATGGTAAGTAGAAGAATGCGGTGATGAACAATGGAACATAACTTGACAAAAAGTTGTAAACGTATAGTTTCTCTAATTGGGACTTTTCGAAAGTTGATTGGAACTCATGGTTTTCCCATGTCAATGCCTTGTTGATAAATATCTCATAAATTGCTGTGAAGATTGGAACACCTCCAACAATCAAGGCTGTTGGGACAAGACCAAGGACTAATTTACCAGGGCCTTGGTAAATCTCCGTTAAGAAGATCTCGATGAAAAAACATGCGATTTGGTAGGACAACAGGATAATTGCAGCAACAATTGCAACTGGTATGAATGCCAACTTCTTCAGAGTTCTTCCAGCGTTTGGAGAATATGTGGAATCGAGTTCATTTGTAACACCAACATATTCTTGTCTTCTCACTTGAATCTTATCGACCCCTTGCAACCCCCATTGGATACGAAGGACGTCTTCTCTTTTCTTCCAACTGGAGAGGAAGATAATACCCCATAGTGTATTCAAAAAGGTAAAGATGATGGAGAATCTCTTAAACAATAAACTCGATATGACACCCCCGATGGACGCAATCACAAGCCAATTGTAATAATTTCTCAAGAACTCAAAGTACAACGCCACTCTTGAGCCGGCAACCTCTCTTATCCTCTCAATATCTCTTTCAGTGAATGAAAACTTCAAGACAGATTTCAACAACGACTCGCTCTCCTTAGCGTCCCATATCGGGACAATCTTAGTGACAAAGGCCCAATCCCCGCTGTTAACGGTGATACCAGCACCACCCTCGTCCAGAGGGTTGACCAAGGCACCATAAACCAGTGGTATTCTATCATTGGAAGACAAGTTGGAATCGTTGTCGCCAAACTCGTTTCTGAGCCCATAGAGGTACTCCTTGACGCTTTGATCCTTGAGCAACTGACTCAACTTTTCATTGCTCAGCTTGACAAACACCAACAGCTGTTCAAAATCGTCCGGACGTATCTGAGAATGGAACCCGAACTTATCCAACTGAGAGAGTAACTTGGACAAACTCTTCTCAGCCTCCGGTGTTGCGGATCCATCTTGTTGTGGGAACCTGACGTGGATCACAACATCAGGGTTCAGCTCGGTAATAGCAGTCATCTGTGTTCCACCCGCTATAAAGTACCCTGTTTCAAACACTATATCAAAAGCAAATAAACCTGTAAGCAATAAACACTCGCTGATAATTGCAACTTTCCTTCGTGTGTTTCAAGGAGTAAGAGGATTGTTTTTGTTTATCTTCTGCCTATAAGTTGTGTTTTTGTGGCCTTTTCCGTGAGGTCCCGTGCAAGGTTTGTTGTTGTTTTTTTTGGTTTTGCTGCTTGTGTGGTTTCTTTTCTTTTGCTGCTTGTGTGGTTTCTTGCGAAATTCTACGGGGGAAGTGTTGCCCCTTCTCCAATTTCAGAATTTTACGTGAATGTGTTGCGCAATTCTCGGAATTTGATTTTTTTTTGCCGGTGTTACAAACCTAGCAAAATGTCCGGGTGTGGTGATGTGTGGCTGAAAACTTTGGTAAGCCGCTGCACGTTGTCAATCACCGAACAAACACCGGTGTAAGGGCCTGAGGTTGCGATATTCGACCTTTGAATTACAGTTATGGATTTACTGCTGAGTTGAACGAATAGCAAGCTAACATAACACTTATCAATGGGTACCCCTCCTTTTCCTTTCACTGAAGCGCCTTGAGTCATAAATTGCCAAGATTCGGGTGTTCTTTATGCTTTAGAAGGGGCTCTTTGAACCACTGTATTTCCTCTTTTTCTAAGGTCTTAGCAACCAGTCTTTTGTCTTGTATTGTCACACAATATTGATTGAGAATTATCTTATTGGTATTACTTCATATTAATAGTCACATTCAGCCAGTACGCAAAATGGAAGGGAACTGCATCAATAACTGTTTAGTTGTTGATTGCGTAATACACTGTGATATCATCACTTTTGGGGAACTATAAGCCAAACACGAAAGAGCACAAGGTATATGGTGAACAATAGTGTGTACTTTTAAGGGTCCTGACTGTAGAGGAAAGAAAGGAAATACTCTGTGAGAGAATAACGTAACCTTTGTGCTACGTTGTTATTAACAGTTTAAAACCTGATATCTATGAAGTTTGGGCCTAATGTAGAGAACAAGTCTGCGGATACAGTTGTGGTTTCTGTAGGAAACTTATGCAGTATAGCCAGGCATCCAGATTCTACCTCAATCACCGGTCAAAGGTTTGGCAAAACTGTTAACATTCACAGGTATATAGCGATTTTGACTCGGTGTCTCCCTGTTGCGATGGGCCTGACTCGTTAGAGTCATATCTGGGGACTTTTATAAAGCCCTGTAAGGTCGGTTAACACAGCATATATTATCGACATGGCCGTGGTTTGGCCGCTAACTCTTGAACGCACTGCCAAAGACTGAGAGCAATGGTAAATGGTGTCACTTTTAAGGAGTTCCCAACTTATCAACAGGGAAATGATTGCATCTCTGATGGTCGCTTTTATGAAGATGGTGAATAAGAAAAAGAGGAAGCACTGGACAATTTTCTATACATGAATCATGATAATTGAAAATCGTTGGCTGTTGACAGAACGCAGCCTGTCCAATCCATCTATACTAGTGATTTCTTCGCTCATTCTGGTAACCACTCCGGTTATGATGTCTACAACAGTCTGGACAATCCAAGAGACATAGTTCGACCTACTACTCTCGAAATATTGCATTCGTCTATAGCCCATGTCTCAGCGATAAGTGAGGCATTGATTAGTAGTCTGAAAGATATTGAAAATTACGCAAGTGCAAGGTTAGACATCATACCCAAATGAGCAGTAGTCTCTAATTCTAAAAAGGCAGCTAACATCATGGTCTCTTATGCACATTCTTAGACCACTGCTAATTTTGCTAAAATATTGGCAGGATATGAACTCAGAGAAGTATATATCAATTACAAAGATAGACATTTCTGCAGCTGGGATCCATGGGTCTTATACAAGTACAAGTTTTAACCACAGTAGTTTGAATTGGACACTGGAGATGAAAGTACTGTATGTGCTGATTGTGCTGATATTCTTGCGAAAAGAGGTTTCCCAATTGCACATGAAATATTTGGTCCTTGATTCTGGCGTAAATTGAAATAGAACAGTCCCATCGTCATTTAAGACGTATGTCATAAGATGGTTTCATTGGCACTGATATTGATTAATGGATTCCTGAGTGTCGAAGGAGTATAACAGTAGATACAACGATGGGCGTCGTCTAATGAACTTGAGGTGTGACTACCTTGGCATTGTTGTATATTCGTAGTCGTATCGCATCTTGGTCCTTTACTTAACCCGGCTTGACGTGGATACAAGTTGTATCTCCAAAGTTGATGGACTTCAGAGTCACAAAATTCTTGATGGACTGAATTATGACCACAACTGTTGATATAATGAAGGCAAAGAGTATGTCTAAGACTCTCCCAACATAAATTCTGAAACCAAGCTCATAGAACAGCTGAGGAGTAGAAAATCTATTGACTGATGAATATTATACCCTCCTGTTAGAGACATTCAGCTTATTGTTTTGATATTGCAGGACTGCAGTGATATCCATTGTTCATCAAACGTGTGAGCCAAAGCAGCATGGCTTGAGGACAAAATACAGAGCACAATACAGGGCTCACAAACATTGAATCTCATGGTGACGTACCTGAAGGTTTTTGAAGGTAGCAACCCACCAGAGTTATCTAAGCATACCATATCTGGTGATTTGTAGTTACGCATCTGAAATTTTACTAAATAGATGGGTCCTGGTAACCAGAGACGGGTCTAAGAAGCGATCTTCATCTAATTTCTAGGCCCATATGGGAGATTCCAACTCAAAGGTAGTCAGGTCATCTGCTCTTACTGTCGTTATACAGAAAGTATATAAAGAATGTCACGCAAGATCAACTTCAAACCAAGCTGAATAAAGTGGTATGACAGTGCCAATAATAGGAAGGCAGCGTACACGTTGGGTAATCAACACCTTGAAATAATGCCAATCCACCATCCATATACTCCACCACGTTCACTACAGCGTATATCATTGAAAGACCGTTGTGGCTTTGGTGGAAAGTGCTCATGTTGAGGTTCCCCCAACGGACCTCGTTTCCCGTATCTTTGCAATTTTTCTCCTGTGCTGAGCCGCAGGGTGAAAAGTTCCGTGAACGGTCATTCGAACAATTATTTGAACGGTCATTTGGGCCTATATAATCTGGTGATTATTTCAATATTAGCTCCTCTTTGTCTATTAGATGAATAAGTGGAAGTTGATAAAGATGTCGTTGCAGTATACTAAAGAGAGACAAGCTGAACTCATTAAGAACTACGAAACGGTTCTTTCCACGGTTAACAAAGCTGCGTCTGAAGTTTCACACCATGTAGACCTCATCGCAGTGTCAAAATTGAAACCAGCGAGCGATATCAAGGCTCTGTATGACCATGGAGTGCGCCATTTTGGTGAGAACTATGGTCAAGAGCTTATTGCAAAAGCTCAAGAACTGCCAAAGGATATCAAGTGGCATTTCATTGGTGGGTTGCAGACAAATAAGTGTAAAGACCTCACCAAGAACGTTGAGAACTTGTTCGCAGTGCAGACCGTTGATTCCTTAAAGAAGGCTAAGAAGATCAACGACACAAGAGAAGGTGCTGTGGTTAACATCTTCTTACAGATTAACACATCTGGCGAAGATCAAAAGTCCGGATTATCCCCTGATGATGATGAAATTGAGCAAATCGTTGAGTACGCTAAGGATGCCGAAAAGATCAACCTTTTGGGACTCATGACAATTGGTTCATTTACACGATCACACTCTGAGGGAGACAATCCCGACTTCACAGCATTGGAACAATTGAAAGAGAAATTGGACTCTAAATATGGTGTTGATTTGAAGTTATCTATGGGAATGTCTTCTGATTACGTCCAAGCAATTAAGCAGGGAACCTCATACGTTAGGGTTGGAACTGCAATCTTTGGTGAGAGACCACCAAAGGTATAAACTACACATATGGCATGATGTGATACATTCATATAAATATATAATATAACATAATCTCTTCAATACGTGTCTATACGTTCTTCAAAAAATCAACTATGTAATCACTCACCAATGGTGCCAATCCTTGTTTCGTTACTCTAACGTTAAGCTCAAAACAGTCCTCCATGAGCTTCACCTTGACAAGAGTTCCAAATTTCTCCTGTGTTGTATTCAAGATACCACTCGAGAATATGAAACTTCCTTGATCCACAAGTGCAAATCCAATCTTGTTTAAGAATCTTTCAATCCAATCCCTTTCAACGTTCTTCATGTCTATAATTGTTGAAGCTTCATCGACAACATCCATTGTTTTCCAATGCTTCAACCAAACAGGCAATGCCAATTCACTTGGATGGATAAACTTTGTTAAAAAGATTGGTAACTTCAAACGTAATCCGTTAAATCCTCCACCAGAACTAAATTGGATCTTCAAGGTGGGAATCTGTTTGGAGCTTAGGAATGGTGAACGCAATGAGACTTGGATGGTGCATGAGCCTCTATCTCCAATTTTAATAACACTGTTCGGTATCTCAACAATGTTCACGACTAACGGTGGGTCGACGGTTTGATAGTCCACAATGCTCATCAAGAATAAGTTTAAAGACGTTTGTGATGACTTGTTCAGAATAGAGAAGTGATATAGGCATGTAGATCTATCTTGACCTTGAGGTTTGATCCTCAGTATGATCTTTACAAGTGAGTTCTCGAAGAAAACACCTTGTTGGTACTCAAATAGTCTATAATAACCCTGTTGCCAATTTGGAGTCAGTGGTATTTCTTTCTTCTGCTCTGGTTGTTGTTGTTGCTGATGTGGCAGCAGTGTCTGTTGAGTGAGGTTCCTTGATTTTGGCAATTGACCCGGGGCACCAAATCTTTGCAATAATGGGTTTTCACCTGTAGTGAAAGCTGGCATTTCGTCTAACAGCATGTCAAATAATAGTTGTCCTTGTGGGTTGCCTAATTGTTGGATCAAATTCAAAAATTCAAAAGCACGTTGTTGCAGTTCTGAGTTTATCGAATTGACCTCCATACTTAACACCTTGATTAACTTGGATTTTATCCGCTTATTAGCAATATCAATCTTGTAAAGTTTGAGTAAGGATAACAACAACATACCCCTTGTATGGTTGGAAACGTAAAAATATAACTTGGCCAAAAGATCAAATTGGTAATCCTGTGAAATCGTAGCTGTTATCTTATAGCCATATTCTGCTAATATGATACATGCAATTTTTATCAGTGTCTCTGAAAACGCTTGGGATTTGTTGCCAATGTACTCCTTGACAATGACATTCGTTGCATAAACGTGCAACTCTTCGTTGTTGATGATGATCTGTACAGTTCTTTGCCATATAGATTCATTAAAATTCACCCCATTGGTTGATAGCAGTCTAAACATGGTGTTGATAAACCATTTAGAATCTGTAGCAAATCTCTCGGCAAGGATTGATATCTTGTTTGCAGCTTCTTGTTTTAACACAGTGTCCAAAGAGTTTGAAACTTTGAAGAGTTGAACTGTGACAAATTCCAAATTTGCAGAATCTGTTAATGCATAAATCAATTCCAGTGTCTTCTTACGGATTGAGATATCCTGATGGGATTGTAATATCTCAAACAATTTTGGTAAGTATTTCTGTGAGGATTGTAAGTTATTCAATGATGATAGTGAAATCAAAGAATTCAAAGCCAAATATCTAGTGTTCAAATCTCGTGAATTCAACAACGTTATAATAGTATCAAACGAAGACTTAACAGCTTCCTTTGAAGGGTCCAGTTGAATTGCCAATGCAATGATGGCAAACAATACACAATTAGCAGTGATTCTCTCCTGTGCATCACGATGCGTTGAGCTAAACGCGCCTAATTGATGAATTGTCGTCGAGACGCATTCTCTCAGTATTCTTAAAGAATGGACGTCAATGTTGTAATTGGGCAAGATCTTGTTCAACAACTTTGTCAGTTTGACGATCAGCCAAGGTGAAGCGATTCCGTTAAAGATATATCTCTTTGAAACTTTATGCGATTCGCACACGAGTAAGTTCAACTTTGTTGCGAATGTTGGGATCAGCTGTTGAACCTGCTCCAAATCGTAATGCGTTATTGTATCTATCAAAGGCAATAGTGCAAGAGACAACCCCAAATCAGGCTCATCTGCCAGCGCCAAAATCCTTGGGATCCAAGGCTTGTGATTGGACAGGATTGTTGGGTCCAACTGGCACAGTTTGAACATCGTCAGCGCAGATTTCTTCTTCAACAATGGCGGTGAAGTTGCCGATCTAAGGATTTGGAAAACGTCCTCAACCAGCGGGAGATGAGACTCATCTGTACAATTCCCAATGTAGTTCAATGCTAGTACGTTCGACTCCTGGTCATGGCTCTGTAGGTCCTGCTGTACACATCTAGCAATTATGTCCTTCTCCTGTTGCAGATTCAACAGAGAGATGGTTAAGTAGCCGACGGACTTCTCAGAGTACACCTTCGAGCTCAGAAGCTTCTCAACCTGTGACTGCGCCGTCGAGCTCACATCAAATAGCGAGCTGTTGCAACTGGAGGTCAGATAAATGTAAATCAGCTTGAGAATGTACTTCTTTCTCTGGTATCCGGATATCCCATTGGAGCTGTTGAACTGTTTTTGAACGTTTACAATCTCCAGGTTGATCCTTTTCCGTTGGTCCTCCTTCGAAGACTTTGATCGTAAGTCAGAAATAAACTGTTGCAATCCCTTTATGTTTCCCATAGCTGTCTACTGTGCTTATAGCATCAACCGCCGTGGTGGTTGTGTGAACCGCTGTGTTTAATGTTTACACCTTTCCAGTGAGGAAACGATCCGAGAGAGAGAGAGAGAAACCCCATACGCTGGGCGGAGCGCGCACACTAAGGCCAACCCAGTGCACGCAGGCCCGAGCCCGCTGCGCTTTCCCACTAGGCTCAACCCCTCGGTCCGTTCAAGAAAAGGAGAAAGAGGAAGGGAAAAAATGGAAGCTGGTAAGTAAACTTCAACCGACCGCACACAACGTTCAACACCAATTAACAAATAGACAACGATGGTTAGTTGACAGACCGAGGAAATCAGCATATGGAACCAAGCTACTAACAGCTAATCAGAGTGGTGGACACTTCCCTTCCCCAAAGGTATGTTTTTCTTCTGTACTACGCCAGCTGTATCCCCCTTCCATACTAACAAAGATTGTAAACAGCACGTCTGGGCACCAACAGGTTCGTCGATTTAGCGGTATATCTGTATTCGGTACATACTAACACGTTTGTTTCTCAAGGTGGTTGGTGGTTCACTCCAAAGAACTACAAGTCGAATGTGCTTCTCATTGGCAGCAGCGCTGCGCTCTTCTCCCTTGTTGTTTTCCAGCTGTGTCGTGGTATTGAACATAACCCAAAGGAGGAATATCCAGAACAAGTCATAGACAGATGGAACAAGGCCGCTGCCAGCGGGTTGAAATGATTCTACTCCTGGCTTATTTAACACAGCTCTGAGCTCGCCCTATTTATTCTCTTCTTATTTATTCTACGTCAATACTTGACTCCACTGTGTAAGCCCATAGCCCGCAGAACAATGCGCTCCGCTGCTCTACAACGACAACCCTACAACAAAGTCAAAAAGAACTGTCATGTAATGTAATATAGAATATAAGTGTTACTTCCTCGGCAATTAGAAAGCACCAGATCTCTTCAATTGGACAAAGGAAGCAATGAATGGAACAGCAGCGGCAATACCAAAGAAGCCAAAGTGGATCACGGCGTATGGGATCTTTCTGTTGTGCACCTTGAATGGGATGTTCTCATAGACACCCTCCTTGAAGTGAACAGCAGATTTGGAGGAGGATGAGAAAGCTCTCTTGGAGGTTTGAACGAGTTGTCTGGCGAACATTTTCAATATGGTTGTTTCTACTGAGCAGAAGCGTCCTCAAGAGAAGTTGAAGAGAACAGGAAGAGTTGGGCCTGTTAAAAACTTCACCAGCGGCGTGTAGTGTGATTCTGTGGAAGATTGCCCCATCGGGGATGTCGCACTACACAACGCCCATTACCCTACTGACCATTCGCGCCGACTCTCATTGGTCCACGGCGCATTGTTGTTGTGTGTTTTTTTTTCGCTCCCTCGCTCTCTGCGCGTTGTGGATTTTTATGGCGCCAGTTTTTTTTTCTCTGCCTAATTATTGGCTCTGTGCTGCTTTGGGGGGACAAGTTAAAAAAAAAACTTGACCCACTACCGTTTACTGCTGAACTGCAACGAGACCGTTAACAAAACAACGTATTTTAACAATGCCAATTGCTCCAATCACTGGTACCCTTAAGAAGAAGATTGCTGTTGATATCTCCATTGGTTTGACCCTTGGATTCGGATTTGCCTCCTACTGGTGGTGGGGATTCCACAAGACCAAAGTTGCAAAGAGAGAGGCCTACTACGCTTCCCTTGCAAACAACGCTGAGGAATAAATTAGCGGAGCAGCCAAAGATATTCATATTGCCATGAACGAAACAAAAAGAACACCACACGAGCACACAGACATATAAAGAATAGTTTCTCTTCTTTTCCACAGACGGGTTTTTCCAAATGGCGTTGTATGTATATGTTGAGATGTATATGCTTCAATATAACGTATAAGATCTTGGTCATTTGGGGTATTTATTTAACAACGGGTCATGTTTTGTAGTTCTCTCGGGGGGCACTGGGACTCCCTGGGAGTCCCAGGGAGCTCTTTGTAGCCCTTTGTAGCCCGTGTGAAGCATTTTGGTAGCGTGAAGCGTTTTCCTGACCTCTTTCCGTACAGCTGTACCGCTTTTGAAGCACTTTGTATGTGCGAAATTTGTACGGGTGTCTCTACTTCACCGTACTTCACGCCACAAGCACTGTGGTCGCAACATGGATCTGCTGGATATCATTGGGTCGCAGAGCAAACACTTTATCATTGAGAGGTCGCTGTCGTCCCCCTTGAACTATCTCATTCCCTTCTCAAAGTTCAAGAGGGAGGCAAATATAGAGTCGGTGCACTGGTTTGAAGACTCTGTTGACTTTGAAGATGATCGACTGCCGATAACTATTCTAATCCATTCTGGCCTGGATAACGTCCCAAAGTTGAAGATATGGATACAACGTCTCTCTGGAAGACAGATCGACCTTGTGATAACTGATGACTACTCGAGAAGCTTCCAATGGAACCTCCAACAACAGGGACTAATCGGTGATATCAACACCGTGACGAGTTGGAAGCTGTCCATTCAGACTCCACTCTGTGATAACCTGAGACTGATCCACTTACAGCTGGCTGAATTCAACAGTCTGTACCAGTACAAGACACCGAACTTGGCGTCGAAATTGGTGGATCTGTTGAATCAGGAGCTCAGTACACAGAATTTGTACATTACAAAGATCTTTGCAAAGGGGTTGAATTCGAATAAGTTTGTCCAGCACTTGAAACAAAGAATGGAGAGCAATCTACAAAATATGGATCAGCTGTCTAAGTCAAAGGAATTGAAGATTAAGAACGGGTTGTTTGAACAGTTGGATTCAGGATTACAGTGTGACCTCATGGTTTTTGAAAGAAACCTGGACTTTTTAAGCGTGCTGTTAAACCAGTTGAACTATATGGGAATCATAGACGAATCCCTTGGAATCGATATAAACAACGTCAAGCTGGACGAGGAATTGGTCTATTTCAACGAAAGTCCGATATTCGACAAGATTCAACAAATGAATTTTGGGCTGGCGTGTGATTTCTTGAACGAACAGGCAAAGTCCTTACAGTCGCAATACGATGAATTGGTGAAGAAGACCAAGACTGACATCTCCAAAAATATCGTCTCGCAGCTGAAAGATTTGGAAGATGCAAAGAACAACGTGGCACTACACACAAGGATCAGCGAATTTGTACTGCAAAAGTTGGATATCAAGAACAGTGCCAACTTCAACACCCTGCTGGAATTCCAACAGGACCTCATAACACAATCGCTGAGCTACTCAAATTCGATCTCCACAATCCAAGAATGGATATATGCTTTTGACTACGATGCGGTGACCGTACTTCGACTAATTGGTATCATATCTATAACTTTTAACGGGTTACGTGAATCCGACTACAACAAGTTGACAAATGACATTGTTGAGCAGTACGGAATCAAATACTGGTCCATTTTGCAGAAGCTGATAAAGATTGGTATAATCACGATAAGAGGCGATCCTTCAATCATCAAAAATTACTCACAATTGTCCAATTCACTACAACTTGTACAACAGGACGACTCTGAGGGAGACATATCTTACCGTGGCTACACTCCCTTGGTCACACAAGTTATCAGGAAAACGTTAAACGACGACAAAAGATCCAACTGGGATGACGTGGATCTATCTGCAATCATTGGTAAATCCACAGAGGAATCTCTCATAAATGAATCGAAACAAGGAGGTGCATCGTTGCAAGTTGAAGGTTCAACGGTTATAGTTGTCATGATTGGTGGCTTGACGTACGCGGAACTCGCAAGCCTGACACACTTGGCCAAGAACTCTAAGAGACAGTTCCTGGTGATCACTGATGGAGTAATCAACACCTCCAAGGTCATTAACCACTGAATTCAGCATGGTTTCCACAGGTATAACCCAGTAATTGATGGAGTAATTTCAAGTGTGCAGTCGTGGCCCTACACGATGAGCTTCTGGTGTATGAAAATTTTATGTAGATTCTCACATCAACAACTCAGCATTCAACACGGTCACTAGGAAAAACAGAGCTGGCGGGATGCGTAACCTGATCTGTATCAATAGAGGTATTGTATCCACTGAGTCGAAGACTGCTCCCGACTTACCTCTGGGTACAGCGGGTTTTGATCCTATCAATAACGACTCGATTACCGTGGTTCTCGGACCAGGAGAGTTCAACGTCTATGAGGTCCAACAGCTCTCCAAGCAAGGTGATGTTGTGACACTCACGAGCTTCCCACACGATTCCAAAATCATCAGTTTTGCTCATTTCAGTGATGTGAACACATTGGTATTTGTTATGGCCAATGGTGATCTGATTACATCTGTATATTCGTCCGATAATGAGCATGAACCAGTTGTTGAAAGAGTTGGCCAGATATACTGTGATATCAGGGACGCTAGATGGAGTCCTGATGAGGAGACACTAGTTCTGTCCACTGTTGAAAACACCGTGATTGTGTTTAACCGAGACTTTGAGTGCCTGACGGATGTTCAGCTCAAGCCGGAAGACGCGCAGTTGTCAAATCATGTTGACGTGGGCTGGGGAAGTAAAGAGACGCAGTTTAGAGGTGCCGGTGCAAGAGAACAGGAGAGAAACCTGATTAAGAACCTGGACCTGGAGAGAGATATGAATAAGAGGGATCCAACAATGCCTCTGTATGTCGACAAGGGTACTCTGTCACCATTTGATACCCGTGGCTCCACAATATCATGGAGAAAAGATTGTGAATACTTTGCCGTCTCGACTATTGATGTCATCAATGAAGTTGAGAGAAGGATGGTTAGAGTATTCACCAAAGAAGGTGTGTTGGAAAATGTGTCAGAACCTGTTGATTTCCAAGAGAACCAACTCGCGTGGGGTAACCTCATTGCATCGATCCAGAGAAAGAACTATGGGAATGAAGAAGATTCGCTAGATTTGATATTCTTTGAAAGAAATGGTCTTCGCCATGGTGAGTTTGATACTCGCTTGCCACTGGATGCACCAGTCGACTCTATTGCATGGAATTCAAACAACGAAGTATTGGCAATCTTATCAAATAACAAAGTCCAAATTTGGACTACAAAGAACTACCATTGGTACTTGAAACAAGAGGTCAGTTCACAAACCAACATTAAGTCCATCCACTGGCATCCTGAAAACCCACTGACTCTACTTATGGCTAAAGATAATGGTTTTGAGATCTTGAACTTTGCTTACAAGACAACAACTGGTCCTTGTATTATGCCATTAGATATCGGTATGAATTTGGTGGTTGATGGTGCCACTGTGAACATAACACCTTTATCATTGGCAAATGTCCCACCGCCTATGGCATACAGAGAATTGGAGGTGGATGAAGCTGTGATTGATGTTGCCGTGTCGAGGTCAAATGAGAATTACGCTGTCTTGACAAGCACGGAAGTCGTTATCGCCACCAGCGACATCGATGCACTGCGTTTGGGAGACCAGCCAGAGATTGTGTCTAGTTTGAAGAAGAAAGAGTTCTTCAACGATGCTGATACATTCAGACAGATCAACTTCATCAACGATGATACCGTGGCAGTGCTGAGTGATGATGAGATTGGTGTTTCCAAGATCACTCTCATCGATGTCTCTACAACAGAACCATTCGTTAAAGATATCATTGACACACATTCAAAGGTCATATTGACAAAACCAGTTTCCAATTGGGATATGCTCTCATATGTTGCCATTGATGGTTCTGTATACGTATTGAACATGTCATTAGATAATCTCGAAGATGCAGAATATACTCCAACTCTTGTGAGTAAGTTCCCACAACTCTGTTCTGATTATGAAGTCACAACTATACATACCAGTGAGGTTGAAGATGAATACGAAGGATACTCTGAATGGAGAGAAGAAAAGCCATCTTCTAACGTTGTGGCCTTTGGACTTACCTCCAGTGGTAAACTCTTTGCCAACAATGTTCAATTGACAAGCTCTGCAACCTCGTTCAAGCTTACCGAAAGCCATCTTATTATCACCACGGCTCAACATACTTTAAGATTTGTCCATCTGAACACTTTGGTCTTTAAGCCACTCGTTGAATCCACGGATGTTGTTCATGATGAAAGAATTCGTTCCATTGAGAGAGGTTCTTTATTGGTCAACGTTATCCCATCTAAATCTGCTGTTGTATTACAGGCACCAAGAGGAAATCTAGAAACTGTCAATCCAAGAATAATGATTCTAAGTGGTGTGAGGGCAGATATCAAGGCTAAGGCCTACAGATCTGCATTCACTACATGTCGTACGCATAGAATTGATCTCGATATCTTGCACGATTATGATCCAGAGCTGTTCTTTTCTAACGTTGAACTGTTTATTAAGCAAGTTGAAAGAATCGATTATCTGGATTTATTTGTCTCCTGTTTACATGAGGAGGATGTCACGAAGACGAAATATGTGGAGACCAATTCAGATGAAGAGCTTGATGAACGTGTTAAGCACCAACAGCAACAAGGACAGCAACAGCAGGGTAAAATATCAAATAAGTCAAACTGGATTGATCCAAGCGACTCCAAGATCAACAAGATCTGCGAAGCCATTATTGAAGTTCTGCTGAAACCAGACTATAAAGACGAGTACCTTCAAACCATCATCACTGCTTACGCGTGTGAGAAACCAGCAAATTTGGAGGCTGCACTGAACCTGATTCATTCAATTGACAACATTGAGAAAGCTGAAAAGTGTGTTGTTCATTTGTGTTTCCTTCAGGATGTGAACCTGTTGTATAAAGTAGCACTGGGGATCTACGACATCAAGTTAGCGTTGGCCATAGCACAACAATCTCAGATGGATCCTAAGGAGTACTTGCCATTTTTGCAAAATTTGTTTGATCAGACAGAGCTCCGTCGTAGGTTCCTTATCGACACATATCTAAAGAAGTATGAAAAGGCAATTGGTCATCTTGCTGAGATTCACAAATATGAAGATCTGACGGAAGAATTCAAGGACTACGTTGTCGAACACGAGTTGTATAAAACCGGGTTGTCCATTTTCAAGTATGAAACTGATAAGCAGAACGTTATCCTATCTCTTTATGCAAAGAATTTATCATCAAAGCAGGAATACGTCGAAGCTGGTCTCACATATGAGCTTCTTGGTGATCTTGCAGATGCTCTAGAGTGCTACATCAATGGTCAAAAATGGAAAGAAGCTTTAACCATTACTGAAAATCCGGAATACAAAGATCAGTTAGAAGAGACTGCTGATAGGCTCATCACAGCACTTAAAGATTCACATCGCTACTCGGACGCCGCAAGGGTACAAGAACGTCTTGGAAATATTGAAGAAGCTGTATCCCTGTACTGTAAGGAGTACTTCTATGAGGATGCCATCCTGCTTTCTACTGTTAACTCCAAGACTGAGCTTATTGAAGGCGTTGTCGATCCAGGTCTTGGTGATGGATTTGGTACTATCGCCGAACTGTTGGCTGATTGTAAAGGTCAGCTTCAGTCTCAATTGAGAAGACTGAGAGAGCTCAGAGAGAAGAAGGAGCAGGACCCTTACGCATTCTATGGCCAGGTTGAAGAGTCTGATGTTGCAGATAATGTCTCTATTGCACCATCTGAAACTTCTACAAAGGATTCCTTCTTCACACGTTATACGGGTAAGACCTCTGGCACCGCAAAGACTGGTGCGTCCAGAAGAACCGTAAAGAACAAGAGAAGAGAGGAGAGAAAAAGGGCCAGAGGTAAGAAGGGAACAATATATGAGGAAGAATATCTTGTGAAATCTGTGGGGAGAATGATTGAGAGACTTGACCAGACCAAGCCGGAGGCTGTTCGTCTGATTGAAGGGCTGTTACGGAGATCTAAAAGAGAGCAGGCATACCAGATACAGAAGAACTTTGTCGATCTGCTCAACGAGCTGAAGGAGAACATTGTTGAGATCTACAACATTAGTGAAAAGGATCGTGAAAGAATTGATGAAAATGGCGAAGTCTACTACGTTCCAGAGATCCCTGTTCCAACAATCACAGACTTCCCAAAGAAGCACGTATTGGACTATTGAACCAATCCATAGACACATCTCAAGAGCATTGTCTTAATCGAATAGACCCCCCTCTGTGTAGTACCCTTTCCTGAGTTTCTCCTCGTGTGCAAGAACAAGCTCACCAAACCCACGTATGCAATTCTTAATGCCGTCTGTAATCGCCTCCTTCTTGGCCTTGCTGAAGGCCATCGATTTCTGAGGAAGATTCTCGGACACTCCAAGGCCCGTTCCTGAATGATGTGTACCATCTTTCAGAGTAACGCGTACCGTGGTTTCAACAGCCAGAGAATGCCGCCCACAGTCGCCATCGCCGGTACTCTGGGCCCTCAACACCTTTATATCTACAACTTCTGTCGACCATCCGTCGTGTCCAAAGGACTCATTGGCGAAGCTGATGAGTTTGTTGAAGGGCACCTCAACCCTCGACACGAACTTGGGCCGTCTGTGAGCGTGTTCCCTCGTAAACGCTTCAACTTTGGCTTGTAACGTCCCGCTCTTCTTGATCGCCCACGTACTGGCAGGTCTATCGCACCAGTCTCCCTCCAGCAGGAGCTCTAGCTGCTCAACATCAGGGAACAACGTCGTGTTCCAAGGCCCTTGGTCCTCTCCGCCGCCGCCACCTTCCATATGCTCTGCCTGGCCTCAGTGCTAAACAGGAGAGAAACACGCTCGCGTCGCGCGCCTTCGAGCCTATGACAATTTCCTTCCCGCCTGAACAGATCAACCACAAAGGGAGCGTAGGAAAAACACTCCGTCGAAAATTAGAACAACACATCAACTAAGAACTCACACGGCAAAACAAACAAGGGCGCCCCCTGTGTGTTATTTGTGAAGGAGTTTAGAGCTTGAAGCGTCCCATTGTTGGTGGTTATAACACGATGGATCTCATCTCTGGCCTCATGGCGCAACAGAAGACGCAGTCTGCCGATGAGATCATTCCAATGCTCTGTGACAGGCTGGCACATGCACGCTTAGCGTCCGACAAGAGAGCCGCTATTCTCACGTTGAAAGGGTTTTCGAGACAATACCGTGAATCTGTCATTGCCAATGGTCTCAGGGCCGTGATTGCTACTATGAAGGAGTACACGATCGATACTGACATTATCAAGGCGTGTTTGGAGACCATTCTGATTCTGTTCATCAGAGGTGAAGGTGATGATGATCTTACGAGGAGTTGGATCTCTCAACAGTCTCGTAGCCAGAACGGCAAGTATCCATCGCCGTTGCTACTGAAGGAGGAGGGATACTCCATGGACCAGTTCTCCCTGTGGATTGCTGATGAAATCACACAAAGCGAGGAGAATATTGCACTCATTGTTTCCCTGTTGGAGAATACAGACTTCTACGTGAGACTGTACACGTTACAACTTCTCGAAGCTCTGATCTCCACACGCTCTGTTAAAACGAAGGAGTTGTTATTGAACTCCCCATTAGGGATTCCGTCATTGGTTCAGGTCCTGGATGACGTTCACGACCCAGTGAGAAACGAGGCTGTCTTGCTCCTCATGGCAGTTGCCAATGACAATTTTAGCATCCAGAAACTCATTGCATTCGAAAACACGTTTGATAAGTTATTCGAAATCATTCATGAAGAGGGTGACATTAGAGGAAGTATAGTCGTCCAGGATTGTCTTACTCTGTTGGCCAACTTGTTGAAGTATAACGTTTCGAACCAGAAACTGTTCCTGGAGACGAATTGTCTTCCAAAACTGTCCTATCTAATTGCAGAACCTCTAGGAGAAGAGCATATTGTTTGGAATGATCAAAGACTGCAAAACGTTGAGATCACCCTCGATATAGTCAAACTTCTTGTCACTAATGGTAACGAATCCACCAAGGCAAATCAGAACCTTCTGCACGATGCTGATATCTTCCTCAATGTTTTACGTCTGTCGTTTTCCTTGAACACTCCGAACTCTCTAAGACCTCATGCTCTGTTAACTGTGGCTGACTTGATATCTCAGAACAACGACATCCAGCACAGCTTCAGTCACATCGATGTTCCATACATCGATCCTACGCAGCCTAAACAGCTGCAAGTTTACAAAAACAGTGTTTCCGTTATCACCTCCTTACTCAATTGGTGTCTATTGTTGAACTCGGTGCATGTTTTTGATATTCGTGTTTCTGCTGCCTATTTATTGCGTGCGTATTTTGACGGTAACGATGAGGGCATGAGCAGTTTTCTGGATGATCAGATCGCCTACTTTCATGGTGAAGTTGATATGGTTGAAGAACCCGATACAATTGTTGGAAATGATACTGAAAGTCGTGATGATCAAGAAACCCAATTTAATGGATCCACTGATCCTTCTGCTGAAAACGGTACATCAGAACCTAGTACTCCAACAGTTGATCCAAGAGATGTTCCAATTGCTAACATATTCCATGCACTTCTGGAGTATGACCCTGATATCAAGCTTAATCCTTACAAGACTTGGTTTTCAGCTTGTACTCTGATTTACCTTATGAAGGATAATGAAGAAGTGAAAACCACTGTTAGACAATTAACCTCAGGTGATGCAGAGTCTGGCGAAGAAGTACTATCAGCTATCCAAGCCATGTTCGGGAATTTACTTGCTAATGTTCACGCTCAAGATCCACGAATTGCCATTTCTTATTTGATGATCTTGATTGTGATGCTATATGAAGACTCTGCTGCTGTTGATGACTTCCTCTCTGATATATCCAACCTAAAGTCTCTTTTGCAGTTCTTATCGCAACCAGATGCTGAGAGTCCTATAGTTCAAGGTTTGGCGACTGTTCTTGTTGGAATTGCATACGAGTTTTCTAGCAAAAACTCGCCAATTCCAAGAGTGGATCTTCATTCACTCATCATTAAAATTGTCGGCAAGGACAACTATGCCTTCAAGATTTTGCAACTTAAAGAAGCTCCATTATTCTATACCTTCACTGAGGAGGATATCTTTCATCCATCCAAAGATGAAACTGGTTTGCCTAGTGTATTTCTAGAATCGACTGTTGTTTGGTTGATCAAAGAACATTTTTACCGAATCAAGAATACCTTAAACCGTGATCCAAATATTGAATCCAATGGTCGCTTGTCCTATGAGAAATACGAATTGTTACAAGATGAGCACCATGAGCTTCAATCCACCTACCAAAGCGTACTGCAAGAGTCCAAAAAAGTCAAGCACGATAGTGAGCAGCAACTGAAGAAACTATCCACTGACCTTGGTGATGTTTCACACGACCTCGATGTTCGCACTGAGGAGCTCACTGTGTTGAAGTCCAGATATTCTGATCTAGAATCTAAATTCACGCATACATCAAAGGACCTAGCAGAATTACAGAAACAGCATGGAGAATTGACAAAAGGCTTCGAAGAGAAATCAAAAGATGTTGATTCTTTCGCAGAGCAAGTGTTGCAAAAAGACAACAGAATTTCCAAGTTGGAATCCGAACTTGAGATGCTGAAGTCGCAAAAGAATAAAGCTGAGGATGGTATCAATAAAATGAGTCGTGAGCTATTCCAATTGTCAAAAGAAAAGGAGGATCTGGAAAAGAAAGTCAAGCAACTTGAGAAGGAGTCTCAAAAATCAATAAAGCAGCAGGAAAAACTAGACCAATCACTCAAACAAAAGAATGAGGAACTCAACTCCTATAAATCAAAATTGGATGCTGCTTAAAAAAGTATTGAGACCCTAAATGCGTCAAAGGCTGCTCTCGAGAAGGCTCTGTTAGATGAAAAGTCAACTAATGGCAATAATAAAGCGTTGATTAGTCAAATGACCGAGAAATTGAGATCCATCGCTACTACATGTAATGAATTGACCTCGTCTAAAGCTATGCTCGAGGAACAATTTGAACAATCAAAACAAAACTTCTCGAAGCAATTGGAAGAGTACAGAGCAAAACAATTGGAGTTAGAGACATCTCAAAGTGATTTGGTTGCCTTTACAGAAGAGTTAGAGAAGGAAAAGAATGAGCTGAGTAAGTCAGTTTCCTCACTCACTTCTCAAAAGGATTCCGAAATTGCTAATCTTCAAGATGAAATCAAGAAGGAAAAAGAGATCATTCATGACGTTAAATCTCAACTAGAAAAATCCAATGCGCAGTGCAAGGAGCATGAAGATCTGATTAGTTCTTTGAGATCATCGATAGATTCTATGAAAGAAGAAGCCCATGAATTGAGTAAAAAGCACTCTTCAGAGCTGGAAATGATAAACTCCAAACATGATGACAAGGTTAAGTTTCTCCAGAAAACCATTGAGGAGAAGTCCTCCGAAAAAGATGAAGTAATATCATCTTTTCAGAATCAACTGGATGAACTTGGTAATGAAAAGACTGCCATTGAACAAGAGCTGACTAAGTGCAAGTCTGAGGTTTCTGATAAAGCAAAATCTCTGAAATCTCAGTCCTTGGAACTTGAAAAACTAAAATGTGAAATCCAAGGTTTAGTGGATGAAGTGAGTGAACTGAACAAGGCGAAGGAACTCGCTGACAATGATCTAAAGGTGTCGTCTAAAGAGTCTGAGGAGCGTCTTGCTGAATTTCAGAAAACTATTGACGATCTCTTGAAAACAAAAATTGACCTTGAGACGGAGCTCGATGATATAGCTGCCGAGTTCGAAGCTAAAGAGGCAGATTTCAAGAAGCAAATATTGCAGTTGACCGAAACCGTGTCTTCAACAGAATCTGAGAAGAAGTCCCTTTCTTCCACCATGGAGATGATTTCACAGACTGTTGAACTTAAAAATAAAGAGGCTGAATCGTTGAGTCATCTGTTGAAGACCAAAACCAAAGACCTGGAGACCTTGGAAAATGAACTGAGTACAGTTAAGGCCGAGAAAGATGCACTTGAAAAGTCCATCGAGACTTCTAAGAAGACGATTACTGAATTCAAGAGTTCGAAAGCCATTTTAACCAAAGATGTCGAAGCACTGTCAGAGAAACTGAGAAACAGTTCCCAGGAGTTGAAGGCTGCGAAGTCGAAGCTTGAGGATGAGAAGGCCAAGGCCTCCTCCAAGGTTCAATCTCTTACCAAGGAGATTGGTGAATTGAAAGAAACAATGAAAGAGGCCTCTAGTGGCTTCGAGAAAGAAAGAGCACTCTTAACAGAAAACTCCAGCTCTACCGTCAAGGAGTATTCAGAGAAAATTACTTTGCTGGAAGAAAAGCTAAAGACTGCACAAAGCTCCCATGAAAGTAAACTTCACGATCTTGAGTCCGAGAATTCCAATCTTAGTGAAACCATATCTGAGCTTAACATGGAGATTACAAAATTGAAAGATGACAGTGCTGATAAAGAGAGTAAGATCACTCAATTGAAGGAAACGATTGAAGAGAACACATCTAAAGTTGAATCATTGGAATCTCAGCTTTCGACTGCTACTCAGACAGAATCTTTGTTACGTGATCTTGAATCGAAGGCTAAAAAACTTGAATCTGATCTTTCGAAAAGTCAGTCACTTGTGCAAACAAAGGATGAAGAACTCAAACTTGCTAAGTCGTCTCTAGAAAAGATGGAGAAACAGAAACAAGCATTGGAGTCAACCAACAAGTCATTAGTGACGGAATATGAAGATGCAGAATCGTTATTATCTGAATTGAAAGCAAGTCATAAAAAGGCTCTGAAAAAACTTGAAGATAGCTTATCTTCCTTACAAAAATCCAGGGATGATCTTCAAAAGAAATTAGAGAATGAAAAGTCAACTGCTAAAGAGTTTAAAGCTCTAAGCGAATCCAAGACTGAAGAATTGACTCAGGAGGTTGTGGATCTGAAGTCATCTCAAAAATCCATGGAAGAGAAACTGAAAACTCTCACAGATTCAAGCACCAAAAAAGAGAGTGACTACTTGCAATCAATTGAAGATTTGACCAAACAAAATGAGACTTTGAATTTGAAGATCACTGAACTTCTAGGTGCAAGTGTGAAGTCTGAGGACCTACAAGCGAAAGAAGAACAAATCACTGCGCTTCAGGAAACAACAGCTGATCTTAAACAGCAAATAGCAGCACTTTCTAAACTCAAAGAAGAAAAGATTGTTCTTGAAACAAAACTTTCAAGTATCGATAAGAATAGTGTCCCTAAGAGTGAATTCGATGAGATGATTCTTGTTATGGATGACTTAGATGAGAAGAAGAATAAGTACAAAATGCTGGCTAAGAAGTTGGGTGCTGATGTTTCAAGTGATGAAGAGAGTGAAGACGATGACGATGAAGACGAAGATTAAACGTTCAGTATCTATAAATAACTTTTAATTGTACTATTATATAGATTTAACAAGAGCGGTCCTTAATGAGCACGAGGGTCTCTAATTCTGTGAATTCTAACAAGATTCTCATCCAGCTCAGCGATCTGACCAATGTCTTGAGGAGTAATGAATATAGTTTGCGATTCCAGATCTTCCGAGAGTTTGCTCAACATCAACTTCATACCGATCTTTCTGTTTACCTGATCCATGAAAACATCAAACTCATCCAAGCCCTTAATTCTAGAACGCATAAGCTTCCATGTAGACAACAACAGAGCAATTTGAGAGAATGACTTTTCACCACCAGATAAGGAATCAACATTTCTTGGTTTCTTATCATTCTTGGTACTCACCAGCATCTGCAAGGTTCTTCTTCCGTGATCAAACTCGAGAGTACCAGAAAAGTTTCTGAACTCCAAAGAACTGTTAAATGTCATCTGTGCTGCACCACATGCTGCAGAACGGGAGTTTCTAAATGCTTTTAATCTTGTACTGAATGAGTCCATTAAGAGCTTTTTGGCTTCATTTGTTTCCAAGTAAAGATGGAAAGCATCGTTGAAGCTTTTTCTAGCATCTTCATCTTCATTGATGATAGCATCTGGCTCTTTCCCCAATAGCTCATCAGCACGTTTGATATCTTCATTGATTCTTTGAATTTCTCTTTGAACGTTTTCGATGCTTTTGACGTGTAGTCTATCAGCTTCCTCTTTTGAGCAAGCCTCTTGTGCTTTCGCCAAAGACTCCTGAAGCATGTCTTGCCATTTCTGTTCATTCTTTTTGAAATCTTTGAAAGCTTCCTGTTGTTGTGCTTTTTGCCTCTCAAAATGATGAATAGTCTGATTGCAGGTTCCAATATCAGTGTCGACAGTTATTTTGTCGTTTCTTAGAGCATCCATGAACTCCCTGAGCTTGGTGGCTTCCTGTTTCAACTCAACAAGTGCACTGTTATAACTCTTGGCTTTTTCCTGCGCATGGTATATTTGATCCTGAAGGTCTGGTATGGACTGCTCTAATGTACTCTTTCTTTGCACAAGGTCATCCCTGGCATTCGAATATTCAATCAACTTTGCAGAGTCAGATGAGTCATCAAGAGCGGAGTCAAGGTTATACTTTTCCGATGCAAGCTTCCTCTTGTGGTTTTGTATCTCCTTGATCTCGTTATTGATTTTCCTTGACTTTTCATTGGCTTCATTCACAGCATTTTCCTTCTTTCCCTTCAACTCGGCAACCTCACGTTTAAGGTGTTCAATATTTTCTTCAATTCCCGAAGTATCTGCAGAAGCATTCTGAACTCCAATTTTTGGAATATTTTCATAATATAGAGGATCACTCATGAAGGCACCGTGAGCAGATCTCTTCTGCTGGCGAAGACCTTGTCTCGGATCCACAGGGCACAATGCAACGAGAACATTTGATGAACGATCTTCCACTACATTTTGTGCTTGATACCTATCATCACATAATACAACACTTTCAAGATGGGCGAGATCGATCAGGGCGTATTTGACATCATCGTCCGTGAACTCGAGGCAATCTAAAACCGTCAAATAGTCACCGTTTGGTTTTCCATTGGAAAAGTCGAATCTTTCAGGTCTTCTGATCAAGATGGTTGAGCGACAATGAAATTTATCCAGAAGTTTCTTTAACTGTCTCTGGTCGTTTGCGTTTCGGACGATAAATGTGTTGACATGAGCACCACATTGGGCATTAATCAATTGAGTCCACTTTTTATGTTCCGACTTCACGAATGTGTAACTTGAAATCGGGCCAATGACACGGTCTGAGAATCGTGTATTCTTCAGGTGATGTACAACATCTTGAACACTCTTGTTGAGTAGAGCTAGCGGATTGTGTTGCTTAGAGCCCTGCTTGATACGGTTCAACTCTTGTCTAGCATCATTAAGAGACTCTGCTTTTTCACGAATTTCGTTATCCAGTGCAGAATAAGCCTCATGGCTCGCAGTTCTGGTGCTGTTCTCTCGCTGTCTCAACTCATTAAGCTTTCTACTCAAGTCTGTATCTTCTTGGACTAAATCTTCAAGCCGTTGTTTAAGAGCATCCTTGGACCCACCATTCTTTTCTCGAAGTTTCTCCTCCTCTTTTGCGATATGCTTTTCGAGTGATGCAATCTGTTTAGCAAAACTCTTGAGTTCGGCATTGTTCTTTTCCAAATTACTGACGAGATCTTCAGCAGTACGAGTAGCTGTGTTGGTTAGATCCTTTTGAGAGCTGTACTTAGGCTTAATATCTGTCAAATCCTGTCTCAATTTCTCAAGCTTTCCATCCAAGCCACTCTTTTTCTTTTGGAGAGCGTCAATCTTTAAATTGTTCTCATCAATGAGATTGTCAATTTCGGCAATCTGATTCAGAGACTCTTCATAGCGCACTCTTGACGCCTCCATAGACTCCTTTATACTTTGGTGTTCCATCCAAAAGTACTTACCACGGTACAGAAATGCACTTCTCCGTAACTGATCGGATTCTTTCAGACGCATATGAAGTTCTCTTGCTTCTGTGGCCTTGGCCTTCAAGGCGATGGTACTCTCCTTCAATCTCATAAGCTTGGTATCAATCTTCTCGATTGTATCGTTAACTTTCATAAAGTTATTAACAATGTCCTCCATTAATGTGCCTCTCATAAAATGTCGATATTTATCTGCGTCAGAACTTGCCGTCAAGAAAGAACGTGCTTGATCTTGGGAAAGAAACACCATCGGGTTACTAACAGCAATGGAAAATGCATCCAAGATAGTATCAAGATCAGACTTCTTAGAAGAAATCTTCTTCCCCGTTTCCGATCTGATGATATACGGGACTGCACCACTTCCGTCCCTTCTGATTGTTCTTTCAATGATAATCTCATCGCCATACTTTTCCGGCTCAAAGCAATAATCACCAACATTGGACAGCACAACTTTGATCTGGGACATGTTGGTCCCCTCCTTTATCAAATCTTTCAAACTGTTTCCTCTGTTTGTCTCCGTTGCCTTGGCTCCTAAACAAACAGAAATGGCAGTCAAGATGGAAGACTTACCACTACCGTTATGACCAATGATGAAGTTAAGTCTTGGGCCAAGCTCCAGCTCAAAGTTGGCATGGCACATGAAATTCTTCAAGGAAACGCGCTTGATGACACCAGCAACGGGTCTCTTCGCAATTTGCTCCTGGGTCACGTTCGCCATTTGCAAATGTTGCTGAGTCATCGCGTATTTAATCCTCTTGCGTCTCTTGTGGATGTTCTCAGGCGCTTCCTTCTGAGTGAGAAAGGCATTAACATCAATCTTATCCTGTTATTTCAGTGTTAGTAAACGCGTCACTTTTATCAGTTCTTTTCCTCCAGTGAGGAAGACAAGTATTAACTCACATCATCATGCTGATCATCGTGTTCTAGGATGGATTCCGCGTAGAGCATCTCCTCCTCGATCTCTGCATCTCTTCTCTTATCGCCGGCTTCGATGGTCATCTTTAATCATCAAAGGAAGACTATGAGAATCGCTGCTGTTGACTGTTTCCTGTTGTTTACTATTGTTTACCGTTGTTTACCGTTGTTCTTCTGGCAGGAAATCACAAAAACGGTGACGCGTAAAAGTTGGAAAATCGAAATTCCGGGGACGGGTTCTCCAAAAATGTTGGTCGGATATCAAAAATAACCTGGACACCATTATTTTCATTTTTGAATGAAGAGATATCGCCATGACAACTTAATTATATAAGAGGCCCAAGGGTAATTTCACGGAGAGCATGGGGAGCCTTGGGCATTGAACGATGCTGAGGTATGAACTACAGCCAATTACACACATGTCCGATTCAAATAAGATTTATGTGTTGATTACAAACCATATACCGTTTGTCCTGATTGGTGATATAGAATTGTTGTACGGTAGCATAATCACCGTAGTGTACAATCACCGTAGCGAGTCGACCTAGTTAACCAACCCGAGCTTCCATCCGATGGAAATGAGAACAACATATGGAAGATGAAGAAAACAGAAGAACATGAAGAGCAACAAGGAAGGGACAATAAAACAAAAAAAAACAAACACTTAACCCAATGCAAACTATGCAGTGCCAAACACCATCATACGAATAATAATTTAAACAAAAGTCTTAGTCTCACAAACCAGTGTTATCCAAGAAGAAATAGTTACCAGAGGACTTTTGCTCCTTATCCATTTGAGAATCCAACTTATTAATTCTAGGTCTATAGGAGTTTGGATCTCTTCTGAATGTAACGTTCAAGTTCTTCAAGAATCTGTTACAACCGGTGAGTAAACTCTCTGGCTGTCTAGCGTGTGTTTCCTTGGATGGCGTACCTTCAAAGACAATGACTCTATCAGCAAGGTAAGTGGCCATGATGAAATCGTGCTCGACGATGAATGCAGTCTTCTTAGCGTGAAGAATAAATCTTCTGATAACTTTAGAACAGATGATACGTTGTTCAGAATCCAGGTATGCAGATGGCTCATCAATGACATAGATGTCCGCTGGTAAACCAAGAGCCAAAGTAATAGCAACTCTTTGCAGTTCACCACCAGACAAATGTTGAACTTCTTGGTCGATGATATCGTCAATTCTCAAAGGCTTACAGACATCGGTCTGGAACTGTGGATGCATGAATGAGGCTCTGATTCTCTTAAAGAACAATTGGCGCACGGTACCTGGGAACTTTGGTGCAATCTTTTGTGGTTTCATGGAGATGTTCAACTTTGGAATCTCTTGGTCATTATCTGGTGGAATTGCACCTGCAAGCAATCTACAGAATGTAGTCTTACCTGTACCATTTTCACCCATCATAACCAAAATCTCGGAATCAGAGAAGTCACCTTCCTCAATGTGCAGTTTGAAATCACCTTGAGTTCTGTCCATGGCTGGATAAGTGTAGTATCTTGAAGCATCCAACTTGATGGCATCTTGGGCATCTGCAAGTCTAAATTGCAAAGATTCTGTTCTGAATCTCATATTTTCTGAGTGGATATGACCTTCCAAGAACATGTTGATACCTTCTCTCACGGAAGCAGGTAATGTGACGACACCATAGACGGAAGGAACACCGTACAAGATACAGACGAAATCGGACAAGTAATCCAAGACGGACAAATCGTGCTCGACGCAGATAACGTATGACTGTGGGTGCAACAAGGAACGGATGATCAAAGCAGCATTCAAACGCTGCTTCACATCCAAATAGGAAGAAGGCTCGTCAAACATGTAAACTTGAGCGTCTTGAACACAGGTGATACCGATGGCAAATCTTTGCAACTCACCACCAGATAAGGCGTTGATGTCACGCTTCAAGATACCTCTCAACTCTAAAACATCGCAAATCTCGTTGATGGAATCCTTTCTCTCTAATCTGGCCTTAAGCAATTGACCAACCTTAGTCTCTGGGCCCTTGATAGCTCTTGGAATGTTATCAACATATTGAGGCTTGATGATGGCTTTGATGTCATCCTCCAACACTTTGGTCAAATAATTCTGTAACTCAGAACCTCTAAAGTGTTTCAGGATTTCACTCCAATCTGGAGGATCATCGTATCTGCCCAAGTTTGGTTTCTGCTTACCTGCAAGGATCTTCAAAGCCGTTGATTTACCGATACCATTCGTACCCACCAAACCGAGCACCTGACCAGGTCTTGGGGTTGGCAATCTGTGCAGTTTGAAAGAGTTTGCCGAATAACGATGTGTCACTTCCTTTTCCAAGTTTGTTGGCAAGTTGATGATGTTAATGGCACCGAATGGGCACTTCTTAACACAGATACCACAACCAATACACAAATTCTCAGAGATGAAGGCAATCTTGGACGCTGGCGTAACTTCGATACACAGCTTACCGGTCTTCACCACAGGACAAGACTTCTTACACTCCTGACGACACTTCTTTGGCTTACACTTGTCATCGGAGACAATTGCAATACGGGTAACTTTCGAACTCATTTCTTCTCTATGGGATGAGGCGCTCTCTTTTCAACGACACGAAACTTCAAACAATAAAACGCAAAGAAAGAAAGAAAAGACAGCGAACTTGACGAAAACTGATGGTATGCAACAAGTGTATGGTCAAGAAGAAAGGATAAAGAGTGTTAAATATAAACAAAACAACACTGACAGAGAGAGAGAGAATCACCAAAACTTTTTTTCTTTTCCTTTTCCAGCCGATGCCAGCAAAAAAACACACACACAACAACGACAGCGGCAAAAAAAATTTTTTGTGTGTGTGTGCAGAAATTTTTCACTTTCCGATGCCCAAGTTTGAATTTTGATTCGTGGGTTACCCTACCTTCCGAAAGCGCGGTTTACAAATCACAGCGATGTGATTGGCCACCAGGTGTTGGAAAATAACTGGAAACTCGGTGTCGACCGAGGTTTCAGAGTCGCTTATAGCTATGTGGAGGTCAATTGGTACTTGTACTCATACGTGTTACCCGTTCGAGGGATATTTTCGTGCCCGGCCCCCATTCAGTGTGTGATCTCTCGCTCTGTTGTGCTTACTGCTTGCTTCTCGCCTCTGGACGGTGTGGAGCGTCTGGCGGTGGTTTGAAGCACGCGCTTACACCCGTACACCACATGGGAAGAGAGTTGCCGCTGGGCAAATTTTTGCGATGTTTCCCGTAGAGGTTTGTCGTTGCGCTTTTTCGTGGCTCGTTTCGTGTTTTTCGCTTTTTCGCTTTTTCGTTCCGTCGCTTTTTCGCTTTTCGTTTTTGTGGCGATGCCTCAGCGGAAAAAAATTTTCAAACCCTCACACGCGAGGAAAAAATTTTGCTTCTCTGCTGTCTTCTCCTACTCGTTTTTTCACTCTTCAAGCGAACAACTCCACAAGTTTCACACAAGAAAGCAAAGGGATCACATAAAGTCCAACTAGAAGAACCATACCACAAGTTCATCTAACTTCACTTTCTTTGTTATAAAAAAAAATCCAAAAAAAATTGAAAAACCCTTCAAAAAACCCTTCAATAGACCATTCTTAAAAGGCCACACAGAGTAGACCAATATATACTCGTTGAATCCATTTTAAGTCAGAAACCATACACACAGTTCAATTTTGTCCGTGTCGATCTCCATCAAATTTAGAAACAATGTCTGCTGAACAAATTGAAAAGACCACTCAGGAGCTTGAGGCCTTGAAAGTTGAGGAGGAGTCCCCAGTCGCTCCATCTGAAACCACCGAGAAGTCTGAGGAGCAAAGCTCCACCCCAGCTGTCGGTGCTTCTCTGTACGTTGGTGAATTGGAGCCAAATGTGTCTGAAGCCACTTTGTTCGAGGTGTTCACCGCCATCGGACCAGTGTCCTCTATCCGTGTCTGTCGTGATGCTGTCACCAAGAGATCATTGGGTTACGCCTACGTCAACTTTGACGATCCAAAGGATGGCCAAAAGGCCATTGACGAGTTGAACTACTCTCCAGTCAACGGCCGTCCAATGAGAATCATGCTCTCCCAACGTGACCCATCGTTGAGAAGATCTGGTGCTGGTAACATTTTCATCAAGAACTTGGATGCTGCTATCGACAACAAGGCCTTGCACGACACATTCTCCACCTTTGGTAGAATTCTCTCTTGTAAAGTCGCCACTGACTTGGATGGTAAGTCCAAGGGTTTCGGTTTCGTCCACTATGAGACTGCCGAGGCTGCTGAGGCTGCCATTGAGGCGGTTAACGGTATGGACTTGAACGGTCAAATCGTTTACGTCGCTAAGCACTTGTCCCGTGAGGAGCGTGAATCCAAGGCTAACGCCATCGAGGAAACCTTCACCAACGTTTACGTCAAGAACATTGACCTCGAGGCTACTGCTGAGGAAGTTGAGGAGTTGTTCAAGCCATTCGGTGCCATCACCTCCTTTGTCTTGCAATCTGATGCTGAAGGTAAGTCCAAGGGTTTCGGTTTCGTCAACTTTGCTGAGCACGAGTCTGCTACCAAGGCCATTGAGGAGTTGAACGATACCGAATTCAAGGGTAAGAAGTTGTACGTTGGTCGTGCTCAAAAGAAGTACGAACGTCGTGAGCAATTGAAGAAGAAGTATGATGCTTACCGTGCTGCCTCTTTGACCAAGTCACAAGGTGTTAACTTGTTCATCAAGAACTTGGACGACACCATTGACGATGACAGATTGCGTGAGGAGTTCTCCCCATTCGGTACCATCACCTCTGCCAAGGTTATGCGTGATGAAGCTGGTAAGTCCAAGGGTTTCGGTTTTGTCGCTTTCACCTCTCCAGATGAGGCTTCCAAGGCTCTCAGTGAGATGAACCAACACATGTTGGTTAACAAGCCATTGTACGTTGCTTTGGCTCAAAAGAAGGAGGCTAGACGTTCCCAAATCCAACAACAAATCATGGCTAAGAACCAAATGAGAATGCAACAAGCTGCTTCTGGTATTCCAGGCCAATTCATTCCACCAGTCTTTTACGGTCAACAACCAGGTGTTTACCCACCAAGAGGTCCAATGCCAGGTCAATTCATGATGCAAGGTATTCCAAGACCAGGTCAAGGTATTCCACCACAAGGTCAATGGGCTGGTCGTCAAATTCCAAACGGTATGTACGGTCCACCACAATTCCAGGACTACAGACAAGGTCAACGTGGTTTCAACAACCGTGGAGGTAACAGAAGACAAAACCGTGAGGATGTCAGTGCCAACTTGGCTCAAGCCCTTGCCAACGCTCCAGAAGACCAACACAAGAGAATCCTCGGTGAGGAGCTTTACTCTAAGGTTGTTGCCACCGGTAAGGCTCAAGACCCAGAATCTGCTGGTAAGATTACCGGTATGCTTCTCGGCTTGGAGAACGATGAGATCATCTCCTTGTTGGGTGATGATGACTTGTTCAAGCAACACTTTGACGATGCTCTTGAGGCTTATGAGGAGTTCAAGCAAAACGAGCAACAACAAGCTTCTCCAGAGGCTGCTGAAGAGACTGCTCCAGCTGCTGCTGCTGCTGCTCCAGCTGAATCTGCTTAAATGCTAGATTCCGTTGGATATGAAATTGAATTGTGTCATTGATAGGGTTAAATGCCAAACGCATTTGGACCTATGTTTGTGTATTTTCTTCTCTTGTCATCGTTGAAATTATGGTTTCGTTTCATCGAGTGTATTGATGGGTTCATGGTTTAACTTTTGTATCTGTGTTTTTTTGAATGAAGACTTTTCTCTCAACAGTTGGTAAAGCTGTCGAGATGATGTGCATGTCTTTTGGCTAATTGAAATGGTTATTAAAAAGGTGTTTTCTTGTAGTTGTTGTAGTTCATCATGGAGTCCTTGAGACTGGCCGAGTTGATGCATATCTCGCTGAGGTGTTCAAATGACGAAACTACACTGGATATGAAGGCCAATGGCCAACATTGATCAAACATTGTGTGAGGCTACGCCTAGAGAGATTCAGTAAACTATGAGGAGCAAGTGCTAAATCACAGGACGATTACAGAACAATGCTAGAGAAGGAGTTGATGTAGGCTTTGGTTCTTCAAGTATGTACAGAACGTGGAAAATGTCAATTCTGGAGAGCCTTTCCAACGCTCAGCAGCACCAGAGTCACGTATAATGTGGTGAAATTGAACGGACTGTAAGATAAATAGGCTGCTGTTATCAATAATAAATCGTCTGGTGTACAACTTTGAATTTTCCTGTTATTTCATTAACTCAAGCCCTATATATCAATTTCTCTATCGCAAAATGGATGTGATCTTTCTTATAAATGCCTCCAGATTACTAAAAAAAGCCTAATATAATAATCTTGGTATTTCTCAACCAAAAACCAGGAATATTCCAAGATGGACAATAGAAAGTGTATCCATTCTATTGTATTCATGAATAACAATTGGTATTATTATCAGCAGACTCGCCAAAAGTAAAACTCATATCAGAGATGTGCGCAGTACCGGCAGACATTAACATCACATTAGATGTTCCCGCTCCATTGAGTAAAACGTCACGGCGCGCACCCGAGCATCCATTATATTGTCACATTGATCAGAACTCTTCTTACTGAACCATTATCTCTCCTATTAGCCTCAATCGAAACCGGTAGACTTGATTCTGGCTGATATATGCTGCAAATTGGCAGGTCCATAGATAGGAACATCCGAACACCAGAAAAACACTTATATTGGAGAGTGTTTAGTTTCTCAGCAGAAGCCCGGAGGGTTGGCCGAGTGGTCTAAGGCGGTAGACTTAAGATCTACTGGACGTTTGTCCGCGCGAGTTCGAACCTTGCACCCTTCAGATTTTTTTTTCAACTTTTTACTTGATTTGTTTTAGTGGGTTATTCAGCCTGCAATAACCCAGGCATGGTATCAGAGCAGTGATGTTCTTCACAATTGGCCATATCGGACAACTCGTGGTATCAAGTAATTGTTGCAAACGTTCGGTGTTCTTATGACCAAATCCATTATTCAATGTTTTCACGACGGATGATGCGTCTTCATGAAGATTATATGTAGTTGCTGCATATATGGACATCCAGGATGCATAAATCTCTTACAAAGGGCCAGGTTTTAGGGAGATGGTGTCGGAGGATGGTCCTGATGCTTTAAAATTCACAAGAGAAAAGTGATATGCTTTGATGTCTGCGATAGTGGAAGCTACACATCGGTTTGCTTGAGTTACATAGACTAAGAAGCTAGATATGCAATTGTAAAACGAACTTAGGGCCTCACACTCAAAGAACTCCTTTTGTAATTATGTTCCAACACAGCCCAGTAGAGTCTTCCAGAGGTGTTAATCCTCATATTCACTGCTTCTAATATCATAGGCACTCAAATGAGGCGAAACACAACCGACCAGAGCTATATCACATATTGTGAAGCTCAAGAGAGCTTTCTGAACCAAGCTAATGGACAAGCTAATCAAAACTCCACCCAAGAATAGTAGACTGGAAATGTCAAGTTTAGACCCATAATCAGCCTGAAGCTTGAGTGAAGATGTTATTTTGATAACAGGTACCAACATGACAAGCGTATAGAACGCCAATCCATGATTAAGGGCCCGCCTGGTTCCCAGAGGCACACCGTGTTCTTTCAACACCTCATCGATGTAAGTTGCCGTGAGGTTTGACTTCTTAGGTTTCAAAGCCAACCTTAAAGAACAAACAAAGATCATGGGAACAACCATGAAGAATGCATCCCTGTTCAGCTGGAGAAGTTCTTGCGCAAAGCAGGAGAAGCACACCAAGGCCATATATGCAAACGTGTCAAACATAGAATTCAAATCATCCAACGTATAGGAGTTTAAATAGTCATTCACAGACTTTTCAATGGTTTTGAGCTTGTGGATTGGAATTGTAACAGCAAACTGGCCCTGCTGTACAACATCATGCTCCCCAGTGAGGAAAGAGTCCAACTTGACCGGCTCATGGTTCAATGTTGACTGTGTTCCAATGCCACTTGGAGGACGGCTACGGAACCCTCCCGATTTCCTGGCCAAATGAGGAGGTCTGTCCACTGTTACCTTGAACGTACGCCCCAGGTGTTTCTCAAATGCTGGTGTAGATGGCTGGAAGCTGGTTATCAACCGTAGTGGCTTACGGGGCTCTCTGTAAAACACCGACTTGAGGTCTTTGTCCATCACAGATAAATAGCTAATTATCAACACTAGCCTGTAGAATGAGGCTGCAAAGCACTAGAGACACTTGTAGATACCTTCGTATCGTGGAGATCGTTAACAGAGATGGATACAATCTCTACAACACTTCAATATAGGGCTAATCTTTACACAAAGACACCCAAACTCGGTGTCCACATTGTATACAAATATTCGATAAAAACACAAAACACAGTGGAGTACAACATTACAAACATAGGTCCTATGCTTCAAACCATGTTGCTTCGATCATTTTCGAGCTCTCTATCCAGGTCGAAGCTAGCGTCGTCGTGCTCTTGCAGTTCGATGTCTTCGTAATCGTCATCATGAGAGCCCGGTGCCTTGTATCCTTTCTTTTGGGTTGTGTAGTTGTTGAAGAACTCTCCAAACTTGCCACTCTTAGTGGCTGATTGGGCACTGCTATCCTCAGCGTTGTCATCAGCCCATGAAACGGTCTTCTTTACAGACGATTTCTTGTTATTGCCTGCCGTCGTTCTCAATATCGAGTTTTTGTTTGGAGCCTTATGGCCTCTGAAGTGCAGAATGATGGCACCAACTATGACAATGAACAGCAAGTAAAGAATGAACGGGAATATGCTCTTGTGCTGTGCAGGTGGGGTAGAGTCATCACCACCACTGTCGTCATTGTCGTCAGCACTCTTGTTACCCTCACTTGGCCATATGAGGGCATTGTTCTGGTAGACAGGTGTTTCCACAAACGTTTCATTTGCAGACTCTATCAGCCTGTAATTTCCAACTATGAGGTCAAACACGCCTCTGGAATCCTCAGGCTTGTCGAAGGGAACCATGTGGGAAGAGTCAAAGATGTCAATGAAAGTCAGGTTTCTACTATGCTTAACAGTACCTGTAGATAAGCCGTTATACCTCCAGTCAAACTCCTCTGCATCGTCATCAAATCCCAAGGCACCGTTCCACGTCATCTTGGAGATCAAATCAAGCACACCGTAGTTGTTACATATGATGTCCTTATCACCGTTGAATAGAACAACGTTCAATTGCTCCAGCAAGCCAGGCAATAGTTCGATACTTGGTTTCGATTCACTATTCTTCAAGTACTTGGACACTTGCCCATCACATTCTCTCCACTCAGCAACGTCATTAGGGTCAAGGTTCAAGGCCTTCACCACAGCTACATCACGTAGCCATTTCTGAACGTTAGGTAAATCTGGTGGCCAATTCATACCACAGCTTGGATACGAGTCTCTCAGTCTTGTGTCGTACATGTTGATACACTGTTCATCCTTTGGCTTAGTCTTGTCCCTTGTTGCGCTCAGGATCTTGGAGAGGATCAGGTCACAACTATTGACGTAGAATTTCTCCTTACCTATGCCATTGTTGACATCGTTTTGGCATTTCTCCTGTTGTTTCAACAGCGATGGTATGAAATCATCATCTGGGTGGATAATCTCAGCATCGAGAAGATATGGGATGTAACTCATGCTCTGAACATTTGGATCTATCCAACCGTTACCAATGAGAAGTCCTTCGAGGTTGAAACCTGAGCCATCCACCTTGTTGGATCTCAGAATCGCATCCGCAATGAAAGGAATATACTGACCAGCATAACTCTCGCCAGCCAAGAAGATCGCGTTGTCTTTATCCTCAGGAAACACCTTGAAATACTCCGTCAAGAACGTTACAAAATCGGCTGCAATTTGGCTCAATTCAGTATCGTAGTTCTTCGTTGTACTGAAGCCAGTCCCACCAGGCTGGTCGACAAATATCAGATCAGCACCCTCATACCACGACCCGGTGTTGATGTTTAGGTTCCCGGAACCGTCCACGCGTAACGGGCCCGTCTCCATAAGCGCACCATCCATAGAAGAACAACCAGGGCCTCCGTTCAACCAAAAGATTGTTCTGTTGAACTCAACATCCTGCTTCTGGAACTTCCAAAAGAAGAGCTTTGTCGAATTTGCAACATCACTTGGGTCCAGTGCAATATGTCCAGCATGCATTACGGGTCTCAGTTCTTCTGGGACGTTGGCCAGGCCTGGTAAGTCAAGGACCTGGTATTTCTGCCCAGGAGTGCTTGGATCACCGCTTCCCTCCTCCTCACCGAGCCCAATTGGAGAGCACAGTGCACAGGTGAGGATATTGACACTTAAAAACAACACCCACGACCACCTCATTTGAAACCTGTTAATGAGAACAGCCCCTTCTTCCTTTCCAAGTGATGGGATTGTTTCATCTATTTTCTTTCTAGGCTGAGCCGAATGTGAAAATTTCGTGAAGATAAGCGGGCGGGCAGCCCACATTTTCCCGTTTTGTTCGCCGTAAAATGTCTTCTCAGCCTGCGTCGCGGAGGGAGCTGGCGGGCGCGTCACTGCCTACGGGACTGATTAGGCAGGCAGGCTGTGGGGCGTAGGCGGAGGACGCAGGCAGAGGACGTAGGCAGAGGACTTAGACAGCAATATTTACAACCCAAACTACCTCACAACAGGCAAACAAAACATTTATATAAACTGAAAACCACATACACACCCACAGAGATTACTAATTAACTCATTGCTCAATTGGCTCAATGTTCCAGATACCTTCAGCGTACTCTTGGATACATCTGTCAGAGGAGAAGAAGCCGGTGTTTGCAACGTTGATGATGGACTTCTTGATCCAAGCCTTTTGGTCCAAGTAGGCCTCGTCAACAAGCTCATGGGCTTGCAAGTACGACTCAAAGTCATCAGAAACCAAGTAGTGATCACCTTGGTACTTGATGGAGTCGATGAGGGTTCTGAACTCGTCACCATTACCGAAGCTGCCATTCTCAATGGCATCAAACACAGCCTCCAACGTCTCTGGGATCTTGTAGCCACTGAAACGGTGCTCGTGTCTAATGTCCTCGACACGCTCAGCCAAGTGACCAAACAAGAAGATGTTGTCCTCTCCACACTCTCTGGTGAGTTCAACGTTGGCACCATCGACGGTACCAATGATCAAACCACCATTCATCACGAACTTCATGTTGGAAGTACCGGATGCCTCTGTACCAGCAGTAGAGATATGCTCAGACAAGTCAGAAGCTGGGATGATAACCTCAGCCTTAGAAACATTGTAGTCTGGGATGAAGACAACCTTCAACAAATCACCGACATCTGGATCGTTGTTGATGGCTTCGGACACGGAGTTGATCAACTTGATGATGAGCTTCGCCATGTAGTAACCTGGAGCAGACTTACCACCAAAGATGCAAACCTTTGGCAAGATCTTTTCACGCTCCTCTGGTGAGGCCTTCTTGATTTGAAGGTAACGAGCAATGACACCAAAGATGTTCAACTGTTGACGTTTGTACTCGTGAATACGCTTAACTTGGATGTCAAACAACACGTCTGGGTTCTTGATCTCGATACCGGTGAGCTTCTTGATCAAAGCAACAAGTCTAATCTTGTTGTCAAGCTTAACCTGAGCCCACTGCTTTTGGAACTCTTCATCATCAGCGTACTGCTCCAATTCCTTCAAGAGGGTCAAGTCCTTCAAGTAATCATCGGAACCAAGCTTGGACTTGATCAAAGCAGCCAAACCTGGGTTGGCCTGTCTCAACCATCTTCTTGGAGTGATACCGTTGGTAACGTTTGTAAACTTGGAGGCACCGTAGATGTTGACAAAGTCCTTGAAGATCGTGGTCTTTAGCAATTCAGAGTGCAATTCAGCAACACCGTTAACCTTGTGAGAACCAATGATAGCCAAGTAAGCCATTCTGATGTTCTTTGCAGAGGCCTCCTCCACAATGGATACACGGGACAAGAGATCACGATCCTTAGGGAACTTCTTCTCAACGTGTTGTAAGAAGAACAAGTTGATGTCATAGATGATCTCCAAATGACGTGGCAACAATCTCTCCATCAATGACACTGGCCATTTCTCCAATGCCTCTTGCATGACGGTATGGTTAGTGTAGCCAAAGGTCTCTGTGACAATTGCCCAGGCCTCATCCCACTCCAAGCCTTCCAAATCAACCAAGACACGCTGCAACTCTGGGATGGCCAAAGTTGGGTGAGTGTCGTTCAATTGAATGGCAATTTGCTCTGGGAACTCAGACCATGGACGCTTAGTCTTCTTGAAACGTCTGACAATGTCGTGCAAAGAAGCACAAACCCAGAAGTATTGTTGTTTCAAACGCAGCTCCTTACCAGAGTCAAAGTTATCGTTTGGATACAACACAGCAGTGATGGACTCAGCAGACTGCTGGCCACGGACAGAGTTTTGGTAATCACCAGAGTTGAATTTGGCAAAGTCGAACTCAGTGGTTGGCTCAGCAGACCATAAACGCAAGTTGTTCACATTCTCGCTCTTATAACCAGGAACTGGGAAGTCGTAGGCGACTGCAATGACACGTTCACCTCCGACCCAGGTGGATTTGACCTTACCATGGGCATCCTTATGGTGTTCAACGTGGCCGTAGAAGTCCACTGGGATCTGAATCTCCTTACGTGGGATCTCCCACGGGTTGGAGAACTTGAGCCAGTAGTCTGGAGTTTCAACCTGGTAACCGTCAATGATCTTCTGAGCAAAGATACCGTACTGATAACGCAAACCGTAGCCCCAGCCTGGGTATTTACCAGTGGACAAGGAATCGATAAAACAGGCCGCAAGACGACCCAAACCACCGTTACCCAGAGCAGCGTCTGGCTCCTGCTCCAGCAAGTCTTCCAGCTTGAACCCGAGCTCATCGACAGAGGCGTCAACCAGCTCTCTGTTATCAGTGTTGATCAGCGCATTGTCTAGCGCCCTGCCCATCAGAAACTCCAACGACAAGTAGTAGACTCTCTTCTGGTCCTTGGTGGTCTGCTTCTGCTGCGTCTTGTTCCAGTTGGTGATCAGGTTGTCTCTCATCGTGTTGGAGGTGGCCTGGTAAGCAGCCAGCTCATCGCAGTTGTAGATGGATCTTGCAAGGGTGGTCTCAACGTGGCGGACAAAGCCCTTCTCGAACCCAGCGTTATCGGTGAAGTTCTCCACGGCAAACTTCTTCCACGTCTCACGGCTCTTCAGCGGAATCACACTGTCAATGGACTTGATCTCCGCAGGAGAGAACCCGGTAAAGCGTCTCACGTGCTTTGGGTGTGGCAGCTCCTCGCCAAAGCCCTCAGCAGAGGTTGGCGAGCCAGGGGTGAAGTTATAGCTAGACATCGGCTTAGTTCAATTGGGCGTTCAGCTAATCGAGTATACTTGGATTGAGCTGCGAATTGAACCTGGGAGTGTGTTCTCTATATAGCAAACGTTTGAAAGAGAAGGGGGAGGAAGGAGCCTACCGTGTTAACTTTTATACAAAAGGGGGTTCATCTCTCTATTTATACAACCTTGCATGTATATCAGGTGGTAAAGTGGCTGCAACAGGCATTTGGGTACATGTACCCAAATTCCCACCTCATTAGACAGAGAGGCCGCCAGAGGGAGAGCCCAAGTTCTTCCTGCCTAGTGGGCAGGGAGTTTAGGCAGAGATCCGTATTAAAAACAACAGCGTCGCGTTTCTGTCGCAGTGGGCTGGGATCTGCCCGGCAAGCTGTGGCGACGCAATCGGGAAGAGAGGGCCATCTCGGCCTCTACGGTGGATTACAGCAACAGCAGCGGGCCAATTGAGACGCCTCAATTGGGCTGTTGGTGGTCTTGGGCTCCAGGCACACGGGCAGCGACACTCTTTCTCTCATGGGCTCTCAAATTCTGTCTCTCTCTCTGGCAGTGTGAATGAATTCCACGTTTCTCTGCACTCAATTCGGAGGAGTGCAGAAACGGATGCTTGGATTGTTCTACGCGCGGGGCGCACCCCAAATGGAACAAGGCAAAAACGTCAAAATTAGGGGGGGGGGGCCGCAGGCCACGTCTGCCTAAGATGTGCTTTCCGTTCTACGGCGGCGGAGGATGGACTGAATGGGGGTTTCTCTAGGGGGCTTCTCTAGGGGGGCTTCTCTAGGGGAGTGGTTCCCTAGGGGAGGCACGTTCTAAACCGACGTAAGCGGAACAGAGCACGGACGGACCAAGCAACCAGGGGACACAGGCTGTATACCAAAGTTCACGAAGAGGATGTGCCAATGGGGCACATCCACCCATTCATGCATGGTGTGGTGTGTAGCATGTACCGATAACCAGGACGGGTACTAAGTTATGGCTTTTATTGCAGACAGGCCGGCAAATGTTGTTCGGAATAAGGGCAGACAGAGACAACCACATCCCGTTTACACAGAGCTGTCGATGGCACGTACACCGTACACATCCCACAGTACGCTGGGGATGTTGTATGCATCCAACGATAACGATCTCTCTCGGAACGGGAAGAGGCGGCGGCGAGGGCAATTGGAGATGTACTAACCTGTGTGTACCGTTTCAGGGGTTAAGGAAGCCAAGGTAAGTTTGCAAAGCTCAAACAGCGTGTTGATACCGGGTCTATCCAGCGTGTTGTGTCGTAGCTGTCAGTGGCCGCAGCGATGCAAAGCCAATTGGTGCAATTTGCAATTGCACACTACGAAGTATCAGGGTAAGAGTCAGATGGTGCCATCCAAACTGTGGGCTTCCTGTTTCAAGGTTTGATGGGTTGCTGTTGTACACCAGGCAGGAATATGTGTATGCACATGGTTGTCTTATCTACGATGGCGTCGTAGTGAGTTGTAGACGAGATGTTCAAGACTCGATCCCAATTGACTGTTCTCTCCATGCCAATTGACTGTTTTCCCCATGCCAAAGGGCCTGTATACAGAGTGTATTAGCTATGATATAGCGAATGTGTAGAGAACACGAGAGGCTTTCCTCGTTCGGAGGAAGTTGCACGAAAAGCGAAAATTGCCCCAAACAGGCAAGGGCGAAAGCGAAAACGAAAACCCACAATGGTTTTCGCGTCGCTTCCCAATGCGGTAATCTAATTAGACGCGCCACGTAAAATTTGTCAAAGGATTTTTCACGTCAACTTTTCTCTCTTTCTCTTCTCTCTTCATCAGCAACTACAGAGAGAAGCAAATAGAACCACGTCCACGATGGCCTCAATGTCAGCTCTTCCAGCGGTGATGATCGATGTGAACTACACCGAGGTCACCAAAACAATTAGCGAATTCCTACAACAGTTCAAGGGCGAGGTGGTTTCTCGAGCTGATGAGATGTTTGATACGAGGGTCCCACCTCTGACCGAGGAAGAGCAGCTGGAGTACGGATACGGTCCCAAATACATGACGATGCTTCAGAGAGTGGCCAATAGAGAGATTTCAACAATATACATAGACTTGGACGACATTGAAGATTTTCAACTCACCTCGGAGGTGAATATCGGTGCGTCACCTTATAAGCGCAAGTCTTTGACTGAGGGTATTCTGGAGAACACTTTCCGCTATATCGAAATGTTCTCCAAAGAGATCGATAAGCTGATGCCAGCACCAACAAAGGCCATCCCAGATAAAGGTGGTGTCATCGATCTCATCCTACAACAGAGACAACAAAGAAACCAGAGACTGCAAGCGGAAAGAAGGGAAGAACTAGAGGCTAATAACTTGATGGGTGATGTCGAGGACGAGGAGGAGAATGGCGAGGCCGAGTTTCCAGCAAATTTAACGCGTCGTTATAACCTGTATTTCAGACCATTGACCAAGATCTCCGGTAAAAGGGCCTACAAACCACTGTCAGTGCGTCAAATCAAGGGCCAGCACGTTGGTAAGCTGGTCACTGTACGTGGTATGATTACAAGAGTCTCAGACGTTAAACCTGCAGTCTTGGTGAATGCATACACATGCGACCAATGTGGTCATGAAGTGTTTCAAGAGGTTACAACTAGAACCTTTAACCCCTTGAATGAATGCATCTCCGAACAATGTCGTAATAACCAATCCAAGGGAAAACTCTTCCCTTCTACACGTGCTTCCAAGTTCAGTCCATTCCAGGAGGTTAAGTTACAAGAGTTGGCCTCACAAGTGCCAGTTTCTCACATTCCAAGAACTTTCACAATTCATGTCAACGGTGACTTGGTTAGATCCATGGATCCAGGTGACGTTGTCGACGTTGCCGGTGTTGTCTTGCCACAGGCATACACTGGCTACCAGGCCCTAAGGGCAGGTTTACTGACGGAGACTTTCCTCGAAGCGCAATGCGTTTATCAACATAAGAAGAAATACGACATGAGTGAAATCAGTGCCTCAATCGATGAAAAGATTAGACTCATTCAAGAACAAGGTGACGTGTATTCCAGATTGGCACGCTCAATTGCTCCAGAGATTTTCGGTCACGATGATGTCAAGAAGGCTTTGCTATTGTTACTTGTTGGTGGTGTCGATAAGAAAATGGGTGATGGTATGAAAATCAGAGGTGATATCAATATCTGTCTAATGGGTGATCCCGGTGTGGCTAAATCGCAATTGTTAAAGACGATCTCCAAGATTAGTCCAAGAGGTGTTTATACAACAGGTCGTGGGTCCTCAGGTGTTGGTTTGACAGCAGCTGTGATGAAAGACCCGGTTACAGATGAAATGGTACTGGAAGGTGGTGCTCTCGTCTTAGCAGATAACGGTATCTGTTGTATCGATGAGTTCGATAAGATGGATGAATCTGATAGAACTGCTATCCATGAGGTTATGGAACAACAAACAATCTCTATTTCCAAAGCAGGTATCAATACTACCTTGAATGCTCGTGCATCTATCCTAGCTGCTGCAAATCCTGTACTTGGACGTTTCAACACAAAGATCTCCCCATTGGACAATATCAATTTACCAGCTGCTCTTCTCTCAAGATTTGATATCTTGTTCTTAATTCTTGACACTCCGTCGCAGGACGACGACGCAAAGCTTGCTGAACACGTTGCCTATGTTCACATGCATAACAAACATCCAGTGATGGATTTCGAGCCCTTTGATCCAACAACGATCAGAGAGTATATAACAAAGGCAAAGATATACAGACCTGTTATTTCTCAAGAGGTTGCAGATTATGTTATTGCATCCTATACAAGAATGAGACAAGAATCGAAGCACAAGGTTAAGAATGATCCACGCATGTCATTTGGCCAGGCTACACCAAGAACACTATTGGGTATATTAAGAATGTCACAGGCTCTTGCTAAGTTGAGATTTGATTCTACAGTTGAAAAGGCCGATGTTGATGAAGCTTTGAGATTGGTTGAGGTTGCGAGATCGTCGTTTACAAGAGATGAAGGGAGAAGAACGGATGAATCATCAACGACAAAGATTTATCAAATCATTCAAACCATGGCCTTGGCTGACGGGGCAAGAAGAACAAGCCTGAATCTCAGTGACGTTAAGAACGCTGTTATTTCCAGGGGTTTCACAGAGCAACAGTTCAGAGAGTGTATCGACGAGTACGAGCATTTGCAAATCTGGTATGTGGTTGACGATGAGACGCTTCAATTGATCAACGGTGGTGAAGAAGATGTCGATGCTGACATAGTTATGGAGTAACCCACTTATATACCTCGGGACCAACTGTATTATAATCATTGCGATTCATGGAATTGTTAATTTCGTTGTACCTGTAGTGCTTGCTGGATCATCCATTGCGTTGGCTGGTTATATGTCTGCTCATACTGTCACTTGGTGCTATTTCCAAAAAAGCCGAGCAAGACACCCAATTGGGGGCGTACAGTTACTGGAGGACACTACAGGACAGTATAAATAATGAGCTTTTCCCAAAGTTTACATATGAACTACTCAATGAATGCTGTATCAGTTGCTGTTCTTCCACAGCTAAATATACCAAAGACTGGAAGTTTCATTGTCAACAAGTCCGGCCGCGTGGTCTAGTGGTATGATACTCGCTTTGGGTGTGAGTGGTCCAGGGTTCAATTCCCTGCTCGGCCCTTGTTTTTTTTCATAACCCAACCCAGGTCACGTGATCAATGGATTACGTCATCAAGAGTTTTTTTGCCCACCCATCATCGACAGTTTGGCTGATCAAATTAACTGGCGGCTTTAATCGAAATACACAAAGTAGGCAAACAACAAAGCCAAACAAAGGAGAACAAATTCCACTTAGAAACAGCAGAAAGAGAGAACAAAGCACTACAAAGTACAATGATCAACGATCCACAGGATTATTACTCCGATGACGACTCCGATGAAGAATTCTGGTGAGTATTTTGCCCTCCGGCTGGCTCGCTAGTTGCACATATATGAGCTCTGTGTGGGATCTCTATAAGATTGGTGTACTAACAGGACGATAGCCCACTCTGTGTGGAGGTGATGGATCTGTCGGATAGAAACTTCAAGCCATGTCCATGTGGGTATCAAATCTGTCAGTTTTGTTACAACAACATCCGTCAGAACCCCGATTTGAACGGGAAGTGTCCAGCCTGTCGTCGTCCGTATGACGATGAATCTGTTGAGTACAAGACGATGTCTCCGGAGGAGTTGAGAAGAGAGCAGAACAAGCAGCTGAAGAAGGAGAAAGAGAAGAAGCAGAGGGAAAAGGAAAAGAAGGAGAATGAACAGATGAACCGCAAGCACCTGGCTGGCATGAGGGTTATCCAGAAGAATCTGGTTTACGTTGTAGGCTTGAACCCTCCGGTGCCACAGGACGAGCTAATACCATTGTTGAAGTCCGATAAATACTTTGGACAGTACGGTAAGGTGTTGAAGGCTGTTATCAATAAGAGAGTTCCCACTGTGGGTCATCACAATCCAAACAGTGGATATGGCATCTATGTGACTTTTTCCAAAAAGGAGGAGGCTGCAAAGTGTATTGCAGCTATTGACGGGACATATCTCGATGGCAGACTGTTGAAAGCAGCCTTTGGTACTACAAAGTACTGCTCCTCCTATTTGCGAGGCCAGGCTTGTCCAAATCCAAACTGTATGTTCTTACACGAGCCAGGTGAAGAGGCAGATTCATACACAAGACAAGATCTGTCCACTAGGCAATCTCTGAGAATGGGAGGTCCTGAACTTCACAGAAATGCACCATTCCCAAGACACCCACCTACGCATTACAATACTTCTAGTGCTGCTGGTAATACCATCTCCGCTACCAACACAAACCATGAGGACACCAACTCTAACTCTTCGAACACTGCGGCCTCCACGCCTACACTGCAGCACCAGTCACTTTCTGGAGCATTACCTTTGCCTGCCACTGTTTCTTGGGCAAATCCTAAGGCACAGGCTACGTCCACATCACCAACAACACCCTCGACGACGTTGGCAAACTCCTCAGCGTTCCCATCATTGGCTGAACGTGCCACTCAACAACAGTTACAACAACAGCAGATTGAACAAAAGAGAAAACAAAAACACCACCACGGTCAACAGAATGAGGATTATCAACCAGAGAATGTTGCCTTTGCATTTTTGGATGAAATTTCTGCTCTTTTGAGTGCTCCACCTCAAATCAACTACCGTTTACGCTCTGGAGTCGTCACAGAGAAGAGCAGTGCATTGCCCCCTTTGTTTGTCTATAACTCTGGTGAAGCTTCCAGCGAAAGCAAAAGAGACGATCTGTTCTCTATGAAGTTGTTGGAGTCTCTTATTTCCAAACCACCACCAGTTGCATTCAATGCATTATTGTCTTCACAAGCAACACCTTACCAAGCACCAATTAATATGAACGCAAATGTCGCCCAGGCCCAAGGTGTGGCTGTCAATACAAAGCAACAACAGCAACAACAGCAGCAGACACAGCAGAACTCTGTGGCACAGGCATTGTTGCAACAACAATTGCTTCAACAACGTGCACTACAACAACAACAGCAGCAGCAGCAGCAACAGCAGCAGCAGCAACATCTACAAGCACATCAACAGGCTCAACAACCATTGCAACCACAACCTCAGTCCAAGACAGCTGCACAACAACTGCTACAAGAACAGTTGTTACAACAAAGCTTGAAAGTGGATCGTTCCTACTCTGCAACACCACCACCTCCGGGCCTCGTTCCAAACCAAACCAGTGAACACGTTGGTGGCACAGCCTCCGAATTGCTCAGCCATTTGATGAATGGCAAGAAGATCAGTGCTTGAAGCGAGTACTCCTTTGTTATTGTAATGTATCAATATGTTTTTATTCCATTATTAGTTGTGTTTTAAACCTCTTATCCGTTCATGATTCCTTGCCAATGTAGCTGGTGGGCCCGTAGGCCGGGCCCCACTAAAAATTGTAGGCTAGTTTTGATTTTTCACGCCAGCTCGGCCGTTTGTTTGTAGCGATGGAGGAGGTAAACAGGAAGCTCGAGGCATCAAAACAAGACACGTCCATCATAGAGAAGGCGTAGACAAATACAGGAGAATGGTTCGTATCTGATGCATCACGTGCTGGACCCGTGGTGACTTTTGTTTGGGGATGATTGCCTTACTAACATACGCTGATGTAGACGGACACTTCGAAGTTTAGACCAGACGTTTCGAAGCTCTTCGAGCCAAGGCCTCCCTTAAAACATCTGGACGATCTTGATTACCCACTGTCGAAGAGAAGAACGTGCCACATTGACGGTATCGGTTCGTATCTTGAGCAGCTGAAGGGGTACACTGCTCCTCAGAAAGCTCCAGCTGAGAACACAGCGGAACAGCAGCTCCAAGAGGCTAAAGAGCACGAGAAGGAGCACAAGATCACCGAGAACATACGTAAACTTGATGACGAGTTCCAGAAATGGAAGCCCGATGAGGATCCTAATATCAAGGGAGATCCATTCAAGACCGTTTTCGTTGCACGGTTGGACTACAGCATCACTGAGGTCGATTTACAGCGAGAGTTCACCAAGTTTGGTGAAGTTGAGAGGGTCAGAATCGTTAGGGATAAAACCGATGGTAAGTCAAGGGGCTATGCCTTTGTCGTGTTCTCTGATGAACACGGTGCGCGTGCTGCTTACAAGGAAGGTAATGGCATGAAGCTTGGGGATCGAACCATTTTGACGGATGTTGAGAGGGCAAGGACCAACAAGAACTGGGTTCCTAGAAGACTTGGAGGCGGACTCGGGGGACGCCACTACCTTCTGAAGCAGAAGCAGAGAGAAGAGTCCGAGAGAAAGAAGGCTGAGATGTATGCTAGTAAGATGAAAGCACCACCTAGGTTTGCTGGTAGAGGACGTGGTGGTGGCAGCAGTGGTGTTCACGAGAGACCAAAGTATGAACCGAGAGGTGGTGATAGAGCCCATGACTCTAGAGGGCACTCAGATCGGGGCTACGAGCCAAGATCGTCGAGACCGTATGCTGACAGTAGACATGAACGGTCGTATGAGTCCAGAAATGAGCGGTCGTATGAGTCAAGAAACGAGAGATCAATTGGTTATAGATCATCACAGGATAGATACAGCTCGAGGTCCGAGAGAAGTGACTACAGAGACAGAGATAGGTATAAGTACCAGAGATAGCCATATAGTAAGCATTGAAACCAGCTTCCCGTGTAGCTGAGAAGGAGCTCAACCGTAGCGTTGCCCCGAGACATCGGCAAGCAACAGCTCATCGCCTGGAAAAAAATTCGTGAGGGAAGAAGCTTGCCTCGACACCTACAAAAGAAGCCTATCTTGCTGCTTGAGCTATACACGGCAGAAGGGATGACTGAGGATACGACCAAGCTCAACACGTCGAAGCTTGGAACCAAGGAATAGTGGGTATCTGTACAGTGTTTTCAGCGTAACGTGGAACTAACTAATTGGCCAGCTGGGATAACTTCTATGCTCTTGAGAAGGACAATTTTGAGTCGAATCCAGATGACACTGGCGAGTGTTGGTTCTCAGACTCGAATGCAGAGGAGAAGATGGTTGAGTTCCTCTTTGATAACCTGAATGAATACGCGATCCATGACCAGAGCTCCATGGTTGACATTGGTACTGGTAACGGGCATCTTCTATTCACGCTGAGAGAGGAAGGGTTCAAGGGACAGCTTCTTGGAATAGACTACTCTGAGAAGTCTGTGGAATTCGCCAGAAGCATAGCAGAGGAGAATGACGTTGATGTTGAGTTCGAGGTTGTCGACATCTTTTCAGAGTCATGGGACCCTAAGGTGGTGGACGTTGTTCTCGATAAGGGGACATTGGATGCTATTGCACTGAGTGGCTTACAGTACAACGACAAGCCCGTTGTGGAGATCTATCCCCATGCCATTGATAAGTTGATGACAAAGGGGTCTGTATTTCTCATAACGTCTTGTAACTTCACAGAGAAGGAACTGGAATCCATAATCTTACAGAATAAGTCGTTAAAACTTTGGAAAAAGGTTGACTATCCAAGCTTCCAATTCGGTGGTGTTAAAGGTTCTACAATATGTACCCTGGCATTCGTCAAACAATCCTGAACATCATACATTAGGTATCAGCTTATGTAAAGAATCAAATAGCTCCTGTGTAGTTTCAACTTTCCCAGTTTTTACAGCGTATTGGACAGGTTTATCATTCTCCACAGAGGTGAATCTGATGAACTTTTCACTCTGTAACGACGAAGGCATGCCTTTCACAATTTGTAAGCCAGGCACCAATGCAACATTCAGAATAACCTTTAGGAGACCGTTCGATCTCATGATGATTCTCGACGAGTGCTTGTCACTCTTATTGACGTGGACGTTACCACGACCACGTTCTTTCCAGCCTTGTTTAACATCTGTCAGGTCCAGTGCGTATAGCTTTGCAGTACAGGTGAATACCTGTTCTTCATCCTCCTCTCCAGATTTAACCAGGGTCTTTTCGAGGTCCACTTGCTTGTAAAGATTAGCAGACGTTGACGTCTGTGCACCTGCCTCTGGTGAATTCTCTTTAGTATCTTTATCGTCAGAGGCGGTGTCGAAGATGGACTTTTTACCAATAGCATTTTGGAAAGCGTTACCGAAGCTTGAGCTGGAGCCGAAAACTGGGAATGAATCCTTTACCGTCGAGGACTCTTCCTTTGATTCAAAGATGGACTTCTCCTTGTTGACCATGGAGAATGCGTTGGCACCGAATGGAGTTGTAGAGCCAAAGACGAATTTTGGTTTGTCTTCAGGTTTGTCTTCAGGTTTATCCTCAGGTTTATCCTCAGGTTTATCCTCAGGTTTGTCCTCAGGTTTGTCCTCAGTTTCACCCTCTGATATTTTCTCAATTGGGGCCTCGTCAGCACCCTTCACATCTTGTTTGTCCGCATTGGACACTTCAGCATTGGACACTTCAGCACTGTCTTTTGGGGCAGCTTCCCCGTCATCATTGCTGTTCTCAGACTCAGCCACCCTCTTCGCAGTGTCTGCCGTGCTCTTGCTCTTCACTTCCTCGTCATCGTCACCGCCCTTCTCATCTGGAAGAACTTTCAGCTGTTTGGCATCCCTCTCATCAGCATCGACAGAGGCCTCACCCTCCTCAAAGTCATCCCTCGTACGCTTTCTCGTCAAGGTAGAGCTCGAAGACTCCACAGCACCTTCAGAGCTCGTCACCGGCGTATCCACTGGCTCTTCTCTCGGCATATTTTCTTCCTGTCTCTAAGCAGAAACACCAGAAGCTCATCCAACATCGTAGTGGACAGAAGAGCAAAACGCTAACATCCAGAGTAGAAATGTCCGGATGGAAGCCTCCAGCTTTGTTCCGCGAAAATTCCCTTAAACGGATAAACATAAACAAACAAACGAGAAGACGTTTGTAGTCAGAATTTTGTAAACAAAGAGACAGAACCTTCCATTTTACACCAAAGAACACGGAGACACGGACGAACAAAGAGAGTCAGAGAGACGGACAGAGCTAAGAATGACGTCGGTACCACACTTTCTTCGGTTGAAGCCACGGGGAGACACACCAGGTGATAGAGAAAAGGAGTGTCTCATTGAGTATCAAAACAACAACGAGGTCAAGTTCAAGGACACAACAAGTGCTACGAAGTTCACTAAGGTGTTCAGCGAGATTTCGCAGCTCGACCTATACGATCAGATCTTGAAGGAGTCCACGGAGGAGTTGTTCCTGGGCAAAGATAGCGTCTTCTTCACGCTCGGACCCTCGAACTCTGGTAAGTCGTACTCTGTGTACGGTGATGCTTCAAACCCGGGGCTTTCCATCTACTCGTTGAATGAGATCTTCAACAAGATTGGAGGTAACTTTGCAGACTATAAGCAGTTCAAGAGATACTTTGGGGAACACTTCATGATCACCTCGAACTCCCAAAGAGATTCTCAGGGTGAATATGGACTCTCGATCTCAGTCTTTGAGATTTACAACGACCGTATCAGGGACCTATCCCTTGATAGCAAGAAGACCGAGAACCAATCTTTGGACATCGTTACTGATTCGAAAGATGGTAAGATCAAACCAAACAGGATTAGGCAGATCTATGTCACGAACCTGGAGGACGCCAAAACGGTGTTGCATAAGTGTATCAAGAGAAGAGCAGTTAGTTCTACCAATTTGAACGAAACCAGCTCCAGATCTCATTTGTTTATCTACTTCAACCTTCATAAGGTCATTGGGAAATGTTTGAAGACAACAAGACTCACCATTGCAGACTTGGCTGGCTCTGAAAGGTCTAAAACTGCAAAGACTGAAGGTAAAGAATTCAAAGAGGGCAATTATACAAATACAAGTTTGACAGAGTTGGGCAGATGTTTGGTCTTGATGAAATCAAAGAGATTCGATAGATCTAATTTGAGAACTTCAAAGCTAACAAGATTACTCTTGACAGACCTTTTTGGAAATTTGAACCATAACAGGGTAAAGATCTTGTTGACTTTGGATCCATATTCTTCGTTGTCAACTATCATCCACGCCGTTAGATATATTCAACCAATTTCCAAAGTACAAATCAATTCTGCAAGAAATTCGTTGGAATCTACAACCAACGATGATTCGGAGTACGTTAAAGAGATTCATCAGTTAAAAGAGTTGAACAAATCCCTCTCAGATGAGCTTGAAATGGTTAAGAACAAGACTGTGGAGATTGAGATGGACATTAGAAGTGAAGTTGTTGAACTCTATGAGCAAAAGATCAGAGATCTCGAGATCATCAACGATAAGGCAATGAATGATCTAAAGGAAACCCATGAAAGAGATGTTGATGAGAAGCTTAAACTGCTATCAGAAGAATACGACTTGCAAAAGCAGAAGTTGATCGAGAGCTATGAATCACAACTGAACGATCTCCAATCCCAGATGCTTCAAGCTGAATCCAAATCCCTGGAATTGTCGGAGCTGAAGGTGAAGGAGCTCGAGAAACAGATTGAGGACTACAAAGAGAGGGAAAGACAAATGCTGGAGAAAGACGTGCAAAATTCTAAGAGAATTGACGAATTAACTGTCCAACTGTCCAAAGGCGAGAAGAAAAGACCCTCTGAAGAAGGTCTGGAGCAAAATCAGTCTACAAAGAAAGTCAGGTTCAGTGGCGACGGCGAGATAAACGAGCACGATCTCGTCTTAAGCCCAATTAAACTGATAAAATCATCTCCAAACAAGCATTTCAAGTTCGAGGACAACTACAAATCACCTGGGAAATCGATCAAGAACAATCACTTCAAATTTGACACTGACGGACTGAAATCATCACCGGTTAAATCACCGCTAAAGTCACCGCTAAAGCCTCTACGGGAATCCACGAATTCGAATACGAGATCATCACCACTCAAATCACCATCAAAAGGTAAGAAGAAGATCAACAACACCCACCACGTCGTCGATACAGATGACTACGACCTGTTCAACTAGGCTCAATCGAACAGATGCTCAGAAGCTGTGGATTTCACTGTGTAGTTGACTGTTTTAGGTAGTTTATCCGACCGGTTATGTGCGTCTTCGGAGATTTCCACTCTCCGCATACACAGTTAGAATTTCGATTATAAATACAAACCATTCCGGGGGCCAATTGTAGCTCAGAGGTCATCACTCAGACAACAAGGTATACATAGAGATGGTTAAGGTGCCAAACTTCACAATCAAAGCTACCGGGAAACAGGTTCCAGCCATTGGGTTTGGATCAGGCACAGCATGGCGTTTGCAAAAATGGGGCCAGATGGATGAAGACAAAGGTCATGAACTGATTGTTGAGCTCATTGACCAGGTCAAGACTGCAATTGACGTTGGTTTCAGACATATCGATGTCGCAGAGGCCTACTTCACCCATCGCGAGGTTGGCGAAGGTATCAAGGCGTCAGGCATTGCCAGAGGGGAGCTCTTCATCACCGACAAATGGAGCCCTGGTGTTTTCAAGTCGACCAAGTCCAAGGGTCCAAAGGAATCTATTGCAAAGACCTTGAAGGAGCTACAATTGGAGTACATTGACCTGTATCTGCTGCACAGTCCTCAAGCCAATGAAGGAGAGATATCCACTGAGAATGCCTGGTTAGAATTGGAGGAGCTGTACAGAAATGGTACAGTTAAGCAGATTGGTGTCTCCAACTTCTCTGTTGGTTGGCTCGAGAGAGTCAACAAGGTTGCCACTGTCAAGCCAATGGTGAACCAGATTGAATTCCATGCCTACTTACAAGAGCCAACGCCAGGCATTGTCGACTACTGTAAGAAGAACGACATTCTTATCGAGGCCTACTCGCCATTGGCACCTATCACAAAGGGTAGACCTGGTCTATTGGACGACATCTTGCCAGAGTTGGCTGCTAAGTATGGCAAAGATGAGAATCAGATTCTGTTGAGATGGGTTTACCAGCAGGGCATTCTGCCATTGACAACCTCGTCAAAGGCGCAACGTCTCAGAGACTCCCTAGACATCTTCACCTTTGAGCTTGAGGATGAAGACGTCAAGAGAATCACCGATGTTGGCAACAAGAATGGCCGTGTACAAGGCTTCAAACCATTCTGGCCAGAGCCATGATGTTTTCTAGAATCGTACAAGATGATATATATTCAATCTATCCTATGAACTCGATCTGCTCTGTAGTCTCCACTGTTTGAAGCTCTCTGGCAGTAAAGTGCTCAACACCTCAGCTGAGATATCAGGTGGCAGCTCATACAGTGAGAGTGTCTTGTTCTGTGGATCGAACGTCAGTCTCCACGACTTGGACTCATCACGTGGAATCTCAGCTTTGATACACTCGACAAGAGCTCCATACCACTTCAGAGCATCGACACAGTTGATCTTTCTCGGGTTGGTATTCACAGGGTTCGATTTCAACAGCACGGGGATCTCCTCAGTCTTGTACTCCTCCACGGCCCTCAGCGTCAGGTTTTGATCTCTGAAGCCATAGATAACTCTTGTTATGCCCAATAGGAAGCACTGTGCCCATGTCTTGAACAGCTTCTTCTCGAATGTGACACTCTGGCCAGGCTCAGAGATCTGTGAAGACGTCTTCAGCTCGACATAGTGCGGCAGTGGGTTCGAGTCCACAGGCTTATAGTCCCACACACAGTCAACCTCGCCTCCCAGCACGATTCTGGTCTTTCCAATGCCTGTTCTCACCACAGAGCAGTACTGCTCCACGTTGTTGACGATCTTCTTGCTTCTCTTCTCAATCGTCGCCCTGGACACCTCGTTCAATGGCTTTGGCACGGTCGCCACGGACTCGAACTTGTAGCCCGAGTACATCAGCCTCTGCTGTTCCACTGAAGGTGCACGCTCGTGCAGCTTCTTCGCCTTCTTATCCTGCTGGATGAAGATATGGCCGTCGAAGTATATCACGTTCAGGTCGATGTGGTTTCTCTGCTCATACGGCAGGATCAGCAGCTGCGTCATGATCCCTCTGAACGTGATGATATCAGCCTTCACCTTGGAGCCCGTCCGGCGCTCGTAGTCCTCCAGCCCGCCGATGAACCCATCAAACACGCCATCCTTATCGTCGTCCATCTTCTTGAACTTGCCAAACCCGGCTCCCAGGTCGATGTTGGTGTCAACATCAGAATCGGGAAGAAAGTAGTAGCTGAGGCATACATCGCCATTGACATATTCACCGTCAAACGTCCGGGAAAAGCAGTACAGCTCCTTCGGCTGTCTCAGTGCTGTGGTGTCAGCTCTGCTGTTCAGTGGGAAGAGCTTCACGCCGGACATCGTTGTTGTGGTGGCGTTGTTTGTTGTCTTTCTGGCTCTTTCTGGCTCTTTCTGGCTCTTTCTGGCTCTTTCTGGCTCCCGCTGGCCTCCTCCTACCGGTGATGCCCAGTTCTCCGTGCACAGAGAGAAAAAAACTTCACCGCCAGGCGGGCCAGGCAGGGAGTGTGAAAAAAAAACAGCCCAACGTCCAACGACGCAGGCTCATCATCCCCTTCTACAGAGAGAAAAGCATAGCAAACATGTCTTATTCGCTTACAATTGCTGCCAAGGCCCCTGTGGTTGCGTACGACGCACTCACAGCCGCTGCCTTCGTCAACTCTGAGACCGACAGCTCCATCACGGTGGACTTTGTCGATGAGAAGGCCGTTGACGGGGCCTCTGTTGTGCTCAAGGCCGGCACCGAGACCGTGAAGGACGGTGCTGTTGTTGAGAAGCTGGCCAGCGAGTTCCCTGAGGTGCTTGTTGGCGCTGGCCAGTCTGCTGAGTGGGTCCAGGTGGCCTCCAGCGAGCTCGTTGTGAAGGATTTCAAGAAGCTGGCGGTCTCACTGGAGAAGCTGGATGCTCACCTGAACCTGCGCTCCTTCATCGTAGGATACTCCGTCTCTGTTGCCGATATTGCGGTCTGGGGTGCGCTGAGATCCAACGGTATGGTTGGTTCCATCATCAAGAACACCGTCTACACGAACGTGACCAGATGGTACCAGTTTTTGGAGCAGGACAAGAGATTCGGAGGCATGGTTGAGCTGATGGCGAAGGCCGTTGCGGAGTTGAAGAAGAAGTCCAAGGTCAAGGCCGATGGTAAGAAGGAGTCTCACAAGGCCAACTTCGACATCGACCTTCCAGATGCTAAGGAAGGCCAGGTGGTGACCCGTTTCCCACCAGAGCCATCTGGGTACCTGCACATTGGCCACGCAAAGGCTGCTATCTTGAACAAGTACTTTGCGGACCAGTACAAGGGTAAGCTGATCATCAGATTCGACGACACCAACCCTTCGAAGGAGAAGGTTGAGTTCCAGGACTCCATCATCGAGGACTTGAAGTTGCTGGGTATCAAGGGTGATAAGCTGACGTACTCCTCTGACTACTTCCAGGAGATGTACGACCTTGCTGTCCAATTGATCAAGGAAGGCAAGGCCTACGCAGACGACACCGTCCAGGAGAAGATGAGACAGGAGAGAATGGACGGTATCGCCTCCGAGAGACGTGATCGCTCAGTCGAGGAGAACTTGAGAATCTTCACCCAGGAGATGAAGAACGGTACCGAGGAAGGGTTGAAGAACTGTATTCGTGCAAAGATCTCTGTCGACAACCCTAACAAGGCCCTCCGTGACCCTGTTATCTACAGATGTAACTTGACTCCACATCATAGAAGTGGGTCAGAGTGGAAGATGTACCCAACATATGACTTCTGTGTGCCAGTCGTCGACTCCTTGGAGGGTGTTACCCATGCCTTGCGTACCATTGAGTATAGGGACAGAAACCCACAGTACGACTGGTTCTTGGAGGCATTGAAGCTGAGAAAGGTGCACATCTGGGACTTTGCCAGAGTCAACTTTGTCAGAACACTGCTGTCTAAGCGTAAACTGCAGTGGTTTGTTGACAAGGGCTACGTCTCCAACTGGGATGATCCAAGATTCCCTACCGTCAGAGGTGTCAGAAGACGTGGTATGACTGTTGAAGGTCTGAACAACTTTGTCATCTCTCAAGGTCCTTCAAGAAACGTCATCAACTTGGAATGGTCCATCATCTGGGCCATGAACAAGAAGGTTATTGACCCAATTGCACCACGTCACACTGCAATCGTCAGCCCAGTCAAGGTCCACATCGAAGGTGCGCCATCTGAGCCTGTTGTTGAGAAGAAGCCAAAGCACAAGAAGAACCCAGATGTCGGTGAAAAGGACGTTATCTTCTACAACCAGGTTTTGATTGACCAGGACGATGCCAACTCCCTGGAGGATGGCGAAGAGCTCACCTTGATGGACTGGGGTAACATTATCGTCACCAAGCTCAACAAGGAAGGTGACAATGTCACCTCCATCGAGGCCAAGCTTCACCTGGAGGGTGATTTCAGAAAGACCAAGCACAAGGTGACTTGGTTGGCTGATACTCCGGAGAAGGTTGATGTTGACCTCGTTGACTTTGATCTCCTGATCACCAAGGACAAGTTGGAAGAAGGTGACGATTTCGAAGACTTCATCACCCCAGAGACCGAGTTCCACACTGCTGCTCTTGGTGATTTGAACATCAAGAACATGAAGGTTGGTGACATTATCCAGTTTGAGAGAAAGGGTTACTTCAGATTGGACAAGATCGAAGATGGAAAGTACACTTTCTTCACCATCCCAGACGGAAAGGTTGTCAACAAGTACGGTGCTAAGAAATAAGTCTACTGTTTGTACGTAACCTGAAGGAGTTTCTATTACTGTTCTTCTTACTCTATTTACCAGTGGAACCGAAGCCACCAGCTCCACGCTCTGTAGTATCCAGCTCAGCCTCCGTGATCTCCTCGATATCTGCGTTGACAATCTGCTCCAGAACCAATTGGGCTATTCTGTCACCTTTGTTGATCTCGAAGTCCTTCTCAGAGTGGTTGAACAACACCACTTTGACCTCGCCTCTGTAATCAGCATCAACAACACCGGCACCTGTTGAGATACCATGCTTCACCGCGAGTCCAGAGCGTGGTGCAACACGACCGTATGTCCCCACAGGAACAATCACAGAGATGTCAGTCGCCACCATGGCCTGGCCTCTTGCTGGCACCAACGACTTCTCTGAAGAGTAGAGGTCGTACCCGGCAGCGAGCGCTGAGCCCTTTGTTGGTGTAGTGGCATTCTCCGAACGCTTGTAGATCTTCAGGACTTGGCTCATCTTCTGCTTCTTTAGCTCTTGTGTCATAAGTCTCGTGAATGTCAGAGTACTTTGTGAATAACAACGTATGGCCATTCAATTCCGAGCGGTTGTATGGCAGAATAACTGGACGTGTTTCTCGCTTTTTCGCCCATCTTGGGCTCTCGCTGGCTACGGCGTTCTTGCCTGAGCGTACGCGTCAGTTTTCGCGTTCCTGTTTACGCGTCTTGCCTTATACACGGAGCGCAAACACCACCGGTATTATACGGGCAGTTGCGGAAGTTTTGATATATCATTAAGTCGTAGTTGTCTATTAACATTAGAAGGGTGTTGTGGTCACTCGGTGTGATCCATGGAGCCGTACTGTCTTCTCGAGGCCTCATCGCTGTCATCAAGTAAGGAAGGCTGGTCCAATATTGAGCTTCTGAACCGTTGCAACCTCTGGGCATCGTTGGAGTCATTCCGTAGCAACTCGGCCAGAGTGATCCACTGCGGTAGCAGTGCACTTGTGTAGTCGATTCTTGCTGCTGTGCAGTTCCCCTGTGAGCCATCGTACTGTTCCACGACAGTTTCAGCATCTATGTGCAATGTCCTCGAGTAGAACCTTGCTGAGTAGATAAACGACTGTATCCCAAAGATGACAAGGTCCAGGACATATAGCAGAGATTTGGACTCGATCTGCTGCTCGCCAATGACTTCAACCGTGTGGTGTCCATAGATGTAGCCACTACTATCTGGCACTGGAATGTCTCTCAGGAAGTGCAGCAGCGCACAGCACACGTTAGTTATTATGATCCCGTGGAGCGTGCTCACCTTCAGCACCTCCTTGGAAACCGGCAACTCGTCCATGTTATACGGCGTTGTCAAGTGCTATGAGGTATGGTCAGTATATCACGTTGTGTCATTTCAAGGGGGAGCCGGGTGGAATGATACTCACCATGTGGATGATCGCGTGGACGATAAGCATGAGTAAGCTGCAGTCGTACAGATAGATGATGCCTATATACACAGCGCTCAGTATCGACAGCTTAGTCAATAGATCCCTTTTGAACAACTCTCTCCTTGTCTGTAGAGACTTGCGTACTGCTACTGATTCTGGTGATATCTCCATGGGAAATGCGGTATGTGACGTGGAAGCTTGCGGAAACGACCCGGGCAGCGGGCTTAGTGGATCCATTGCAGTAAATAGAGACGATCAACCGTTCAACAACCCACGGATTACTTGTTGGAATGGTCCATTAAACAACAAATACACAACACAATGCAGCGTATATAGCCACACAGCTCCGGAGAGGTTGTTTATGCGGTAGGGGCACACATATTTGCGCAAAGTGTCCAATCGGGCAATTTGCTTGCGCAAATTGCAACGAAAGAGCAACGAAATTAAAGCATTTGCGAAATCCGTCATGAGCACACCCGGACACCGGGGACCATCGCTCTTTCCGCTGCGGGCCCAGAGCCGCCCGCCCCCAGGCAGAACAAGCAGAAAATCTCCTTGCCCGCGGGCGCGGGGCCCTCTTTGTCTCCCTCTGCGGGTTTGGCCCCGGCGGACGCTTTTCCCTCTGGCCTCTCTTCCCTCGCCTCTGTACAATTTGACGTCGAGAAAGGGCCTCATCAGACCTTCTCCAGCACACCGATTTCATACGCCACGGGGTTCAAACTGCTCAGAAGGTTCAATCAGTGAGTACCATAGGGTCTTTGGCTCGTCACAGCACTTTCTTTCTATGGCAATGGGGAATACTCATGGAGGAGGCAGGCAGGCAGGGAGAGGGCCAAGGGAGGAAGGTAGCGAAGAGGAGCCAGACATAATGGATATATGTCTCGTGGTACTCCAAGGTGGCCCTGCTACTGGAAGTACACTGACGCTGATAATGGTTACTAACAACTAGCCAAAGGATACTTGAGACACTGTTGGGTTCGTGATTGAGATACCAGGATGATACGCCCTCCAAAAAGTTGCTCTCTAGGTGGCGCCTCTCTATATGGCTCGAAGTCGCCGTTGAGCCGTTCAACATCAGCTCTCTTCTATAGGTGCCAAACAAGATACCAGAGTCAGGCCAGCAAGCCGCCACAGAGCTCTGAGACCAAGGAGATCAAGGATGTTCCGCAGACTGTAGAGAAGAAGGAGAAGCCGCCTCTGTGGGATAGAATCAAGCATGAAGTACACCACTATTGGGATGGTACCAAGCTTTTGGGTTACGAGGTGAACATCTCTACAAAGCTCCTGTTCAAGATGCTCAGGGGCTATGAATTGACGAGAAGAGAACAGACACAGCTGTCCAGAACCACTGGTGACTTGTTTAGACTGGTTCCATTCTCTGCTTTCATCATCATCCCATTTGCAGAACTGTTACTGCCAATTGCTTTGAAGCTGTTCCCAAACCTCTTACCTTCGACGTACGAATCCAAGGATGATAAGAAGAAGAAGAAGGCGCAGCTCATCAAGACAAGAGATCAAACCTCTTCATTCTTGAGACAAACCTTCAAAGAGAGTGGTATCAAGATACCCAAGTCAACATCAGAACAGGATAAAGCAGAATTTGTGCAGTTCTTCAGATCGCTGAATACCCTGGGTGAAAGTCCAAGCAAGGAGCAGGTTATCAAAATTGCGAGATTGTTCAAGAACGACTTGGTGTTGGACAACTTGTCAAGACCACAACTAGTTGCCATGGCGAAGTATATGAACTTGAGACCATTTGGTTCAGACCAGATCCTCAGGTATCAAATCAGATATAGACTGTTGCAAATTATTAAGGATGATCGTGCAATTGATTACGAAGGTGTTTCATCGTTATCTGTCAAAGAGCTCCAATCTGCCTGCTCTTCAAGAGGTATTAAGACACAGGGGGTTTCTCCGGCCAGATTGAAAGATGATTTGAACATCTGGTTGGACCTCAGACTCAGACAGAAGATTCCTTCGACGCTTTTGATCTTGTCAAGTGTCTACACCTACGGTGAAGCCTCCAATTTGGATAGTTATTACGATGCTTTGGTCCAGGTGTTACGTTCCATCCCTGATCAGGTGTACAACATTACCAAGTCGGAAGTTTCAGCCAATGATGTCTCCTTGAGATTGGAGCTTGTTAAGGAACAACAAGAACTTATTAAGGAGGAACAGGAGCAGTCTAAGTCACAACCCATTGCACCTGTAAAGGATGATATCAAGCTAGAAGATTTTGAGGAAGAGCAAAAGACAGAGGACACACAACCTGAAGCCATTCCAGAACCTGAAGCTAAAAAGCAAATAGAGTCACCGGATGTTGTGGAAAGTACGCCTTCTGAGGCTAAGGATACCAACTCCACAGAATTGCCTATTGAAGAGCCTGTAAAGAAAACTGAGGAGAAGACCAAATGAGAGCTTTATCCTTCTATACAGATTATTTATTTTACATATTAAAATAACTAGAGGATATTACATACTATTATACTAACTTAACAATATAATTAGTGATGTAGATTTTCGTGTTACTCACTCAATAAGCGTGTCGGTCAACGTTTGACGTTCATCGTCTGTAAGGTAAAGTTCATAAATGGACTTGAAGTCATGGATATTGTCCTTGGCAACTTGCTTGAAGAAACTGATCAGGTATACTCTAAGATCCTCATCCTTAACTATATCACTATCACCAATGGTCTCTTTGAACTTATCGAAATCATCACGGATATCATCAAAGTCTTCCCATCCCTCTTCATCATCATCAGCAACAGCATCGATATCGCCATCTCTGGACTCATATTGATGATTCGTAGATTGATCTCTTAGCTCATGAACAAGAAGTTTGATGATCTTCACAGGGACAAGAATCTGCTTATACTCTGCATTCTTTCTCATTGATCGTGTGATGATAAGATTAGGGTTAGCAAGGTCAACCATCTCATCACCATCGACAGTGAAGTCAAAGTCAATTCCGCTAAGGAAGAGTGCCACTAAGGCTTGACAGTTGTGCTTGATTTCACTTGTTCCACTAACTGAGCTAAAGTTGCTAAACCAAATATTGAAGATCTTTTGTATCTCAAAGTTTGCAAGGAATTGGACCGACTGTGTCACATCTATAGAGATCATGTAGCATAGCACGTTTAGCAAGTCTTGGATGGTGGCCAGTTCACGAGCTTGTAGGAGTCTCTGTGTTGTTGCCTTCAAAATCTCTGGCAAGAAAGTTTCCAGATTGGAGCTAAACTTAGTGATGACAGACACAGATAATGTACCAACATTCAAAGCAGCACTGTCGGATAGTTCTGGGTTTAAGAATTTGCTTAAAACTTGCAACACCTTTTGTATATCAAAGAGGTTAGCATCTGAATTCTTGATGAGCGAGTTATAAAGCTCACCACCGGCTTGTAAGACTTGATCGTCAGATGTAACCATCAAGAGATCATAAATCACAGGGTCAACAGCAGCAAAAACATCTTCGGGGATTTCTCCAGGACAGCTTTCAAGAAAGATAGAAAGTACTTGGAGTGCTAACATCAGTTCAGCGGAGAAGTCACCCTTTGAATTAACGATAACTGGGATGAACCTTGAAAGGACATTCTGAATGTAACCGGTGAAAGTGGTCATGTCTATGGATTCTAATAATGTTTCCAACACATCTTCAATGTCCAATACAAGTTCAATATTGCCAGCATCCTTTTGAGCTATTTCAAACATGAGGTTCAACGCCGCCATGGAAACGTTGTTAATCTTCAAAGCAATGACGAGAGCTTCAGCTAACAATGGTGGTGTATCATCCTTTGCTGAAGAGATTAATGAGGCTATGATGTCGAATAAGACATTTTGAATTTCATTTCCCAAATTGTGAAACTCCACCAATTCACGGTAACTCAATAGAGCCACTAAAAATGCCGATTTGAACAACTCTGTTGAGTCATTATTGGCAAGTCTTATGCAATGCAATAATGATTTTGTAGCAAAATCATCTGATAAACGATCTTGGAACTTGTCCAAGAATAAAGGTACGGTGATCACAGCCCTGGCCCGCAACAGTGTGTTAGGACTCTCTGTAAATTGCAAGAATTTATTCAATGAGTCCACAAGAGAAGACTGTGATGCTATTGGTTCTTGGTGGTCGAACAATCCACAAAGCAGATATAGCACCGCTTCTGTTGTTTTCCATGGTTGATCATACTGTAATTGATCAATTAGGCCGTTGAACACTTTAGAAACGTCTTCAGCATTAAGCTCAGACATGTATTGAAACACAGCGTTTCTGGCAGAAAAGTCAGGTGAAACGCCCGTTTCTTCTGTGACAAAAGTGTCATATTCCTCAGAATATTCGGACTCTGTTTCCAATGGGAGAGAGGCAACTGTGATGATAGCATTCAGGAAGTTGTCGCTGGTCAGGACACTGAACAATCCAAGATCCTCTAAGCCACCTAAGAATTGGAATTGTTCAATTACAAGGTTGGTCAACACAGTGACGGTGTCGAACTCCGTATCATTTGGAAATTCATCATCTTCTTGAATTACAACTGTTGCAAACAACCCTGCTAGTTGTGAAACGTCGTTTATGGTTTCCTTCTGTAGTGCAAGCTTGGCATTAGGTTCAAATAACTCCTCAGGAAATTCGGTTGCCAATACGTAAGCTATGGCGTAAAGTGCCGTTCTGAAAAGCATGCAGTGTATATCAAGGGTAGTATCCTGGAGTAACACTGTCATCATAGTGACAATTTCGTTGAAATGCTGTTGTAGAGCAGGTCTTTTACTCTCGTCTTCCAAATATGCAGGGTTCTCCAGTTGTAGGAGACACGATTTGTACAGATTGGCAGCTGCTGTCTTAACTTCAGCATCCACTGTTGAATTTCCCATCAACTTCATACACTGTGAAATAATGGCAATTCCCACGCCGTTAAAGAACTGTTCTTCAGTGACAAGGTCATCGAGTAAGTCCTGAAGCAATGACAGACCACCAAGCACGGCAATCCTGTTCAGAGAAATCATGTGATTGTACAGGGTCTCCAAGAGACTTGGCCATTCGTCGGGATAGTCAACCACTGCGATCTGTACCACCGCATAGGAAGCACCATTTCTGATCTTTGAATGTGGGTCGTTTGTGACGACTTCAAGTAGTGAGTTTCTGATGGCAGCCTTGTGCTCCTGGGAGATCGCAGGCCCTTTAAAGGACTCAAAACCAGCACTCCAATACATCGGTACTATCTTCTTCAGGTAAAGCAACGCAAACTGTCTCAGAGCAAGATCGCCATGCGCCTTTGCAATGTTGATGAGCTCAAGGGCACTGGACGATGGGTCCGCGGCAACAGCGACACCGAGCTGTTCCTCCGCCAGCTTACGCTGATTGTTATCAGGCGATTGGACCGCGTTCAATAGGACCAGCAGTGACATTTGAGCAGTGCTTTCGAAGCTCCGCGGCTGTTGATGTTGATGATGACGTTGTTGTTGTCAGTGTACTTTGGCGGTAAAAACATGTGCCTCGATTTTCCTTCTCACAAACACTTTGCATTTTTCACGCTACACAAAACCAGAGCCTACATTATATAAGCAACAGCTACGCTCGAGGGAAATACTTCACAATTAGAACGTTAGCGCCTCGGAGAGAGCAATGCAGTGGAGATGTTTCGAGTCTGTCAGGCTCGCTAATCCTGATTCAAACTGTTATTGTTCCAGCTGAGTTGTTCGCTGTGTGGAAAGGATTCGGCTCTCCTTAGCTACTGCTCACGGTCAATTTTGGCTGGAGAGCCCATGAAAATTTCTGCTCTCGCTCTCCTCCTACGAGTGCACGCTGCCGCCGCTGCTGCTGCTGGTCCGCTAAACAGGAGTAAAATGCCTCCAGTGGAAAGCTCGGTGGAGGACAGACAGAAAAAAAGGGCAATTCACCGTGTGCCTGGCACCGCCTATTTAGAGGGATAACGGTGTACACATAAACAGATAGAGATAGAGAGGTTGCGATGTCAGAAGAGGGTGCTTCGTACAAGGAACAGGTCTTGGAGGCTGCCAGAAGAAACAATACGGATCTCCTGGGGGAGATCATCAAGGAATCTGGTGACCAAATCACCAGTATCATTAACGACTCCCGAGATGCCCTTGGGAATACACCCCTTCACCTTGCTGCGAAGTATGGTTCTTACGAAGTAATGGACGAGATCTTGGACTGTGAAGGAGTTGAGGTTGATCCTACAAATACGCTGGACGGTGACACGCCTCTTCATATGGCGGTGCGCTATAGTGAAAGTGAACCTGAGCATGGTACCTTTATTGCTGAGACCCTTATCGAAGCGGGCGCAGACGCAAGAATTAAGAACAACGCTGGTCAGAAACCAATCGACCTTGTACACGATAACGATTCGTTGATAGATATATTACAAGGTGCAGAAATGGCATTCCAATTGGAGGAGGAGGAAAAGCAAATAGGTGAGTTAAATACCCGGCTTGAGATGGAATATGGACTAACAATCACAGGCGATGTTGACGTTGAGGATGATGACGAAGGCTCAGACTCTGGTTCTGAATGAGTTATCAACAACTGATATATCGAATACATACTATACAATATATAACGTTCTTACAAATATGTGCTCATTTTGCATGTTTCTCTTACAACCAATGTAAGAAAGTACAATTCAAGAAGAAAATAAAAAAACATACCCATACTATACCTTTTCTTAAAGCTCAATGTCAAATTTGAAATCGATGGAGGAGATCATCTTGTCCAAGTGTCCCAGGGTTCTGTATTTGGCAGTGTGTAATGACTCCTGTTCTTTCTTCTTTTTATCGGCATTCGCAACGGCTTGCTGTTCAGCATCCTTCTTGGCCTTCTCCGTTTCCTCCTTATTAGCTTCACTATAATACATTCTTGCCTTTGTAGTCAATCTGGCAAATGGATCACTGTTGAGTTGTGTCGTGGTACGTCTCTTTTCAAAGTCCTTAAGCTCTGCATTTCTGACACGTTCAATGTTCAATCTTCTATTCTTTTCAGATATAATCGCAGCGAGAGGTGCCGACTCAATCTTTGTGTTAGAGATCTTATTGAAGGTCTTCTCTATTTCACCCAATTCCTTCGAGAGTCTTTTCACTTCGTTAGAATTTCCCTGTAGTTGTGCAATGCTTAATTTCTGTTTCAATTTCAACTTAGTTCCAAGAACGTCACTCTCTGCAACTGTGTTGTTGAATCTTTTTCTGTTCTCCATGTATTGCTTAAAGGTTTCACCATCAAGTTTGAGGTTACCAAATTGCTTCAACTCCGCATATTTACGTTCGACCTCGCTAATCGTTGGAGCCGAAACAGACTTGCCTTCAGCCTTGGCCCTATCAATGTACTCTTTCCATTTGTCAAATTCCTGTTGTGTGATCGGTTCGTCGCTGAGCCTGTTCATTGGGAAGTTCTTTTTCGGCATACCAGGCTGATAAAGTTGGAAGTATTGGTTTGTCATAACCTTTTGATCGTTCAATTGGTATGGCTTACCTTGTACCACACCTTCAATTCTCACCATTCTGTACGCTGTTGGGGAGATACGTACCTTACCATAAGTCCCAATAACAGCGTCTTCAAATCCAGGATAGAAGCAGAATTTCTCAGCAACTGAACGACTGGTCTTGATAGTATTTATATCGTTAACGGCCACTGGTTTCCGTGTCTGGCGTGTAGCCCACTGCACCTCCTGATCGTCATAGGACTGGAAATCCGGCTCGTAACCATCCTCATCGTCATCTTCATCACCAAACTCATACGGGTCCTCCTCTTCCTCACTCTCACTTTCATAGTCGTCACGCTCTCTTCTGTGCTTCTTCTCTCTCTGCTTCTTCAACTCTGACAACTTGGACGTTTTCAAAGACCGTGCAGACTCCTTCACCTTCTGCGATCTTGACGACCTCTCAAGTTGTCTCTTGTTCTGGTGTGATCTCTGTGCAAGGAGCTTACGTTCCTGGTACATTTGTAACTCTTGTGAACGCTCAAACAACACCGATTCTCTCTCGACTTCTGGCATCTCCTCCAACTCCAGCTTATCCTGTTCGTTCTTATACTTCCCTTCCAAGGGATAAGGATTCACCTCCTCAAAGTCTTCCTCATCCTCATTCTCCGATGCAAACGCCGCTTCAGGATCGTAGTCGTCTTCATCATCATCATCATTATCATCCTCATCATCATCATCGACCCTTCTTCTCTTACGCTCCTGAGATGAGCTTCTCTCTGCTGGCGCAGGCTCGTAATCACTTTCAATCTCACTTTCGGATCCAGCACCACCGGCCAACGCTAGCAAGTCCTCTTCTAAATCAGACATGGTTATTACTGCTTTATCCCCAAGCGCTTATACACGTTGAGTGCCTTTGTTATTGGTGTGTTCGCCGTCTTCTTAGCGCCTCGGAGGAAGACCCCCCTCCAAGAAAAAATCAACAACAACACAACACAAAGTGAAGAGATCCGGTGCATATTTACCCTCGGATTTCCCTAAAGGGTAATGCTATATAGAGCAAACCGTAAGCGCTTCTCATCGCAGTATCAAAGGCCACGAGCTTGTACGCTAAGGAAGTGAACTCACACCTTTTTGCAGCTTATTCGTACATCTCAGCGCGATGCTACCACAGAGGCCAACGCCAACGGCTAAGCGCTCACCATCTATTCTCGTTACTGATGCGAGAAACCCAAACTACCGAAGTGCTCCGTTTGCAGGTGCAGCTCACAACAACTCTCTGTCGAAGAGTTCGAGGTTGAGGAAGAGAGGAAGCTCGTCTAAGTTCAGTGAGATATCCGTGTCCAATATCCTCTCTGACTACAGTGATATTCCGTCTGGAAGACGCGAGGAGAGGCTGTCCAGTGGTTCCTTGAGCTTGGGTGACCACAGGAGGTATACAAAGCCGTTCCAGACTCTTCCTTCAAGAACGTCAAAGACTTCTCAGAAGCTGGTTTTAATCCCCGAAGAAGAGGATAGACACCATGTCAATATGGCTAGAGGGACGTCGAGGTCCAAAGCTGAGCGTATGTCAAAGGAGAAAAGAGGCCGTAACTTATCAAGGGTCACGGCGTACCTCGTATCCGATATCTTCAACCTGAAGGAAACCTCTAAGTTCTTGAAGCAAACACATGATATATTACCAAGAGTATACGACGAGGTACTGTACTGTCCTTACTGTCTTCCCTTATTGCCCGGGAAGGACGGGTTCAGGATTAAATCCAATTTGAGTGCTAAGAATGCCAAAGGTGAAACGTACATGGAACGTCTTATCGATACATCTGAGCGCAGAGATCATCACTATGAGTACTACAGTGGTGTTGAAACTCCAGAAGATGCCAATAATAATTATGAAATCGACAAGCCAGCCGAAGATGAAGAAGGCACATCTGGTCCCTTTGATCCATCAGAACCCCAGTATTTTGCCGAAGCCACGATGGAAGAGGCACCGCAGTTGGCCAAATCCGTCGAGATGATCAAACATCATGCTGAAATGTTCATATTCCAGTACGGTGTTGTTGTCTTTTGGAACTTTACTGAAGTTCAAGAGAAGAATATCCTTGGAGATATTGCATTTGCCAGAAACGAAAACGATAGAAATCAACTTGTCATACGTCCTCTAGATGAAAACGACATTGAAACTGAGCAGTTCCACTTTGAGTACGACATGGACACGGAAAGACCCAGAATCTTCAACGATATGATCACTCTAAGGTCTGGTGATCATCTTATCAAGCTAACAATGTCGCATGCCATTGCCCAGAGTACAAAACTCTCGAGGTTCGAATCCAGGATATCACCAATCTTGTACTCTGTTTCGAAACTGCCCAAGAGATTGGCACTCACGGGTAAACTAGGACTGAAGCGTGAGCAGTTGATCAAAAAGTCTGGTAAACTGTTCAAGCTAAGAGTCGACGTCAATCTCTCATCCTCTGTGTTGGATACACCAGAGTTCTTCTGGTCATTTGAGCCTTCTTTACACCCTCTGTACAACGCCACCAGAGAATACCTCGAAATAGATCAAAGAGTTGAGGTGTTGAACGATAGGTGTAAGGTATTTTTAGAATTCATCGACATCGTTGCAGACTCCATCGCCGAGAAGAACATGACAAGGATCACGTATATGATCATTTCCGTCTTCTTCCTCTCGTTGATTGTGAGCTCTATCGAGATCTTCATCAGATACATGATCATTCGGAGGAGTAAAACTAGTTAGTTGACTACATATAGAAACGTCACCTTTGTCACATCTGTTGTTCCTTTTTTGAATTGTATAAGCATAAAACATGGGCCCTTCAGCGTCTCTTGGAGTTTCTCAAGAAGAGAGAAAGGGCTGTTGCACCAGCAGCGACCAGCCCAGACACCAGAGCGATGCCTATGAGGCCATCTTTGGCGATCTTATCGTTAATCATCTGTTGCAACGCCAATGCCTGATGGTTTTCCGGCTCGTGTGCGATCAACGACTCCACGTATCTTCTGGCATCGGCGTAATCACCTAGTTTGAAGGTACCAATGGCTAGGTAGTACAGGCACTCTCTCCGTCTCTGTGGAGAGTCCTTGTAGACGTCTGTCAGTATCTTCACGCCTAGCCTTTGGTCATGAACCACATCTGATTTGATTAGGCCCCAAGCATAGTTGAATCTCGACTGAACAGACACGAGATCGCCCTCGGACAGCACCTGTTGGCGAAGCACTTCTAGCTGATCCTTTGTAAGGGGACTGTTTGGCACGCGTTGGTGTATCGTTAGTACGAACCGAGACAACGGGGAGAGCGCATTACATACGTATAGGCATCTTGGAAGGCTGGTTGAGGGGGCAAAAGCGTTAGTTAGGCGGATCGACAGAGAGATGCCACGACACACATACCAGGAAGGTAGTCCTTTTCCGTCATTGCGTGTTACTTTGGGTACGGTCTTGTTTGGATGGCAACGGCGCAACGTAGACGGTGGTATACAGGCAAATCAGCAGGCAAAGCTTCAGGCAAAGCTACAGGCAGAATCACAGGCAAAGCTACACAGCGCCAGGGAGAGCGGGTCCGCACAGGGAGCCCCCCCCCCCACAGCTTGATCTCCCCTACAAGCCCAGCATTCGGTAACCGCACGCGTAGGGCCAGTCCACGGTTCCGCCTTCTGCCCACAGAGAGACCAAAAGCCCACACCGCGGGCGGGCCGCCCCTGCTAAAACACACACACACACAAAACGCAATCAGAAAACACCGCACAGGGAACAGAAAAAGCTGCCAAACACAAACAAAAAAAAATTTTTCTTTGTTTCCCCCTGTGCGTGTGTGTACCGATCTGCCTAAATTTTTTTCCTCCTCCCCCCGTCTTCCACAAAAACTATCAGTCATCCCTCCAAAGTTTGCAACAATCGGAATTTCGCTCTCCCTATCGACAGTTTTTTTTTTCTTCTTCTTCTTTCCCTTGAGATCGCTTTTACAACCACTGTGAGTCAATTCTTCTCTGTCGAAGTAAGGAAGAAAGCGATAGGTACTTGCTTAGAATAAGATCACATGCTTCGCTCCTCGTTGTCTGCAAACAAGCGCCGTATTGCCCGTACAGGCCGCTCTATCTTGAAGAGTACCGCTGCGACTGCTCGTGCTCAGAACCTGTATAACCAAACACCATTGGTTGCCTCTTGTTCGTCGTCTGCTGTTGGCTCTGGATGCACGTCTCTGTGCCGTACTTACTCCACAAGATCCACTGTTATCCAGCTGTTGAACAACATTGGTTCAAAGAGAGAAGTTGAACAGTACCTGAAGTACTTCACATCTGTCTCCTCGCAGCAGTTTGCCGTGATCAAAGTTGGTGGTGCCATCATCACGCAGCACCTGACTGAGTTGGCCTCCTGTCTGGCGTTCCTGTACCACGTCGGACTGTATCCGATTGTTCTTCACGGTACTGGTCCTCAAATCAACGAGTTGCTTGAGGCTGAAGGTGTGGAACCAAGCTACGAAGATGGTATCAGAATCACCGATGAGAAGACCATGGCTGTTGTTAGAAAATGTTTCTTGGAGCAGAACTTGAAGCTCGTCACAGCATTGGAGAAGATGGGTGTCCATGCAAGACCAATCACTGCAGGTGTCTTCACCGCTGATTACCTTGACCAGGACAAGTACAAACTCGTTGGAAAGATCAACGGTGTCAACAAGTCCCCAATTGAGGCCTCCATCCAAGCCGGAGCTTTGCCAATCTTGACCTCCTTGGCTGAAACACCATCTGGTCAGATCTTGAACGTTAACGCTGACGTTGCGGCCGGTGAATTGGCTCGTGTGTTTGAGCCTTTGAAAATCGTCTACTTGAACGAAAAGGGTGGTATCATCAACGGAAACACCGGTGAAAAGGTTTCCATGATCAACTTGGATGAGGAATACGATGACCTGATGAAGGAATCATGGGTCAAGTATGGTACTAAGCTCAAAATCAAAGAGATTAGAGATTTGTTGATGCACTTGCCAAGATCATCCTCCGTTGCTATCATTAACGTGAATGACTTGCAGAAGGAATTGTTCACTGACTCTGGTGCTGGTACCATGATTAGAAGAGGTTACCGTTTGCACACTAGAAACTCCCTATCTGAGTTCTCGGAGCCAGAGTTGTTGAGAAAGGCATTGCAAAGGGACCCAGAAATCTCATCTGGTAAAGTGTCTGTTGCTACCTACCTCAGATCGTTGGAAGAGACCAAGTTCAAATCCTATGGTGATGAGCCATTAGACGTCTTGGCCATCGTCAAGGGGGCTACTGATGCTACTGGAAACGTTCCTGTCTTGGACAAATTCTTGGCCTCTAAGGCTGGCTGGTTGAACAACGTCTCTGACAACATTTTCCACGCCGTGAAGAAGGACTTCTCCTCATTGCAGTGGGTTGTTAGGGAAGATGATCCAAATGCAAACTGGTACTTTACAAAATCCGATGGTTCTTGTACCAAGCATGGTCACATCTTGTTCTGGTATGGTGTTGAAGATCCAAAACAGGTTTCAAAGTTGATTGAACTGTTCGAAGCAAAGTACTCTCGCATTCCAAAGACTGAGAGCTCATTCTCTAACGCCTTTTCCGGTTCTCAACAATCCCGTGCTTTCTCCACTGTGAGAACTGCAAAGCCATCCAAGACCCAGCATGCTCAGAAGAGACCAATGGTTGTTGCATTGCCAAAGAGAGCCTTTGGTGTTAGAACTTTGGCCACCGAGACTAACCCAAACCCACCTCTCCGTGAAGGAACCAACACTCAAAAGTCCAGAGTTGCATTGATCGGTGCAAGAGGTTACACCGGCCAAAACTTGATCGCTATGATTGACAAACATCCATACCTTGAATTGACTCACGTTTCCTCCCGTGAACTGGAGGGAACAAAGCTCGAAGGTTACACCAAGTCTGAGATCATTTACGAGAACTTGCAAGTTGAAGATATCAAGCGTTTAGAGGAACGTAATGAAGTTGACGTTTGGGTCATGGCATTGCCAAACGGTGTCTGTAAGCCATTCGTCGACGCCATTGACTCTGCTGATGGTGGAAAGAAGTCCAAGATCATCGACTTGTCTGCTGACTACAGATTCGACAAGACTGGTGAATGGGTCTACGGTCTTCCAGAGTTGAACTCCAGAGAAGAAATTGCCAACGCAAGAAAGATCTCCAACCCAGGTTGTTATGCCACCGCTGCCCAAGTGGCGCTCAAGCCAATGGTCCCATTCATTGGTGGAACTCCAACCATCTTTGGTGTCTCTGGTTACTCCGGTGCCGGTACAAAGCCTTCTCCAAAGAACGATATCAAGTTCCTGTCCAATAACTTGGTTCCATACTCCCTTACCGACCACATCCACGAGAGAGAGATCTCGTCTCAGCTCGGAGTTGAGGTGGCCTTCTCACCACACGTTGCGCAATGGTTCCAAGGTATCTCCCACACCATCTCCATCCCACTGAAAGAGCCAATGACATCAAGAGACATCAGAAACCTCTACCAAGACCGTTACCAAGGTGAACAATTGGTCTTCGTGTCCGGCGAGGCCCCACTGGTCAAGGACATCTCCGGTAAGCACGGCGTTGTCGTTGGTGCCTTCGCTGTCAATGCTAAGCAGAACAGAGTCGTTGTCGTGGCCACCATCGACAACCTCTTGAAAGGTGCTGCAACCCAATGTTTGCAGAACATCAACTTGGCATTGAAGTACGGTGAATACGAAGGTATCCCAGACGACTTGATCATCCGTGGTTAGATAGCTATCGCTTAATCACCCTCTACCGTATAGGCCGTACGTGGTCTCTGCCTCTCTGCTGGTGTTCCCCTTGTAGCTTTCCCCGTAGCCTGGGCTTTCCCACACTGCGGTTTGGGCCCTGTGCTTCCGAGCGGTGCCCTCGTCCTGCCGCGAATTCCCCCCTGGTGGAACCGCCATTGCGATCCTCCGCCCATACACCCCCTTGTAGTGTGTTGTTTAGCCCGATATCCTTTAAACCCAGGCTCTGCCCATCAATTGGTACCAATATACACACAAGCAGATAAAGAATGGAAGACTGGAGAAGAATAGACATTGATGCTCTTGATCCGGAGAACACAATGACCTTGGAGGAGCTCACACCGGAGGTTCCTCCGGTGTCTTCGCAGGAGGTTAGTTCCAAGATCAACAACATCCGTACACTGATCTCGAAGGGGTCTCACGGTGATGCTATTCTGCTGGCGGTTGACGAGCCGCCATACGGAGCAGATGAGCAGTCCAAGGAGCTCTACCTCAACACTGTGATTGACATCTTTAGCGCCACGAAGCAGACCGACATTGCATCGATTGTCAAGTCACTCTCACTAGAACAACAAAATGCGCTTCTCAAATACTTGTACAAAGGAATGGCCTCTAAGAAGGGCCAGCAGCAAGGAGGCATTCTCCTTGCGTGGTATGAAAAGACAGTTGAGGTGACGGGTCTTGGTCCGGTTGTGCGCTATTTGACCGATAGACGTACTGTTTAGCGGCTGGCAGGAAGGCGATACACTACAAAGACATAAAAGGAACAGAGCTATCTTGTCTACGTACCTGTGTAGTTCATGGAGTAGAACAGTCCACAGTATCACGTGGTATTAAACACTCAATTATACAATCACTTCTTAGACTTCTTTGCGCTTCTGTTTCTCTGTCTCACCAAAGCACCAGAGTTTGGAGACGACGCCTTTGGTGTGTAGTATCTCGTATAGGCTGGGTTCACCTGTAACGACTTGTACGGTGTCTGGTGAGGTGTTTGCAGGATGTGAGGTGTCATTGGCACGTCAGAATAGGACTGCTGTGGTGGTGGACGAAGATCCTCTCCGGAGTAGTTTCTATACGTGCCGAACGCAGCATTGGTCAACACTAATGAGCCAACTGTTATGAACACGATGAAGAACATCGACTTCCAAGAGATTGGCTTGATGAATCCATTGATGATCTCGGCAAATGTCTCTGCACCAATTCTTGCACGTCCAACGGTGGTGGGGTCCCTATTCATGCACTTTTCCCATTCAGAGCAGGCAGCTTCTAGTGCAACAACACGATGGCCTGGTTGACAATTATTTCTGCTATACTCTCTGGCACAGATAGCAATCTCCTGGATGATATCCGTGGCATATGAATCAACCTTGTTTTCCACATCTGCTCTCACTGTGGAGATAAAAGTGTATACAAAGTACAGCAAGATAGAGACTATAGCCACGTTGAACAACAGCTGGAGATAAAGAGAGATGATATACGGAGTGTGAGGATTGAATATCGCAGACATGATACCCTTTCCGTCTCTGGTCGACGACGACGACCTCTTCTTCCTCGATTGGTTCTTCTTAGACTGTTGTTCGCGGCCTGCTTCGTCCTCCTCTTGTTGTAGATCGTCATCTACCCAGTCGCTTGAAGATGTCCCTGTTGATTTGACCTTCCGTGGTGACCGAAGGTATGGACTTCTAACAGATCTAGGCTTCCCATTGATTGCATCTGACAAAGGACTTGAATACTTCCCCGGTTTGGGGAAGTTCATAAACTGTTTCCTTGGAGAGAAGGTGACAGCTTTCGACGCCTTGAGTGGGTTGAGCTCCCCATTGGAGTCAATAGCTGATGACAGCTCTGGAATCTTTGCAACCATTCTCTTTGAAGTTTCTCTGTCGTAGTTGAAATTTGACTTCTTCATGATACTACTAGGTGGCTGGGATTGGGATTCCAGCACAGCAGTAGATGGTGCACTTGATCCAGTGTTACTATTGGACAAGGCCAGCTTGTGTAAAGAGTTTGATACATTCTTCACACCAAGGCTCCGTGGCGAGCCGTTTAAGATCTTCTTACGTGGTGATGGCTCAGCCGGCGACAAGTCCAGGTCGGTGTTTGGTCTCCTCTTGAACTCTTCTCTGTACCGAGGCGTCTGTGGGTCATTAGCAACCTGGTGGTGTGTGATTATAGAAAAATTAGCATCGGAATCAAAGGTTGAATTGGCACTGTCGTTGGTGTCGCTCTTCGTAGAGGAGAGCGAGACGTTTGGATCTCTTGGGGCAAGAACGTGGTGTTTCTTGAACAGCTCATCGTGGAGCTTCTTTTGCTCGTCAGAACCACGTACAGGAGTTGATAATTCAGACATCTGTGCGTGCTTGGATGTCTTATCCCGTGAATAAATGGTGAGTACTTCACCAACATTTGCGAAATGTAAACAAAGATTTTAGTACCCGTTCTGACAGTTACACTGATGCAAGCGTATATTTCAGAATGTGTTGCGATTTCCGAAGGAAAAAAAAATGCGATTTCTGTGGATTGAACACAGGACCTCATGATCTTCAGTCATGCGCTCTCCCGACTGAGCTAAAACCGCTTTCTTCGAAAATCGTTTATTGGTCTGTTTAGCAGCTTGTGAGTTGATATTATTGCAAAAGTGAATGGATAGTTAATCATGTTTCAGAGTGTTTCTTACAAACAAAATTTGAACGTGTTATGTAGATTGTTTGGTTGTAATTGTTCAAGTGCAGTTTCCAATCAGCAACGGCGAGTTTCAATCCCCAACTAGCACGGTTTATATAGCTTGTCTAACTCATCTATCGATCCTTGACGCGACGCTGTTGATAACGCGGACATGCAGCATTTCTGGGGTAGGTCTTGGAACATTGTTGTTACAGTTGCTCCGCAGCAGCTGTCATTGAGGTGATTCGTGTCCTCTTATCATATCCACAAGCCCAATTGAAGCTGTTCCTTCTGTCCTGCCATCTCTCACAACAGTCGAAATCGAGCATTGGGAGAAATGCCTCCACCAGTATACAAGTTAAAGTACATCTAAGAAAGGTCTCTTAAACGTGTAATACAGCTTAGCTAGGATCTACTGTTGAAACTGGAGTATCCAAAGCCATACATCTCCCGAACACACTTCAATTGAGGCTTAGACATGTCAAGCCAAGTTGCAATCACATCCCATACTAGTTTGAAGCTCTCTTAACAACATCCGCTACTGGGACGCCTACACAGTTCGAAAACCCAAAATGGCATAACGGCTATAACTATGCACAACTTGTAGGATACGCTGAGAGAAATACCTTTATATAACCATCGTAATTGAGCCCATAACTAAGGCCAATTGTTCATCTAGTCCAATTCCCCATGATGCTATCAGTTTAAGTGCCACACGGTTAACACCCAAAGAGAACACGGGAAAGCGTCGTTTACCTGTTTCGGAGGACTACGCGCGGGCGCCATTCACGCTAACAGTTTCCCGAATCGTCCACATAACCTCAATCGATTGCGGACTAAACTCCACACTTTCATCGCTTATATATATCAAGAAGGGGCAAACGTGTCTGATGGTCTGAATAAATCAATCTTTACTTGGTTATACACAAATGGCTCCTGTTACAGTCCTCATCACCGGCGCATCCGGCTTCATTGCTCTTCACGTCATTGACGAGCTCCTTCGTAAAGGCTACAGAGTCATCGGAACAGTCAGATCGCAATCCAAGGCTGATAAAATTACCGCTCAGTTCAAGAAGGTGTACCCAGACGGTGATTTGTCCTTTGAGCTTGTTGAAGACATTGCCGCTGAAGGTGCCTTTAACGATGTGTTCAAGAAGCATCCAGAGATTACCGAAGTGTTACACACTGCGTCTCCGTTCTCCTTCGGGTTGAACAAGTCCTTTGAGGATGCTTATTTGACTCCAGCTACAAAGGGTACTCAACACGTATTGGAGGCAATCAAGGAATATGCACCACAGGTCAAGCACGTTGTTGTCACCTCCTCGTTTGCTGCTATTGCCAACAGATCCAAATCTGGTGATAAGAGTTTCATCCACACAGAGGACACCTGGAACCCAATTGAATGGTCAGACGTTGACGATCAGTACAAGGCCTATACTGCTTCTAAGAAGTGTGCTGAGGTGCTTGCTAGAAAGTTTGTCGAGGCTGAGAAGCCAAATTTCACCTTGACCACTGTCAATCCGCCTTATGTTCTTGGACCACAGCTGTTTGAAGACGCATTGGAGAACCCAACACTGAACACGTCTGCTGAGATAGTTCATCAACTGCTCTCCACACCGGCAGACTACGCCGAATACCTCAGTGCACCTGTAGGTCTGTCAGTTGATGTACGTGACGTTGCAAAGTTGCACGTACTTCCAATCGAGAAGGACTCTCTTGCAGGGCTCAGATTGTTCCCTGTGAATGGCGCGTTCAACGGACAAACCCTTTTGAACATCATCCACAATTCATTCCCAGAGCTCGATGGCAAGGTTGGTAAGGGTAAACCTGAGGGTGCTGAGGAACAGGTTGCAAAGACACAGGCTTACTACGACACAACAAAGACTCAACAGGCCACTGGGTTGACATGGATCCCACTGGAAAAGACCGTGAAGGACTCTGTTGCACAGATCTTGTCCTACAAAGCACACAAATTGTGAGCTCTGTATAGCTTCTCTCTGCTCTTACCCTTACTTATGTATAAAACCAACCGGTAGTTCAAATACATCCCAACACCAAATTGACCGAGTAGGCTCCGCAAACCCGAAGCGCGCAAAATTGGCGAAAAACCCTCCCCCATACATTTTAACGAGGGACGATTCAGGCCGAGTAGGAAAACACAATCCTCCTCTCTTCATTCGTTGTGGTTGGTTGATACTGAGCGTTTTGATACAACAACAGCAGATACAATGCGTGCTACACAGAGTTTACTTAAGCATATTCCTTCCATCAAGTTTGTTGGCGGACCACACGTGAAGACAGGTGAGTATCTGTAACCCGTCTGAAGGGCTTCCCAAAGGTGTAGGCATGGTGGAGTTTACTAACATCACCTTTGTAAAGCTGTTGATTCTGCTGTGAAGCCGCATTTTGGCTCTGGAGGCCTTGTACCTAACGGCGAGGGGACGCTCCAGATCTCCCAATTGATGGAGAAATGGCCAAAACTTGTCATTGCATCACCACCTCCAAAGGCCAGCTCCCAGCCTGCTCAGCAGAAACCATCTGGACTGAAACCAAGCGATAAGCCATATGACTACACAAGTGTGTTCCAGCTGCCTAGAAGATTCCAATCGCCTGTCTTTGACGAAGCTGAGATCGAGGCCGTCAACGGCGGTGGTGCTGGTGTATTGATCTGATGGATGTTCTTTCCCGCACATTCATGCCTCCATGACAAGGCAAGAGCATAAAACAGGGCACGAGAAAGACGGGGAGAAAAGCAATTGGTTCACAGGAAATGCAGCAGAAAACACACACAGACACCCATACGCACACAGAGTATATACCTTCTAACCATATTTAGTCAAATCGTTTCAACTGCGATTGTAGGCTCCTCTCGTAGGCTCTGCTCTTCCCATTAGCCCCCCCCCCCTCAAACTACAAAGTACACAACGTGTTCGCGGAAAAGTGTTGATGGTGTTTGTGCGGCCTGTGAAGATTCGCCACTTGTAAACAAACACACCAACACGTCTGGGCGGCTCATCTCAACACACCAGACACAAGTAAAACAAAACATGGACCACGATCCTTTTAGATGGGGAAGACCTAGCGATGCGACATACGGCGCATACAACACTGCTATTGCCAATGCGAGCGCACATGGCTCCAGCGCCAACAGTAGTGAATACCCAAAGATGAATACACAACAACCAATTGTCACTGGTACATCCGTGATAGCGATGAAGTTCCGTGACGGTATCATCATTGCTGCTGATAACCTGGGTTCGTATGGTTCTCTTGCCAGATTCACAGAAGTTGAAAGACTATTCCCTGTTGGGGAGAACGCCGTTGTCGGTGTAAGTGGTGACATATCTGATCTTCAAGAGGTGGGACGTTTGCTCGAACAATTGGAGACTGAAACTTCATATGACTACGATGGACACTCTTTGAGGGCGCCTCACATACATGAGTATCTACAAAAAGTGTTCTACGCTAGAAGATCCAAGATGGACCCCCTGTGGAACTCTGTTGTCGTTGGTGGTCTTGAAGATGGTAAGCCATTCCTCAAATACGTTGACCTCTTAGGAGTGACATACTCATCCCCAACTATCGCCACGGGCTTTGGTGCACATTTGGCAATTCCATTATTGAGAAAGGTTGTTTTCAAAGAGGAGGACGTTGAGAGTATCGATGAGGCGACTGCAAGAAAGGCCATTGAGGAGTGTATGAAGGTTCTTTACTACAGAGATGCCAGATCCCTTGACAAGTACTCATTGATTACGATTACCAAGGAGAAGGGGGTTGTTTTCGAAAAGAACTTGAAATCTGAGAACCAGAGTTGGAGATTCGCAAAGGATATTAAGGGTTACGGTACACAGGTTGTTTAGAGCTTTGTATTTGAAATGTAATCCGTTCTTGAAATTCCCTGTATGTTGATCTGAACTAGATATTGGTGAGTCCAATCTGTTGAGCCGTTGTCCTTAGATGTACACTCTGTTCTGTCTAATGTGTGATACACTTGGAGAGCAGGACCTTGACTGTGCACTCGCGTTTCAATTGGTTGGCTGTGTACGAGTCTGCCATCTAAGAGGCAGTGTGGTTGCAATACCTGATTTCAAGCAAGGCACTGATAGAAATATGTGTGCAATTCTAAGAGCCCTGAATGTGTATTAGCACCAGGTGTTTGGCCCTGTGTGTACATTTATGCGTTGTATCTGATGTAACTGGCAACGTCAATGCATCGTCACCTTCAAAGACCGCCAATTGATACAACTGAGTACCAATTAGACCACCCCCTGTGGCCTGGATGCAGTGCCCCTCTGTAAACTCAGCATTGATGGTGGAAGCTGTAGTTCTTCCTCTTCACGATGTTGAGGGAAACGAATGGCTACGGAATCGCTTCCGAGCACTATCATCCCATCATACGTTTCAGGCTACTGGAGGTGATGCCACAGCTTTTGATGTAGCCTGGCCAACAGTTATAGATAGTACAGTGTTCAAATTGGTACACCGCAAGCCCCTACGGTTGCGCCTTGCCACCGTTATATACACACCGTCCTTAGCGTTGTGTCCCCAAGGCTCTGTCCCCAGGCTCTGTACTGCAGTCTGCGTCCTGCCTGCCCAGCCCGCCTATCAGCCCAGCGCAGCTGCCCTCTGCCCGTAACAACATTGTCACCCAGTAAGGTGGCTGAAAGCAGCCCAGGCGGGCTTCCCTCCTCCCCCCTAACTGTAGCTGCCGTACAATGGGAAGGGGAGGCTTCTGCCTAAACACCCCCTCGCCCTTTGTAAGATCTTTCCAGAAGAGCTTCTAGAAGGAACTCACGTACCAAACTGGGGACACAGGTTTCGCTCCTTGGTTCAATTGTAAGGCATCTGCGTCTTGTGTTGCCTATCAAGAGGACTAAGACATTAGTTGGAGACAAATTGCTCCCTATTTATACGACAGAGAGAACCACCCCCTCCAGGCTGGTGATTAATTCCTTGAAAGATCATCGCTGCTGGTGGAACACGCTGCCAGTGCCATCTTGTTAAGACTTCTCTGTGCTGGTATACGAAGCAGGAAGAAACCATTGCCCTTGGTGTTTTGCAATGTTTGACATCACAGTACTGGGCTGCTCTGGTGGTACTCTTGAGGTTGGCACCAGCGCTTATCTCGTGAAGAGCTCCAGGGTGGCGTACCAGGAGATCCTGGAGCGAGAGCTGACGGACGAGATAGTTGCAGTGGACTGTGGGTCTGGTTTGGCAAAGCTATGTGAGATCGTCTACGACGAGCTGTGTGGAGAAGGCGACTCCATGGCGACCAAATCGCTGAGTTTCTATACAAAGGACCAGGTCTCGTGCCTTGAGAAGTTCACGTCACGGGGCATCAAGAGAGTCGGAATGCAGCTGGATACACAGTGTGAGTCTACTCCAATGCAGGTGGCGTGGAAGCTGAACCACATGGTGAAGAACTACCTGCTGACACATCCTCACCTGGACCACTGTTCCGGACTGGTTATCAATTCCCCGTCTTTTGGCGCACACTCTGGGAAAAGGGTCCATGGACTGGACTCCACGTGCAAGGCTCTTGGAGAAAACGTGTTCAACAATGTCATATGGCCAGATCTCACCGCAAGTGATAAAGGCTCTTGTTTACAGCTGTGCTCGATGGAGGATCACGTGCCAAAAGCCATCAACAGCACGTACACCGTCACTCCATTCAAAGTCAAGCACGGAGAGCTAACGTCATCAGAGAGTTACGCGAGTACAAGCTTTGTCATATCGCATAGGGTCCTGAAACGATCGATACTGATGTTTGGAGATCTTGAGGCCGATGACCCAGACACCCCTAATGAAGGTCTCAATTGGAAGATTTGGCAGCATGTAGCACCAATGATCGTTGACGGAAGCTTAAGGACGGTCATGATTGAGTGCTCAACGCCTAATGTTGATGCCAATCAGCCACTGTACGGTCACTTGACCCCAGCAACTCTGTTTCAAGAACTGCTGAGACTCAGAGACATGGTAAGGTCCCTGAATGGATCTGAAACCCTTGAAGGGTTAGAAGTGTTGATCACTCATATAAAGCACGAGAATGCAATGATCCCAGACCCAAGAGAAGTCATCCTTGGTGAATTAACAGAATTGAAAACATTACACAACTTGGAGGTCAACTTCACAATCTTACTTCCAGGGCAGACTTATACAGTCTCCTAAGGCATTCTTCTATTATCAAGTCACGACTTCCATTGACAATATATCACTCTGTAATCTTTTTTATTCTCTTTTATTATGTATTATACATACAAATGGTCTTCCTTTTTAGACAATGAAATAGCCATCAGTAGTCAACTCAGATATCAAATCGAATGGGAGAGACTCTTCATCAGAAACACTAACCACGTCCAACACTTTGACATGGCCCAAAGTGTTCACAGGGTTCTCGCTCGTGAAGCTAACCTCAATTGGGAAAAGATCGTCCTCGTTGGCACCAATGGAGAACTCCAAGACGCCATTCTCACCAGGTGACAACGATTCCAATTGGAAGATGATACCTTCATCAGAAATCTCGCTGATTTGGGCGTTCTCAGATTTGAGCTCAACGTTATCGGTATAAACTGGAACCAGGATGGTAATGTTCGTGATAGCTTCATTATAGCTATCGTTCAACTCGAATTCTAAAGTGACATCGGTAGAGTTGCCATTGGCCGTGAGCCATGTGGTGAACTGGATTGGAACGTACTTGTTATCATCGGCCTTACCAACACCTCTCCATCTCAAGACACCCAAGTTCTGGTCATTTGATGGGAATGGCTTTTCTGGGTTCTTCAACCCTATTACAGAGGAGCCTGCAAACAGATTTCTATCAACGTTTGGATGAGTCTTGAACTGAACGCCATCGTCCTTCTTAGCCTCTAACAAGATCTTAGCCAACGCAAGTTCTGGATCATTGATACGTAGTTGCAGAACACCCTTCAATTCAGAAGAGACAATGGAACCTTCTCTAGTAATTTCAGCAGTAACCTTCTCCTCCAATGTAACCAAGATACCGTTGTTCAGTGGTTTATCATCGACAGGAGGTGTGGCCTCTTGTCTTGCAGACTGGTACTGTTGTTGTGGCTCTTGGATAGATTGTCTAGGTAATTCTGGTTCAGAGATCAATGGAGCAGAGCTTGGTTCGAACGAAGACTTCTTCGACTTGCCCAACTGCAACCCACGTCCTCTTGGTGCAGGTCTATGAGATGGGGTTGGATCGACAGGTGTTGGCGCATAGTTTGTCTGAGGAGCAGAGTAGTCTTGAGTAGGAGCAAACGAGTTTGTAGAGCCCATCCCCCCTTGGAACCCAGCAGGGGTGTTGAACTGGTTATTACGACGGTCCCTCTCCTTTCTCTGGATCTCTTTGGCACGACGCTTTCTCTCCTCAGTGGCCTCCATCTGCTTGTTCAGCTCGATGATGTCCTGGATCTTCTCCTCGTGCGAGTCCATCTCCAAGAACGCCTTAATCTGTATGAACGAAAGGTTCTCTCTGTATCCAAGAGTCACTATTTCATCCATCGCACTCAGGATTTCAAAGGCATGGTCAAAGATCTCATTCTCGTTCACAACTCTCAGCAGTGAGGTGACGGTCTCGGCAAACAAGGACAGCGTCTCGATATCCTGCAGGATGTTGGACTGGCGGTTGGTGATCAGCAGAATGTAGAGGTCATCCAGTGGCTGGTAGACGTATCTAACGTGTTCATCCTCAACAGTGGTATGTTGCGTGTTGTTCTCGGACAGCAAAGCTGGGAAGTTTGCCAGAAGCTCGGTGATTCTGTTCTTGGTCAGCTCTTTGAACTGTCTCGATAGGATAGCCTTACCGCTACGGGTAATGATGGAAGCAGCGAGAATAGCCATGATGATGATGATGATGTTGTTGTTGTTGTTGTTGTTCTTCTTCTTCTTCAGAAAGGGGTGGTTCTATACCGACGCGTCCAAAAGGCTTAGATCAAATCAGCAAGTCTGGCACAAAAACAAGTTTCCAAAGCAGTGAGTCCTCAAAGCAAATCTCCAAAGAATACACAAACTGCAGAATCAAATGTAAACCCTTCCAATTGATACCCGCTGGCTGTGTTTTGTTTTGATCCAAAGGCTGGAAAAGCTGTTGACGTTTCAAAATCGTCCGTCCATCTGTTCGTGGCCCAACCGAGTGGTGGTGATAATCGTTACGCGCCACACAGGATGTGGAGCTTTACTATGAAGAAGCTGAATCAATGGTGAAGATACTGTATTGTAGGGAAGATTGGGCCAATTGGAGACTGTTATGGGTTCTGTCGGGGTGTTGGTCTCGGTGGGTGATGGATGGAGCCAAAGGGACAGTTGTTTTGGAGGTATGTTGGTATCTGAGGATGGGTTTAACGTGGTAGTCAGCTACGGATATTAGCTTGAGTGATGTCCAAGATGGGCTAACGAGGGCTCATCCCAGCTGCGTGGCTCGATGGCTGCTCGACAGGAGTACATGCTTGTAAGCTGAAGGGATCAATGGTTGTTTATTTAGGGCGAGGGCACGAGGAAACCCGGGAAGTCTTCGGCAATTAGCTAAGGAATACCAACAAATGTGTGAAAAGATCACACATTTGATAGAATTGATTGCTCTTTTTGCTTCTTCGTCACGGGTTCTTCCATCGTGTCTTCTTCATCTTCATCGTATGGGTGTTTTCCTGGGATATTGGTATGCTCCTCGTTAATAAGTGAATCTTTCAACTGCTCGTCCGCTACCTTCGCCATATCAGATTGCAGATTCTCCGCTTCAGCAGATGCGCTTTTCTCCCCTTCGTCATTCTCTGTGGGTGTAAGGTGGTCACTTCTCTTGCTATCATGGTCTTCATCTTCCTGTCCTCCCTTTTCAGCTTCACCAATCAAAGAATTGTCACTATTATTGCTTCCTATCACGGGAGCCGAAGGTTGAGTCTCGGTATAAGTTTCGGTCTGATCGATTTCCAAAGCATCGCCGGTATCAGTAGTGTCTTGTTGTAAAGTTGATTCGTCAATGCTGGTCTTTTGCTCTGTATCGTTCTCTATGGAGAGATGAGGCTCCTCTGTGATGATGATGGGTTCTGGATCTATTTCAATGGTTTCAAGCACTTCATGCGCCGATGGTACCTCCTCCGTGGTTTTCTCCTCTGAGTTGCCATTATCAGACTCAAGAGATTCGTCCAAATCTTTCAAGTCCTCGGCAGTCAACATCACAGAGTCACGTTTTGCCTCCTCATCCAATTGGCGTACAAGCGTATCGTCTCCAGGATCCACGTGATCACCATTAACAGTTCTCAGCTCGTCCAACAAAGTAACAAATGCCCTTTGAGGTTTCAGTAGCAGTGTAAGACAATGAGGAGCGTCCGATCCCTTAAACCTCTTCAACGCTTCAAACGCCTCGTATACTTCACTGAGAAGAACCTCGTGGGCATGAACGCATGTATCAACAAGGGTTATGTCAAACTCCTTGAAGTAAACCAACAGCTCATCCTTCTCATCAAACGGGTTCTCTAGTTCTTTGAACTTCTGCTTGATACTGTCAATCACTTCATAAAGGGTCGATCCTGGCATGGGTGCTTCATCAAGCAATGTCACCAGACCCTCATACTCTGAAGGCAAAGAGGACAAAAGCTCGTGAGGTATTGGTGCCAGAAGATAGGGAAAGTTGTTGGTTTGGATAATGATTGGAGTCGGAGTGAAAACATTCATGCCCAGAGCTTCCAGCTCTGGCTCGTTGCTCTCTATCTCTTCTTCAGTGTGTAAATCTCTTACAGGCTCATCTTGTTCTCCTTCGCCTCCTTCTTCTTCTTCATCGATTTCAAGGAGCTCATCGTCATCGAAGTTCACCACAAAGGACTCAGTCTCAGGACTCTTACTGGCGTCTATGGCTGGGTCTGAGACCTTCTCGTGCTCTTTCAAGCTCTGAGGCACAATCCTCGCCTCATCAACAGGTGTGTTAATCACGGTTTCGTTCGCCTGCGCCATTGATTCAAGCTAGCTAATGGTTGAGGTTAGTAGTTAGTACTGCTGAACAACAAACAATTGAAGAAACTTTTCAGAGAAATAATAGGCCTATCACTGGATTTATTACTGTTCTGCAACGCTTTACAAGTGTCATCGTGAAAGCCTGTAATCATTGCCTGTGTGTATTTTTTCCCTTGTTGTAGAACCGCGCGGGTACTTCACGTCAGCGCTGTTTACATCAAAACAACAACAACGACAGCAACAGCGGCTCAATATCTCCACGGCTTAATACACATCTGGCACGTCTTGTCGAGGGAGATTGCTTGTGGTGGTTTGTGGGATGCGGTTGAATCTGAACCGCCCATCACAACGTTCAAGCGCCCACTGATTTCTATGGTGGATTTGGCGATGAGCTTCTGTCTGATGACGATGCCTCCATTGCGTGTTTAAACGTACACAACGGTCGTTGTAGGCTGAGATGGTGTGTGATTATGGTGACTCTCCCAGCACTGGTGCCAGTGGTACGCATTTGGTGCAACCAATGACCGTATTCTTTGAGGGAAAGGATATATTTACTGCCAGCTGTTTCAACGAGTCGCATTCTCTATGTTTGGGTTCCACCTGTATTGAGGATCGCAGCTGTGTTGTATCTCGTGCTACGGGACTTGATTGAATGGTGGAAGAATTCTGATGAATGGTACAAGAAAGCACATCTCATTAATGTGTAAGAGCTTGGAGGTGTTGAGTGTTCCATTGATGAGGGCTTCTTGGAACCCTGCGATGTCAGTCAAACAAGGCGAAGTATTTGAATTCAAGCACGCCTAAAGACCGAAGGCAAGCTGAGTAAAATGTTTTGCTGACAAAGAGAGACTCAAATCATTTGGTTGGCTTGCTGAAGGCGTCTTTCAGCGTCATACTCAGGTTACTTGAGAGCTCTATCCCCGCTATGCTGTCTCAACTCGATGTTGGCAGTCATTATCATATACAATGGCTTACGAAACACGCCTTCAAAAGCTTTGAGCACATCGCAGTTCTTTCTCACATCCAGATGATCGGTCATATAAGGACAGAACTCGATAACGGTGGCACTCGATTACCCAGAGAAGGACAAATCAACAGTACTACTGCCCCCAACAGCTTGCAAGTATCTAAAGCTGAAACGCTGACTGTTACAGTACATGACTGTACACCATTGTTAATACAAGCCAAAGTTCGCAATACTACTATTTGCTATTCAAGTTCCAATTAATCTATTTACTAAAGGATGTCAAAAGGTTGCCGTTGCCGGTGTTGTCAGGAAGGCACTGTACAAAGCACTCCAAACTGGTTAAGAGAGCCTGAGACTGTCTCTATATCCTTAGTCACAACAATCAGAAGACACAAGCTTGGTTGATTCCGATACCAAGAGCACTTCTGAAGATACTTAACTCATAGCGGTGACAAAACTTTCCACGAATCCAATCACCGTGAACAGCAAACAATATAAGATCTAATTATCGTGAGAAATGACTCAGGAAGAAGTGAGGGTGTCCAATTTATCATTTTCTTGAGATCTGGCATATACGAGCGAAAAGAGCATATTGAAGCGGGAAACAACGATGACCAGACTGATCCAAGCATACTGTGGTGCATCAAACCAATGTTACACAACGAAAGTGTCAAAGCCCCCTTTTACATCCTCTTACGAAGATGTCGAGTTCTTTGTTCATCAAAATTAAAGGCAGGGGATGTTGTATGAAAGAGAGGAGGAAGTTGATGGGGAACCTGTATCAGCGAAAAGTAACGGTTCAATCCCCCACTGAGAAGCAAAATAAGCAAACTGAAAGCTTCGAAGGCCTCGAAGCTCTTGATTCAAAAATAACACCAATCTATGCCGTGGAATTTTTGCCCAAGTACCTCTGTGCTATTTCTCTAAGGTAATCGTCAGAGAATGACATATGGTCATCATCAACGGACAAGAAATCTATCTGTCCATTATCGTACAATGACTTCAATCCTAATAAGTCTTTACGATAGAATTTAGTGTCGACGAAGCTCACATAGTTTCCCTCATCGTCCTCATCACAGAACCAAGCTGTACATTTTGGCACAACTGTCTGGTCCTGCTCGAATTGTATGAGTACAAGTCTTTCCAAGGAACCCAAATTGTCCTTGTACAGTTGTTGCTTGTTTTCTCTCTCGTTGTTCACATCAGCGAGGAAGGCAGATTTTTCCAGATATTCGTAATAGTCATCTCTTCTTCTGAAGTATTGTGCTGGCACGATGGTATTCTGTACCCAATCTCTCCAAATGTTTCCCGGCTTGGTCAATGCGTCGTTCTTCTTCTTACAGAGCCAATCATTTGGAGAGCACTTTGGAAGGTCCGATATACCAGAGTGTGGGGATCCAAACGTTATCAGTGTGTGAACGGGAAGTGCGCATCGCTCAACGGCTGCCCTGGCAAACAGTCCTCCTTGAGAGAACCCAATCATGTCAAAGCCATTGGCAAGAGAATCAACCTCCCTGAGCTGTTTGCAAACATAGTCGATATCCATGTTGACATCACTGAACATGGATAACCGTTGGTCCTTCGAGTCATCGTCGTCCAGCTTAATCGAATAGGTGTACGAATCAGGCTTGGTCTCTCGCACTATTCCAATGACGTGCTGCATAGCTGTAGAGTTATAGCTATCACCGTAACCGTGCCAGAACACCACCGGCCTCTCGTCATCGCCAACAGATGTCACCTTCTTGATGATATTCGAAGCTGCCAAAGACTCCACTATGATCCTCTGAATGTACATGGCTCTGATGCTATGGCTTCAAGTGATTGAAGCCTGTTGATTGAAGAGAAGAGCCCATTACAAATCCAGAAGAGTCGCAAAGGAACGTGGGGCAAAATTGGTTCGCACCACAACGGTGTTTGGAAAGGCTTAACAGACACATCCGGACACCAGTCTACGCATCAAGCATTACAGGTCATCACATTATTACGAATTCTAGCACTTGGGCAATGTCTCTGATTCAAAACAAAACCCATTTAACGATCCTCCATAGCAGCAGTATCACGGATCGTATCAATCTCCCTATGGAAAAGCCGACCCAGATCATCCACAGGAGCAAGACAACCAAGTTCTCCAGTAACCAGTACGCAAATGAAACCAAAGAATCGCTTCTCTTGTGCAGTGGGCCCAGCTTTCCAAACCTCTCTGTGAGTTTACGTACCTCCAGCGATAGTGTGGTATTCACCTCACCGATGGTACGATCTGACAAGAGTAATAGCTTGTCCACTTTCGTGGAGTATATGTTCGCCAACTCGTCGTGGATCTTATCAACCTTCTCCAGTTTCGTCGACAGCGAAGACTCGTACTCTGGCAGGTAGGTGTCCCTTAAGTCCCCTATCATGGTCTCCAGATCCTCTCCTTCGTTGAATAGGTCATCGTAATTGATGAATCTCTTGTACTGTTCTTCTCTGATAATATCGTTCTGTCCACTGAATCCAGCAATGCAGTTGAGATGGCGTAACTTCCGAAGATACAGATTGGCAACTTTCACATCAGCAAAGTCATCACCTTCCGACTCACTGGAGCTCTCTGGTGGAGACAAAATTCCACTCACGCTTTCGCTCGTGGTTACTTCTGTAGGGTTTGAAACTTTGGGCTTCATCGGTTCTATGGATATATCAGTCAAGATGTTCGTATTTGAAGGTGCAGGCACCTCCAAGAAGCTTGATTCGGTGCTCCGGGACTGCAATCTGGATGCCGGTTCCAATGATACTTCAACCTTGGTCTTCTCCTTCTCTGTGAATTGATCCGGGCCTGTGATCGTCTTAAAGGGAGATTTGGATCTTTTAATCTTGTTGGCAATCCTTGACCTTCTACTTATTGTGGGGAGCACATATTCAACGTCTCCTCTTTCTTCTTGGTCTTCCAGGAATAACTTATCGTGTAATCTTTCGAAATTGTCATCATCTTCTTCTTCAACCTCAACCATTGTGTTGTTCTTTGCATCGCCGTTGTGCAAAGGATGATGACTATGGTGATGACGATGGTGATGGTGGTGATGGTGGTGGTGATTATCAACACCATTTTCCGAGGGGAACCATAAATCTCCATAGGAGTTGAGTAATTCGTGCCAATGTTGTGTTCGCCAAGTTCCATCCTGGGTGAGTTCGTCCAAGTCAACTTGCCATTTGATCTTGTGTTTCGAGTCACTGAACGCTTCGGAAGGCAGCTTCAGCGTTTCAGTAGTTATATGCGGTGGTTCGTGATAATGCTTGCGAATCTTCCTGTTCCTTATGATCTGCAAAGGGTTGTATACACCATCGACTCCTGCGTATTTGGGATTGACTGGTCTTTCGGATTGGAACAGTGCAAAGTAGTACAAGTTCATCATGGCTTTAACCTTCTCTGTCCTTCTCAAGGTCCCCTGTGAGATCGATCGTATATGCGGGCCTCGCTGTGGCTCTTTCTCGAATTCAGTCTTATCGTTATAGCTTATGTCAATGTTCTTGCTTGCCATGATACCCTTTCGCAACTCCAAAAACACCGACGCGAGCTGCCCAATCTCCTTCATCTGTTCTCTCCTCGTCTGTTCCTCCTCATCCTGTCTCTGTGATGAGGACGTTAGGTTCACGCTATCGCTCTCGTTGGCTGTTGTACTCCCGCTCCTTACGCTGTGTTCTGACTGTTTTCTCTGCTGTGCATCCACAACCTCTCCAAGTGGATCGTACTCGAAGTTGTCTCTGGCTGCTCCTGCGTATAGCAGCGTACCTGATCGGTGAACTGACCACTTTCTGCCCTCGTTACCCTGAATGGCAGGAGCAGGAGGAAGAGCTTCTTGTGGGCTTCTTGATTTGGGCACTGTCAGTGGACTCCTATTGCTCTTTGACACCCTCTGCGACGGTGGCGCCAACAAGTGACCGCTTTCGCTCATATGTGACCAAACCCTTTCCTCCTTGCAACCAGCGTACACGGTACGATCCAACGGCCCTGGTTGTTGAGGCCGGATTCAATGGATATCAAACGAGAAAACGGCAAAAGACGTTACATATGTAATCCGTTATCACAGCCTTGCGAAGGTCTGCGGATGTTTGGATGTTGCGACGTTTGCTGGTGTTCAGGTTTTTGTGTGTCTGGGTGTTTAGGTGTCTGGGTGTTTTAGTTGTTTCCTGTTTATTCCAGATCAAGTCCACTTCAACACATCGTTTCCAGAGACATGGACTATTCTAACGACAGCTGATTCCTGTAATGTCTTACTACCTTGCTCTCATAGGGACCACTGATAATCCGATCTATGAGGCTGAGATGGGCACTTACCGTCAAGGAGGCGATGGAGTGCCAAAGGTGAGTGACTAACCTCCAGGATGTGTATATTCAGCGCAAGGCCAACTGTACTAACGAGCCCGTGACCAGTTCTCTGCGGAGATGAAAGAGCTGAATCCATTTATAGTACACGCTGCCATTGATATAGTTGAAGACGTGCAGTGGCGCTCGAACTCTCTGTACTTGAAAGCTGTGGATGAATTCTACGGGTACTACATATCAGCATTCGTAACACCGGGGAATATCAAATTCCTACTACTACATGAGACAAAGAACGATGAGAGCATCAGACAATTCTTCAATGACGTTAACGATCTGTACGTTAAGACGGTTCTAAATCCATTCTACAACGTGAACGACCCGATAACAAGTGCCGTATTTGACCTGAAGGTGAAACAGCTTGGGAAGAAGTATCTATAGACACACAGCCTACAATAGTATGCAGTACTAATCGATGACCTTGGTGATAATGAAAAAGAACGTGTAGTAAAACATTAATATATGAGAATTGAATTTTTGGTCCTGGAATGTAATTGGGTGGAGTATCAACGGTCAAGTTTGGCAATACCCTTCAACAACTGATCAGTATCAAGGTCCTTATTAATTTCGTTGTTGTTGATCTTATCCAATGTGTCGTCATCAATAGTCTTGTCCAGGATGCTGGACAGCTCGTTCGATCTCTTTGAGATTATTTTCTGTTTCAGGGAAGATAACGACTTGATCTGATGAACAAATGTGGTGAAGTTATCTACGGCAAACTCCACCTCGGTCGATATATCGTTAAAACTTGATTCCTCGAGTGCAGATAGTTCGTTGATAAGAGAGTTGTCCAAGACACTTTGGTATTTTTCATCAGGCTCTATATGTGGAACATGGTCCATTGATATTGTCGGTAACTCCACAAGTTTAGACATGTTTGACCCCCACTGTGCACTGGCATTTTGTAACACTTTTAGCCTTTGTTTCAACTGCTCCAGGACTTGTGCATTTTTGACATTGCGTTCATTCGGTAATAGTACTTGTGTCTCACTCTTGCCTTCGTCTTCATCCCTGTTCCACCAGCTGATGTTGAACTTACCATCAACCAAATCACGTACCATCTCCTCTTTAATAACTTTAGCGATATTCAACGCTGTTAACTCCTTCGATGGAAGTATGTTCTTCTGCTGGATGTGTTTGTTGTTATCCTCATCCAATACTCTTCGTGAGCACCACGATAGCAACTGTCTCATCTTGTGTGGATCCGGCAATGTAGAATCAAGATGCTTATAGAAATCAGACGTCGGTACTCGGTCGTGGGGCAGTCCAGTAAACCCATTTCCTATTGATGACACTCTCTTGCCTCTTTTCTCCATCGAGGATCTTCTGACTGATTTGCCATTTCTCATCTCCTGGTTTCTCCGTATTATCGGTGTGTCTGATAGTGGAAGCGCAACTTGTGTCGTTGTGGAGTGCTCTTCATACGCCAATGCGTTCTGCTTTCTTGTGGATCTTCCTGGTGTCTGACGAACACGTTTAGCGTCTGGTGTGATGGCCATATCGTCCGCATTCAACTTCCTGATCTTCTTACCACGTCGCAGAGCTGGTGCGTTGCTCGGCTGCGACGCAGACCTCTGCAATGCCACCTCGCTGGTGTCTGTCTTCTTCAATGGTCTAGAGACCATGGATGAGCTCCGACTTAGGAGATCTCGAAGATTCGTTCTCTTCTTATCCTCTTCATTCCTCTTTGCCTCAGCTTTTGCTGCTGGTTTCTTCTTGGGAGGCATAGTTCAGCTCACTTCAAGAGTTTATACAGAGAGGTCCTTGGACAAGATGCAATGACAGTATAACAACAAACAACAAACAACAACAAACACACAACTCAAAGACCCAAAACAATAATACTACAACCTCCTGCCCACGTAGAATACAACAGTCAGCCCGAGCTATTCAACAATTTCAGACGGATCGCTCAGCTCTTCACCAGGTGAGGAAAAAAAGATATCAGTTTATCGTGTTTGTTTACTGATTGTTTATTGTTTGTTTACTTTTTTGTTTTGGTGTTTTTTTTCGTTTCGTTTTGTGTTTTCCTTTTTTTGTCGTTTTTTCCTGCGAAAATGGCACACCGGTTACCCTAAGCAGTAATTACCGTATTGGGTAATATTGCCCGTGATTATGTCAGCAAATACACTCCGAGAAATCTGAGTATACGCCATTATTCCTCCCTGTTGTTTATATAACGACAACCTATGCTATCACCACATGCTAACTACAGAAACAGTAGTCCTTTGGCGGCTTGTAGATCGTGTGCTAGTAGTGGCTGGTGAAAGTTAGTAGAGCTGTGCCTTCCCTGATACGCATTGCATGGCTTAACATTGTGTATATGCTTGACTCATCGTTGATTTCAAGCGAGAGTGCTTGTTTATAGGTGGAACCCTTATAACCCTCGATTGGAAGTGCTGATGAAGTACTAAAGGTGCCGGTTGTCGGGTTCAAAGAGGGCCCCTCTCCGCCTGCTCCTCACGAAATAATACGCCGAGCATCGGTACTGACCATATCGCCAGTATTACTCATCACTATTGCTCACGGAGATTACTCATAGTTGCATCTACCTATGTGTATTCGTTGGCCTATATAAAGAGGCTACCGTAAGCCTTCTGGCATCAGGAGAAAACACATTCAGTGGAGTCATTAAACCACCAGTAAAATGTCAAAACTATTCAAACAGGTTGACGTATTCACCTCTGAGAAGTTCAAAGGTAACCCGGTGGCTGTCTTCTTCAACGGCGAGACACTCTCCACAGAGGAGATGCAAGCCATTGCCAATTGGACAAACCTTTCCGAGACAACGTTCGTTCTGCCCGCAACTGTTCCTGAAGCTGATTACCAATTGAGAATCTTCACTACTGGCCGTGAGCTGCCGTTCGCAGGACATCCAACCATCGGAAGCTGCCATGCTGTGCTGGAAGCTGGCCTGGTGAGACCGAGAAACGGTCAAGTTACACAGCAATGCGGGGCAGGCTTGGTCCAACTACTTGTTGATGAATCTTCTGGTAATATCAAGTTCAAACTGCCTTATTACAAGCATACCACTATCGATGACGAGCCATTGATCGAGGAAGTTGCGGAGTCTCTTGGTATGCAGAGAGATGGGATCAAATCCATCGTTCTTGTTGAAGACGGGCCTCATTGGTTAACTTTGGAGCTGTCATCAGCACAGGACGTTCTCAATGTCACTCCTAATTATGGCCAAATTGATAAGCTTTCGAACAATGGGTTCATTGGTTACAGCTTGTTTGGCCAGTACCCTGACGGGAGCTATGAGGCCAGAAACCTCTTTATTGAGAACTCCCTTGGTGTCGAGGACCCTGTGTGTGGCAGTGGTGCCGGTGCAGATGCATCGTTGCTTGCTGAGTTGTACGGGTTCCAAGGCGACTTGGTCATCAAACAGGGTAGAAAGCTACGTAGGGATGGCCATATTTCGGTTACAGTGAAAGAGCAGTCAAACAATGATAACAGATACTCCATTTACGTTGGTGGGAATGCCATTACATGTGTTGACGGGAAATGGTAGTTCTGGATTCAAGCAATGTCACGTTTCCATGTCCAATTTCTATTGACTGGTGTAGGAGATCAATCTCTATTAGAGGACTTTTTACCAAATCCAAAGCTCATGCTCATTCTTTTCTTTTTCTTTTCCTTATCCTTTTCAGCTTTGTCAGCTTTGGAGTCACGTCTCCAGAAACTCGAGGATGATGACGAGCTTCTTTCACTCTGAGCAGGAGGTGATGAACGTAGTGAACTTGTCTGTGATGGTTTCAACTTTTTACCCAACACTTTCGACTTGACCTTATCAGATGATATCGCGGAATGTTGACTCGAGTTCATTGATACTCGTTCATTAGCATGGTCATTTGAATGGGCATCAAGGTGATTATTAGAGTGTTCATTTGCCTTCTCGGGCAAATCATCATGTGTTTGTTCAGCGACTTGGTCGATAGTGGTGTTGTTGATGTTTAAATGCTCCAGTGGTGAAACGGATTCAATCTCCTCCGATTTGACAGGGGCGACCTTCATATCCAGACTGAAATTGGAATTGAACCCATCAGTCTCCGTGACATTGGCAGCCACCTTACTTTCCAAGTTATCCACCTCTACTGGTTGGTTCTTCAACACTTCAAACTTATCCTCGTCGATTTCCCTGTAGAACAGCACATAGGCAGTTGCCAAATCTGGGTTTCCCCCGACAAATCTAAGGACAAACTCCTGGTCAATCTTTTCAACTATTTCATCATCGAACAACAGCCAGCCTTCAGTTGGCGTCTTCACTAGTGCAACGTAATGACCATGATGTGGGCCACCACCGATGTGAACAACAACAGCGTACAGCTCATAAAACTTTAGGCCATCTTTTGGGTTTACCGGCGGAATATCACTTTCCCATTTGAAATAGGCAGGGTATGTAATCTTGTGGAACAGCTTAACCATACGCTTATGTTCCTCACTGTACTCAAATCTCTTCAAATGGAGTGCTAAAGTCTTTGGCAATTTCTGGATCCCCATCTTCTTTTGGGCCTCTTGTAACGAATGACAGTTATCACAGTAGAATTTGTTGCTTCCAGTAAGCATTTCAATTTCGGAGAACTGTTTCAAACAACTCTCCAAATCATCACAATCTGTCAGATCGAGAGACAAGTCCAGGAAAGTCTCATCTCTGCTTGTGATATTCTCACAAGTCAAACATTTCGTTTGATTGGTCAACAAGCCTTGGAAAATATCGTGGATTGCATTCTTCTTGACGTTTAGCATCTTGTTCAAAGACTCGATAACTTCATTCAAGAGGAAGTTTAGAAACTCATGGGCATCCTGATGCATTGCGCTTCTAAACAGTTCGTTCTCTCTCTTCAGAGTCTCTATAAAGTATAACGGAAGGGCAACCCCGACTGTGGACTCGTTCTCGTTGATACACTCAAACATGTCTTTCAACGCTGTAAGTAGAGAATCTGGGAACTCACTCTTGTTCAGAGAATGGTCTAAATTTATCAAGGGTCCTTTGACAAGTGCGGCTCTCTTTCTTTGTTCCACCGTGGCGTTGGGGTCGTCAACTTGTCCGATGATCACTTTGTAGCTCTTGGGTCTAATGTTTGGTATTGTAATAACGGTGTTCGTAGTGTTGGAATTGGTTCCTGTTCCGGTGGTAGTTCCTTGTGCTGTAGCACTACCATTCGCAGCGCTGCTGCTGTTGTTGTTGTTATCGTTAGCTTCGCCATTCTCATCCTCAATGGGGCTCTTCCGACGGCCAAAGAAACTCGACGTTCTTCTAGCCAACGACGTCTTGTTCTTTAAGTCCTTCTTCTCCGTCTCTGGCTGATGTTGGGGCTGTTGTGTGCTCTGTTCATGCGCAATATGGTGAGGCTTCAACCCTTCCATAACCTTCCGCCTCTCCAAGGGCTGTGAAGCATCCCTCGGTGGGTTCCTCAACAGTTGCAACCTGAACTCACGGGTATAGTACAGGCACTGTAGTATCGAGTTGCAATAGCACGTGTTTCCAAAGTTCTCGAGCCCAAAGATCTTCTGTGATCCATCACCAAACGGCAGCTCGGGGTCCAGGACGCTTAGCTCTTTCAAGTTGTTCGTCAGCGAGTTCGGCTGTGTCCTTGGAGTATCATCAGCATCCCCTGAGAACGACGACGAAACCTCTGTGGAACCGCTACGTCCCGTCGCTGAACCGCCCGTCGTTTCATTATTCGTTGGTCCCTCTCGCTGGGCCTGGCTCGGTGCCTGAAGCGTTCCCGGCAGTATCGCTGTCGTCGTGTTCGTCGTCATGGCGGTGGTCTGGCTCGGTGTCGATACACCCTTATCGTCCGATGAACCTAACCACTTCTTGAGAGACATTGTCGGATCCACCAATCCAATGTGAGAGTCTGCTCTGCGCTCGAGGTTGCTTCCTCCTCGTGTGTTCTCTCTGTTGCCAATTACGTCCCTGTCCGAGCAGGTCTCTTCCGTAGTCCTGGCTTCACCTCTCCTTCCCAGCTACGCTTTTCAATCGTGGCCACCACAATTGGGTCTCAGTCCCGATGTTGAAATATTCCTCGGGCTCAAACCTTCCCACTTCAGAGATTAGAAACTCGGTCGTGGCTCCCTGTTCAGTCAATTGTTCCACTCACTTTTGGTGTAACACCTCGACGTTCTCGACCTCACGCTGCTTTCCACACGCTCAATTGAACACACAGCTACAGTTTAAGAGAAGAAAAATCACTCTCACAGTAGTGGAGGTGATTTTCAAAAGGACAGGAAAAAATAGGCTAATAGCGCAGGAAGGGGAAAAACAGCAGAGGCAGCAGCATTGGGGCGAATTTTCGTTCGGAATTTTTCTCTTCTGCACTCTGTGCATCTCTCCAACAAAAAAAAGCCTTCAGAGGAGACGGCCTCATCCGTTTAGAGGTGGGTTTTTAAGAGGGGAGTATGAATTGATGTGCAATTGGTTTTGCTATGCGAAATTTGAGGAGCTGGGTTGGGATTTGAGGTGCGTTCAATGTGAAATTTGTTCTCGTATGCTGTGATACTTTAGCTGTCAGAGGTGGATCTCTGTGAGTGCCCAGTATGGACAGAGTGGTTGTGGAACAGCGCAGCCCGCTGTTTAAGACTATATGTCTACACACCCGTAACCAGATGATCTGTGCGCTCTTTGCAAAGACTGGTGTGAATTGGCACGTCTGGCCAATGTCATGTAGCGTCACATTTCAACCAATTCGTCGAATTTGAATGCATATGGTGTAATATAGACAAAGCCCTATACACTCCTGGCGCAGTTGATTCTGCTGCGTTTTTGATACCAACAGACGCAGCGGTGCGTCATAAGCGCAACAGTTATCCCGGTGCCACTCCAACAGAAGAAACCGGCGAGCTTGGATCATGTGGTAGGCTTGAGCTCTGATCCTTAGTGGTCTCGGTGTTTGAATCTGAGTGGAAGTACTCCTGGTGAGCACTATTCAGTCTTTTCCGTTTTGCTGTCTAAGCATTCCAAGGCCCAAACGTTGCTTAACGGTTTTGTCCACTTGGCTCAACCTTGCCAATTAGACACAACTGTTCAGAGCTAGCTGTATTACAGTTGCGAACTTTACAACGAGGAGAAATACAGTGACGCACAGGGGGGCCAACAGTGCCATGTTCGATCCATTGTAGAGATAAACCACTTTGGGCACATAACATCAACCCCCTCCTACGGGATGGTATTGGCAGAAGTGCGCATGGCTGTTCAATGCAAGCAAACCATTGGCTTACAAAACGTGAGATTTCATTGCTATATGTGCAAACTTGTCACACAATTGATGACTCGGAGATCTAACCATTGATGTCTTTGGCTGTAGAGACTGAACTATGTCGTCATTATGCACCATTAACCGTTCAGCGACACTTGTTTGTCGGCTATGTTCAATGTAGAGAATCTGCCTTCTCCCGCCGTCACCCGCACCGATATCTCTCGCAAACCCAGGCAGTGAAAGCAATATTGCTCCAAGGACGCATTTCACAGCTTTTGAATGCCTTTTAAAGGATCTGTTCGCACGCTGAGAGTGATGGATCTCTCCGTACTGCCAGCAGTGCTGCGTCCATCAGATGCAAAAGGTATAATCGGATGGAAATACACCGCTTGAGGGTCTGAATATCACGGAGAGTGAACGGTTATCTCCAGATGCGGTAGTTGTGGAGGTGTTGCCACGGTACATCCACATATACGCGCCTTGTAATCTCTCGCCCGGCTAAATACCTTTGCAAAGCCTGGTTTGATATTTGTAATTGCGGTTAACAGTATAGGCCAACACGGTCTCCACAGTTGTGGGTTCCACACATTGGAGCCTACCTTTAGTGATATAAGGGATTCAGTCAACTTTCTCGCGTTCTATGTCTGCTGATTCTGCTGGGTATTCTATCGTTAACAGGCTCAAGCTGTGTCAACTCCAGTCAGAGGCGCTTCCCTCAGCCAAATTGTCTGTTCCATTTAGCTCTTACTCAAAATAGCAAACCGTGAAGTTACCGTTTTCAACAAAAGCGCGAGTGGTTTAGCGGTAAAATTCCAAGTTGCCATCTTGGAGCCCCCGGTTCGACTCCGGGCTCGCGCATTTATTTTTTTTGCATGTAAGAATTTAGCGGTGTAATATGGTAGCATTTCAACTACACTATGTTTACGCTGGAAGCAAGTTTCAATTGTTTGTCCAAGATACTTATTTGATCTTAAGTCAAGGGGAAAGAAATGCAATTGCTTCTTTCACTCCTAATCGACATTGCGTGATGTTCAATGTGGACGGCAGAGACTTCTCTCCCGGTTGAACCTTCAACGGTGCTGACATATACCACCACAATCATTAAAGGGGTTTGAAAAGGCTACACGCGTTGAAGTTGTTATCCAAACTCAACACCTACAATATAATTATAGATATATGGAAAACTCAACCCTCTGTCTATCGCGGACTCTATGACTAGTTTGACATGTCTATGACTCTGCATCTTTCTGAGCTTCTTGAATCCAAATAATTGATCTGTGATGAGCCCTGAGTGTTTGCAATTGAATTCTAAATGACATCTACCAGTGACCTTCTATGTCCATAACCAAAAGCATGCAATACACGCTACGGGACTTGCACCCTGTGTGTACTGGCCGTTATCTTATAAGTCCAGTGATGCACTACGCGGTCGCCCTTGCATCTTCATCCAGACATCATGCATATTCACACTGACACCCTGACACCACGAGTACTTCTCTGAATCAAGGAAACTTCGTTATGTTGATTGCTCTTTGGTTGTAATGGTTCATTTTATTAACAAGTTCGGTATTGATTCTCTCGAGAATTATGGATTTTACATCGATTTGGTGATTTTCTGCTAAATATCAAATCAATTTTTGAACTGTCCTCTAAGAATTATAACTCCTAAAAATATTATAAAATTTAATACGTAATCTATTCCATCACCATAGTCAAATTTATAGCATATTTTATTGTAAAATCCATTAATTTCATCACCATAACAACTAATACAGCATATTTCCCAAAAATACAATCACAGGCCTCTTTCAACAAGTTAGAACATAGCAATCACAGCTGAGAATTGTCTAACCATTGTTCCGAATCGGGAATTACTCTTCCAAGAGGCGTATTGTGAGGACATGAAGATGCATACTTGAGGCTGAAAGTAGACAACCAATGTTGGCATTGATGCAATTTATTGTATTATATCTATCTTCATTCGATCTCGAATGATAATACTCTGATGTAAAGATGAACGTTCCTCCCATGGCATTATAACCCGGTCACCATATAATCATTATCTGAGATCCAGCAGCGTCGAAGACTATATAGCATGAGGAATACCAAATAAAAGCACCTTCATTGAGTATTTATACTATCCATTATAAAAAATATCTCACCCCCTAGAATGTGAACTCACCTCTGAATTGGTTCAGGTCCATACCTGGTCTTATCTTCTCCAGTAAGTCTCTTCTGTCCATGGCAATAAAAGCCCTCTTCAATGTCTCCATAATACTGGTACTCTGGTTTGCCACTGATGTATATCTTTTCAAATCTGAAGGGTCAAGTCCTTCCACGTTATGCATCGAAAGTGCAGCGAGCAAATGCTCTGCAGCTTCTTTGTAACAACCAATGTTGATCGATGAAACCCCCAAGTTGTAACGTGCACGGACAAAGCTGGGTTTGAGCTGTAATGCCCTATGGTACGCCTCTATCGCCTCTTCTGATCTGCTAGAGTTGGCTAATGACGCACCTAATCTGTTCCAAAGCAAAGCATCGTCTGGACGAACTGCCAAAGCAGCCTTGAAACAGTCAATAGTCTTTTCAAAATCGTCATTTGCGTAGAACAGCACTCCTAATCCCATTTGAACATCTGCATCGATGTTGGCACCCATTGGTGAAAGTTGTGCTGCTTGCAAGAAGAGCTCAGTGACACGTTTGTGCAAGGAGTAGCGATCCTCATCGTTGATCTTTGGGTTAGTAGTACGTGCACGTTCAGAAATCTGAGGATATTTTGTTTCAATCCAGCGTTCCAGAGTTGCAAATGCAGCATTATCATAGCCTTCATTGATATAGGAAACTGCCAAAGTCATCAGTGCATCCAAGTTCTTTGGATCTAACTTTAGACAAGTTTCCAGTGCAGTTAATCCAGCAATTTCCTTCTCATTTTGAGTCTGAACTTCACCAAGTTTCAACCACGCATCTATGTGTTTTGGATTCTCCTGTACGGCAGCTTCAAATGCCAAAGCAGCCTCTGACAACTTGGCTCCTTGATCCATCAACGTACAACCAATTTCGTACGCGTTTGGAGAATGACGGAACTGGTTTGTCTGTTCAAAGTTGTACTGGCCAAAGTTTGCCCTATTTTGTGCATACGTGGCAAAGTCCTTTTCCCAAGAGGGTTCTTGTCCAATGAGATCATCGTCTTGTTGATGAATCGCATCCCACACCTCGTCAAAGTTGGCCTGGAACTTGTCATCGATGACTATTTCATCCTCAGCCTCTGTCTTCTGCGCATCCAGTAACTCTTCTTCTTCTGCCTGTTTACCCTCCTGCTTAGTCAGTTGGTCATCAATCTCTTGGAATTGCGATTCCCATTGTTCTTGGTTCTCTGTGGTGACATTTCCCGCTGTGACGGTGCTACTCAGAGGTCTCATAGCTGTCTGCATACCAGCGCCAGCGTAGCCTTGGAACATCGGTTGATACCCGAGTCTTGAGCCCATGAGAACGTTCCCACCACTCATCAGCGGTTGGTGCTGCTGCTGTAGAGTTGAGGCCATCTGTGCGTTAGCAGCAATTGGTGATGGAGAAGAGGTTTTGAACTCTGAGGACCAGGCAGAGCCGCTTGATCTCAGAGCAGCAGCGTCTGGTTGGAACTCAGACGCCCACTGCTTGTTCTGCATGTTCATCTGTGGTTGACGCTGTGCCATCTGATGGAGTTCCTGCTGCATTGGCTGGAAGTTGAAGTTATCATGTGGCTTGACGAACTGGTTCATACGCTATTGATGTGGTGTTCACGTGTTAGTACAAAGCACACTGAGGCATAGCCAAAGGAAGCACATACTTGCTGGTCCATCTGGTTCATTCGGTGTTCTTCTCTCATGCTCTGCTGAGACGACTGGTGTTGTATCCCAGGTCTCTGGAGAGAGCGGTCCTCCTGGGTATGCTTGTTGAACTGCGCAAGCGGGTTTCTTGCTGTTGAGCACTCAGCTCCTCCTCCAAACATAGACATCCTGTGTGATCTGTTGAATATGGGCCTCTTCTTTACTCGCAGTCTGGTCGTGGTGGCAAGTGATCCTGGTCGTGGCGGAAGGAATCAAAAGCGTTGTACAATGGCCCCGGCCAAACGGTGGAAGGGCGAAAACGAGCAAAATTGAGGGAAAAGAGTGGACATCCGTACACCAACAATAGGAAAACAGATGTACGCCGATAAGGAAATGTTTTATAGTGCCGAGGTTTGAAATTCTGTGTGGGGGGGGAGGCCTGGGGGTCTGGGGGAGTCTGTTTGGTGTCCAGGTGTGAGGTGGTGTGATTTGCTGGTTTGGCTGAATTAGCCACGATTTAGATGCTTTTAACGATGGGTTAATGTCTGATCAGAAAGGTGACGATGGTGTTGTATGAGAGGTACAGAGTGGTTGTGTGTGGTAAGGCTCCTGGGCGCAATTGACGGGTGTGAAGCTGTGTGTATTGACTAATGCGGAAGGTCATTGCGTGGAGTGTTTTCAGATGTTGGTGCGTGCACTCATGGCACGGGACTTTGGAGACTAAAAAGTTCTGAGACTTTTGAGACTTTGTGGTCTCGAAATGGGACTCGCTTAGTCCTCAATAGTCCATCAAAATTTTATAAGAGAACAGACAGAGAGACACATTACAGCTCAACTGTCAACATCGCACCCTTTCAGACGGCACATAGACCGATTGGAACACGTTAACAATGCTCTCTTCAAGCGATACAAAGAGACTGTCCAAAAAAGAGAGGCAACAGCTGGCTCTGGAACGGAGAAGACAACAGGTTCTGGAGCAGAAGAGGGTCGAGAAGCTAAACGATGAACCATTGAGATTTGAGCCCTCCAACTCAATGGACGAGGATCTAGACACAATCACCGGTGGTGGAGGAGGTCATCACCAGCAGCAAAAGGAAGTTGTATCACTTCGTGAGTTATTATCGAGGAAAAGGGAAGAGGTTGAACTGAATGCACCCAAGTTTCTATCAAAGAGAGAGAGAGAACAACTCGAGCTCGAACAGAGACGGGAGAGTGAAAGGAAAAAATTAGCGGAAGCCGAGAGAAAGAGGAAAGAAGGAGAGATGGACAGTAAGAAGAGACCTTTACGACTGAAGGAGGCTGATGTTCAGTCGAAGAGAACAAGGCAAGAGACCAAGAAAGCGGTCAATGGAAGAACAAGCAAGTTCAATTTTGAATGGAGAGATGAAGACGATACGACAAATCTCGGTCTAGTACAGGAGTATGGAATTCAGCCAGTAGATGTCAGCTTTAACAGTGCACTGCTAGATAAAGGCTTGGATGATGTCCACTGGTCACGAAAGCCACTTTCTGAGATGAAGACTAGAGATTGGAGAATAATGAAGGAGGATTTCGAAATAATCACAAGAGGTACGAATCTACCAAATCCTCTTAGATCATGGACAGAGTCCGATATCGTGCCTGACCTGTTGAAGATTATCCAAAACTTGGGATATAAAGAGCCAACTCCCATTCAGAGGGCTGCGATACCAATTGCATTGCAAAAGAGAGATATTATAGGTGTCGCAGAGACTGGTTCCGGTAAGACATTGGCCTTTCTATTACCAATGCTTTCAAAAGTGCTGAAACTAGCACGGCTCAACGAAGTTACTAAGAATGATGGTCCTTATGGCCTCATTCTCGTCCCAACAAGAGAATTGGCACAACAGATCGAAATTGAGCTGAACAAATTCCTAAGATTCCTTCCAATGATCGATACGGTATCGTTGGTCGGTGGTAAATTAATAGAGAGGGATATTCTAGATCTGCAAAACAAGAACATCGAAATCGTCATCGCTACCCCTGGACGACTTATAGATTGTCTTGAAAGTCATTATTTGGTGCTGAACCAGGTCAAATTCCTGGTATTGGATGAAAGTGATAAAATGATCGAGATGAACTTTGGTGAGCAAGTTGAGAAGATCAAAACTTTCATGACCGACGGTGAACGTCAGAACATGATGTTCACGGCAACTTTGACCAATGAGGTGGAGAAGTTGTCCAGAGAATACGTCAAATCACCAGCAATTGTGAATATTGGTTCAGCATCTTCGAGAGACGTTGTGGTTAACGAGAGAATCACACAAAGGTTTGAATTCTTTGGGAAAGATGAGGAGAATAAGAAGGTCAAAAGACTGGAGAGGATTGTTACGTCTCACGAGTTTAAGCCTCCAATTATCGTGTTCGTTAATTACAAGGAAACCGGTGAGCAGTTGTTTAAACATTTGCAATCAAGAGGTGTTAGAGTTACAATGATTCACGGTTCAAAGAGTCAAGATCAGAGAGAGCTTGCGCTGAAACAGCTGAAAGATGGCCGTGCAGATGTATTGGTTGCAACAAGCGTGGCAAGTCGTGGTATTGATATCAACAACGTCTCTCTTGTAGTCAATTACCAAATGACTAAGAAATGTGACGAGTATATCCATAGAATTGGAAGAACAGGAAGAGCAGGGAACTACGGTACAAGTATCACATTCTTAACAGAGGATTACGATAAAGCTGTGTATCCAGAGTTGAAAAGGCTCCTGCAAAAAAGCGGCAACAAGATTCCAAGCGAGTTCAAACGACTGGAGGAAGGATTACAAGCCATTGTTTGAATATATTGTTTATAAAGGTGTATAACAACAACAACAATCTATATCGTCTTTGGAATATTCTTGCATGGGTTAGTAACACTTCTTTCCATCTTGCGAAGTGCTTTGTAAATTCTCGGCATGACGGTCTTCATGTCAAAGTCTCTTGGTCTCTTTGAGCCATTGCACATGAACTTTATCACCTGGTCCACCGTCTTTTCATCGTGGAACCCGGTGACGTCTTTGACCAAACTGCGTATTTGCAGCATTGCCTCGAATTGATCCAAGTTTCTGTGTAGCTTCTTGTGGTATTCCTCGTGTGATAGCTTCAAGTTTTCAAAAGGTATATCACACTCGGTCCCGCTTAAAAGCTTGAGAAGTACCTGGATGGTGTAGTATGCGTCGTTAACGGAAGGATGGAATGGTTTTGTCTCCTGGACATTCAACTCTCTGGCCAATTTCCCCAGATTCAAACCTTTGGGGAATAAAAACTGTCTGCATAGGATATCAGTGTCGACTTTTTGCAGAGCCCTAGGCACGTTGACGTTCAAAGTCATCAAAGACTTCAAATCACGTTCCAGGTTGTGTCCAACAAGACACACGTCGTGATCTCCTTTCATCAGCTGTGTGTAATGTCCAAAGAGCCTTGTTATGAACACCTGTGCCTGTGTTGGCGATACCTTCAGAGGAACCGCCAGCAAGTTATCCATGATACCTGACTTTCTCGATAGCTTCCGGCCCTTGATATCCAGCTGGATCTTGTACACAGAGTTCCTCGACTTGTCATAGATACAGAACCCTACATCGGTTGTTTCATGGACATCACCACCTGTGTCTAAAGAGATCACAATGGCCTTATCAGAGAGCACCAAACCTTGGGCAACAACAGCGCGCGGGCCGGACAGGACGTCCTGATTGGAGCAGAAGAACCCATCTGCGTTGGACCGGAAGTTATCAAGCGCGTACTGGAAAGAGCTCGTTTGTGAGAGCCTTGAGTCCCTTGTACGCAGGATCTTGGTGACAGATTGTGTCAGCTCATAACTACGCGCAAGCGCGCTGTAGTCCTTTGAGTAGGTGGTTAAGGACCTCTTCACCAGGTGCATTCCCGTTGTTGTGCTCGGTGTACTTGGTGAAGCGGTTGACCAGCAACGGCGTGATGCAATTGTACAGAGCAAACAAGGGAGAGAAACAGAGCGAAACTTCTTATCAACGTGGGCCTACTGTTGTTGTTGTTGTTTTTGTTTTTCTGCCCCCTTTGCTGCTTGCGCAGCCTGTTTGACACATAAAAATGCCACGGCAAGGTTCGATCCGCAGAGGGCTTTCATCAACATGTCACAGCTACTGGTTGTAGCTGGGCTGAAGCGTGGCGTAGGACTGAGTCTCAAACATATGCTGGCCGTCGTTGTTCAGCGTGTAGCTACTGTTATAAGAGTGTACAGGGATTGCATCATAACATTGGGCGTTCTAATCGTCATCGTCATCGCTACTTTCATATGCGTTCACCAGGCTCTTCCGATCCGTGGGCTTTGGCTGTGGAAGTCGCTTCAGGAGCTCCAAGGAAACTCCACTGAGTATGCCGTTGGTGTTTGAAGTTGTGGTTGGCTTTGTATCCTCGATCTGCTTAAGCTGCTGTACCACTTGTACAGGTTCGGGCTCTTCAGGCTCTTCGACATGAGGACCGTCATCCTGTCTTTGTCTCTTGTACTTATCCAATAACTGCAGGACAACCTGCTGAGTCTCCTGCTCGATTGTTCTCTTCTTTTGTCGTATGGCCTCAGGGTTCGGATCTTCGTGTGCCCATTTGACACTCAGTATATCAGTACCGTATAGACTCTGTCCATTCATCGCTTCTTTGGCAAACTGAGCGTTGCTCTCACTCTTGAAAGTGACAAAGGCACAGTTCTTCCCGGAGATGACGTTGATCTTGGAAATCTTGCCCAACGGTTTAAATTCACCGTTAATGCGGTCTTGAACGTCCTTCCGATCAGTCAGCACACCTCCAATATACAGAGTCTTGTTAACTGTGTTGAAGCTACCAATGCCTCCCATGTCATCACGGTTTTCACTAAACTTTTCACGGCCAAAGCAGTCCACAGTTAAGGGGAAGACATCATCGTCTCTGGGTATGCGATGCAGATATTCACACTTCTTACCCTTGGAGCACATCCCCTTCGCAAAGAATAAGCAGAAATAACCCGTACCCTGCGTCTTGTCGGCCCTCGTATAACCGCTGTCTCTTTCAACGTCCAGTTTATACTTGGACTTCACCAAAACATGGTTGTTACCACCTCCACTCCATTTGTTATACCAAATGTTGTAAACAGTACCTGTTTGAGGTGGCTGCTCCTCCTCAAATTCATTAGGATCAACCTGTACCCTTGCTGGCTTTCCTTTTATCTGTGACATTGTTTAGCCGCCGGTTGTACCGTTAAGCGCTCTGTGTGTATTTATCACCTCTTCACTAATCTCGATGCCTCGCCTTCTCCAAGCACAGCAAAATTTTATCAACAAAAATTTCATCACGAAGGGCAAAACTACAACGGGCAGAGACATGTACATAAAATTACGTACTCCTTTTTGGATGATTATATGGAGGACTAGCCTTGATTGAAGTAGAGAATATCCTTTTTTTCCTTATTAAACTAGTATACAAAGAAAGCCCACTGTTTGATATGGTTTCGTGGTATATCGTAGGTTGCCGTCCCGATGTTGTGATGCCCATTTCCTCTCTCCCATTATGTACAAGTTTGAACAAAAAGGAAACGGAGTCATCAAAAGGAGAGACAGGCACTTGTAACAAACCATGCAAAGTAGTGGAGGCAAGATCGAATAGAAAACAGAGTAAGACACCTTTGTTCTCACCTCTTGATGTGGCGTGTTGAACAAAGTGTGTGTATATGTCTGATAAACTTTAGTCCAAAAAAAGTTCGTTGCAAATGCGTTTCAAAGTTGAGTCGTTGAGATTCATCTAATGTACTGTAATTTCGTTATTCATTCATCCTTCTCGTTAATCTTTTGAAAGTCAATCTCGTCAAGGATTGCCTTAGCACCTTGTGCTTTCAACATATTAGCGAGCTCAACACCAACAGCCTCGGAATCAGCTCTGTAATCCTCAATTGGTCTGGTAATTTCATTCTCAACATATTGAGTACCATCCACTGATATGACAACTGCCTTCAAACGAAGCAACTTGGTCTCTTCGTTGAAGAATGAAGAAACTCCGATTGGAACAGAACATCCACCTTCCAAAGTTCTCATCACTGCTCTCTCAGCAAGACAACACACAGTGGCATTCTTATCTTCAATGGTTTCGAGAATCGACTTCATAAGGGCGTCACCTTTTCTGATTTCGATACCAAGAGCACCTTGACCCACAGCGTGGTACATGATGTTTGAGTCCAAACGTTGTGTTATTCTATGCTCCAGCCCCATTCTAACCAAGCCGGCGGTTGCAAGGATAATACATTTGAAAGGCGTTTCTGGATCATCCAACTTTCTGAGTCTTGTCTGTAAGTTACCACGGACACTCTCAAACACCAAGTGTGGGTAGTGTCTTTTCAGTTGTGCAGATCTTCTAACAGATGAAGTACCAACGACAGAACCCTTTGGCAGCTCATCCAATTTTGTGTATTGGGAACCCTTTGACATACAAACAGCGTCACTTGGGTCCTCTCTTTTGACAACGCATCCAAGCTCAAATTCATCAGGCAGGTTCGTTGGCATGTCCTTCAAAGAGTGCACAATCAAGTCCAACTTGTGGAAATCGCCAATTCCTTCCAGCAGCAGAATCTCAAGCTCCTTAGTCCAGAGCGACTTTCCTCCAAACGAATAGAGCGGTTTATTTTGAACTTGATCACCCAACGTCGTGAGGGCCAAGATTGGGCAAGTAATACTTGGGAAGTTCTCCTTGACAAGTCCCTTGACGATGTTGGACTGTGCCACAGCCAACTGCGACTTACGGCCACCAATGAAAATCTGGTCCGGAACGTATGGAATGTCAAATTTGTTCATTGGGCGGGCCTCCAGCCCGTCGCGTGAACTGGTCTGTGTGTGATGCTGGTGGTGTCTGTCCTCGTCATCGAGGATGAAGGAGTTGGAACTTGTAGTTGATAATGGAGGTCTTGAGTTTGGGCCTGCACCATGGGACATTTTTCTCAGTGAAGGTGCAGCGGTAGAGGCAGCCTGGGTTCCGAACAAGAGGTGTTGTGAGTTCGCGTCGAGATGAATCGGTGATGAAAGCATTGTAGAAGAAGGTAGATATGTGTGTAAATCACTTCAATCACTCTGCTTCGTTTGTAGGTTCGTCAAAGAAATACGTCCCCAAAGCAGTACGGTAAAAAGGAGATTAATGGGCTCGAGAACCAAACACCGGCACAACAAACAAAAAACACAGTTTTTGAGGGAGGGAGAGATTTCCAAAATATAGGGGGAAATGCTCCACGGAATTCAAAGTGGTGGAACGAAAACGGATGTCAAAAGGTGAACAAGTTGGGGAAACTCAATAGATTAAGCCTTCAACAGTTCAATGGATCAGTTTGAATTGGGAATAGTTGCAAGAGGGAGAAAAAAGGTTCAGAATTTTTTTTCCTTTTGCTTCAAACAAAAAGTCCTCTTTATTTTTTTTCGCTCGGCTTGAATTGGCTGATCGTCTGTTGCTTGAAGTCCGCGCGATGCCAAAAAAGGACGGGGGGACTCAGATTTCTTTTTTTTGGTTTTTTTTGCGTAAGCACTCGAAATGTCCTCTGTGATTGGCCAGAACTTTTTCAACAGACAAAGTACTGGGTGGGAGCTGTTTGCAATTAGTGATTATGAAGAAGGAGTTTCGTTAAGGTGGTGAAATCCTTTCAAGATTGTATTGTTTTGGTGTTTGAATTGGATCGATCGGAGACGATTGGAGTTCAAATTCGAATAGCCAAATCGATAATTTTTGACCGTTGTGTCAAGGCCTTCACCTTTTATACGAATCCCGAGGTTGATAACTTTTTTCCTACTTTGGCGGCCCACTGGAAATTCATTCCCTTTGCGGTTCTAAATTCCAGCCAATTAAATCCCAGAAAATTGTAAGCTCGAGAGCGGTTTTTTCGATTCACGGTACACACACGCACAAGGCGAGACTCACCAGGGTTCTTTTACCAGGTCCATAGCCACCTCAGTAGGACTCTGTAGGTAGAACTCGCAGCAGCAGCAGCAGCCCCTGGGGTGTGCGTTAAGAATGTGTTTTAAGCGGTTACTCAATTCACCGTTGCGCCCTTGTTGCTTTTACAAGTCATCATAGCCATGGATTAAGATGGATAATTGTAACTACTAGTGATAGGCTAATTGGTTAAATGGAGGCATAGGACGAGGCATCACTGGACCGGTGCCTGGTTTAACCGGCAATGTATTATGGACTCTGTGTCCACTTGCCTTCTTGATATGTAATACAGATTTCAACCAATTTGTAAGTTCAGAAGGTTCCATGAAGAGAAAAGTCTCTCATTGCAGAAACTGTTTACATGCAGCCGGTTGCCCCCCCACCAGGAAGTTCCGCCAGGACACTACCGACAAACAAGAGAAAGCTTGTTCCACCACCACTTTATTCCGTGTAAAATCTGGGCGGAGAATTCTTTTAGTTGTCATACCATTCCTACAGCGAGCGTTGGAGTTTTCTATCGTTCTAAACGGTTTGCGCAAACGAGTTTAATTACCAACCCGGCATGAACAGTCATCAAGGGTTAGCGCTGAGATTAAATTCCACCTAAGTCAACGTACATCGTCGTGCTGCTATTCCAACACCGTCTAGTCTCTAATTTCCATCGGACCTTAGTCCTTCTAGTCCATCGTCCACATTGAAACCACTTTGGCACCTTTTTAAGGTTATTCTCACGCCTCTCATTGGTTGAATAAAACACCCGAAAATGTTGTGGGAGCGTGTGTATGCATTGCAGAAAGTGCAAGATTTTTCTTTCCCAAAGTGTTACCCTACCTGATAGTTCAGCCTTGCTTACAAACATCAGGACACCTAAACATCCTAACATTCACATTTTCGAGCGCTGTGACCGGAATTCGGTATTAGATCCCCGGTTCAGGTGCCTCACTGATAGTGCATTCGAGCTTTGTTGTGCTCCCATCGGTGCGTACCACCCACTACAACAACGGATATAGCAGGTTGGGAGGAAAATCATGGCTAAGAAGGGGCTATACAAAGAAGTTGATAATGACGTCCAGGTGAAATACTCATACCATAACGACTGGAAAATTTCATTAGCTGTGCACACGCTTTTGATGGTCCTCACAATCTCGCTGTCCAGATGCTTTTCATTGACATATAGACAAACAGCAGTCATAGCCATATCGGCGAGTACTATTCTTCTGAACTTCTTACCAATAAATAGCTGTATGCATGGTTCAATCGTCAACTGAACATCAATCGGGTACTAACAGCAATCATAGACCGCTCAGTGTCAATGACTAAGTCTATAGGCCTTGAAGTAACATCAACTACAGGTGTGATCTTTAAAAGCACATCCCATAAGTTGGTACCAACAGCTGATATCATAGATGTCGTAATATTGGAAGGGTTCAAAGGACTGGAGGTGATATACTACCTAGCCTGTATTGTAAATAAGGAGAACAAGTTGACCTTGATCTTACCAGTGAGTCCATTTCGCACCTTTTCCCAATCTCCCTAAAAATACTAACAAACACACAATTCAAGGATGTAAGTCTATCGCTCAGCTCGCTCAATGAGATTAGAAAGAGCATCAAACAGTTAGTATGAAACTACGCTTTTAGAATGAATTAAACACATCCCTTCTAAAAAAATACATAAATGTGTCAGAATTGAAACAGAGTCTGTCATTTATTGTTCGTGTAAATAACCACAATTTCCTCTCGGCCTAAGGTGGTAGTTGCGGGCACAAATTTTCCGTGTGGATAAAGATCAAAACATAAACAAACATTGTCTCATATCAAGGCGATAAAGGGTTAACAATGAGTAGTATTGTTAGTAAGTATCCGTGGTGAACGCTCTCAAATCAGTGCTTTGATTCTTACGCAGCATTTGTGTGGGTCCGGTAGCACTGTAAGTGGGGTCTTTTAGTGATGAGTAAACACAGGTATTAACCGCATCCCCAAACTAAAGATAAGAGTGGTATTCGTTTCGCTCCAAAGGTACGTCAGCGTCGTTCTGTGACGTCCACTCCGACAGAGAGTCGAAAGGCAAGTGTCACGCCCGTGTCACAGGAACAGTCTCCACCGGCAACGCAAATTCCTCCAGAAGAATATGATGATTATGATGAGGACGATGAGCAAGAGGAGGAGGAGGAGGAAGATGGTGAAGTGCGCCATGATGAAGGGTCTACCCAGCCTGTTGTAGAGGCGGAAACTGTAGCGCCACGTACTTCTGAACACCTGAAATCTGGTTCTATATCAAGAAGATCAAGCGTTGTTGAAGGCACACCCTTGGCTACCAAGCAGAGAAGATTATCGACATTGAGCAATACACAGAGAGCGGGTGACATATTCCGCAAGCACTCATTTTCAGGCGAATCTGCAAAGAGTCATGTGATAGGAATACCTATACATCCCAAGGCTTCCGAAATCAAGAGAAGAAGATCAAGTGCTGTTGGGCCTAAGAGCTCTGCGGGAGTCGCTGCTAAGAGACGCTCCGTTACAATCGAGCCACCGAGTAGGGAGTTTCTTGCAACACCACCAGCAACACAGGATAATTCAGTGCATAGTGCCTTAACAAAATCCCAAGGGAAACAACTGGAAGATTCTATTCAAGAGGACGATGATGGTGGTGAACACCCGAAGCTTGAATCCCAAGAGGGCCCCAAGTCACAAACCCCAACTGAAGGTAGGATAACCGGTATCAAAATTATCAGCGCACCTGGTAAAGCTGATGTATTGAAAAAAGTGGAGTACGATCCGAATGACCCAAATGATTGTGTTAATATTATCAAGTATGATCACCGTGTGAGTGGGTTTGACCAGTTGACCAAGTCCATTTATTCTCTGCCTCCTGATATGGCTTCTGTTTTGTCCATCGATGAGGATACATTCACCATGGAGGACTTGTGTAAACCTTCGCTACCAATAGGTAAGGCATCATCCCAGTTTGAACTCTCGCAACAAGCCAAGAAGCGCAAATTGCAAGAGAGGGAAAACAAGAGGTTTATAAGAGAGCAGGCAAGAAAGCTGAAAAGATCGATCGAGAGCTTTGCAGAAGAGCAAGAGGAGAATTCTGAGAAGAGATTCAAACGCGAGAATCTTGATGGCGAAGAGCCTGCTGCCAACCTCGCTGTCCAGTTAAAGGTTAGAAATGGTCAAATTGCCCTCGATGAGGAGTCTACTGTTGTTGACCGTCATGCCAATGCAGACGATGTGTACCGTGAGAGACACGACGAGAATCCCTTTGAGAATATGGTCAATTCTGCAACATACGGGCGTCAGAGGTACACCGATAAGTGGACGAGTGACGAAGTTGCCCGTTTCTACAAGGCATTGGGCCAATGGGGCACAGACTTTGCGCTAATCGCACAGATGTTCCCACACAGAACGAGGAAGCAGGTCAAGGCTAAATTCATTCTAGAAGAGAAGAAACGTCCAAGGCTTATAGAGCTGGCGCTGGCAAATAAACTGGGCGTACAGTTCGATTTTGACGCCTACTGTGCCGATTCTAACAAGACGTTCTCCACGCTGAACGAGTTCAACGCCAAACTGGAGAAGCTGAAAGAGGAGCACGTTGAGAACCTAAAGGTGCTGAGCGCAGCAAGGGAGAAAGCCAAGGAAGAGGACTTGCAGAAGCAGAAGAAGAGAGAACACGAGATCGTCACGGGACAGAGAACAATGACCAGACAGGAGAAGCTCACCCAGTTGTCCAAGAATGAAACCGTCATCGGCTCCATCGATGAGGTCAAGAAACAGAGACAAGAGGAGACCATACCTTCCTAACTCTATACACGTATAACATCTAAAGCTAACGGCCAGCGTAGTTGCCTCCGTGAGTAATGGACCATGAGATGTGAAACGCTGTCTCCCCCCTCCCCCATCATGTAGCAGTTTCACAAAGGGTTTACGAGGCTGGAACGATGAAATGACGATGATGCCTTATGCGCAGAGACTGGTTCCACAGGCATGGGATGCGGTTATGCTGCACAGGAAAAGTTTTAGTGAGGCGGATTACGTAATCTTCTGGCCAGCCCATTTTTTTTCCTTCTTTGGCCCAAATGGAGACAACGGCGCTGCGAGGAGAAACAAGAAAAAAAACACATGGAAAGTTGTAACCTGAACAACACCACAGACATTATTAGGGAACACAGCACTGCCATTCACCAACGAAAGGATTCAAGGAGCTGAGATCTAAACCTGATATCTTTCGACAGAACCATCGTATTACTCGGAGTACTTTGATTGTTACGTACTGGCTGTCTTTTTCTGTTGTTGTTGGAGCACCCCTTACCCTTCTTAAAGGAGAAAAAAATACACACATCCATACACACAAGGTTTCAGATTGGTATTTCAGAGGAAGCGCCATGAGCCGTGATTCTCAAGCACAACTTGCACCTATCATAACGTCGAGTGCTGAAGACCAAGCCACCGGCGCGGTCTACCAGGTGATCAAGGATTTCAGCGCGCGTTTAGCGGATGAGCTGAGCTTACGCGTGGGAGACAAGGTGGAGGTGATATCTGATGATAAGGAATATAACGATGGCTGGTACATGGGTAAATCGCTGTCCACGGGCGCTGTCGGGCTGTATCCGAAGAGCTTCACGCAGATTGTTCCCAGTCTATCTCGGCCTTCGCTGCTGAGATCCCGTTCCAGAAGACTGGCCAGTCCCGTGTCATCACAACAGTCCCCAGTGGCGCCATCAAAGAACGTCTTGGGCACTCCTACTGCACAGAAGAATGGCCGCTTAGAGGATTTCGATCTTCATGATTCGCCAACTGCGGCAGCAGGAAACACTGTTTCCAATGCCTTATCGGATATAGATAAGGCACTCGAAGAACTGAGAACAGAGGCTGGAAACTCGGAGGACAAGCGTACAAGTTTCAGCACAGAATCAAAGGAAACGCTCAATCCCGAATCAGTGGAATCATGGACACCTGAGCAGGTTGCGTCATACTTTAGATACTTGGGGTTTGAGGACACAGCTACGCAGTTTGCCAAACACAAGATCACAGGTGCAATCCTTCTTGAACTGGAACTGGCGTATTTGAAAGAGTTGGATATCTCTTCCTTTGGTACCAGATTTGAAATCTTCAAAGAGATTGAGGCGCTGAAGGAATTGTCAAAGCAAAAGAAGTACGACGATGCCAAATCTCTCCAAGCTGCACCAGACTTGTACAGAGGATCGTTAAACATCGAGGATACTCGTCCATTGGGTCACATGCGAAAGAAGTCAAGGTCATTAGACGATATTCCCGAACTAAGGCAATCTCATTCTCTGGACCCAACTGTCTCACAGATTCTTAGACCAGCTTCACAGAAAAACCCACCTCGAGCTCAGGTGCCTGATGTGCCAACGTCACCCTTACAAGACCAATTTCTCTCACCGAGAAGAGCTCCACAACCACCATCGTTCCCGTCTCCGTTCAGGGAACAAAAGAGTGTGGCACAATCTTCTCCTATTCCTAATAAGAGGGCGTCAACCATGGAGGGACATTCCAGAAAACCTTCGTATGACATCTCACCAAACTTCCAGACCACCTCGCACTCAAGAAACGGTAGCCGTAACCTAAAGAGTGCATCTGTTGCTGATTTATCGCATCGGGATCGTCCAGCCTCGAGCATCTACATGGATCCTCATTCGAGACAGTCGAGCGTGAATATCAGAGGTCACTCTAGAAACTCTTCAGAGGGAAGTGTGTTGAGAGCAGAGAAGGATGGTCAAGCGACACATCATCGCCGTAACTCATCGCTGTTTTCATTTTTATCACCCTCCAAGGAGAAATCTCGTCGTAACTCTGTGATACACGTTGATAGTCCAACCAAGGCGAAGACTTTGGTTGCACAAGACCAACAGACACCAACAAAGGGCAAGAGCGATGGAACCAGGTCAGTCAGTGCCAAAGAACGTGAAGCGACTCCAGGAAGCCCTAGTGAGCCGGCAAAGAGGTCTGTATCCGAGGCTGTTAGGGCCAAGACCCTGCGTCATATTACCACTGCAAAGAAGAGTACGAAGAAGACGACATCTGCGTTCATGGAGGGAATCAAGGATATCACTCCAGAGGAGAGTATGCTTACAGCAACGTGCTCCGGATGGATGTCCAAAAGAGGTGGTATTGCCGTTGGTGTTTGGAAACAGCGTTTCTTTGTACTCCACGGCACTAGACTATCGTATTTTACATCACTGGAAGACACCAGGGAACGTGGGCTGATTGACATCACGTCTCACAAAGTTTTGCCAGCGAAGGATGACGACAAGCTAGTCTCTCTGTATGCAGCAAGTACCGGCCACGGTAAATTCTGCTTCAAATTGGTTCCACCAGCTCCGGGCACCAGAAAGGGACTGACCTTTACACAACCAAAAGTTCATTATTTCGCCGTTGACACCAAGGATGAAATGAGATCGTGGATGGCTGCATTGATCAAAGCCACCATCGACATTGACGAATCCGTCCCGGTGTTGAGTTCCTGTGCCACGCCAACGGTTTCACTTCAAAAGGCACAGTCTCTTTTGGCACAGGCACGTGAAAACGTCAAGAAGAGAGACGACTTGTTAAAGAGCCGTGACAATGAGCAGCAGTCTGGAACCTCCAGCGGGACCCCAGATTCCTACTCATTTGATTCAAACGTTGCTGCGCAACAATCCCCAAATACAACTGCAACCACATCTGAGATGACCCCAGTGGTTGGTTACGGATCCAGCGGCTTTGCCTCGCCATACGACATTGCAGCACACCAGGCTACAAAGAACTCACCGGTGTCATCACCTACAACGTCGACGCAAAGCGCTGCGGACTCAGAATTTAAGAGCACACCTTACAGCGGAGGGCCCATGCGCAACCCTTCGCAGAAAGTGATAAGCGCATCACAAGCAGCTGCGCAGGCGGCGCTGGGGAAGAGTAACAGCACGAGCAGCTATGGAGGGAAGATCTGATACATTTTAACGGGCTCGATGCGACTCCAGGCCCTACGGACACTACTGCTTGCTATTTCTTCTTCAACTGCCATAGAACTGTGTGTGTTTATCTACTTTCCACCTTCTTTTCGTTTACGCGACCCATACAGCGCTGATATCTCTGCGCTGACATCTCTGTGGGCCTGTCTCTGCTCAACGGTGCTACTCGACAAGGAGGAAAACAGCCATGAGTATGAATCCATATACATTCACTCACTAACTAATACTACTTTTTCTAATAATAATTGAACGTCACCGGGTTACACCGTCCTTTGCCCATGTAAAGTTAACGTGCGACAGCTCGATTATGCAACCGGTTGTTTTGCCCCAAGCTTCCAGTGTTGGCCGTTGGAAACGCTGAGCTTGTGCAAGTGGAAGGCCCCAGCACTGGCGAGACAGACCCTGAAGGTACTTTCGCTGAGCAGTGGGTGGAAAAGCAGTGATCAATGGCCATGGCAGTGATCAAAGGGAGGGCAGAGCTCAGTGGCCATCGCAGTGATCAAAGGGATGGCAGAGATCAATGGCCATGGCAGATCCAAACGGGGTGGCAGAGATCAATGGCCATGGCAGTGATCAAAGGGATGGCAGAGATCAATGGCCATGGCAGAGCTCAGCGGGATGGCGCCATTGTAGTCGCCATGACCACATCCCACACGAACCAGCGCCGTTGGCCTGAATGACTTGTGGTGTAAATCTCGCGCACCAGCACACAATCACATCGCACATCCATCCATGCGATTAAGCAGAGTCTTACCCGGATACCCAACAGTGAACCCTGCGTTCACTCTCTCCAGCAATCACCTACAAGCACACGCACACCGATGGAGTCCTACAATGCTCAGAGACTGTTTGTGGGGCAAGGAAACACCGCCAGAGACACACACGCACTCACAGCGCTGGATTGTTGTGGGCGTTGCCCCACACACGATAAAAGATGTCAAAAAGTTTGTTTTAATTGGACACTGTCATTCATCAACGCCAGCAAAAAGAAAGAAAAAGTTAAAAACAGACGCATAGAGTTTCAACGCGCCCACCAATTGGGCCAAATCAGCTTATGACCGTTGTGGGACAAGTTTCAAGCAAACTCCTTTGTGTGCGCGTGGATGGATGGAGTATTCCCCCGTAAAAAAGGACAAGAACAGCTATGGTTTCCCTTTTTATCGCAAAATTGAGGGGAAAGCAGAAAGGCGCGCCCCACCACACCATCCACAAACACCAGCAGATTCTCGAAAACATCGCATCCACCAAAAAAGAAACCTTGGTACAGCTTGGGCTTCTCAACAAAAGCAGGACACACACACACACACAGAAAAACATGATCACTTGTGTGGAGCAACAGGCGCTTTGTCCCTTCTCCGTGGCCTGCACCACGCAGCGGTTGCTGGGAGTTGCGATTGTGGGACAAGGGACATGTGTGTGATCAACAATTTGGGTAAACAACCACAAAAACGACAACAACAACAACAACAGCACAAAATTTGTGGGGCAAACGGTAGCTTGCACTTCGCACATTGTAAAGCGCTTTTTTCATGCTTCGCTGGATGTTTGTTTACAAGGGAGGGGTATATAAGAAGGTCTGAAGATCCTGTGAGATTTGGCCAGGAAGGATGGATCTACATCTACAACGAGCAAACAAACACAGATGCCAGAAGCTACTTTGAAGTCGTTGGAAAACGCGCACTTGATGGACATTGCTGCCATCCCACAGCCAAAGAACAACCGCAAGAGACCAGGAGAGCCACACATCAAGTCTCTTGACGAGTACAAGAAGCTGTACCAGCAGTCGATTGAGGACCCGGTGAAGTTCTTTGGCGACCTTGCGAAGGAGAACTTGGACTGGATTAAACCATTCGACAAGGCCAAGCACCCGGATGTCAACAGGGGGTTCCTCAACAATGACGTTGCGTCGTGGTTTATTGGTGGCCAGTTGAACGCGTCCTACAACTGTGTTGATAGACACGCTTTGAAGACGCCAGACAAGCCTGCTCTTATCTACGAGGCCGACGAGCCAGGCGAGGGACGTATCGTGACATACGCAGAGTTGTTGAAGGAGGTTTCCAAAGTTGCCGCCATCTTGCACGATGCCGGTGTCCGCAAGGGCGACACCGTTGCAGTGTACTTGCCAATGATTCCAGAAGCCGTTGTTACGCTCTTGGCCATTGTCCGTCTCGGTGCATTGCACAGTGTTGTCTTTGCAGGGTTCTCTTCTGCTTCTCTTAGAGATCGTATCAATGATGCAAACTCCAAGTTTGTCGTGACCGCTGATGAGTCCAAGCGTGGTTCCAAGACCATTGAGACAAAGAAGATTGTTGACGAGGCGCTAAAGTCCTGTCCACAGGTTAAGAATGTGTTGGTGTTCAAGCGTACTGGTAACCATGTTCCATTCGACTCCAAGAGAGATTTGTGGTGGCATGAGGAGACCAAGAAGTATGGTCCATACTTCCCACCTGTCCCAGTCAACTCTGAGGATCCGTTGTTCCTCCTTTACACATCTGGTTCCACTGGTTCACCAAAGGGTATCCAGCACTGCACCGCTGGGTACTTGTTGAGTGCCTTGATCACCATCAAGTACAACTTTGACTTGCATAAGGAGGACATTTTCTTCACTGCTGGTGACATTGGTTGGATTACCGGACACACATATGTTGTTTACGGTCCATTGCTCAACGGTGCCACTTCTGTTGTCTTTGAAGGTACCCCAGCTTACCCATCCTACTCTCGTTACTGGGAGATTGTTGAGAAGTACAGAGTCACTCAATTCTACGTTGCCCCAACTGCATTGAGATTGTTGAAGAGAGCTGGTGATTCCTACATTGAAGGTCATGACTTGAGCTCCTTGAGAACTCTTGGTTCTGTTGGTGAACCAATTGCAGCCGAGGTTTGGGAATGGTACTTCGAAAAGATTGGTAAGAAGGAGATCCCAATCTTGGATACTTGGTGGATGACTGAGTCTGGTTCTCAATTGATCAGTGGTATCTCTGGTGTCACACCAATGAAGCCAGGTTCTGCCTCCTTGCCATTCTTTGGTGTTGAGCCTTGTATCTTGGATGCAACCACTGGTGAAGAGCTCAAGGGTCCAAACGTTGAAGGTATCTTGGCCATTAGATCTCCATGGCCATCCATTGCCAGAACGATCTGGAAGAACTATGACAGATACTTGGACACTTATCTCAAGCCATACCCAGGTTACTTCTTCTCTGGTGATGGTGCTGCCCGTGATGCTGATGGCTTCTACTGGATCTTGGGTCGTGTTGACGATGTTGTTAACGTGTCTGGTCACAGATTGTCCACTGCTGAAATCGAGGCTGCTCTCTTGGAGAACGATTTGGTTGCAGAGTCTGCTGTCGTTGGTTTCGCAGATGAGTTGACTGGCCAAGCTGTTGCTGCATTTGTTGCCCTCAAGGACAAGAAGACTGCCAGTGAACAAGGCAACGCAATCTCAAAGGACTTGATCTTGACTGTGCGTAAGGAGATTGGCCCATTTGCCGCTCCAAAGCTTATCATATTGGTTGACGACTTGCCAAAGACCAGATCCGGTAAGATTATGAGAAGAATCTTGAGAAAGATCCTTGCTGGTGAGGAGGACCAATTGGGTGATGTGTCTACATTGTCTAACCCACAGGTTGTTGAACAGTTGATCAGTGCTGTCAAGAGCAAGAAATGAAGTGTTTGAAACACATGGGAACTGTTTGACACAGCGTCTCTAATATTTATTCTATAACATAGTACACATCGTATAATTGCTTGATTTGTAAAAATGTTTTGATTGTAGTCGCGACCATAAAGCAACCGTTACTTTTGCCTCATATAGTGGGCATTCTGGTAATTTTAAAGTCATAGTTATTGGCCAAATGAGAAGATGTCACAGGATGGAGGACCATCTGAATCGTCTTTCAGAGAGTATATGAGTACGCTGGAGGATGATGAATTGATCGAGCTCATTACAAGTTGGAGTCAAAAGCGCAAGGCATCCTCACCTAAAGCAGCGGACATTAACACCAATGACGCGGACCAGCCCTCTCACTCATCGTCTCTTTCCTTCCAACTAGCGCAAGAGGACAACGAAGAATCTGTTGATGATCTTGGTGGAGACGATAAGGGCCCCATCTTTGGTGATTACGCTTCCTACTTCGCTACAAAGGCCCAGAATCAACAGATTGAAGACGAGAAGTTTCTCGAGTGGAACAAGAAGCGGCAACAAGTGCAAGGCCAGGATACAAAGGTTTCCAGCATCTTCACAGGGTGTGTTGTGCACGTGAATGGATACACAAGGCCAAGCATAGCTACAATCCACAAGCTGATCATCCTTAACGGTGGGAAGTTCATCCATCATCTGAGCTCCAAAGGTGCTGCCACCCACATCATTGCGGAGAGGTTGACACCAAGGAAGCAGGCTGAGTTCAAAAACTACAAAGTTGTCCGACCTCAATGGGTGCTGGATTCAATAGAAAGGGGGTCACTTCAGCGATGGAGTGACTATTCGCTTATTGAGGTGGATTATGGACAGCAAAGGCTCCAGTTTAGGAATGAAGACCAGACGAATCCTCATGCCAAACAAGATGATGAAGATGAAAGTGAGATTGGCCCTTCAATTGAACCAATGTCTGAGATTGTTGATACTACTGATGGGACTACAACGATTGACTCCAAACACCCCGACTTCCTCAAACAGTTCTTTGCCAAATCTAGATTGCACCATTTGTCCACTTGGAAAGCTGACTTGAGACTGGAGTTCCTGAACATGGTGATTGAACAATCGAAATCACAAGGGCATATGCCTACTGGTGCCTCTCATAGGATCATAGTACATGTTGATTTTGATTGCTTCTTTGCAACTGTTTCTGCACTGAAGAGGCCTGATATCGACTTCCAAAACCAACCAGTCTGTGTTTCTCATGGAGGCACCAAGCCTGGCTCCACAGCTGATATTGCCAGCTGTAACTACGTTTGCAGGAAGTACGGAGTGAAGAACGGTATGTGGGTGAGGCAGGCAAAGAAGCTGTGTCCCGATTTGATCTGTCTAGACTACGACTTCTTGGGGTATGAGACTGCATCGAAGAAGCTGTATGAGATTTTACTTGGATTAAAGCCTGACTGTATACTACCAGTGAGTATTGATGAAGCTCTCTTGGAGATCTCTTCTCTGATTGATGATGAAAACACTGTTGAACAGGTGCAAGGCTTCTGTGAGTCCTTGAGACGAGAGATCTATGAACAAACTCGATGTACAGTAAGCGTTGGTGTCTCTCACAATGTCCTGTTGGCCAAGTTATCACTTAGAAAGGCGAAGCCCAATGGATACTTCTACCTACACGAGAATTTTGAGGAATTCTTACACAATATTCCCGTGAGCAGTCTACCAGGAGTTGGTGGAGCTATTGTCAACAAGCTTATCAGTCAAGTCTTTCCACATTCGAGCTCAGAGATAACTATTGGTGAGATCCAAGGCCTCGAAAGAGCAAATCTGGAGAAGGTATTTGGCGTAAAGACAGGAACCAAACTGTTTGAGTACGCACACGGGATCGACCATACATCCATTGATATTAACAGTAACCCAGAGGCATTCACGAGGAAGAGCATCTCAATCGACATTAACTGGGGGATTAGATTCGACTCAATCGCACAGATTGACGAGTTTCTCTTCCGAGTTTCCGAAGAGATTTGCAACAAGTTACAACTCATGAAGATGTGTACTTCCCAGGTGACATTGAAGATATTAAAGAGATCCAAAGGTGCTCCAATTGAGCCACCCAAGTTTCTTGGTTGTGGACAATGTGACAGTTTCAGCAAGAGCTCAAGATTGGGGATTCCCAGCGATGATTATAGGACGATTGGCATGGAGGCACGTATCCTGTTTCGTAACATTGGTTGTGATCCACTGGAGTTACGTGGTGTATCGATACAAGTGACAAAACTGATTGAAAAGGGTAAGGAGGTGCAAATGAGACTGCCATTTGCCCGTTTAGATGCTCCAAAGACAGCACGACTTGAAGGCAAGGAACAGCACAGTGATACACCTATGGAAGATAAGTCGATGGAGACAACTCAGCTTGAAATCCCCAGTGAGCTTGATTCCTCTGTTCTTCGGGAACTACCGTCATCAATAGAGAAAAGAATAGATGCTCAAAGACAGAGAGACAAAGCTCCAATCGTTGATTTACCAAGAGACATTGATGCTCAAGTGTTTGAGCAATTACCACCCAGTATTCAAGAAGAGTTGAGAAGCGAATTGAGAAGGAGAAACATCACTATTGGCGAACGGACTCCTAAGAGGAAGAGAGTATATTATCAGCAGGTTTTCACTAGAACTGGAGCTTCAGAAGTTATCAGGATTATTTCACCACGGAAGTCGCCTTCTAAATCGCCTCTGAAGAAGTCTCCCACTAAGAAGTCACCTGTCAAAGACGTCAAGAGGCGTGAAACAAAAGTTGCCAAAGTTGATGAGGACGTGTTGAATGAATTACCACCATCTTTGAGAAAGGAGATCTTGGAAGAATGGGACGAGTACGAAAGGACAAACATGACTGAGTTCGATAGGCTCAGAGAACGTGGTAAACTGCCAGAGACCAAGTTTCACAACAGTGCTAACAGCATCGAATCACTGGTGATGGACGATTTCGAGTGTAAGATAAATCTGATCATGTTTCAGAAGACGTCTCAACCTTCCAAGATCATCAAGCTCGTTGATCGTTGGATGAAGAAGACCGTCGAGAAAGGACCTCATCACCGTGACCTCGAGCTGTTCCAAACATACTTATCGAAACTCAAACATCATAGCCATCCATTGTATGCCGTGATCATTGAGCGTATGCGTTTGATTTCACGTATTGAACCACTATGCCAACGATGGCTCAACATCTTGACGACGCTGATACAAGAAAGGCCTACATATAGGGACTAGTGTATTGTTCTTTTGTTTCTATAAGGATAACCAACTTGTCGTTAAAATTAACAATAAACCTATAATAATGATAATGAAAAAAAAGCTATAATCGAGGATTACGTCTACTCTGTAGACATTTCGCTTAAGCCTGAACCAATCTGATGGTGTTGGAGTGACCAGAACCCTCTCTCCAACCTTGGATACAGACAACAGAGTCACCCTTCTTCAAGATACCAAGACTGATGGCCTCAGTGATAGCACTTTGGACTCTCTTCTCAACATCCTCTTGCCAGTTCTCAACAGCTGGCTCGTTGTACTGGAATGGATACACACCACGGTACAAGTGAGCGAATCTGGCAGCACGCTCGTTTCTTGTAATCATAATGATTGGAAGGTTTGGTCTGTACTTGGAAACCAATCTAGCGGTGGTACCAGAGGTGGACAATGTGATGATGGCCTTAGCACCGTTCTCAGCAGCAGCAGAGACAGCGTTAGAAGCGATGGTCTCAACGTTGGAGAATGGGGTCTTTGTGATGTTTCTGATCTCATCATACACAGCACGGTAAGGAATGGCCTTCTCAGCAATGAGGGCAGTGTGGTGCATCATGGTGACAGCCTCAACTGGGTAGTTACCCTTAGCAGTTTCACCTGAAAGCATGACACAGTCAGCACCGTCAAGGACAGCATTACCAACATCAGAAACCTCAGCACGGGTTGGTCTTGGGTTATACGTCATGGACTCAAGCATTTGGGTGGCACAGATGACTGGCTTACCGGCAATGTTACACTTGGCAATCAATTGCTTTTGGACAACAAACACCTCTGGGGCTGGGATCTCAATACCCAAGTCACCACGAGCAACCATGACACCGTCGGTGACCTCGAGGATCTCGTCAAAGTTGTTGACACCCTGTTGGTTCTCAATCTTTGCAATGATCTTGATGTCCTTACCATCTTCACCCAAAACCTCTCTGATGGTGAGGATATCCTGCTTGGTTCTGATGAAGGAGGCGAAAACCATGTGGACACGGTTCTTGACACCGAAACGCAAGTCAGCCTTGTCCTTCTCGGACAGAGCTGGCAAGTCAACGTCGGTGTTTGGCAAGTTGACACCCTTGTGGGCGCAGATCTTACCAGCGTTCAAGGAGCGCACCTTCAAGGTCTGCTCATCGACAACCTCGAGAACCTCGAACGACAACACACCGTCGTCGACGTAGATGATACGGCCGGTCTCGATCACCTTGGTGATGTTCTTGTAGTCCAAGTACATCAGCTTGTCATCAGACACCTTGGCGTACTGCTCATCTGTGGTGAAGATCATCTCGTGGCCTGGACCAATAGGGTACTCAGCGTCATCCCTGGTGGTACCAGTTCTGATCTCTGGACCCTTGGTGTCCAGAGCAATAGCCAGAGGACGGCCTGGGTACAGCTCCTCCGACTTGCGCGCGTTGTCAACAACGGTCTGGTGGTACTCGTACGAACCGTGAGAAAAGTTCATACGCACAACGTTCAGACCAGCCTTTCTCAGCTTCACAAGCATCTCTGGCGAGTTGGTCTTAGGACCAATCGTACCAATGATCGACGTGCGACGAAGGTGGTTCTCTGGCACATCGGAGATGTCCAGCTGGGATAACCAGCCAATCTTGGAGTCTTGTGGAGCCATTTCAGTGTAGTAAGTGGTGATAGTTTTAGCGTTTGCCTGTGCCATTTTCCCTCCCTCTGCCGCTGAGCTCACGTTTGCGGCCCATCCTCCTTTTATAATTACAAGGGTGAGCAGTCATGACGGCGCTTTTCCCAGCGGGCGCACCGCAAACGAGGCCTGCGTAGAGGTTTTTGCGAGGGGGCACCGCGCTGCGCAGCACAGAGGCTACGCGGGACACCACGCAACGGCCTCGAAAAAAATGTGTCCACCACCGCGTGCTTCCCAAACAGCGAGGAGCCCGCACCGCGAGGAGCCCGCACGCTGGGCGCAGAAGGTGCGACGAGTCTGAGATGAGCTGTATCAACTGCACCACGCGGGAAGAGGAGGCCAGGCAGGGAAACACGCGGAGGATGGCCGAGGGCGGTTGGCGGAAGAAAAAGAAAAGAGGAGCGGGTTGAGGAAAACCGGCAGGGATTTTTAGGCGGTGGTGGTGGTGGTCGCGGTGGTGGTGGTGGTGGTAACGGCAGCAACGGCGGTGCCGGCGGAGAGTCAGCTACTTGGGTCGAGGTGTCGAGTTACGGTGGTGGAATTGGTGGTGGTATTGGTGCCACGGCGGGCGTGGTGGTATGTACCGTTTGGTGGTGTGCTTCACGTCCTGGGCTGCTATGGTGATGGTCCTGCGGTGGTGTTCCGCACCGACAAGCAGTCAGTTGATACCCAGCGCAAGTGCGCAGTCAGCCCTGTAGTCGGATGGCACAAAGCGTGTCAGGTGCTGTGCGTGCCACTGGACGAGTTTGTCGCGATGATGTAAGCTGTTGTTCGACACACACTCGTTGTAGAGCTCCAGCACGGAGGACACGTCGTGTGTTATCAGCATGTCATCTAAGGTTAAGATCCAGTAGCGCGCGTCGTCGTGGAGGGTGGTTGACAGCTGTGCCCTGAGCTGCGCGTCGGTGCGCTGGTGTGGTAGCTGCTTGAACAGCTCGAGGGCCACGTCGGTGTCGTTCTGCGTGGTGACCAGCTGGACGAGGAACTCGTTGAACTGCTGAGGGTCCGTCGTTATGTACTTTTCAACGTGGATCAGTTGCAGTAACAGTTCGACGTTATTGGGCGATTCCCCAAGCGCATATAACAGGATGTCACGTGCCTTGAGGTAGTTCCTGTGCGAAAGCTCCAGCTTTACCAACTTCAGTTGCACAACAGACTTGTTGGAGCCTCGGAGGTGTAGCAACGATTTGTACAGCACATGCTTAGCATCCTGGATCTTCTGTGACGATATGTAGTACTGCGCAAATTGCAGCCATATATCAGGGTACTCACACAGTGGCACGAGTGCCCTGTGGAATAGCTGCCGAATTTGTAGATCGTCACCGTTAATGACGATGAATTGTAGATAGCGGCTCCAGTTGTCCAGCTCTTGATACGATTTCGCCATTTGAGGAGAGTAGAATTCCAATTTGACACCCTTTTCATACTCATACAGCTCAAAGGATTTGAACTGCGTGGTGATGTAGGCATCTGTATAGATTTTTTTCAACTTGGACTTCAAATCACGGTAGTTTATACGCTTCAGGTCCAACTCCTCCAGCGAGTGTTGCAATTTCAGCTTCTTGACGAGATCATCACGGGTCACCATTAGCAGTATGTTGTCCTGGTTGAGATTCTCAATCTCATCGAACAGCAATTGGAAGAAATAGGAGTAGTTATAGATCGGAATCTCAACGATTTTCTTCAACAGGTTGAACCAGTAGATAGATTTGCCCCTGTGATTCTCCTCTAATTCCAAGTATAGCCTCCAAAACTCATAGCTGTGATAGTGAAGCCCAATGCGTAGTTCAGCTTCACGGTACACTGCCAGCAAGTTTTGATACTCCAGCTCGCAGAGCGGCAGTAACTTCAAATACGAGATCCAAATCAAATTCGAATGCGGAATCAACGACAGCGAGCGCCTGTAGATCAGCAGGCACCGGTCCGTATTGCCCAGCTGCCATTCCAGCTGCGCATAGTTGATCCAGTACCTTTCACAGAAGCTCCACTTCTTCAAGAACTGTTCATACGAAGTGCGAAACGTTTCAATTTTGTCCCTCGAGGAGGCCTTGTTCAGACCTTTACAGCTATATTCGATGAGTTTCTCCCAAGAGGCAAAGTTATCCGGATCATTAGCCACGCTGAGTGAGACTTCACACCATTCCTCGTCCAACGTCATCCTCCTTCTCGCCGGCTGGTCGTATCGAGCTGTGACGTTCCCATCGCTTTCATAGAAGGCCAAAGAAAAAAAAAATCACACACACAACAAACACAGCACACAGCACACAGCACACAAACACGAAACCGTTTGCGCTTGACATTGCGGTGTCCGGGTGTGCTCGTTCTCAAAGTGTTTGTGTGTGCCGCTTTCCAATTCACCAGCCGCGGTAGTGTGCAATTCCACACACGCCACACAATTAAAACCCGGTTTAGGTAAAACGTGGCTAGTGAGATAGAGTACCCAGGCCCCCTCCCAACAGGAGGAGAGGGACACACCCGCAGCAGCAGGAGCCAAAGGTTAAAAATAGCACCACAGCGTTCGTGTTTCTCCGCCCTTTCCAGACACACAATCATCCAAACACCCGCCGTGTCCACCGCGGATGGCCATAAAGTGCTAAGAAAAGTTCACAGACCACAAGCCAAAAAAAATTGTACACACGGAGGGAGAAAAGCGAAAGTTCGTCACAGCCCATTTCTCTGAGAAAGAAACAACACCTTTACAATTGTTTCCCTTTTCTCAGCTTGCTCCCCTTCTCAGTTGCCTTAGAAACTGTTTCTACACACCCGGAGGAAAGTCGAGCATCAGTGAGATCACCATGAAGGCGAGCGTATTCCTCACGATATGGACGCTTGTGTCTCATGCAGTGGCAGAGCGTATGATTAGAACCTCCTCTCTGCTCACGTGTATGGAGGACTCACAGCTCACCGCGTCGTACTTTGACGTTATCTTCTACCCAGACAACTCCACCGTCGTATACGATATCAACGCAGTCACCACGATCTCCGGCTACGTGATGGGTAAAGTGACGTTGATCGTTTATGGGTTGAATGTGCTTGAGGAGAACATCGACCTGTGTGATCTCGGGTTTGATGAGCTGTGTCCGCTACAGGAAGGTGCCGGGCGTATCGAGATCTCCTCGTCCACGGAGATCTCAAACTCGATCACTGACCGGATCCCTGGTGTTGCTTACACCGTGCCTGACCTGGATGCCCGTGTCAGAGTTGTGGCTTACTCCCAGAACGATACCAACACCCCATTGGCCTGTGTGGAGGCGGTTCTCACCAACGGGAAAACGGTCCAGACAAAGTACGCTGCTTGGCCCATCGCAGCCATCTCCGGTGCAGGGTTGATCATGTCTGGAGTGATCTCGATCATCGGACACTCTAACACAGCTGCGCATATCGCCTCCAACTCGATTTCGCTCTTTGTCTACTTCCAGAACGTTGCGATCACATCGATGATGGCCGTGGCCCGTGTGCCACCAATCGCCGCTGCCTGGGCCCAGAACTTCCAGTGGTCAATGGGCATCTTCAACGCTCAGTTCATGCAGACCGCAATCAAGTGGTACGTCCAGGCCACCGGCGGTACTTCCACAGTGGTTGTGGAAAACAAGGACTTGTTGTCCATCTCAGTGCAGAAGAGAGAGTTCATCGACGCAGTGGCTTACTACGCCCCAAAGATCGTGAACCATTTCGTCAAGAGGGCAGATTTCAACTTTGACGATAGTCTTAACGATGACACCTTATACACAACTGACGAGCGTAACACTGACGACCTGACCTCGAAGACCTTGGTGCTGAGAGGTATCCAGAGAGTTTCGTACCTCGCTGACATTGAAATCTCAAACTTCTTCCTGACAGGTATCGTGTTCTTCCTCTTCTTCGTGTTTGTCGTGTTGATCTGTGTCATGTCGTTCAAGGCAATCATCGAGCTCTGCATCAGATCAAACGTCATGAAACAACACAGGTTCCCTGATTTTAGACAACACTGGTCCACCATCATCAAAGGTATCCTATTTAGACTGGCACTTGTGGCATTCCCACAGATCTCCCTTCTCTGTCTCTGGGAGTTCACACAGCGTGATTCCTCGGCTGTGGTTGTTGTCGCTGTGTTCCTGCTAGTCATTGAATGTGGATTGCTACTGTACGGTACCACCATGGTTATCATCATTGGTAGAAAGTCTACAAAGATGTATAAGACTGCCGCATACCTCTTGTACGGAGATGCAAAGACGTTGAACAGATTTGGATTCCTCTACGTTCCGTTCCAGTCTGAATACTATTGGTGGTTAGTTCCAATGCTAACGTATCTATTCCTGCGTTCGATCTTTGTTGCTCTGATGCAAGAGGTTGGAGAGGCACAGGCAATGTGTGTCTTCATCACTGAACTGTTGTACTTTGCTGCGCTATGCTGGAAGAGACCATATATGGACAAGAGAACAAACGCGTTCAACATCATTGTCCACCTGTTGAACTTGGTGAATTCTATTATCTTCTTGTTCTTTTCAACCATCTTTGGCCAACCACAGGTGGTTTCATCCGTGTCTGCTGTTGTATTCTTTGTCATCAATGCTGCTTTCGCCTTGTTCTTGTTGATCTTCACCATTGTTACATGTGCATTGGCTGTGATCTACAAGAACCCAGATACGAGATACCAGCCAATGAAGGATGACCGTGTGTCATTCATTCCACGTACAACTGCACTGGAGAAAGGCGACAAGCAAGACACTGAGCTATTGGCTCTTGGTGAATCTGTAATGAACGGACAAAAACCACAGCAGCTACAACTTCAGGAAACCATTTCTGACGACGAATCTTCATCTTACAAGTACCCAAGAGAATTCCTCTCGAGATCTCGTGCAGATTCTATACAGAGTGGCCAACAAGTCCAGCCAGCAAGCACCGTTTATGGTACGCAAGGATTGTCGAAGCCTGGTGTTTCATTCATGACTGATACCTCATACCACGGAAACTCAAGTCTCTTCAACGATGAATCCACCTCGACATATTCAAACACAGTTAGCAATCCATTTGAAAACCCATATGCCAAGGCAAGACAACAGAATAACGGGAACAAGTTCTAGTTAATCTCTAGGACATCACACGAATGCAAATATACTACTGATTTTCACATCCCCTTATCTCAACTTCATCTTTCTATGCTCTTGTTACGAATATCTAGTTCTCATTTATTTTGGTTTCACCTATGTGTAGTCTACTTTGAATCTATGGAGGTCAGGACTCTAAAACAAGTTGAACCAAGTGATTTGGTCAAGCAGTGCCTTATCCTGAGAGTACTTCACGACAGGGTCGCTCAAGTCGCCTCTCACAGTGAAGCCATGGGAGACCTTTGAGAACAGATCAATTTGGTATCTTGCACCAATCTCGCTGAGTTTCTTCTCAGTCTCATGTCTCAGCTCCACAGTAAAGATTGAATCAATCTCTGATGCTGAGATGATGATTGGCTTGGTAATGGCAGCAACCTCGTCGATGGTGACGAACGAAGGATGTGCCACAGCACCAGCTGTGGCGTACTTGCCCTCAGCCAATTGTTGGATAGCGTACTTGGCACCGAAACAGTAACCAACAACACCAACAAAAGAGTAGCTCCCTGACTCTGTGAGCGACTTGAGGAACCCGTCAACGATTGGGGTGGTGATTTCAGGACCGTGACGGCCCAGCCACTCTGGAATATCAGTAACAGACGGAACACAGTCCTCACCTTTAAGGATATCAGGAATCAAAACATAGTAACCAGCCTTGGCAAACTCATCAGCAATCAAAAGAACATTGTTGTACTTGTTGCCGTAGATATCAGTGATCAAGACGATGACACGCTCACCCTTCTCACCAGTGACATAGGTGTTCAGGCCGAACAAGTCAACGTGGGAGCCCTTTGGAGTACCCTCTATGCTCTTCCTGTTAGTAACTCCATTCAGCAGCAAGCAGAAAAAGCTCGTGACTCACCGTGGAAGTTGGAAGTGACACAGCATTGTCCTGGAGCGTTGGAAGCCATTTTGTGATGCTCAATTGATCTCAAAGTAGAGAGCTTAGGGAGTTTGAGCCGGGCTAAAAGTAGCCAAAGTAGAACATTAGTAATTGTTGCATCAACAGCGGGCTGGAATTATCGGAAATTACACGAACCTACCGGAGATAAAAGCACTATGATATGAATTCTCCCTATACTACACCGCAGAACTTTGTTTTACCGAAAACACTGTGATGGAAGACGTTGAACCAGGTGATTGGCTCACACTCCTCAGTTGCTTCGGCCTCTTCAGTTCTGGTGCTGTTTCTGTGAGAAGTTGCTGAAGATTGAACCTTGACAACTTGTTTGGAGTCCTGACGGTGTTGATCTGGCTGTTGTGTCCAGAGATCAACATGAGCCTCCAGGGCCATGTCTTCGTGTGACACTCTGGGCTTTCTCTGCGACGATGGTTTGGTTCTGATTATGCTATAACGGATGCCTCTACTGTCGCCATCACTGGATGCCTTCTTATCGGATTTTGCCTTTGAAAGCTTGGAACGAACGTACGTCTTTGCATTCTCCTTGATTCCCTTGTCTTTCAACTGCTTTGTGCGACGACGGTCCTCCAACTTCTGTCCAATGATTTCAATTTTGGCACTGTTGACCTCTCCTCTGTCGTTGTAGTCGAGCTCGCTCAATGATCGCCTCGTTAAGGTGGTCAATGGTGTTTTGACGGTGGATTGTGTCTTCACAGTCCTTCTCGGGCTATACGTCTCGGAGAGACCCGCTTTATTCTCCTTGATGATGCTCAAGGGAATGACCAACTCTTCAAGGTTGTTACTGGTGGACTGGGATGGTTCATCAGTGTTGTGGCTCCCTCCAAGAGCTCGCTGCGAATGCTCAAACAGTGGGAATAAGGCTAAGCTGCTCATGTCATCTTTTATCTTCAAGCAGTAGCCATATCTCTTTATTGCAGGGTTTACAGTACAAAACACACCGTGGAGTAAATCCGCAAAGGCGATATCTTCACTCCATGTCTTTGCAAACTGATCGAAGAACATATCCTGAGACTTATCTAGCCCGTACCGGTGTGCTCCAAGTATGGGAGAATCACCATAGCGTTGAGCATCGGTGTTATCCAACCCACTCTTGAACATAAATACAATCAGCGGAGTGGTGTCTTGGATGGCATGCACAAACATGGGCAAGTGCTGTCTTGAGACGGATATTATATCCTTCATCAGGGACTTCGGATTGAAATCCGTTGGGATGGGCAATACGAGCATATAGTCCAACAATACAGAGTGGAGTGGGAGTGTAAATGGAGATGAATTCTCAAGGAATGTGGCATATTCCGATCTTGATTGAGACTTGGGGACGTTGATGGAATCAGAGGTATTGAACACAAAGTATGGCACCGTCTGTTCCGGTATTATGATATCCAAGTGTGATGGGAACAGCGTATTGCTGAACTTGAACTTTTTGGAGTACTTCACCAAATCCTTGAACCCTAGGCGGTTCAATACCCTTTCAGTGATATGGCTTCTTGGTATTAGGAACACGTCGTCCAACTCCTGGTACTCCCTGGCCTCATAGCCAGCTAGCACTCCCATCGATTGCAATTCATCTCTGAGTTCTATAGTGAATGGAGAAGCTGGTGATTTGGACTCATCCAGCTCCCCGAAATAGTCATTTGAAATGACTATGCTTTGAGCAAACTGTGCAAAGGCACAGAACAGCAAGAGCAGTCTCATTGGAGCAAGTTTACGAGCGTTGAGTGGTTGGTAGTTGAGTGTATTGATGAGAGCTATTGAGTATTTCCTCCAAATAATGGACTAAACTACTTGATTTTGTGGTTAACACAAATCCTCCATATACTGAGATATTAGTGGTTAGGAAGCTGTGATAATCGTGTACAAACTGTTACAACAAGCCGTATCCAGCTTCTGGGAGTCAGTCTTCCAGGATCGAAGCACCAGCACGGGACTTCCAACCATCTCGTTGCGGTTGCGTCATGCTTCTCCACCTTGAGGCCAAGCACCGTGTCACATCTTGAGCACTTGCTCCTGGCAATTCGCTTCTTGCCCTGTGGAAGTTTGACTTGAACCACAGGTGATACTGGGGTAATCTTGTGGCCGTCTTGGTACAGATGGCCTTTTGAGCTTTCCCAGTGGAATCTTGTGTCGTTGTTATCTTGTCATTGGCTTTCACTGACTTGCCTTTAACACGTTTAAGCACACTGGGGATAGTTGGACATGGTGGAACACTGACGAGGTTCTGACTGGTGTGTCTCTGTCTGACAGTTTTGTTGGAGCCCACGCTCTGACCGTTCAGCCTAAAAGGTGCTTTAGCCTGGCCTGAGACAGCTTGATTCTGGAGTTTGGGGAATTGCCTCTTCCCTAATCCTACGACATTGTTGACGTTGAATCTGAAGATGATTGAAGTAGACATCTTACGCTTGATATCTGTATTGTTGGCCAGGATTGTGGTCCAGTATTGTGGTCCAGGATTGTGGTCTTATGCCAACGAAAGCACTGAGTACTACCGTAGAACCATACGCCGTTATATACACACATCGCTCACTCTGTGTGGGAGCACATAAACAGCATTCATAACGCATCTGCAACGTGAATGACACATCGATGCTACACAACGTTGTCAAGTCGATATACCACGGTGAGGCCTTCTATAAATGCGGACACGTGAAGAAAGATGGCAGGCTTTCCCATCACCATTATTCTATACCAAAAGGGCAAAGTGTATCAGATTAACATGAACTGAGGAACGAGCTGCCTCATCTCTCATGACAAGGCATTGTAAACTCTACACGGTGCACAGTCCTTGAACAGCTCCATGTGACTAGTTGATATCTTGCAACACAGCTCTATATACGAGAACAATCAATGCTTCATCTGTGACGTTTCAATTGTGACCTCGTCCCGTTAGAAAAGTGAAAATTTCCCCTTTGAGCGATGTGGTGATTTTTCAATTTTTCCTCGTTTCGCAATTGAAAGTCTCTCGAGGGAGTTTTGTCTTAGAAGGGGAAAATAGACAGTTTCTTCACAGCCAAATCAAACCAAACAGGATGCTTAAGATGTTGTCGGGATCTCCCTTGAGATCGTTGAACACCGTCAGCTATACACGTATTGGTTTGTCCTCAATTGCCAAGGCATACTCCACGAATGTTGAAGACAAGAGCACCAGCAGCACCACCCATTTTGGTTCAAAGACCGTGCTTGCCAGCGAGAAGGAGAAACTCGTTGGTCAAGTGTTCAGTTCTGTCGCTTCCAAGTATGACATCATGAACGATGTCATGAGTATGGGTGTGCATAGACTCTGGAAGGATGAGTTTATCCGTCGACTGGATGCCGGTGCCAGACCTGGTTCTCGTCCTTTGGACTTTATTGACGTTGCCGGAGGTTCAGGTGACATTGCATTTGGGCTGCTCGACCATGCCAAGGCCAAGTTCAACGACACCAAGTCTACCATGACCGTGGTGGACATCAACCCCGATATGCTGAGGGAAGGAGAGAAGAGATGCTCCGAGAACCACTATAAGAACGACCCAAGAATCCAATTCCTGGTGCAAAACGGTGAAGTCCTTGACAAGATTGAGGACAATTCCAAGGATGTCTACACCGTGTCGTTTGGTATCAGAAACTTCACCAATATCCAAGCCGGGTTGAACACTGCCTACAGGGTGTTGAGACCAGGCGGTGTTATTGGAGTGCTGGAGTTCTCCAAAGTTGACAACGTCATCGTAGACACTTTCTACCAGAACTGGTCCAAGTTCCTACCGATCTTCGGCCAGGCCATCGCCAACGACTACGACTCGTACCAGTACTTGGTGGAGTCCATCCAGAGATTCCCAAAGCAGGAGGAGTTCAAAGGCATGATCCAGAAGGCTGGCTTCTACGTCCCTGAGCCTGGCTACCAGAACCTCACTTTCGGAATTGCCGCCATCCACATTGGTATAAAGTTGTGAAGCTGTGGCTCTGTTTATATCCTGTGTACATAGAAAGCTTCTGCCCTTCCAATATAAGCATTAGTAAAGCGCTTTACATCGGTGGTTCCATGAACGAAGTGAGCCATCACTGTCTCTGCGACATTGTAAGAGGGAAAAGTAAACATTGGGAAATGTCCCAAACAGGAATGTTTCTGTTTTGGGACGAAACATGTGTCAATCTCGCGTTGCTGCGGTGAATTTACCGAAAAACGAGCATAGTGGCGTATATTTGTGCCGTTGTGGTCTGTAACGTTGTGGTCTGTAACGTTGTGGCGTGTACCGTTATGGCCTGGGATGGGTTGGCCTGGCTGTAGGCGACTGGGTGTGGAGACGTATCTGATGGCCGGACACTAAGGCCTGGTGGAAGTAATCGTGGTGTACACAGTTGAGCAGCCTACTACGTGTGGTAGTTGTGGTAGATGCACTATGTGTGCCAGGTGTGCTAGTTGTGCCGGATATGGTACACACACGACACATGGTACACACACTACACACATTACACACATTACACACACTACCCACACTACCCACACTACCCACACTACACACACTACACACACTACACGCACCACACGCACCACACGCACTTCGCCTCCAGCGAATTGGCCCGCCCCATTGCCAATTCCCAATTGGCCCATTGGAGCAGGCCCATTGGAGCAGGCCCCAATGGCTCAGGCCCTCAAGAAAAAGAAACAAAGCAACACGCCGTTGTTGAAGCGGCTTTGGCCCCGCGGTGGTCTGTGTGTCCCCCAACGGCCAACGGCCCAACATTTTCAACAAGGGGGATGGGCTGCGCGAAAGTACAACACACACACGCCAATTGGCTCTAAAACCGCTAGCCATCTCAGCTGAAGGGGGAAATAGACGTATCAAAACCCATACAACAGCACAATTCCACGTAAAACACAGTAGAAACACAGTAGAAACACACACTTGCGATC